CTCTAGATCTTTAGCTTCCAAATCTTTTGACAGAGTCGAGGTTCTTTGTTTCAAACGGACAGACCTGACTCGGGCCGGACTCCGTCCCCGTCTAGACTCTCCGGGACTTTGGTCACCTGTCGATGGAGGAGGAGTGTCTAGAACTCTAGATCACCTCCGGCTCTCCTTGCCCCCTGAAAGAACACTAGAAAGGAGACCGTTGCAAACTGCCCATTTGCCGACAATCCCTGCTCCTCCAGAAATGAGTCCGACCAACCACGAATCTCACCTTCTTCACCAGCGAAAAAGAAAAGAGGGTGCGACCAGCCAATCATACTATCTCCTCTGAGCATCTCTCGCTCTGGAAATAGACTGATTCGTGCCAATAAGGTGTGGAGGAGACTACTTACAGCATTGTACTCGTCACTTTGTTGCATAAGTGCATATGCTAGTTGCCGCAGAATCAGCTGGATCACCATTTAGCCGGGGTCAAATCTACAGTAGATGGGCTGAGAAGGGTCCTTCCGATTTGTTTCCATGATCCCTACCGCATTCTGATCCGCGACCTGGGGTGGCTTCAAGGTGGGGAACTGGTCATTCTCACCAAGGGGAACGTATCAGGGTCATACAGTAGAAGGTAGATGGCTTGCATTTTGAGACAGCAGTGTTTGGCGAGTGGATGAAGAGCAACTGACCCCAGTGATGTATGCATGATGGAGGACTAGGCATTACTCAGACTCGACCGATCGGTATATTGTACGTGGGCTATATAGACTACTAGACTACTAGACTACTAGACTACTAGACTACTAGACAGTATACAGTAGACACTATATAGCTACAACATCCTCATAGTGCATACTCGGTGCTGTGGTTTCGAAACAAAGTTGGAATTGCTCCCCACGCGTCTCAACCTTACCTATCCAAACGCACTCGCTCCGTCGCTCCAATACCCGAATATTAAACGAGCGCGTGGCGGTCATGGATCAGCTCTAGCTGTAACTTGCTCTGATCTACATCTCAATAGACCGCTAATCAAGATCGGCTACAACACGTTGTAGTAAGAGTCTAGTCAGAAGTCAAGGTACACTCTACACTCGACAGTCTACCTTAAACCCTACACTTGGTTAGTACCAATGTACACTTGTCCAGTGCTACCAGGCTATTCTCCCGGTTAATTCCTTTGGTCCAAACGTCCCATTTCCTCCGCCTCCACAATCCTTCAAGGTGGAGACTGGAGACTTCTCAAAGACGGGGAAGTGTCCGTTGCGACGAACCGTTGTGCGACCGCCCTTGCCTGAAGAAGCAGTTGGTTTTGGGATCCTGATTCGAGGCTGATTTGTTTTGCTACTGTTTCTTTGTTCTGACTATTTCTCCTCCAATCCGCGATTGAGTCTCTGGTGATAGGGGAAGTTGTGATTGGCTTAATCACCACCACCACCACTGCTACTACAGGAGTCCTTTTCCTCTCTTCCAGCAATTGATTCAGGACCATCTCTCTTTTGGGTCACATTCCTTTTGGGGCCGAGGCTCCCTCCTGAGCTCATGGCGGATCTTGGCGGAGTGGACGGATGATTCCCTCTCTGGAGACGGGACCCGACCGGACGTGCTGGTCCTCTTCTGGGGACCTGACCTGGTGCCGTGTACTTTTTGAGGGTGGAATACTCATATGTGGCTTTGATGGGAGTTGAACAGAGCTGCTGTGGCACGGGTTAGGAAACGAGATGGGTTCGGTTGGAAGAATTCGGGTATACACATGGGAGTGGGACAGTACAGCCTATCGAGAGGGCAAAGGTACATCCCATACGTACTATGAGGCTATAGGCAATTTGTTAAGCAACCGAGTACAAGGCAATGTACCGTATACTTTGTGGTCTGTACGCGTATCTTGTAGTTACTATGTAGTTTGTACCTCCTGATTGTGCTTCTCCTCTACCGCTTGTCAGAATCATGACGTGGAACATGGAAGCTTCTTTCATTACCAAGTTTCGGACAAAGCAGTCCTCAGTCCTCAGTCCTGACTGTACTACGTTATCGCCTCGACTGGAACCCGGAACATCAATATACTTTCACAAGCTTCACCAGCTCCGAGTCAGAGTAGCCTCGCTATGAGAATCTCTGTAATCGCTGAATCTCATATGCTCTCCCGACTCTTCCTGCCGAGCTGTGGGTGAGTTCGGACAGAGTTGGACCGCGGCAAAGATTCGTTCCGCTGATGCGGGAGCGCGTCTGGAGCCTTTTTGTTTTTTTTTTTTCGCCTCCAGGTTGAGCGCCTCATCGGAGAGTGGTGGAGCCGCGGGGGAGGTGGACCGAACTGCCTCGGCTGTGAATGATCACAATCTAATCATCTATTGATTTTGTTTGCCATCCAAAGGAGATAGATCGAAGCTGGGTGTGGAGGAGCAGATGATCAACGATTGAAATCAGACATCAAAGAATGGTGATCATTAGCTCCGTTTGACCAGGATGTCTGGATCCTCACAAGACGCGAGCCTATTTGGCCATGGGCTATCGACTGGACGGGTTGAGTACATCGATCCATTCATCGATCCCAGACGTGAACGACAAGGGTTTGCTGGACTTTGTTGACCGCCGAGTACGTGATGATTGTACAAAGTACATGTTCTGGCCGCCACTGTGGTCGATCATCTCTTACCGATCAAATGTTCCGGGTACTTTCGAGTGTCCATCCTCCTCCTCCATCCCCCCTTGAACCCCCGACCTCGTATGCTCGCACTGCGCTGCACTGTGCTGCACTGCAGCCCTTCCCGCGATATCATGCATCTGAGAGGGCGGTGACCATACCGTCTTCAGTGGGAGGGGGTTGTGGACCACCTCTGTACAGGGTCAAGACTCAATTGGGTCAACATCGAGATGCTGTGTCTGTCGATTGTTATCGTGGCGGGGAAAGGATGCATTCCACGCATTCCGACCAGACGTAGTACGTTGAATTGTCCTCCCGGGAACCCTGTCTGTGGACAGATCCTTTCGCACAGATTGATGTGAAACTCCATCCAAGCATATCTACATTCTACTGTACACCGCAATCGTTTCGTCTGCACTCTGTGTTCCCACCGGATCACCACATGCATCCGCGCTGCAGCTCATGTCGGGGAACGAACGGGCGATGGGGATCGTATCCTCGGGCTTTCGAGATTTAGAAGCCACAGGTTGACATGGAGTATATACTATATACTGTATACTGATTATCTGACATTTGGGTTGATCTGGCTTGTTTTGATGGTGACAAGTACTTCGTAACTTTCAAGCTACCGGGCACTGGGCAGTGGGCACTGTACTTATGTAAACAAACAAACTACAGACTTGCCGATACGTTGGCTCTAACAAACAAACAATCATCAAAAATGAAAACGGGGCAACCCAAAGAATCCCGACCCTGGATGTCGCTGCCCCAAACTTTGGGTAAGTATCTAACCTATGGACTTTCATTTGAAATGGAAATGGAAATGCCTTGCTTCTGATTTCTCTGTATGTCACTGGGGTAAACTACTTCTCAGTACTCATAGATGGAGAATCAGATGTAGATGGAACAACACTCTTTCGACCGACTACCACCAACCAGCCTCGAGTGTCCCTTTCTTTGATCAAAAGTACTCGATATTTTGAGAATGGAATCATCCCCTCGAGAAACCTCAGATTCCCTGCGTTTGGATCAGCATTCATGTGTCTCCAGACAATCCGATCCGATCTTCCCCGCGGACCAGCATTTGGCGGACCCAGGAATCCGACACATCAACGTTTGTAGGCATTCCGCCCGGGGAAAAATCGACGGATCGACTTGTCAGAAGTATCTCTAACCGTCCTTTTGTTCTTTGTTCTGCTCTCCGATGACGAGGGCTGGGCTTTCCCGTTCTGATGGGGAACTTTGTTCCTGTGATTTGTATCATTGTGATTCAAATCATTTTCCATCACCACAGGCTTTGAGCTCGCGAGCTCCCGAGCTCTCATTATCGCTGAGTCACTTCGGACTTTTGTATGAGACGCGGAGAGTAGCCAATCTCTCGAGCCAGTTGCTTCACGTTAGATGACTGATCGTCCGCCTCACTGCAGGGAGTCCACATCCGCCCGACGAAGCATTTTCTGACGAATTCTGAAATTCCGAATTAATGATGGCGGCGTGTGGCTGACTCGAGCTCGGCCTAAAGGGGGAAAAAATGGAAACCCATCAAAATCCACCAACAGGCCCCGGGAAAAGAAGGAGAAGGGAGTGGGAAATCCAACGCTGAAAAAGAAAGAATAAGTGCAGCAATCACAAATGAAAACAGAAACCAGGATTTCGGTTGCTAAGTCAGAGTACGGTGCTGCTGTGCTTCCCAACTCAGTCCTGAATCACAACTTTGTGGTGAGTAGTGAGTACCTACAGAGTAGTACTGTCGTATGGATTATGGAAGGATGAGGGAAGACGAGAACCACAGCTCTTTCCGGGTGATTCCTTAATATTTCTTAAATTTCGAATTATCTTGGCCGAGGATGTCCCATTCGGGATTGTTGATTATTTGGATTCTCCATTTTCGGGGGCCGCATTTATGGGAATTTCCATTTGGGCGTGTCTTAGTCTCCCCGACGGGTACTGCAAGGGTTACGGCGGCAGTCTAGAAGGTCTTCCCCCGGCTGGGGCAGCTGGAGATGCCACACCGTCTTTGAGATGGTGGCCGAGATTTTCATTTATTCTCGTCGACTCATCCACTGCCTTCCAGACTTCCTTTTCTACCTGTCATCTCCAACCTTCAACTCGCAACACACTCTTCCCACGCCGTCGGTTTCTTCAGGAAAGCAACCTACATCATCATCTTTAAATCCGCCATCTGCTCCACTTGACAACCACCGCCATACTCATCCTCCACACGCACATCGAATTTGGTGCTCACCTCTCCAACCTTCTACTTTCACGTCAACCAACCATCTGCATCTCTCTCTCTCTCTCTCTCCCACCTTCCACCATCGACACCTCACAGTCATCACGCTTCATCATCACCACCAGCAGCACAACCATCGCCATCATGGTTCCTATCCAGTCGCGCATCCGCGACATGGCCTTGGCCAAGTCCAGCACCGTGGCTCCTGTGGCCAGCACCGACCCAGCCCAAGTGACCTTCACCTGGAGTGGCAGCTCCTTTGAATGCTCTCCTCTCTCTAACCCATCTGCGCCCCCTCCCACCCCGACCAACTCACTGCTCGATATCCACCCCCGCAAGTCCTCCTTCTCCAGTGAATATGGTCTCGATGCCGCCTGCGCGTTCCCCTCGTGGCCTCAGCGTCCGTCGCTTTCCACCGGCCAGTCCCAGGACTCCTACTGCAGCGCCTATCTTTCCGACGAAGACCTTCTGTGGATGCCCGAGAACGCCGGCACAGAGCCTCCCGAGTTGACCGAGGAGACTCCAAAGGCAAAGACCAAGGGATCGTCCATGACCACCGAGCAGCAGTTGGCCCGTATGCGCGCGGCCGCCGAGGAAGAAGACCGACGTCGCTTCCTGGCCAAGGTCGAGGCTCATGCTCGTGCCACTCAGGCCCTTCGCCATTCCAAGCAGTTGGCTGCTGGTACTACTACTACTACCACTGCCTCCACCACTGCTACCTCTGATCAAGACCACACCCCCAAGCGTCGCAAGCGTCGAGTGGTTCCAACCCCCAAGCGTCGCGCTCACTCTTCATCAGCCAAGATGACCAGTGTTGCGCACTAAGCACCCCGCCGAGTGTTGACTATCTTGGCGTGGCGCGGGCGCTTCTCCGAAGACTTACGACTACTACTTTGATGACTCTTCTTCGCTTCTTTGCCGTGGCCCGTCCAACGAGCTATCGGTATCTTGTCTTCTTCCTCTATGGATTTGTCTCCTGGTTATTGCTCTCTGCCTTATTATTTTGACCACGGTCACACCTTTTGCACGATACCCTTCCATTTCCTTTTTTTTTTCCCCTTCCCCTTCCCCCCCCACTTTCCGACCTTCTCTATTGCGCGGAATCATGCGCGGTTGACCAGCCCTGGGTACCACCGATTTACCCGTGTTGACCCGGGGGTCTGGCCCCCATCAGGCCGGGAACCTCCCAGGCTACCGCGGAGGTCCACCCTGAGCTGCCGATCCTGCGCTCGCATCCGCCCATTTTTCCGCCCACCCACAACCCGGCCAGGCCCTCTCAGCCTCGCCTGAGTCCACTCCGCAAAATGGCCCAAAATCGTCCGACGGACTTATCTTATCGCGGGACCACGATCGGAGCATATTTCTCCCCCCCCCCAACATGCACCGTCACCCGTGGGAGAGCATGTGAGCGGAGCACGATGGCTGCTCACCCCCGCGCTTACCTAATTTCTCGACGCTGTCGGCGCTTCTCGAAATCCTCACAGGCTCCTCCCGTGTTGATCCTCAGTGCCCAAGTTCCCACTCCTCGGACACCCGTTCTCCTATCCATCTTCACCGCTGGTTGATCATGAGTCTGGTCCTGACTCATCCTCCGTACTGTTTCCCTTACCAACATCGGGGGGACTTTCGTATCCATTCTCGTCCTTGCTTTTCCCAGCGTCAGCGTGTATCCTTGATTTTCTTTTTACTTTTGAATTTCTTAATGACCCTGCTTAATGATGTGCTGCATTATCTATGGACTGAGCAAGTGTTCTTTCCCCTGCATTCCTATCTGGCCCCGGTGTTGGTTTCGTTCCGACTTTTTGTCTCGTTCACTATGATACCTCTTGATCCTATGCTCTTTTTTTTTACCTCCACTGTTAGCGCTGTACCCATCGATACCCATTCTTATTGATTAGCTACTAAGTTGGTATGCTAGTATGTGTTTTTCTTTTATCACTACGGCAGTATCTCATTGAGAGACATGATGAATTTAATTATTCAAATCATCTTCTATCTTTCCGCTTTGTATTCTATACATCATTCACACTGGAGTACTATACATACCAGACAACATGGGTATATACATGAAGGATCTGTTGTAATTATCTTGTCTAGTCCTCCTGCCTTCATCAAATACTGTTACCTTTATGGAATCACCACAACGGCTGCATCCTAAACGCCGGTCGCTTGATCCTTTACTTCTTCCCACTCGGCCGGGTGAGATTTCAATTATGACCACTTCCGCGCACTGCGCTATCAAACTACTATTATCACTCGATGCGTCGATAATCTGTGCTCTGCCTGCTCTCTCTCTTTCTCTCTAGATCTCCGACTCGGAATCAACACCATCATGTAATCTGTGATAACCAGGCCCCCATGTCCACGGTCACATCCTTCACTCAAGCCCAACAACTAACACAAAACGCCAGAAGCACCTAACGTCTAGTGTCCAGTGTCCACAGTCCACAGCACCATACCATGTACATACACACACACTCTCTCTCTCACCTACAAAATCTTTGCCAGGGAGCCCACAAGCCCACACGCCACCATCCTGCACAGAGTTGGGGCCTTCCCTGCACTGTACATCCCGCGATTCGCGATCCGTCATCCGTCATCCGTCATCCAGCATCCCTCCAGCACCCGTCATGCCCACACCCATCCCACCAAGCGCCTCGTGGGCGCGGCCCCCTCCTCCTGCTCTCCTCCCGAGTGTCGGTGTGAGTTGGCCGTTCTCATCTCGTGCTATTTCTCAGATAGGCGTTTGATTTAATGGTTTGTGGGATTTCTTATTGGGCATCAGAAACGGGGGTCGTTCCCTTTATGTTCTGGGCCTTTGCTGGATCTTGAGAATTTGATGGAGGGTAGGGATAAGGTCTTTGTGTATCTCTTGTTTTCTTGTTTCTCTTTGTTCTTCGGATGTTTGGTGGGTAGGTTTTTGCGATCGGGGAGGGTCCAGAGGGCTAGATTATTTCTTAGATTTCTAGATTCAGGTCTATCTGCGGGTATTGTGGACTCGTGGGGGGGGGACTACTTCTAGTCTTCTACTATACTAGTGTACAAAGTTCTTTGTAAAAAAATCTTTTTTTTTCCTTTGCATAGGGGTTGAATATTTTGGTGTCGTTTTCTTTTTAATCATTTCTTTGATTGTTTAGGTGATAGCACTCCCGTCTGATACAGAAGTTATTCATCATCGTTGTGAAGACCTATCTTCGTCCATAGATCCGAAAGGATACTACTACGCGGTGCTGACGACGTGTCTTTTCAAAGTTCCATCTTTCAACCTCGGTTTACGAAATTGTAAAAAGGCATGCCAATCTGATCAACACACGTGAAGCACGATTTCCAAGCACACGATCTATGTATATGCCTTGATATGTATGCTTAAAGGTCAGAAATTGATCAATCATCAAATTGAAATGTCGATCGGGTCAGGTCATCATGATAAACTACCGTTACAATAATCTTTCATTCCGAGAGAACGTGTCTACCAGACACCGCGCTCCACGCTCAAGGCGCGCTTGTACGATGCACATCCATGTTCATCACTATATTACAGTGATGAAAAGCTACTACCTATGGACAATTACCTAAAGATGAGCTTCCACTAGCTTCTAGACTTAAAAGTCATGTGCCATATACTAATATGTGTTGTGGCTGTTTAACAGATGATCTCGCCTAGAAATATGACAAGATGATACATTTGTTATACCTCCCTATCTTACACATAAAAACAGCTCATGTAGTCTGGATATCTTTGAGCCTCCCGGGTACCCCTATATCATATAGCAGTCTTGAGGCTATGGACCCGCCAGTACGATACTTCCAATTATACTATAAGTTACTGCGTATGTGCGCGGCGGACGGTTGGCCTGACAGATGGATACCACACCACACTGCTACAACGGTAAGATTGTGGATCTTTCTGGGTACCTAGGTAGGTAGGAATCGGAGTATATCCACGAGACATGGAGGGAATACGTAGAGCTTATCTGGCAAATGCATGTTTTGTCGGTCGAGAGTCGGGGATGGAGGGAGAGCGTGGAGTCCTCTCCTTTGATGGGAGATCCGAGGTCGTAGCTTATTTATGTGAGTTTGAAGCTATATCTACCTGATTTGTAGATTGAAGGTATTTCCGGTGTGATTTTTCGCTACTACATATGAGAGTCGGATAATGAAGGTATGTAAGGCAGACATAGGTATGAGATTTTCTATGTATATACGAAGCCCAAGGTTATGATCCTGTGACCTATTTACTTTGATGCAAAGCCCTAGGTTAGAGTTAGTATCTTCATGGTGCTGTTTACGTAATTGTTACTAGATACTGATAGAGATAATAAGTAGGTGTTTAGTATCTTCATAGTCATAAGTAGAAGTAATGAACACCATACTTCTTATATTGTGGGGCAAGAACCCGAAAGGTACCACCTACTAGGTAACTAGTAGTCAGTAGATACCTACCTACAGTACTATATGAGCTTAAACCATCATATACCTAGTCGTACCCACGCTTTCCTGCTTTATTCCGAGGGACCTAGCCACTTCAGCTTTGATGGCAGGACTACTACGTGGAGTAGCAGCAGCAGCAGCAGTAGTAACAACTAGGTAGGTGTCACCTATCTCACTCTGAGCCATCATCCTCACTACAAGTCCAGTTAATTCAACAGCCTTTACTCATCAAGAGGAATCCAATAGCAGACCAAGTACATAGTAGGCACCAGGCAACGTATGCTGATTCCAGGCGGGTCTCAAAACGGATTGACGGAGCAAGGTCAGCCTTGTCCCACAAAATTGATTATGAACCAGGATTCCCTAGCCGGCGAGCACGAGACCGAGGAGGCATGGAACTGAAAGAATGAAGCTTGCTACAAATTTTGGATGTGACGCACTATTAAAAAATATGTAAGTCGTAAGGTACTAGTAGGACTAGGCTACTATCACTATGCTTCAGGTGTGAGATCCAACTGGAGGAAATCGATCGAGTCACCAACGCCGCGTAATCTGCGTGTCACGGGTTCATTACTACCAACATATGTACACATGTACAGTTTGTACACTATGATAGGACACGAACGCACCATACCGAATCAACACAAATGGGCAGTTTCAATATTTTTTTTTATCTCCTTATCTCCACACGCGCTCCAATCCAAATCACTGGGTACCACTGCAGATCCGACGCTATAGTACACGATGCAATGTATAAGAGAGGAGGGGAGAAAGAGTGGGGGGAGGGGCAAAAGAAAACAAGAAGAGGAGAAAGAGGAACGCCTCACCTTTCTCTCTACACCATCAGTACATCCCACTTCCAACGCCATCGCAATAAATTCTGCACCATTTTTAGTGGAACATGCCTCGAAGCGGCCATGTCACGGAAAAGTAGAGCTGAATAGTCGGTGAAACGGACAAAAGTCCCGCCACTTTCGGCCAGCAGGTTGTCAATCATTATGACTACTCGCTAGGTACACACTTATATACACATTTGCGGTAGTAATCGCCAGTCGAAACGGGTTGCTCATGTATGTACTGCTGTTGTACACATGCATAGTGCATACTGTAGTGCGAGTACTAATTAGGTGCATGTTCCAGTTTCCGCCTAACCTCTCAGCCTCGAACTTTGACCCTGCAGATAGAGAGGGCTGCAATTCCTCTTTATGGATTGATGGAGCTTTGAAATACAAAAACAAAGAAATACCTGTGAGATGTCGAGCCCACGTGCATAGCATCTGGCTGAAGAAGGGATGACTCATAGCGCGATGTGAACGAAAAATCCTTTAAGGTTAGAAAACCTCCCAAAAGAAATTAAAAGAAAAGCAAAGAAAGAGGTGCAGAACGGGGCCCCGATACTTACAAGTGTGCTTTAGTGCCGTGTCAGATCTTTTCAAGTCGCATCCTGCGCTATACGTGGGGTCTGGATAAATGCAGCCATCTCGGTTAATTAGATTTCGATGTTCGAGAAAATACTATTCAATGCGCGATATCTCGAAGATCGAAGCCACGAGGGTTCTGGTGCCGATATCACGAAACTCATGAAGCCGACTTAGGCTGATGTTTGATTAGTGATCTGTTCTTTCTTTTTGTCAAGACACATAGAAAGGCATGTAAAGTAGGTAGTCGTATGTTCAATGATTTATCAGTTGCCAAAGTACACCAACTTCAAGGCGTAATAGATTGATCGTGTGAATCCACGGCTCTTTTCTTGTATCAAGGCCATAAAAAACCCCCCACAAGTCATTCATTCATCAAGCCACAAAATAGCCATTCTCTCAAAAGACAAAGAAGGGGCCGTTCTCAGCTTCAGTGATCCGAGCATAGGAAACCCAACCGCCAACCCGATGGTACTCCTTGGTGACCCAGAAGCCCTTCAAGAATTTCAAGACGGTAATATTGCACCAGATTCCCATCTTCGTCATCAGCTCCTGGAAGCGACTCTCAACCAACTCTTGTCGCGCTTCATCACCCCAACTCTCGGTCCCGGCAATGAACAACGGAACAAAGATATCGTGTGAAAAGCTATGCGTCGGACCGGTAGTGAGAAGCTCAAGTTCCGCCCACAGCGACGGCATGGAAGCGTCAACCTCGGCGGCGACTTCGGCACTAGAGGCAAGGGTCTGATAAGCGTAGATCAAAGTAGCGTGGTAGACGGCCCGCACGATCGCGGCCATCCACTTTTGCGTGGTGGCTCCCTGTGCGGTGACTATGCGGGCCGTGTCGGTAGAGGCTCGCGCATAAGCTAGTTCGATCTTGGCCCGCCAGGAGGCCATATCGGGAGGTGATGGCAAATCCGAGGATGAAAATGTCGCCAGCGATCGAGAAAGTGTCAAAGCTTGTTGTTCCTGCTGGAAGTTTGAGAAAGCTGCATGTCTGCGGCGTTCTTCCACGGTAATCTCACGGAATAAGTCTGTAAATGTGTGAAGAGAGCCCTCCAACATGATTGACTGAGGGCGTAAAACCTCCGCCAGGTAGGTTTGGTCAGCGGAGAAGGCGCCAATACTTCGGTAAACTTCGATGTCGGCCACTTCTCGGATGATGAAATCAACCACGGGATTTCGCTGCGAGGGACTCTGGTTGTTGCGCCACAAATATCGCTCAATGAGGACGCGGCAAGCGTGAAGATGTAGGTTCCAATCGGTGGAGTTCGGTATGAGCATCTCACCGTAGCAAAGAACAAGAGTGGTTGCAAGAATTTCAATTAAAGTAGAGTCAAGGATGGAAGAGTCAATCATGGAATGTTCCTGTATCAACTCGAGATTGATCTTTTGATTCAGCTGGTGTAGACTCTGATCACGAAGCCGATTGCTAATCGCGATACGATTCAAGTCGGGCGTAGGAACACGGTTCGTGGATGTGAATGAAAGATGAGCTGCCGCGACGCTGAGAATCGAGAGGCCGAGAGACTTTGATCGCTGTGCAAGCGGAGCAATAACTTTACGCCACGGATGATCTGGCTGATCGACCCATGTCAAACGAGGACATACATTGATATTAAAGTGAGTGAAGAGGTTCCGCGATATGCTTTGCGACGTGAATCGATCGACCAAAGATCTGGCATTGATGGGAGGAGGTCTTGTCGCAGTTGAGATTGATGACTGCATCTGACGGACCTCGACTTCAGAAGAGATCATCTCCCATCCACTCAGCGACGGCGAGGACGATGGTGTTGATGACGACGAAGAAGACGGCGGAATCGCACGAAGCCGCGATGCATCATCGTTCTGAACCGAATTGGACACCTCCAAAGTGCTATTTAACTCTTCAGACAGTGGTCCTGCCACGGATGATTTCCGGACTCTTTTGTCCCCAGAGCCCCATTTTAACTGCACAGCATCATAGCCAGGGCACTGATACTCGCGAATAGTGCACTTGCGACATCGCGGTAATGTCCGATCACACTTGATGCGGCGCTTGATGCAGCGCCGGCAGTCTGTGATTCAGGTCAGATCCAGATGTTCCGCCTGATGCCAATCCACACGCGAATGTCGTGTGTTGATTGCCGACTTACCTCTCGCAGCTGTCTGCCGATCCGCGGGCAAAGAGGCGATGCGCACATTGAGCATCTTCTGAGTCTCTGGTGCGGTCGGGCAACCTACAGCGGGGGAAGGATGCTGTGCCAGGAGACATGACCTATGACGGTGGCCGGAGGGGAAGCTAAGATCCGCGACAGGGACTTCGCATCCTCGTTGAGAACCTTGTCTAGAGTGGTGGGATTCTCATTAAAGATTACAATTGTGTTGCCGAGAACTGACGGTCTCCTTTTGGAGGAATGAACGAGGATACCCGCTCAAGGGAAAAAATGAAAGTCTTCAAGATCGTGGGTGGAGACCTCTGTGTCCAATGAGTGTGCGAGATCATCTCTCTCCGTCGATCCGGTTCCCCACCGACCGACGTCGTTTGTTTATGCATGAAACATCAATATACTGTAGATTGACGGGTCATGGAATTGTGAGGGTTCTTGATCGGCCGCTCAGTGAGAATGGTGGGCTTCTCGTTGTCGGAGGTAGCAAGATTGAACACATCTCTGGTTGAAGATCAGGTCTGGTATGTGCATCTCGCCGCGATCGCGAGCGGTTTCGTGCCGATTGAACATCCGAGAATTATTTGAATGACGTCCTCTCCGGCTCGTTACATTCCCATTAACCTCGAAGATACTCGCGTACAGAGCCCGCCCATTTGCCTCCGCCTTTGTACGTAAACATCTCAGGGACACTCCCATGTTCCAGCCCATCAATGGCCTGCGCGAGAAGCTCTCCATTCCCTTCTGCTTTAATGTCCTGGATCGGGTAGATATAGGTATGAAAGCCAAAGACAATCGCCCCCGAAGCGGGTAGTCGATGAAGGGTTTGACGCTCGCAGCGTAGGTATGTCTAGCCGATAGGAATGGTGAGCAAACTGTCCACTTCATGAACCTTCGCAAGAAGTTCCAAAGGTCTTCCAAATGGTAGTGGTCAAACTTACCTTGTCCAGATTTAGCTCTTCAAGAGATATCTTCTGTAATGTTCCCTCAAAAGCAGGTTTGCTCTTGTCGAAATTTGAAAAGAGCTCCTCGTCAACCGTCACGCCCCAGTTGACTCGTTTCACGTATCGACCGGGCTCGAGTCGGGCAAAGAATCGATCCATGCTCTTTTGCAATTTCTGCTTGTATCCAGGTACCGGACCGTGGATATCAGCCAGCTTTTTGCCAATCTTCTCCCTCGGTTGGAACCCAGAGGGAAAGCAGGCTGCATAAGCTTCTAGGATGTAGATCTCCTCATCCGTACCCTCTTGTCTACGAGGAAAAAGAATGAAAAAGTCTTCGTCCACGTTCTCGGCAATCGTTTTCAGTGCATCCCGCAAGGGTGTTGAATTGGCAATGTGCATTGGAAAGACATTCCCCGTCACTTGATTCTTCAGGTGGGTATGAGTAGCCAGCTCCTTCCCGGCAACTTCAAAAAGTTTGGGGTACCGCTTCGGCAAGTAAGTTGCAAAAAGGTAGCTGTAAAGCTCTTGGACCGCTAGCCGAATTTTCATGTCCGTCTCGGATGTCACTCCAATGACATCAGTAGAATACTGCTGCAGTAGAGACTCACGCAGACATAGACGTTCTGCGTAGGTGTTGTCGAAGAGTATCAGATCGTTGCGATCTACAGTCTCAATACCTGTCGTCTCGGTGAGCATCCTGGGCAAAAATCCCGTCTTCGCCAGAGCGAGAAGGAAACTTACCCATAGTCAAGTGATACTTTGGCTTGAATGGGCGAAATACTGGTGGATCAATCGAGTTTAGGTTGAAATTGGGAGCAGGTATGATATCAGGAACAACTGTGCTCGCCTTTCGACTGTACTCTGAAGAGGCTGTGGCATTCCTGCTTGAGTCGCGATATCGCGCAATTGCAACCAAGACAAGAACGACGAATATTGCCCAGCCGACTAAGCGAGTAGATCCCACGTTCGAGCAATGCAGGTATGGCCATTCTTCACTTCCCCAGCTTTGTTTACAACATGCCAAACCTTTGATTAGCTCGAAGTTCATCTTTCGAGGAAACCTAGGTGGCTGTGAATCGCGGCGAGTTGCGGTCCGTCTTCAGGGGGAATTCGCCTTGGAGTCTTCTCCCTCTATCATTGATCTCGTGCGTTGAAGGACAGAGGCGCGTTCCAGAAAAGTAGACGCCGCATCTCTTGCACTTAAGTCACGGTGGCAAGCCACGGTCCGATGCCGGATAGGAACCAACCGCTCGGCTCGTGAAGGTTTCGCAGAAGAGTTTCCATGATCCAAAAATTCTGCTTCAGCATCAACTGAAGGAACACAAAATAAGTCACGTCTCGAGTTGTGTCGCTGAGAAGGTGCTCTTGATTGGCGGCGTGAGTCGAGAAGATGCCCTGCCTCCACAATTGGGGTCACTTTCTCTCGGGAATTACCCGTCTGGGTCTAGTGGACCATGATCGTGCGACTGTCTATGACTCTACGTGACATGGCCCGTTTAACTTGAACTCTTGTTTGCAGGCAATGTTCTTCCAACGATCAATTTATTCTCATGTTTTTTACACAATAAGATCCCGGAAGCCGAGAATGAGGCATCAAGCCTGCTGTTGATCTGAATATAACGCTCTCTCATCGTGATCAAAGTTTACAGCTCAAAGAGACGATCGATAAGTAACATTAAGGGTATAGCATTATCACTATCCATGCGTCTATGCGGACAGTCCATGATTCAGGAGGACGAATTGATGGACTTTACATACTAGGAGAGTCTATCGCTCCGTTCAGAGCCCTTTCCCAAACAACTCACCGCCGACTTCTTTAATCAGCGGTTCCTTTTGCAGGGCAGGAATTTGCGCCTTGGCAGATACGGTCTCGCGAACCCCCATCGCACGGCATAGATCAACCAGCGTTCCGTCGATCGGTGCCTCATAGATCAGCAGGCCAAGAGCAAAGAGCAGTCCATGCAAAGCTTCAGCGCTTTCATTTTCCTGCGAGATAGCCTCCAGCAGTGATGCGGTCAATTCAATTTGGTCTTCTTCCGACAGACGATCCGGCTTCCCGTCGAATCGAGCATTATGATTGAATGCGGCCAGGTTGTATGCAAATGAAGCCGCGACCACACGTAGATTCGAGTGAGAGTCCAGCAGTGAGTTGGTGGCTAATGCAAGGAGTGTTTCTCGTAAAATTGAGGTGGATGAGGTGAGTTGATCAGGGTATAGAGGCGTGCTGAACAAGTTGCAGATGAGTTGGAGGGAAACAATTCGAAGATTGTAGGGGGAGGCCGAGAGTCTGTCCTGAGAAAGAGGAGAGAAGAGTGTAACGAGTGTAGCGTGATTGGCCTCTTCAGCAAAGTAGCCGCTCACACGAGGATCGAGGAACAAGACGCGTACCAAGTCGACCACTGCAAAGAGACTCTCAGTCGGGAGCTCGGAATAGGTTGATTGCATTGTGCTGGCGAACGTATGCAGATCAGGAACTCGGACATCAGCTGGAGGAGGGTTGCCATGTGTACCGGCGTGGCGCTTTTTCACAAAGTCGATAATGGGCGCGACACCGACTGCATCCTTGAAATCCGATGGCAGCTTTTGAAGAAGCTTGTCCAGAGGAGGTGCCTTCTTGTACATGACGAAATTGGTGATGGTCCGTTGCAGACTCGGAAGTCGGAGATTGCGATGGGGATGTGTTGGGTATGCTTGCTCCAGAAGCATCCGCACATGGCCCTTGAGTTGAGCCGGACTTGCGCCGCTCCACTCGTCCTTTTTCTTACCCTTCAAAAAGGTCATGAAGGTGGGCGTAGCGTGTACGTTATACTTCATGCTCACGTCGTAGGCTGTGCTTATGTCCACTTTGATGAGACGGCCCTTTTCGCCCACCTCCTCCGCAAGGTCATCATAGGTTGGATAGACGATCCTGCAAGGCGCACACGTGGACGAAGTAAAGAAGATCACAGCACAGGAATTTGATGCAGCCTTCAATTCATCCTCCATTTGTGTGAGGTTACTGACGTTGCGGACGACGCCTGTAGGCGCTGGAGTCTTTGTTGCTACCGGCCCTGCTCTAGCCTCGGGCATAGCATCACCCAGCGCCGCCCTAGACCCAGAACCAATACCAGAGCCTTGGGTGACACCCTTCAGGGCCGCTTCAATCTGAGGCTTCATCATCTGGCCAAAGGGCGTCTCCAAGAACGTGCGAGGCAGATCCCTAATATGACCTGGTATACTTTTACCCACAAGAAACATGGCGAAATCTTGTGTAAAGTTATTGCAGTTATGGAGGAATAGATCGTATGACTGTTGCCAAGTTAGTCTGAACCATGAATCATTCCCATTGCAGGATGTGTGACACAAACCAACCTCTGGTGTATAGATGGCAGCTAGCGACTCCAGATACTCTTGGATCACGTCGACAGGAAGCTCAGTTTTGCCCATTGGCACTTTTTCCATCGGCTGTCCATGGTGCGTGCTACCTGGCCTGGCTGTCTGGATGCCTTGCCCGAAATAGTACTCGACTCCATCAACAACCAAGGAGGTGTGATAGATCGCATCGATCTGAGTGCCCGTCAAAGGTTGCGAGTACTGAAAACCAGCATTAACGATGAACATAAGAATTGCTCGACATTTTACCACAGGACACTCTCCGTGAGCAATCGCTTGAGCTTGTAAAACAACAGTGCATGTAACTCACCACGCGCGCAAGACCCTATCTACGAGTCAGCCAAATTCCCGGGGAAGCTTTGAACAGAAATATACTCACCTTGGAAAGGTCATAGACATAAAGCTCAACTTCCATCGTAAGATCAAGCTGTCTCAGATACTTTACACTTTCTGAAACTGCATGGAAGAAAAAAGTCGATCCTGTTGTCCTTCGGCGATTATTTGATCTCCGTTCAGATAGTCCAACACCACTCCAGGCACCAGGCGGGATCACGTCAGCACCGCCAGATCACCCGCCGGCCATTATTTCGGAGCTCTTCGATCACTTTCTTTGCAAGATATCCGACAAAGTGGCCCTGGAAGGTCAGATGGTATCAAGAGTGTACTATTTGGAAGCACAAGACTCAGACAGCCATTATAGATTTCAGGCGCCTAAATAGTCTCGCTTTCCTGATATCGCAAATGTCTCTGTTGCGTTCGCTTTGTGCTGTCCACGTGCGTATGGAGATGGGGAGTTCCCGCTCTCGACGACGTCATCTACCAGCGATGAGAATAGCTGGAAGGTGGGCTCAGAGACAAGTCAAGAGCTAGATCTTGCAGATCGAGTGTTCTCCAAAGAATATGTCCACTCCAGAACTACTTACCAATTCAGACCCTGGCTCTTGTGAAAGTACAATTATTTCGAACCATAGAGACCAGCTGCATTACCCTTTTGGGACTGGTCAATCCAGGCAGCCAATCAAGAGTCTCATTGACGATCTTGCTTCTCCACCAGCGATCGTGACTGTCGCTCTGTCCAGCTTCAACTATCCGCGCAGAAGATAAAGATCTCGGTTTACTTTCTTTCTCTGCGCAAGAGCTATGGTATGTCGAGTTTAATTCAGTCACAAATGAGGTCTAAGCACAAGAAAGGTCGACTGAAGACAGACTCGCGCAGCCGCCCAGGAGGCGCGGAGCTCCCGCCAGCTCCTCAATCGCCAACACCAACGCCGCCGCCGCCCCAAGGCGCTCGCGCTCGAAGATCGCCAAAGAGAATGACATATCTGCAGATGAGGAGAATGAGATAAAGGAGGTCTTCCAGATATTTGCTCAAACAAATGATGAGTTTCCATCTGAGAAGGAAGGCGTGATTCCGCGTGAAGATGTGCGCAAAGCAATGATGTAAGTGATACCCTTTTATCCTGTCGCATTGTGCTTCAAACAAGAGCTGTGGGATAGGTGTCACAACGTCCAAGTCAAATCAATTTCCAGTAGGGATCATGAGGCTGACTACCATTTCCTTGTCCGTCGTGAACAGCGCCCTCAACGTACCACCGTCGGACTCCTCCGAACTCGCCGATATCCTCTCCGCGGTTGACCCAACCTCCACGGGCTTTGTTCCCTATGGACCCTTTGTCTCCGTTGTCGCCGCAAAACTTCACGCTCAAGACGACGACGCACGAGATGCCGAGGTGGAAACCGCATATCAGCTCTTCACAAGAGGCTCGGATGGGCCCATATCCCTCAGTCATCTGCGACGCATCGCGCGCGAGCTGAAGGAGGACTCAGTGGATGACAACTTATTAAAGGACATGATCCTTGAGGCCAATGGAGGAGCAGGATTGACCTCTGGAGTGACACTCGAACAGTTTCAGGACGTCATGACCCGCGCTGGAGTTTTCAAGACGTAGGTAACCCAGGTGCAGCCTTGGTGGACGGACGACACAATATCTAGGAGTAAGACAACGATAGCTCAAGTCCTAGCACCCATCATCCCGAATACTTGCATCACGGAATTTCGGCTATGACCCATGCCCAGGGTTCGATGGCACGATGTGCTGGCGTGAACATGCGCATGATCAATTTCTGTAATGAACCTGCCAGATGGAGCTAATCCAGGCGTCGAGGGAAATGGTGAGCGATTGCAATCATCTCGTTGCGCACGTGCGACTTTTGGATCCTTGTTCATTCATTGTAAATTCCTTATCAATTACGACAGCCTTCCTCTGTTGGCCATTAGAAACACATCCAGAGCAATCCGAGTACTGTACATTTAGGTGATAGAAAGCAAGGGTGGGCGGAAGCACAGCTCAGGCGAACCGTGAAGCGAGATCAAATTGCGAAGACATAGTGCTTTGGCGCTGAGTCTCATTTAAAAATGCGAAAGAAAAACCTCATTAAAGACCCGTAACCGAAAGAGACATTTCTCCCCAAGCAGACCCAAGCAAAATACATTGAAAAAAAAATTGAAGAATCATGAAAAACAAAGGACGAGACAGCGATGAATCAGCCGGCGCGTGGACTTCACCACCCTTGCAGGGCGAGATCTTCGCTTGTTTCCATGGTGAGAGTGAAGCGGCGCGCAAGACCAAGGTCCAGACAACATGGCATTTACTTGAATACAGTCAGCATCATAATCGGTCACAAGACAAATACGGACGACTCACGGAGATCTCAGCCATGCCAGTGTCCTCGCCAGCGGCGACTGGGGCAGCCACACCATTGACGGGGGCGCTACTCTCGGCAGCTGTGCCGTCGTTGTTGAAATAGTCGACCATTTCGGCATCGAGCTCTTCAACGGTCTTGGGCTTGCCGCGGCCCGGGTTGCGACCACGGGCACCGCGGCCAGAGCCACGGGTTCCGCGGGCCTTGGGCTTGTTGGTGGCCGCCTTGGGGGCGGTCGCAGGCTTGGGCTGAGGCTTATGACTGCATATACTGTCAGAGGAAGATGTCAATGGAACAGCAGTATTCGGATCGAAACTCACGCGACACGATCAGCCAGGGACTTAGGAGGCACCACGGGAGGTGCGAAGGAGGCGTCGAAGACAACCTCAATCTAAGCGAAACGTCAGGGACTATTGAGACTTGTTAATGAATCGAGCTCAATCTCACCTTCATGGGGCGGCCGTCAACGTTCAGTCCGTTAAGCTCCTTGGCAGCCTTAGCGGCAGTGTCGGCCTTGTTGAAGATGATCGATGCGATGCCACGGCTGGTGCCATTCTGATTGTAGGTGAGCATGACCTTCTTCACGGGACCTGCAGACTTGGCAAAGTATTCCTATAGCGAGAACAGGAGGATCAGCAATTGTGCTCCGAAGTTCGAAGGCGCGAAGACGTGCATAAATGTCGAGTAGTCGAAATGAGATCAACGGTAATCGCGCAGGAAATGGGATGAAAACATCCGTGGTGAAGAGCATCAGCGAGCACACAGCATCCATGAAAGTCCAGATCGAGCCATTGCACTCGAGTAAGACACTCAATAGCAAGGCCAATTAACCTCATCTATCTCGTCATCGACACCCCTCCTCACTATCGAGCTCGTTCACGTTTCGGTCTTTGTCATCATGGCGACGATTTGCAGCGCCTCAAATCGTGCTCGGCTGTCCTGGACAATGACAGTATGTTCACAACCAAGTATCGTCCAAATTTCGCCAAAAAATGGAAGCTATGGGCACCACACCAAGCTTCTCTCGCACGGCGTGAAACCGAGGGTTGTTCGTCATTGCCTGAGCACCACTGAAAAGAGGCATCACCCTCCGAAGTAGTGCAAAAGGTCCAATGCGGTTTTCTCATGATAGTGGCTGCTCATCTTTAAAAATACTCGTCGCCGCCGCGTTCGCCCGTAGCTGTGCTCATGCGCTCGCTGATGCTCGTCTGAGAAAATCCAGCAGTAGCTGGTAAGAGAGACAAGAGATCTCAAGGTGGCATCAAATCATCCTTGGGATTTTGACTTCCGAGCCAAGGCTCAACTCCGAGGTTGTCAAGCAAGCAAATCATCCACAGTCAAGCAGACTCTTCACGAGCGAGTCATGATTCCCCACGAGACAAGAACAGAGCTCAACTCCCAGACTTCTGCAATGCCAGCCAGATGATCGTTTGTTACAGAAGTGGGAGGGAGGAGCGTCTGCGTCTGGGCTAGGAACCACCGAGTGGCCCATCGTGGAGTGTGTGCATAATGATAATGCCGCGAAAGCAATTCGACATGTTGGACAGCTCGAGTACTCGAAAAAAATATGGCGATCAAAGCCAAGGCGTAAGCCTGTAGCTCAACGTACCTTGATATTGGCCTCGGACACATCAGAAGGCTATCGATAGTGTTAGACCTGATTAAAATGGGACCAGAAGACGCAGGCGTATTTTACTCACAAGTCCGCTGACAATAATCTTGCTTGAAGGAGTGGGTGCGGTAGGCGTGGGGTGCACGACCTTGGCCGCAGCCTTGGGGGCCTTAGAGGCTTTCTTGACACCACCGACCGATGGCTTGGGGGCGGTCCGGCGACCAGCGCCACGACGACGGCGAGCAGACTGGCGGCGGCTGCCGACAAGGTCGTCAAGAGACTTGTCAAGATTGGCTGACATTGTGATGTGATCAAGTTCGAATGTGAGAGAAGCAAAGGCTGGCGTTTGCGATCACAAGCTAGCAAGTCGTGGGTGGAGCACGATGCAGGTAGCGATGGAGTGAGAGAAATGTAGAGGCTGGTAGTTTTGAGGGCTTTGCAAGAGCTGGGGAAGTTTTCCCTTGAACTAGTTGAAATTGTGACGTCTGGGAGATGGACAGACCGTGAGATGGTAAAGCAGATGAACTGAGATGAGGCGCGGCCTGGAGGGTGGAAAGAGCCAGGAGGCAGCAGTGTGCTAGTCCGCTTTTGGCCGGAGGCACCATCCGTGTTTTGCTTGTTTGCATCGATGTTGTTTGGGTTCGTGTTCCCTGTTGCCCAACAAGGCCTATTGTAGCCTGTATAAGTCACCCACGCGACCTACTCTCTTTGTTCGCTGTTCAGTATATTTGCCCCATGATTGACGTAGGCAAACATTGCCTATCGTGGTGATACTGTTTGGAATACTAATACTTTGGCAACTAACAACTTCCCAATACGGACACAAGTCGTCTGCCACGATTACGAAGTAGGCAATCGGAGACAATAGCACTTATCACGAACAAAGCAAAATTGAGTGAATAAGAGAGACGGCCTTATACTGGTTGGATATCAAGGTAGACGTCGATTACCAAGTAATTAATTTGTCAAATTCCATCTACGTAGGTACACACAGGCAAGTTATGGAGGACAACAAGTGATGATTGAGAGCTTTGATAGATGTTTATCGGGCTTGAGCCAGATTCATTGGCGCGCGATCTCAGAAAGATAGGATATAATAAACGCTCGGGCGTAATGAAACAGGAGCAGGTACGATCAATGACGCCATGACACTAGCTTTTCAGGGCTTCGAGTCGATCCCGCATTTGTGATAGAGTGGCTTCCTGGTCCTCGAATTCTTCCTCGGGTTCGGCGGCCACAGGGATCTCTTCTACAGGTTGTGTAACAGGGTTTGCAGGCGCTTGCGAAAGCTTCCCCTGCAGCACCTCCTGTAAAATCTTGTCCACCTCCTCTTCCGCCTCATCAAGCTCGTCCTCCATCAGCGAATCATCAGGCAGTGCCTCATCCACATATTCCTCAATAATCCCAGCTTTGACAAGTTCCGTGGAAAGTTGATGCATTGTAGACGTAAGTTCGGGCATGCGAACCAAAGTATTCACGTCCTTCATGATCGCAGTGGACTTCTGGAGGCTGCCTTGGATCTTTCGTACCTGAAAGGCCTCGTTGACTTGCATTCCCACACTCTGAAGCTGCGCTCGACTTGTCGACAAGCGATTCGTTTGCTTGCGAATGCGCACGAGTTCTCGGGCAAATGTCTTGGTCTCATTCAGCGCTTGTTTGGCTTGCGACGGGTTGCGTTGCGCGCGGCGGGAGGCATTGATGATATATTGACGTGTTTTGCTATCCAATGTTTTGAGTTGATTGAGATCACGATCGAGTTGTCGCGTGTTTTGACGAATGAGGGCGTTACATTTCCTCATCTGTGAATGGCCGGTTACTCCAGAGGTCAAATCCAGTACCTGGTGCGCAGAGATCGGCATGCTTGTGGCTTACCTGAGCCTGAGGGTCCGGCCCAAAGAACACTGCCTTGAGGGATTCCATGCTCCAGAACTGAGTCGCCAAATTCTTCAGCGAGGAAGCGCAAGATGTACCAACGCGCAAGAAGAGTAATTGCTCGCGAGACAGCCGCAGGTCAAGACAATTAGGAAAGTCGGATGATCGGGCAGAGGGCGGTGCGCATTCCACCAGACGAAATCAATGATTGGTCACTTGACTGTGTACTCCGTCACTTCTATGCTAGGACATCACCACCTCTAGCAGTTCAGGAAGTTGACACTGCCTTGACTGAACACATTCGTCTTCTGATGCCTGCGGCAAGCAAGAGGGCGGGGGTGGGGACCAAATGGATGCGGGCGAGCAGTCGGACGGGACGTATTTGCTTAGTCATGTCGGTGACGTCGGCCCTGGTTCAGCACGTTCAGCCTACTTACTGAGCCTGCCCAGGTACTAGACAATCTTAACTTTCAAGTAAGCGAACCACATGTGGTGTAACCGGCTCCAGCTGGCAGGATTTAGGCTGGGCACTGGTCCCGAGACAAGCAGCCCTCGCAAAGATGAGAGTAGTGTTCTCAAACAATTGCTTTAAAGAGAGAAACGGCGTACTTGAGTCGGGTTGTACTTTAGTAAATCCGCCGTATGTCCATGACTTACTGTCGCACAAATTGCGAGAGCGCGCATTGGAACCTTTCGGCCGTCCTGGTCGGTCCCGAGCTATATATACAGAGTCCCGACGATGCGAGCCGACTTCACGCTCAACATCTATTTCAGCCCTACAACCATTGTCAGACATCATCTTCATTAGGATATGTTGTCTTTGCTATGATGAGCCTCGGACCGGTATTGCACTTATTAAGGTAGCCTGATGCTTGGTGAGAAACACTCGGCTAGATAGGTAGTCTCATACAGTCGGGGGCCTCGAAGCAGACGCGAATTATCGCATATCTTATGGCAACGCAATGGAAGTTCATATGTGCTTAAAATGCAGTGACTTCCAAGTCTGTACTTGCATGAATTTGGAATCTAGCGGATATTTCGCAACACCTGCTTAGCTCACCTACTGAATTCCTAGAAAGCTTTCCCCGAGGAAGTGCTAAAAACTGGCTGTGCCTACCTGGCACTCAGCTTCTTTCTGCAATTCTGTCATTCCCATATACCGCCTGATTGCCACGATGGAGCATGTCAGTACACGATAGGACATTAATACACTCCCCAGGCGAGCTCGAGCTTAGGTTAAACCTCGTACGCTATGTAGTACCTCTAGTTGCCAGGTGGTACGCTAAAGGAAATAACACCAGTCCTGCAAAACCTGATAGGTGGGAATGGCCTCAATTCAATCAAGCTTACATAGCCGAAGAGTCGAGCAAGACGGGCCAGCTACCTCCAGTCAAGATGTCCGCGAAATCTTTGCGTTAGCCATGTATGTAGAATGTACTGCACACGATGTCACAGCATGAACGAGATCATCACCAGTGATATGGGAAGTAGAGTCACTGCCAGATAAAGCAGTCGAGATTCAGGTGAAAGTAGTCACATCTGTTTATGCACGAGGGCCGCGTCAGCCGAAAGTGAATTTCAGATAATCCTGAGTCATGTAGTCAGGAACATGCAGTGTTACCGACGGCCAGACCCTCTCATCCATGATAATCATGGGGTGTGAAATCCTGCAGTTATATTGTTGCATACCCTGCAACCTGTATTTCAACTCTGAGCGCCAGCCCTTTGAACATACAGCACTATATTTAACATCCTCCAAATATCGACTTCAGAAACGGATCTTCCTTCATCAATGCACTCACGTACCATCAAACCCGAAGGACATAGTTATCGCCAAAGACGGGAGCTATAAGCTTCTTCGAGGCCTATTTGCAGCCTCAGGCACCCGCGAAACAAACCAAGCAAACCACGGGGTTCCAGTACCTTCTAACAGCTGATCGCGGTACATTACGCCTGGACGAGCTTTCCTCTTTTGAACCTGAAGAAGTCCGAGTTTTTAGCTTTCTCTCATCTATCCTTGAGGATTGAAGCTTTTATCTGCCTTATAAATTACCAGTACGACCTATCAATCACCTGTTGTTCTTCATATACAGACATCATGTCCACCACTGTGCATCCTGAGGGTGAGTCTTGCTAGGATTCACTTCCCCGCTTTAGCCGCAAGATGGTGTCGCACATTTTTCCAGCTAGGCGGGATAGGACATTGCTGTCCTGGAAGGCGACCACTACGCGAATTGCTCAATCTACATTCGCATTGGACGAGTTTTACTGACGCGGCCATGTTCTCCATAATGCAGTCACATGGGCTCAACGCTCCTCCGATTCGGAGCCTGAGCGCAACTACCTCTACGTGAACCTCAAGACCCCCGACGTTCCTAAGGCTGATGCCAAGTTGAACATCACTCCCACCAATGTCTCTTTCACTGGCGCTTCCGGCAAGGGTGTTACATACTCTGTCTCCCTCGACCTTTACGGCGAGATCGACCCCGAGAACAGCAAGGTTCACCACACTGACCGTGAGGTTGAGCTCGTCCTCCGTAAGAAGGAGCTAAAGATGGAGTACTGGCCCCGTCTCTTGAAGGAGGCTAAGAAGGCTCACTTCCTGAAGACTGATTTTGATAAGGTGAGTCGCAACCCAACCCGGGGATAAGAGAAAGACAGCGCGCTGACATGGCACACAGTGGGTGGATGAGGACGAACAGGATGAGGCTGCTGAAGATGACTATGCCAACAACTTTGGTGGATTCGGTGGCGAGGAAGGTGGTGGTCTCAGCAATATCGACTTCTCCAAGCTCGGCGGTATGGGCGGTGCCGGTGGTATGCCCGACCTGAGTGCTCTTGCCGGTGCTGCGGGCGGCATGCCCGGTGCTGAGGGTGCTGAGGGTGATGAGGAAGATGTAAGCAACAATGTCTTTTTTTCTATCCTGGGCCGAATATCCCTTCGAGACTAACCGACTTCCGCTCTCTAGGACGACCTTCCCGAGCTCGAGGAGGCCGATGGCAAGTCTAAGATCCAGGAGGTCTCCTAAAAGTCTGAGCAATATATATACCTCTGCACGCAATCTACGACTACCGAGCATGCAAATTCCAGGTATTGCCGGTGCATTTGCAAGTTTGGACTTTCAATGCCCATTAGCCCTGACCTCGACGGCGCGCTTTGCTTTTGATTGCTCCTGGGGATAAAGCTACTTAACCCAATAGGATGGATTGGAAGTCAGATCAATGCAAATTTTTGAAACCGGCGTGAGTTTTGTAGAGTGGTCAAGACGATCCATTGATACCGTAATATTTGTCGCAAGTCTCACCTCTCTGTGGCATGGATCATGGCGCAGGTGGTCGAATAGTTGGCCTCAAGACAAGCAACATACACTAAACCGCCCAGCGGCGGGGAAGCCCGTCGCAAATCAAGCGATGACGCAAACTCGCCCGTACCAGGCGGGCTGTATGTTGTAAGAATCAACGCTGTACCAGTCGGAAGACATTGGTAGCCTCGAAAGAGAACCGATCTTCTAATTCTGAGGTTCACGTGGCTTCTGAACAAAACTTCCAGTTCACTTGGGCCAGCCTCGAAAACGTCCAAGTCAAAATTCTCGTTGCTGGTCTATACTTGGAGCGCTACGGGCGGCCATTGGCTGGTCAAAGATTGTGCCGCCACACTCATGCCCTCGAATTTGTGGAGGGCTTCATCCTGGAACTTCTACCTTCTCTTGCCCACACACTTGCACGGTCGCTCCCCTCACCTCTGTGCTTTAACAAAGACCCTTTCCTTCACCGGAAAAAGGGCTGTTTTACATTTCGCGGCTGCATTAGCGTTTCCATTACTCTCACATCGAGCACCATCCCCGCGACCGGGTGCATCTCACATTTTTATCCCACTCTCAGTCTATTCGGCGTGACCACCCACAACCGCCATCATGCCGCCCAAGAAGGCCGAGCAGCCTAAGAAGAAGAAGGCCACTGTCGATGACAAGGTGAGCCATTCGTTATTCCAAAGATCATTGCACCCCCAAGTGCGCCAGGCTAACCATTCATTTCTCGCACAGACTTTCGGCATGAAGAACGTACGTTAATTCCTGGGTCTCGTCACTCGTTCGCGGACTCGAAAATGTCCCAGCGTTTCCCCCTCCTCCCCTTGCGAACTCAGCTGATCCACATGCAGAAAAAAGGTGGTGCTGCTCAAAAACAAATCCAGCAGCTCCAAGCCATGGCGAAGTCCAACAAGGACCCCGACGCCAAGCGCAAAGAGGCTGAGAAGCTTAAGCGAGAAGCCGAGAAGAAGGCCGCCGAGCAGGCCAAGAAAGAAGCTGCTGAGCTTTTCAAGCCTGTCCAGGTTCAGAAAGTACCATTCGGAGTTGACCCGAAGACTGTGCTGTGTGTTTTCCACAAGAAGGGAGGATGCGACAAAGGCAAGAAGTGCAAGTTCAGCCACGACATGAACATTGAGCGCAAGGCTGCGAAAAAGGATCTCTATACCGATTCACGCGATGCGGAGGAAGGCGAGGACAAGAAGAAGGCGGATACCATGGACAACTGGGACGAAGAAAAGCTGCGCAGCGTCGTTCTCAGCAAGCATGGCAACCCACGAACGACGACTGACAAGGTTTGCAAGTACTTCATCGAAGCCGTCGAGAACCAGAAATACGGCTGGTTCTGGGTCTGTCCAAACGGAGGAGATAAGTGCATGTACAAGCACAGTTTGCCACCTGGGTGCGTTTCTGCCTTGATTTTTTTTTTAAATTCCTGCAAGGTGACTCGCCTGATATTAACGTTGATAATGTACAGATTCGTCCTCAAGACCAAGGAACAGAGGGCGGCTGAGAAGGCTTTGATGGACAAATCTCCATTGAACACACTTACTCTGGAAGACTGGCTCGAATCAGAGCGGCACAAGTTGACTGGTACTTTGACGCCAGTCACCCCAGAAAGTTTCGCCAAGTGGAAGACGGAGCGTCTCAGCAAGAAGGCTGCTGAGGAGCAAGCACAGAAGGCCAAGGAAGCTACTGGTCGTGCCATGTTCGAGAGCGGCGACTGGAAGGATGAGGAAAGCAGTGACGAGGAGGAAGACGATGATACCTGGAATCTGGACGCGCTCCGTGATGAGACCGAGCAGCTCAAAGAGCGGACCGAAGAGGAACGGGTGGCTAAGCTTACAGGAGTTGATGTTCCATCAGACGGTGGCGCCACCGTACAGCAGGCTGCTGGTTGAGCTTCAAATTCGCTTCTAACATGAGTCTCGTGTGAACTGGGTTTAAGTATCCAGACTTCTTGGTTGTCGCTATCAGAGCATACCAGCTCAGCTGGTCGTGCAAGAGGGGCATCTCGCGCCTCTTTATTGTTCGCACCGTGTATTGGCACGGAAGATTCGTCGCCTGTTGGTTGTGATTCACCTGTGAAAGTAACTTCCCAGGGATGCTCATTGCATTTCCTCGATCTCTTGTGGATCTCGGTGAAGTCTGACATGGATCCTCGAAAGTGAGATCACTTCGTGCCAAGCTGGGCGTTCGAGCACAAGAGACCCTCTATAGTTCATCGAATCACACGAAAAGAATAATGAATTAAGAGATACCGTTATGAAAGCTTACCTTTTGTCAATACCTGAAACCCAGAGTTCTTTTGCGCCTCGACGATAGTCGAATTATAACGGTGAGTAGAATAAAGGCTTCACCTTTCTTTTCCTGAGCTTTTCCTTTGCAAAGCGCCTAGGTCGATCCGATTTCCAACGACTGAGCCCCTGCCAAACACCAATCAGAAGGTCGAGGTCTACGAATATCGATGTAGGTCGCGTTTACCAATGGGTTTCCAGTAGACCAATGCCCAAGTGCTGTATAGACCAGGGGATTTCTCTGGCACGGTTGTCTTCACCACGGGCAGATGAAAAGATCAACAATATTAATCGGCCCCTTCCAGGACTCGACACAATAGGAAACGTCCTACACTCTGAGTTGGTGCGCACTGCGCATTCGGGAGCTTCTTGAATCACGCCCATGCAGAGAACTAAGAGTAACAGACTGGTCGCTGTGGCAGACCTGAATCATTCAACAGTTACCTTGACCTGATCCAGAAATCAGTCCGCTTGATTTCCAGATGAGGGCCCAGGTGCGCATGTGCCTTGCACATATGCATACTACGGGTTCGCTTCTCCCTGGATGTTATTGGCACGATCTTGCGTTGAATAGCCTGGATTGTCATGGATGGTCAATGCGACCTGATGGGACTGATTAATCTTCCTTCTCGAATGAGCCAGGTAGCGATACACCTCGGTTTAAGATTTTGAGTCTATGCTAGAGGTGTCCTTATACCCAACTGTGCGTAGGCTTGATAGGAAGATTCAAATCTGTTGATCACATTTAATCTAGACACTCAGTAGGCGCTTAGATTTGATTCACCTCGAAGTCTTCTATCACAGAAAAGACATATTTGGGCCTCAGTAGAGGGTATGGAAATGTAAGAATGAATGACTGGGGCAAGTTCATTGGTATTCCTGGAAAGAAATCCAGGGGCTCGCGGGCACTACCTACCAGAAGGTCCTGAAATCTCGTCTAAGGTTCCGTTGCTCGTCCTCCACAACCGGATTCAAAACACCCTACCAGTGAGGTGGCGTGGTCTTTGGAAGTCTCATCTTGACCCTGGCTCGCCAAGTAATGACGACTATCTCATAGGACTCGAGAGTTCATGTACTGTAGGGTGCTTAATGTAAAGAGATTGATATGCTCGCCCTAGCTACTAAGTACAAAGATCAATCCCTTTATCGAAAGCTTAATCATACATGCAAGGCAGGATCTAGCTTGCAAAACCTACAGTGGCCCACTTTGTATGGGCAGAAGTAATGCACGGACCAGCTACATAGTTAACAGGTGCCCTCAGAAAGATTTCTGGACAATTTAAGGGATGTATGCATGTTTCCCGCCCAAGAAGGGTCGGAGAGTATATGAAAGTGGTGTGATGGACGAAAGATTCCAAGAACATGAGAGCACGCTCTGAGCGCAAGTCGCGCCCCCGGAGGACCAGGCTTAAAGAAGTTACAGAGAAGGCTTGGTCCGAGCAGCTAGCAGTCCCTTCTCAAACATCAATGCAGTCGCGTCTTCAGCGACACCTCTCGATAATTCAAACCCTCGTCCCCCAGCGCCGTAGGCATGGACAATATTCTTCCCCGTCTCGAGGGTCTCCACCTCAATCCGCATCCCGCCTTCACGGGCGGGCCGCCGCCCCACGATGTCCTCGATCACATCAAATTGGCGGCCGCTTTCCGGGGTGAAGGGGAACCATTGGGCGGCGTTGGCAAGGAGTTGAGCCCTGGTCTCTGGGGAGGGATTGGGATCCCAATCGTGAGGCTGTTTGGTACCTCCAATGACGGTTCCACCGTCCAATGGGCGAGGAATACAAAACGACCACGATCCGTCCCTACCTTGGCGGGTGATCGTGGCAGAGACAGGATTGCGCACCAAGCATGTTTGACCTTTTTTTAATGTCAGCAATTGTATTTTCTTCTGAAATGGAAACGGAGGAGTGCAATCTTCAAGTAAAGCTTCGCTGTCTAATTCAAGAGCAAATACAACAGCGGACGTACCTCGGATTATAAAAGACTTAGGGTCGTCGAACCCAGATCCAGAGCAGTTCACCACTGTTTTCACATTGTCGGCGAGAGCAAATGCTTCTCTGATATTCATGAGAGTGTACTGCCGCGTAAAACCTCCCTTCAGTATGAATTTACGCAGCATATACGCACAATATACGGGCGAGTTGACCACGTATGTCCCATACGTGACCCCCCATTTCACGCCCGCGGGAAGCTCGTTCTGACTCAGATATCGAAAGTTGGGGAGGTGAGAGTAGACATTCCTGACGCTCTGGGCGTCCATATATTCAACTGGAGGTACCTCTAGGTGCTCAACACCCTGGAGCATCTGGATGCCAGCAGCAGGTTCGGTCACAGCAAGTGACCGGAGATGCTCGAACGTTCGTTTTGCCTGACCGGCTTCACGGAGGGCCTGCGGCGAGGAACCCGGCACCGGACGGTAATGCGCACCCGCCCACGGGGAGGCATAGTTGATCGAGCTGTTCCAGGGGAACTCTTTCGCCACAAGAAGAAGTGATTGCTGGCTTGTCAGATTTTCTTGAATGAGGAGGGCTGTTGAGAGACCAATGACACCGGCCCTTTGTCAACAGTCAGCCTTGACTTGCCTATCTCGAGCTGCGACCACTATGAGGGAGGCTTACCCCACCACGACGATCATCTCATGACCAGTCATCGTACTTGTGATTTTGTGAAGGGAGGTCCGTAGAGCTTTGGAACGGAATAAATTATGCTTGATTCCCCAAAACAGCCAGCCTTGGGACCTTGAAGAGCCGCAGCACGATATCTGAGTGCAGTTTAGATTCGGCGAGATTGGACCGATGCTCGGCGCGATACCAAATCCCCGCAATCAAATGGCGATTGCGCCTTGGCAGCCATTGTCGAAAAGCCTCCGGTATAGGCCAAGATCAGAAGGACTGAGTAACTTCCTCAACAATAGTGGAACAGCTTCGACCTGAGACGATCACGGCCGATTATCACCAAAGAGCTTCGGGGCATCCAGTGACCAGAAAGTATATGCGCTCGAAAAGCGTTAGACGCTGCAATTATGAGTGTCTCTGCAGCGAGCACCGCCATTCCACCTGCTATTCGGACTTCTCTTTGCTCAACGGCGCAAGCTCATCAGCCGCGCAAAAGAGAGACCGAGTCTCGGCGGCTTTGCCTCTTCGTCGGCTGACAGTCTTGAGTCGATGTCTTGCCTTATGTCTTGGATGGTCCATTGACCTAATACCACGCTGCGGGCAAAGCTTCCCGACCTTGGTGTGACATGTTGATGCTCGGCTGTCGGCTTTTACATCAGCCTCGTTCTAAATGTTCTAAATCCCACTATCATCACCCACTAGACTGTAGCGGTCGCGGGAAAATCAAGATTCCCCCGAAATAAATTCAGTTCCAGACCGATGCCATGCATGTGTGACAAGGCATTATCATAGACGTACGCATTATCAGGGATATATACAAGTATGCTGCCCCTCCCTTCTAATTCGTGGGGCAAGAAGTGCAAATTGTAGTATACTATGATATCTACCGATTATATCAATATTCTCAACTCTATATACGGGGGAGACCCCCGTAGACCCCCATTAACGTAAGTCAAATCGTATGTCTATTAACGTAAGTTAATATTACAGGCACGAGTCACGTGATAAGTCATCCGAGAGACGAGGTAGTTGGACCACGTGACACGAGCGGAGTTCAGGGCTAATCACGTGATCGAGAGAGGAGCAAACATCTGAAATATATCACGTGATGTAACTTTGGGGGGCGGTCAATTCTGCCACAGCCAGCCAATCAGAGCACAGGAATAAAATTCCAAGCACTTACATGAGAAGCAACTTCTCGTTCCACTCCAATTTGCAATGAGTTGGTCATGTGAGTTGGAGCTGTGGGTGATGGGTGCCCCAAAGCGATATGCCTCCAGACACTAGGAGTGCAACCAGGATGCTGTACCAGTATGCCGAGGTTGTGTATCCTCACATTTCATGGCTAAATCCCAACATTGGAACCGATATTGCGACTTTTTTATGGCTGCCACAGCTTGCATGACAATGAAGTAGACGCGATAGGTAACTTATGACATATTGGCGAATCATTCCTTCAATTATTTGCGGTAGTTTTCCACCGTTTCTTTGATATCTGCCGCGACTAATCCATTATATCGAATACATTCATAGAATCGACTATCGATAGTCCGGCGTCAGGTGTCAGGCGACCGTATCAACACCACGTGCCTGGAGTCTTCTTTCCCGTTTCCCCTAAGCTTTGCACCCTTCGTTCCTCTCCGAAGCGTCCTTCGAGTCAGTCAACGCAGGAGTTGATGCTATGGGGGCAGTACCGTGATGACATTGAGCATTTGAGCAACTTGATTGGCTTTTTCTAGATTGCTATGGGCGCCAAAAGGACTGCGCTCTACGGGAGCTGATTGGCGGCTAGAAAGTGATGAAAGCTGCAGATTGACACTTCGACACGCCTGCACGGATCCTCCATCACATCCTTGTCTTTGCCCCTACCGATTTCTGACGCGGAGCGAGTACGTTCTCGCGAGCTATATTGACCTTCGTCGAGAGCTCCACCGCGACCGAGGGAGCGTACTGATCTAATGAATTAGATGAACATCAGCCATCAACCGATCATGATGCACACGAAGAATGCCCGTTCGTGACCAGAGCATTCAGAAGTCAGACATCTACATAGTGCTCCTGCACGGAGTACCTCAAGTGTGGATCGACATCTCAACCTTTCTCCAGGTCCCAAATGCGCCCGTCCTCCAGCGCAGACCCACCCTGAAGTGATCTTGCCTTCCCGTTCTGTGATTCGGGAGCTTCTTGCATGAATCTAAAACTGGTAATGCCCTCGACGGCAAACAGTTCTGCACGCTCGTTGGTGCAGCTCTGCGCAGCCAGAAGCACGTCTGCTCCAGCCACCATGGGGGCTCGATCTCACCGTCTCTGCTAATGGTATGATGTTATCCAGGTCTTACAGGCGGGCGTGCTAAGAGCACCGAGGCGGTGGAGTACATGTTCATGAGCTCCAGGAAACTGTATGGTCCAATGTGAAATGAAGCGCCCTGCTGCATGGGGAGACTGCTGCTTCGGCGCGGTCGCCGATTGCACCCTGTCTCGAAATTCCGATCGTCTGCCCGAGCTCGTCTCGTGTATGGAGGACCTTCGCGATGCACTCTTTGGACCAGACGTCCACTAAACCCATCTCTACTTCTGTCCTACCAGAGTGAAGCGAAAGCTCCCGTCCCTCAGCCTAGAAGGCGAAAAGGGGGCTTGTCTCCTCATACATATAGATCGCATCGACATGTAAATGTACTTTGTGAGCTTCGAGGGTCTTTTCGCTCGTGGTTCCTTCAATCCTTGCTCGACCACGGTCACAACTGGAACCCTGCTCCCCGCCCTGCCACAACACTCAAGCCCCTCCACCACGCTAAGATTTTGGGATGTGATGAACGTGGATAAGCCAGGCCACTTCGCACAAAATTCGCAGATCCCTGTCTCTTAGCAGTGCTGTCCGATATTCCTGTGCGTCGCCCTGTCAATAGAATCACGGTACACTGTACATTGCACAGGGTTCTTCCGATCGGCCTGCGATCACATCTGCAACGACCTCGTCAACTCGCATACATACAGCCCGGTCCGTCACTCGGGATTCGAAGTCACAATTATAAACTTGCATCTGCAGTGCGTTGTTACGACACGCCAGCCACACTGCATAATTCTTCCTGGCCTAGCCGGCCGCCAGGCACTAAGTTCCGGACTTTGGCTCACTCCATTGCCTGGCGCTACAATTTCGAAGCACATTCGACTGTCTTGAGCGGTAACTCGTCAAACGTCTCGTACTTACGAGCAGTCCTAGTCCTTCACTGGGTCGTGTCAAGTCTGGTCAGTGGCTTACCCTGTCTTCTCTACTGTCTGCACTTTTGCTTTCCTTTATTTTCATCTTGCTCAAGGCCCTATTCCCGTGCCAATTTGCTTCGTATGACCACCAGTGCCGAGGCATAGAAGGTCTTGATGCGCAGCGGCTGCAAGCAGGCGATGTGAAAGATTGATGGTCTTGGCCATTCGTTTCAACGGAGAGTTTCCAGCATCACTTCGTGGGGTCGAAAATATTGGCCTGAAAAATGCCAGCTAACGTGATGTGGAGTAGTGGAGGTAGGGCCCCAGACTCACGGTCTTTCAAGAGCATAGAAGCAATGGCCTCGCAGTCGCAGCAACCCGTGCCTCGCTTCGAGCCCTGTGCCTCCACGGCCTCGCTATTCCTCTACGCACAAGGTCCAGTCATCACATGTCTACATCATGACACACTGGCAGTAGAGCGCCGCTTTACGAGCCATCAGGAAAATATCGACTTCATATCAGTCGATATTGTCAGCGAGCGTGGAGCGGGCAGACTGGTGGTCAGTTACGACGTAGGCCAGACTGCGATCGTTTGGGACATTTTTACCGGCACGGAAATCGCACGTTTTGCCTCATTTGAACACTTGAGAGTTGCTTCGTGGATGCGCAATGGTCATGTAGCTTTTGGTGCGTACAACTAGCACCTATTCAATCTAATCTGTTCCATGCGCTGAACTGACCGCGTGTTTCAAACCAGGTAACGGCAAGGGCGAGGTCATCCTCTTTGAGCCGCCTACATCAGAGCATGTCTCAGCGCGCACAATTTTTGACCCGATCACGTCCCTCGCACCGGCGACAGATTGCCGGACCTATGCAATTGGGTAGGTCGAGCTGTGATGGCAATTCTTCCTAACAATAACTCGGAATTGACAATACCAATAGATATCAGAACGGATCGATTTTAATTGCGAATCTTCTACCTCAGTTCACAATACTGCACACACTGACCACGTCTAGTGGGCCATCACCAATCATATCATTAGCATGGCACGCGTCGTCCTCGAAGCAGAAGTCGGATATGTTGGCGACACAGGCTTCAAATGGTGATCTACGAGTTTGGAGTGTTGCAAAGCCACCTGGGAAAGAGGCACCGAGAGTCATTCGCGTTCTTAAAAGGTCCGACTCGACCTCTTCAGACCCCAAGTGGATGGCTTGGTCGAAGAATGGCAAGATTGTGCAGTATTTAGAAGGGTTGGTTTCTCGAGACAGCGAATCTTCTTCGATCACCACTGATTTCACGTATCTAGGGAAACGTGGTCTTGGGATGTTCGAACCAAACATGTGACATACGAGCCGATCCCCACAGTTCCAGGCGTTCGGGGAATGGCGAGTTACGGGCCAACAGCGACATTATTCACAGTCGGTCCCCAGGATACTGTACAGCAGTACGATTTAGACGCTCCAGCTCTTGTGGCAAATGTTCAACATCATGCGATCACTTCCAGAACAGCAGCATCAGAAGGAGGAAGGTCCCGGACGATATCTCCACGCCGTCTCCATCCACCACCGGAAATTCGTGAGCGAGGGAATGGAAGACGAACTCCCTTCGATACCAATGGGATCGAGAGCGCGAAGCAAGCGCGTGCGGACTTGACTAGCCCAGCATCCTCCCGAAGTCGCACGGAATCTGTGAGCTCAAAAGCTTCATCTGGAAAATACAAGATGGATCGACCCTTCTCACCCCCGAGCCGTTCTGCTCAAAGTGGAACTTCGTTCTCGATGAGTGGACGAGATACACCGCAGCCCTCGGCATCGTACGCTTACGCATCGTCCATTTCAATGTCTTCGGCAAAAAGCTCCCGAGCCGGGTCGCGGCTACGCAATGAAGTGCACATGAGCCCAGCTGAAAGGAATATAGTAGATCTTTTCCCTTTCACGCGAGCGAGGTTGAACGACGTTCCTTATAAACAGACACCACCGCTGGACGAGGCCCGACTTACTCCCGACGATTTGCGGCGGCAAATGCTAAGCGTAGTATTTGGGTGGGATGGCGACATTGACGATCTACTGAGGGATGAGTGTGAGTCTGCTATCGACGCGTAGATTTACAAGATGAGTTATTAACACGCTTTTAGTGAGTCGTCATAAGGATGGGAGTCAAAGCGCAATCTTATTAACCCGATGGTTAAATGAAAACAACGCAGAACTTCTGGCAGACATGCTCGGGCCTGGCCAAGTTACAATGGCGGACTGGATGATATTGGCTTTGAGTCAAATGAGCGGACAAACGCAAGCGAACAAGGCCGGGCAGGCATTCGTTCAAAAGTTGCTGGAGATTGGAGACATTCACACCGCGGCCTCGGTGCTCTTGGCTATGGGAGACAGCAACGACGCCATCGAGGTTTACGTTTCTCAGAACCACTTCATGGAGGCTATTCTCATGACGTGTCTTCTGATGCCCACCGATTGGCAGCGACAGTCATACCTCGTACGTCGTTGGGGAGAATTCGTCGTCTCTCATTCACAGCAGCAGTTGGCTATCCGTTGCTTCATGTGCACAGGTGCCGAACCCACAGAGCCTTGGACGTCGCCAGCTGCCCAGCAGGCTGCCTCATTTGCAGATATAATGCGAGGGAAATCTCCATTGATCTCGCCCGAACCCATACAGCCGCTTGGCCCAAGTCTCATGCCGCCCCCGAGTCGTCCTAAATCCGGTGCAAGTCAACGTCCTGCCGGAAAAACACCCGCATTGAAACTGATCACATCGTTTGATCATCAGCCGAATCAAAAGTTTAGATTCCCCGGGCTCAAATCGGATGATCGGACGCCCACAAATGCCCCAGGTGTTACCCCGATCGCAGAATCTGCAGTGGCTGATTCAGCTTTGTCTCCTGGTGGGTTTGGGTCTTACAAGCTCAACAATATCCAAAGTCTGAGCCAGGCCATGGCTTCTCGCACCAACACCCCAGCGTTCAATCGCCGGCGGCTGCCCTCCATTGGTGAGACGCCGGTCGATGTGCACCCTCCGACTTTTTCTCGCTCGCGCTCGTACAACACTAGCAACTACGGCTCAACTTCGGAGAACGACGACACGAGCGCACACGAGCATAGCCAGGACGAGCAGGCTGGCGACATTAATTTGCTGACGCTATCTTCTGCGAGGTACAACCCTACACAGGAGAGTCAATCCATGAAACCCAGTCCTCAAACGGCCGTTCAAGCGCCAGAGCCATTTGCTGCTTTGAAGGGATTACCATCTCCAGCTCCAGGCTTTATTGAAGCTCTCCGGGAGCACTCTGACCTTCGCAATGGATCCAGAGACCGCAAACCGAACGGCCTGCAGATCGATTTGGTCCAGACCGAAGAGGCCTCGCTTGACTCACAAGGGCTTCTGGCCAGCGGCAAAAGCACGACTTCGACATTTAACAGCTATGCTTCAGCCAAAAGTCCAAGTGTGAGTGGACGAAGCATTGATCAATACATCAGCAGTCTTGACGAAGCAAATTACCACGCTCGAAAGCAAAGTGGTCGTCGCACACCCGGCCAAGGTAGACGAAACGCGGAAGACACCAGTAGCCAACAGGGCTCGCGGTCACATCACGCTCGTGATGTGTCACAGGAGATTCGTGGTCGAAATGAAAGAAGGTACATCCAGCCTGCTAAAAGATCGCCGTCCTCGCCGGTGCCGATGTCGCCTGAAGAACTGGCTCGATACCACACTGAATCGGAGAAGCCCCGGGATTCTCAAAGGAAGAGTTCATCTCGCGTCAGAAGTCGAAGCAAGATGAGAAAGGCTGGTTCTCGCAGTCGTCAGCGCTCCTCTAGTCGGCATACTGCCAGTCGCTTGGGAGGTGACAGGCAAGAGGTCTCATCTCGCGGTCGAAGCGTCGACCGCAATGGGTCCGGTATGCGATCACCCTCATCCCCGCTCCCCATGGCGTTACCTCAACAGGATGCTGTCACGGCTGACGGTCAAGATGACCCTCTGCGTCTTGTTTCTGGAGACCGTCAACGTCTTCGCTCACGCCACCGAAGTGCCAGTCGTCGTCGAACAGAGAGAGGTGCCAGCGCTCAAAGAGACGAGTCCCTGGAGCCGCGGCACAGGCCATCACAAAGTGTTCCCGAAGTTCCACGGAACCTAGAACTTGAGGTCCGTCAACAAGAGACTGAGCTAGAGCAGTTGAGTGCCAAAGTTTTTGGACAAGAGAATCACTTCGCGAACGGCAGCACGCAAAGGACGAATCCAGCATCTGATGATGCAGAGGAGGTGGTTTCACCGACAACCCCGTATGTCAGCCTGGCCGAGCGTAAGAGGAGAGAATTGGCCGCTGCCGAACTTGAAGCTCGTCGTCTGTCTCTTGCTCGTAATCCATCGGCCCCGAATATTCCTTTCCCGGGGGATTTGCACAATGCGAGAAGTCCACTCGAAAGCCCACCAATGATGTCTGGGTCCTACTTCCCTCGGGCGCCATCACGAAACAAAGGAAGTGCCATCAAGACATCTCCCGGTTACCATAGTGGCTCCGACTCTAGTTCATCACGATCAGGCGCACCATTGGGACTGCCAGCGACGCCAAGAGCGATGAGGCATCCCAAGTATGGGGTAAATGGTCATGAAGTGGAACGTCCTCCTTCGGTGCCCACGATTCCATCAGACTATTCAAACGGACCTCTTCTTTCCGATGCCCGTTACCAAGGTGAAGCTGAGAGGATCGGACGATCCATGTCTGTTCCCGCCGTACAGGCCGGACCTGCCGCCGCATCTCCTCCTGTTTCTCCCGAGATTCCTATGCATCCCAGGTTTAATCCACATCTTCCTCGTAGCCGCTCGAGTAGCCGGAGCCGAAATATGAGCCACCGCCGAACGAGCTCTGGTGGCGGATATGTCTCGGGTACCTCTCAGCCAGTCACTATAAGTATTGAGGAGACTATCGACGCCTCTATGCAGCGAAGGCCCTCTGGAGTCCAGATCGAACTGATCCCGCCTCCACCACCACCGCCCATTCTCCCCGAACTCCAGCACCTCAATACTCCACCACCTCCTCCTCCCATTCCATCGTCGACAAATCCAGTCTCGCCACGCGAATCCTCCGCAACGATCGACGTTGCCATTGACCATGTCAACATCGGCCGCTTGCTTCCTCGTGCCATGACTGCGGCCCCGGCATTGAGCGGGCCTGAGAATCGCCAAAATAATGGCCAGCAGCGGATGTCATTTGAACACCGCCGAAACCGAAGCTCAAATGAGAGCTTCGCAAACAAGTTACGCAGCCTGACTCGTATGCGCAGCAATAGTCGCAGTGTCGAGCCGTGGGGCAACACCGAGGCCGAATGGCCCTACGACGACGAGCCTTTGACCAATGGGCACGGCAATGGGCTTGAGTCCCGGCCGTTCTGATAGCAAATTTTATTGCTCATGGGAGATCCAATTTTGCCATGAAACTGCATATCCGCGCCTTTCACTTTCTGTGTTTTCTGGCATTAATCATTCCTTACTTCAGTTGGGTCCGATACCTTTGTTTGCTGGTGTTTCAGCGAATCTTTACTCAGTCTACTTGCCCGTTTTTGAGCTACGCATATGTGGTTCCTAACTTGATGTTTTTTTCCCTTTGTCTGCTAGCACTGTGATACCGTTTGTGTTTTTATCTACTTTGGTGGTATCACCAGATTCCTTGCTTCGTCTCAACAGCTGTGTCCTCTCTTCTCATATATGAATTTTCAAAGTTGTTGTTACTCCGGTTTTTGGAATGACCTGAAGACTTGTCAAGGACGGGAAGAGACCTTTCCTTGCAAGTGTCAAGATTTGGAGGTTGTTTATTGACTACTAAAGACAACTGCCTGCAAGGGCCCAATGGATACCATATGCTGGATCTTTTCACAGGAATTATTCGTAGTGTAAGTACTGATGATGCATACAAATCGGAAAGTAACATTATAATACAAGAGAGAGGTGTAACGATCTGGAATTCAAAGCTCTACCACCCTCGGCCCTGAGAGGACTCACTGGAAGCTCGCCTTTCTGCCTCCAGTAACCGGTCAAACTCAGCTTGAGCCTGGTTCTGCTCTCGCTCCTTGTTGGCATAGTACATGTCAGTTTCGCTCCCCGAGGTGTATGTCGATGTCTCGGGGGAGGTTTTTGGTTGGCCCCACTGTTGAGGTGGAGGAGTTCGTGATGGCTGGCTCCCAGTCTGTCGACGAAGACGATCCCATGCACTACCGGAACGCGAGCCATCGGGGTTCGTGTTCCGGTATTCAGGTGCAGTGGGGCTTGCATCGTCACTTGGGCCACCGAGGAAGTAATCTGTACTTGTGGAAGGCTCGGCAGTTGACCCGGTTGAAGGAACTGCTTGACTGCCAGAGCCCCAGGCTGGCCTGCGGGGTGTTGTGGGACTAGGTCGTTGTTGATCGGTTTGTGTCGAGGATTCGGGAGTTCCGTAGGGGATCTCCTCATCAGAGGTTGAGGTGGGAGAGCTATCATAGGCGTACGAGTCGGTATCGCTCCTTTCGATATGCGCGCCCGGTTGTCGCAATTCCTGAACAATGTACGGTTCAATATCTTGCTCCCCGCTGCGCATGGCACGAACACGTTCACTAGCCGCTTTGATCTTGCGCTGCCGGACATCCTCGGGCTTTTGACCTCTCATGTCCTCCACAAACCCTCTCAGCCGAGGATCCTGCACAACACCCTGCGTCTCTGTCCAAAGCGCAATAAATCCAGACATGATCGCACCGCTCGTAGTAAGGAAGAGCATCTTGAAGGCCGACGCTCCCATCATGGATCGGAATCCAGCCTTGTCGACCTTGGCGAGATTGCGCAGCGAGGTGAACACCTTTGCCGGGCTGGTATTCGACGGGAGATTCAAATCCTTCCGTGTCTTGTTGTAGAGATAGGCTGTGCCGAGGAATGAGGCAATGGGCACACCCATGCGACGGTAGTACAGTGTCCGCGTTGAATAAGCCGTGAACGCGTCCAGCTCGTCCTGTGTGAGCACACGGCCCGTGAGAAGCCAGCTGTTCTCGACCCGCTCCATCATCGTATATGCGACCAGTTTCTCCCAGTTTCTCCGCCCGAGGAAGCCAAAGGCCATTGTGAAATAGTCCGGTCTGACCACGAAGTCTGATTTCAATCGCAGTGTGAAGTTCCTGGCCATCGCGGGGTTCGGTCCAAGCGATGGAGTCTCTTGAGGACTAGCTCGCGAGCTCGGAGCCGGGTAGGAACCTGCCTGCGGCGAGGCATCATCAAGCGCCATGACAAAGTGGTCTTGAGGTCGTTGGATTCGCAAGGAAGTTGGCTGTGTTGAGGGCTCGTGTACTGACCGGACCTTGACTGAGAGATCTGGGGGAGCTTTATCGGCATGACGTTATGCGCCGATCCGATGATCACATGACAGTATATGTGCCGCATCGAGATGGGCGCGAAAGAGGTTCAAAAGCAACACAACAGAATTGGAAGTTAACATATTATGATTTCCAGGTAAATACTTGGCTGGCTATGGGTTATACCTGACATCTTGTTGCGTTCCGAGAATTGAAAACAGCTACCTACGTATGAAGATGTACCGCTCCGTGTGGATATCGCCCCCATGTACACAGCTGGTTCTCCTTTAAACCCCTTCAAATCTACCACTTTTCGAGATAAGGTCGGAGATCCAACTCAAACGCAAACGTAGTCCGCGGCTGAGTATGCAGATACCAGTACGAGTCCGCAATCTATGATCTGGGATCAGTACATCGCATAATTTGAAAACGCCAGTGCACATTGACATGAGGCCATGGCTGAACTCACCGCGTCGGGACTCAACTTCGAGTCTTCACCAGGCACAACCCACTGCTTTGTTCGGGGGATATCGATGACCCCATCGATGATTGTATGTGAGACATGTACGCCTTGAGGACCGAATTCACGAGCCAGAGACTGAGCCAGGGCACGTAGAGCGAACTTGCCGCTGGCAAAGGCGGCGAAATTGGCTGAGCCCTTTACACTGGCCGTGGCGCCTGTGAAGATGAGGGTTGGGGGGTAGGCAACAGAGTCCTTGGCTTTCAAGAGAAGAGGTAAAGCGCGCTGTGCAAAATAGAATGCACCTTTTCTATTGGAATGATCAAGTCAATGTTCAGCGATCAAAAGGGTCGATGGTTGGATGGAGAGAACGATTGACAACTTACGCTTGGGAATCGATCGCAGATGAGTATTCCTCCTCTGTGAGTTCAAGGAAAGGCTTTCTCACGAAGCCTCCAGCCGGGTTGAAGATCGAAGCAGCCACCGGATAGTCTGGGAATTTCTTTGCAATCTCGTCAAATGCCGAATTGACGCTTTTCGCGTCGGAAACATCTGTGCTGATACCCAGAGCATGGCCGCCGCTTTCGTTGATCTCTTGGACAAGTGGCTCAAAGTTGCTCGGGTTGCGCGATAGGAGGACTACTGAATAGACCTTGCCAAAACGCCGAGCAATCGAGGCTCCCTACGGGTATGATCAGCTTATTGCCGAAGATGAGGCTGAAAGACGATGGGCATGGATTACCGTGCCGGGACCAACTCCAGCAATGATTGCGAGTCCTTTGGAGGCCATGATTAATGCTGGTACTGAGGTGCAACAGCGAAGATACTGTAATATTGGTTGTTTAAAATGATAAGTTGGAAATCCGTCAGATCTGAATTTGGACCAAAGCTTTTATACTCGGACGAGTGAGCACCTTTGGGATCCCGTTATCGCCGACGCTTAGAAATGCTGCGGGGATTCACCATCAAGCCTTCGGATGATATCATCTTCACCGAGCGAACCTTGTGTGGCTGTTGGACATGTACACTGATCTTGTCGCTGGACAAATTTGATTGCCAGAAGCGCGTGAGCTGCAAGCTAGTACTTTACATGAAGGATACTATTCATACGTTTTCGAATTGACATTCCATGTTCTCTGCAATCTTCAAGTGTATTGTAGTTCATCTATTCATCTCCAACAATTGAATGGAGCTTGTTCTGATTAGAGTTGGGGTAATTGCCGCCTTAGGCCACTATCGATAAAGCCGCGCCGTAAATTTCCATGGGCCGTCTTCTGCTTCTATTCCGTCAGAGTCGCATCCTCCAGAGTTACATTAGCTTGCAGACATTCGAAAACAATGGACAATTCAGATCCACTCCTCAGTGAGCTCTGCTCAATCTGGTGAGTTTCCATTCAGAAAACCATACATAAAAACTGCAATGACCGGGTTAACTCAGCATTGAATTCCAACGATAGTCACGTCAATCCCCCGAAATACCGCTGTCCACGCTGCGCAACACGAACCTGCTCCCTCCCCTGTTCCCGCCGTCACAAGCTCTGGTCCCAATGTTCAGGTGTCCGAGATCCAGCCGCATACTTGAAGCGAAGCGAGCTAGCCAGCGAAGCGGCCTTTGATCGCGATTTCAACTTCATCACGGGCATTGAGCGGACGTTGGAGCGCGCAGAGCGAGACGCAGAGAATCGAGGCATTGATCTCACTCGTGAACCTGTGGGGAACGAGGAAGATGATATCCCCAATGATGCAGCTACGGATCCTGTGGGCGCGGGTCGCAAGAGGAAACATCCTACGCAAGGTCTGGTGAAAGGTGAAGCTGGGTTTTTGCGAGGCGCAGAGGCTGGTGCAGTGAGGGTATTGAGGGCGCCGAGGGGAATGTCGAGGAATACGCAGAATACGTCGCGATGGCATCCAAAGTACGTCTTGCTTTCATAGGAGGAGGAACGGGGTTTCTCTTGTTGTAGGTTGCGGGGTTGACCTGTGCTACTGAGCTGACCGGTTCTCTTTTGTTTTCTAGGCACAAGTGTCTCAGCTGGACGGTGGAATGGGTGTCTGCGACAGGCGACAAGACCGTTCGCAATGCGCTGGAGACGTATCAGGTCTCCGACGCCTATGACCGCGCTTTCCCTCCTCCAAAAGAAGCGAGAGCTCATACAGATGGGAAGAAAGACGACGTTGTACCTGGGAACGAAAGATCCGCTGAGCAAACGTCTTCCGAAGCGAATAATCCGGATCATGAGTCCGCAGATACGAAAAGTCAGGCCGCTGCTTCGGAGTCGGCAGGAGAGAAAGGTGCTACACCACTTATTGATCCCCATCGCAATCTCTACTTCTACCTACACCGCCCGAGGACGTCGACGAAGAAGCCGGTCATTGTTCCCCTGCCGCCCTCCGAAACTTTGCACACGGTACTTCGGGATCGAACGGTCCTTGAGTTTCCCACAATCTACGTCTTGACTGATTCTGCAGAGACGATTCGGGAATCCAAGGAGACGTATCCATTCATTCTGGAAGAGGAATACTTACACTCGGCGCCTCAGGAGACGAGGGACGAGACTACGGAGTCTGATCAGGACGAGCCAGCAGTGCCGGCGGGAACAAGCCAAGGCACTCTTGGCGTCAATATAGAGAACGTGGACGAAAAGACCGTGATGGAGGTGCTTAAACAGGACTTGTTTGAAAATATCCCATGATCAAATGGGAACACAACAAACGTTGAGTTTGGTGAGCTACGTCAATATTATAACATGAATACTATATACCCGGTTGCAAATAGTCACTTACTCTTCGAGAGCGGCATCTCACCCGTGCCACGAAGGGAAGAGGTTGGCTTTGCCTCTAATAGCCCACTTACTTCTTCGATCCTATTTCGGAGTTTCTAAGGGAATCAAGCGAGACAACTAGACATGACACTCGCTGTTAGTCACGAGCAAATCAACCGTGAATGAAGGCTCCTGGAGTGAAATGTTCTGCAGAGAAAGGAAAGGGCTCCCTGCTTCGCCTGTTTTTTCAAGTCAGGGTCTATCATGCATGATTCGGGCGATACAGCGGACGCAGTCTCCAGGCTCAATCTTGACGCGCATCGTAAGCGTTATGTATCTAATATCAGGCTGCCAGGATGCACATCCTAGGCAGTGGTTCTCGAGCGAGACGTGACGCGGTTAGAAAGAGTTCTCGAAGCACTCAATCGATGATGGAGGCAAGGTGACCTGTGCCATCGATGAGTTAATCAATTGACCGGGCATTCCCAGAAAGAAATGCTGGAACTAAAAGGCAAAAGACAGACAAAACATGGTTCCCCCCGCAAGAAGTATGGGTATAATAGTGAACAAGATCAAACGAACAGATCCAACAAAAACGCCGTGTAAATGCTTCAAAAATCGCTGCAAGATTGCTTAAATCAAAACCATCATCGCCAATGGAATGCTCAGTCCCAATCAAAAGGTAGGACAGGCGTGACTCAAAAACTCCAAGCCCGAATGCAACGCTGATATGGTAAAGAGACCAAACTTATAGTGGTTCATGTGCGTGAGTACCGACTGCAGCGATATCACGAAAGTATATAGGGGAGCGACGATTCACCGTCTTTCTTGCAAAATGTCGTCGACTCAAGCCGACGGACTACCTGCACCAGATGCGGTGTCGGGCAGATCTGCAAGAGGGATGTGTTTCGCAAATTCCGCAGTAGGAATGGGTTGCGTGGGCACAGTGTTGGGGACAGTGGGCACCACGTCTTCTTGGGCAGGCTCAGTGGCTTTTCCAGCAAACGAATGGTTTGCTTTTGACTCAGTAGGGGACATGTTGAGTTTCTCTGATCGACTGGGCTTCAGCTTCAATCGACCTTTTTCAAGGGCCCGCAAAACGGTGCCAATATCTTGGGGGTCAATGGCTCGGAGTTTACTCATCGCATCATCTGAAACGTCTGCAAAGGGATTCCACCCCAATTTGTCAAACTCTTCAGATGTAGACGACTTGGACTCCACCACAGAGGGACCGCCGGTGACCAGGCGGTGTAGAAAGGAGTCAGAAACACTGGGACGGCGAGGAATCTTCACAGGTTTGGACTTATTGCTGGTGCTTGTCGAGACCACATCCTCTTGTTGGCGCTTGGGGGGACGAGCAGTGATGGGACCGTGAGGACCCTCTCCGACTTCGTTCCGGATCTTGTAGTATATCAAACCCAGAGTGGCTGCCAAGGCCTGGTGTGCAGCCTCGGGGTAGCGACGGACAGCTTCCGCACGGGTGATGCTGCAAGAGCCTTCACTTGAGCTGCTAGAATCACTGTCGTCGGCATACATGTCCGAGGGATGCATACGAGCCCAGTCCTGGTAGTCACCCAGTTGATAAAACTCGGCCAATTCAATCAAGCGATGGACTAGAGGGCAGTTGTGTTAGAAAAGGGTGAGGGAGCATTTATCAGTGTGTGAGAAAGGCTTCGAGGATCATAAGCATACCTCGGCTTCGTTTTTTGAGGCACCAGAATCTCCAGACCGTGCGTGGGAAGTACTCGGGCCATTCCAGCGTCCCGTCATCCGAAATCACCGGGACGGGACTAATCGGTGCGTGAACAGTGTGAGCCAGTGAGTTGAATCGAACACGATCAGCATATTTCATTTGGGATTCAATCGAGTCCATCCGTGAATTAAGGGCGTGATATTGATGTGAAAGCTTGTGGTCCAATGTCATCAAATCCGTGCGAAGTTGATTCGAGGCTGTTTGCAGCTTGCTGATATCGATTCGGGTCGCACAAGCTTCACTCTTGATTGATTCGATGTCCACCTGGATTTGATTGATGGTCTTTTGCATCCGATCCACGTCCCCTCGAAGGTAGACGGTCTCTGTCCCCGACTGACCGATACTGGACTTGAGCTGGAAGATACTGGTCTTGATTTGATCGACATCGGACCGAAGAGCCACCACATTCAGGTCGATCCGTTGAGAGATAGCCTGATGAGTCTGAAACTCTCGTCGAATGTGTTCATCTTCCCGGTTCCGACGGTCGACATAGCCCTCCTTGGTCAGCATGGTGGTGCGTAGTTCCAAGACCCGTGAGTCGAGCTGGTTCATTCGATCGTGCAGCTGGGTCAGCGAGAGTTCGGAGCCCGGAGGAGTGGCCTCTCTCCGGCCAGAGACACGCGGGCTGGACATGGAGAGCGAGGTGTTGGAAGTGCAGGAGTGACTCCTCTCAAGAGTCGTCATGGTGGACATGGTGTGTATGTGAAAAGTGTGGAAAGAAAGGGCGACGGTGTATTGATAGTTTCTCTTATTGTATGTGCAGCATATCCCTAGATTTGAGTGTCGTGCATGTCGAAGAATCGTATGGATGATGGGATATGAGGTACTGGAGCAAGACGAGGCCAGTCTTTGAGGGTATTTGGGAGAAAGAATGGATCGATTCAGAGTGGAGATCTCGTCGCGCAGGCTGTTAGGGGGGAATTGATGGATGAAAAGGGCGAGCTGGAAGGGGGAGAGGGAGGGTGGCCAAACTCGGTCACACAGCCAGGTTTGGGCCCTTCCGGACATCCGTTTCTTTGAACGCCCGTCCCGTGGGATGTACAACATTACCGTATTCAAACACGGTTTCCGGTCAAGTTGTCAACCCTTGACACCTTCAATCCTGGACCTGACTGGCCTTATCACTATGCAAGTTTTCTTTCGTCAAGGCAGACCGCGACCGATATTGAAGTTGTTTCTTTGAACGGCCATCAAAGTCTTTCTTCAAACCATCTTCCTGATAAGGTAGAACTATGATTCAATATTCGAGTCCGCGAGGCCGTGCTCGTGCCATCCAGTCGCCTTGAGGCTAATTGTTGGGAACTTGCAAGTTCAAACGTCGTGCTCATTACCCAAGTGTAACATTACAGTATCAGTGCTGTAATACATTGGTGAGGTGCTCACTGCGGGAAAAGTTCGCTAGCACCCAACTTGCCTGCAAGTTGACGCCTCGCCTACACCACTAGTCCCTATTAGGTAGTCATACTCGACGTTCAGCTCCAAAAGAAGAAACTTTGCGTTTCTGAGAGCCCGATAAGCCAATCACTTGACTTCAGGAGAAGGGCCCCACTCACCCATGCAACTCGTTATGCAATGCAAGCGCTCGCCAAGCCAGCCCGTGAGACGGTAGCTTTGATCTATGATTGGTCGTATGGCTGATGACCCACTCATCCCGATGTGGCACTGACGGAGCTCGACATGACCACGACTCACGGCCAATGAGGTGACCATCTATCCCAGCCCTTTGGGCTCTGACCGCCATGCCTCGCTAAACAACCACCTCTTTCGGTCATGAATATCATATGCTGATATCGTAATATTATAATATACATACATTATACAATAATCACAATGATACATGACAGGCCCTCAGGATGATACAGATCTTCCGTTATTGACTGTATGTAATCACGGTATTAATGGTGGCCAGCTCACCAGTTGAACAGATGATGACACCATCAACGCTAGCAACTTGACCACCTGCACGACAGACCCCAGACTTGGGACTAAGAGCCTACGTGGAGTCGGAAGTACAAGTACAGCACAAGTGTATAATCATACAAATTATACCCATTACCCAATGTCAATACTTGACCTTCAACAGCCGTCAGCGAAACCTCGTGATCTCAAAGCACACCAAGCCATGTACGATGCCACGCCGGCTCTTTATTGCCACGCGTTGCACGAGGCTCACCGACGCATCGTCTCGTGACGGTCGCTCAAGTCTGACTGCTAATGATCCAAGCAAGATCAGGTCGGGTCAGCCTAGACCTGATCTGATCTGGGAGACATTCTCATCGGTTCAGTGATGCCTAGGGTATAGGTAGTAGGTTAATAGGTACATTAGGTACTACCTAGGTGATAAGGTCGGGGTAGGCTCCGGTGTAGCGCGGCGACGAAGAGTCATCTTGACTCCTCTGTCTTACTTCATCGGACATGTAACCAAATAGATCTGTACGCAGCAAGGCCAACAAGCCGCCCTTTGAGTCGCAAGTCTCTCATACTTCACTATATCGTGAATCAAACTGATTGCGAAGAGCCGGAGAGCCTCGGATGAGCAATGCTGACTCGATTTCGTCTCGGGGAGAACAATGGTTGCCCTGGTCCAGTCACGAATATCCATCTACGCAGGCTGCACTCCTTTCTGTTTCTGTTCAGTAGGGCAGATTGCAGATCGAGTCGTAGAGGACTCAAAGGTCACTCTGCTGCTGTAACCCCCACTGTACCACTACCGACTCACCGAGTGCGTGGCCATGCACATGGAGTTCCGCCCTAGAGAGTAAGCGTGGTTAGCGGGCAGGGACCTACCTGCCAAAAGAGGAAATCCGCGAAGCCCTAGCTGGAGAGCTTTGGGCCACGTTCGCGACTTCCTAGTGAAGGCTTCAGGAGCCTTCCAAGTGAGCGGAGCCTTTCCAGCATCACTCACGGGCTGTACACACCAGAAACAAAGCCGTCCATGACCAACCCTCGAACAGGTTTGATGTGGAATCGACCCGTCTAGCCGTCTTCATGCCTCGGGTCTGCCGGGGTGACGGACTCGATCATCATGAAGCCCAACGCCTTGCTCGCACGTGTCCTATCCTTTTGGATCCTGACTGTCGCTGTCGCAAGCTCGGCCGATGCAGACCCCCAGCTGAATCCGTCAAAGCAGCACTCCCGCGGAGAGGTGGTCAACTTCAACGATTGCGATTGCTTCACCGTGGCAGGGCCGGACCCAGGTTATTTCCAACACTACAAGCTTTGGGACTTTCGCTCCATTCCGGGATTCAGGCAAGCTCGCTCCAATGCATCGTTCTGGGACGAGCAGTTGTTATCGGCGCGGTCGTCGGACTGGGTTGAAGAAGATATCAGCAATGATGATGATGAGGAAGTCGACAATGACGAAAGTGATTCTATCGATGTCCTCGATGGTCTCGCGAGCAACACGATCAATTCCACCGATGAAGACGCCAGCCCGTTGAATGAGCTCGAGGCTCTGTGGTTCTTCAAACACGCGTTCGAACGAGACTGGGTCAGTCAAGACTGGCAGCGCCCAAGTGGTCCTCATGCCCCCATCACCATGATCAATTCCAAGGACAACGTCTATTTTGCAAAAAATCGGCAGTGGCTCGATAAGATGTCGACCTATCTGATTTTGCGCACCACTCGCCTCCGGAATTACACATCCACGGCCGAGATCGAGACCAAAGCCCGGAATATCTATCATTGCTCCCTGCGCGTTCGGTTTCGCATCCTTCCGTCCAACCTGGATGAGGAGTCGTCAGTCCCTCTTTCAAAGAATCTACCCGCTACCAACGAAGACAACCCCTTCCCTGGCGCTTGTGCAGGCATCTTCACATATCGTGAGCGTAACTGCGAGTCGGATATCGAGCTTCTTACCAAGGACCCTCCATCCCGGATTCACTATGCCAACCAGCCCGACTACGATGCCGTCAACGACAGGATGATCCCCGGAGCAAGCACCATCAAAGATATCCCTGTACCTTGGACTTCCTGGTCCATCCATCGGCTCGACTGGCTGGCGGAAATCTCGCGTTGGTGGGTCGACGATCAACAACAAGACGCCAAAACATATCGTGTACCGAACCAACCCAGCTGGTTGATGATGAATCTCTGGAGTGATGGGAGTCTGTGGACGGGCGATCTGCCAATTGGCGGCAATGTCTATATGGCGGTGGAGTATATCGAACTGGCCTTTAACGTCTCTCAAGCCGATGACTCGTCAAAGGACTCGCCGTCGACGTACCAGCAACCCGAAGAAGTCAAGCCTCTCACGACAGAAAAGGCAACTTCCACGACCCACGAAGACGGCTGGCCCGATGAAGACTCAGAGCCCAGTGCGCAAATCATCGATGGCGCCCTATTCAAAAAATGCAAAAAAGGCCGCAGAGGACGCAAGTGCCGAAAGAATCATAAGAAGAAAAAGAAGCAAGGCAAGAAGCCGAAACATCCTCATCATGATGAGCCTCGACCATCCGCGTGTGAACGAATGTGTAACATTGATGAAATGGACTTTGCAAATGGAGATGTCGAGGGCTGAGCCTGGCACTAGAATCCTTCTTGTCGTGTGTGTTTTCTCTCTGTTGACTGCATTGCCTTTTCAGGTGTTTGGTTCGGGCAAGGACTTGTGTAGTTATCATTAATGAAGGGGTTTCTTATTCTTATTTTTCGAGAGCCCTTGACATGGTTAGCAGTCGTAAGAGCCACCTTGAATTAGTATCTCAATGCTGAAGTAGCATATACCCGAGCCAGCGTATCCTTATTCAACATTTTCGAGCTTCCAAAGGCTTGAAACTCGCCACCACGGACCTAATCGACGCAGGAGTTGAAACGATCTGGCGACTCTTTCCGAAAATTTAAACAGTGTATTCCCATCTTGGATGGTCACAGAAGAGGCCGTGACCGGTCTTGACCTTTCAGTGTAGCCAAGCTATCCCCCAAGGGTGCCCGACTCACATCAGCATGCATGATAGACGCTCGCCAGATCATATTGCGAGGTAGTCGGGTTTTCTTCAAGGTCTTCACGAAAAGTAATCACATCCATGTGGGGTTCGCGGAATCATATCTTTCGTTCTTCAAGGTGTCTGTCAACTTTGTAGGTCTAGGTATCACGTCGTAGGTATGCCTCGTTCTTCTGTTTCGTACTAAAGCGCGGTTCTCACTCTATCGTGTCCGTGGACTCAGAGGAGGGAGATAGATCTCTTAGATTCGTCCATCTTCGACCCCAGGTGTTTTGTTCTACTGAATATTGTTGAGGATCTTTTACGATTCACTCGAATCCACCATGTCCGTTTCCTCAAGGGACCGATCATTCATCTTCGTGCGGAGATTTCACTAGATCACTAGCCCAGCTCTAGCCTTGACACCGAGAGATATCTTGGGATGGTCAGTCGCGTGCAGGCCTGGGAATTAGGACTGAGTTTGAAGTTGCGAATGTTGGTATTGATTATTTTGGATGATCATAGGTTTGAGGTGTATGTAGTAAGGGAAATGCTTCCTTTAGACGGGTATTTGGGTCCTCGATCAGAGATATCAGTCACGATGAAAGCGCACCTGTGCAACACCCATATTCTGATCGTCCTACTTTCAGAGCAGGATTTGACCCTTCTTATCGACGGGAGCAAATGCACCATGTAGACCCCCATTCATCAGCTCCGCGACAATCTTTGCTCTCAGAGTCACCGTGTCCTTTGGTCCAAAGGCCGTCGGTTCAATGCCCAAGGCGATGGCTTTGGCATTGATCAGGAGAAAGACGCCACAATCACTCATGTTGTCTTGCTGGGAGGAGACGGAGGAAAGGAATGTCCATTCCTCTGCTTCAAACTTGAGTCCGAGTTCCCCTTGAAGCCATTTCTTAATGATTTCAACTTCCCGTGCACCACGAGCTCCAAGTGAGTCGTAATACTCGATAGTCCGGTCCGAAGGTCGCACAACCATCAGAGTCCAGTGGCTCGCCTGATGCACCGGGATAAACACAGTATCTACCTCCAAGAGACCTTCGCCGCCAATCTTTGCCCGCTTAGCCCACCGACGGACCCCTTCGTATCCTTTCTCTTTGAGGGTGGAGAAGAAGAATGTGTTAAAGGCATGAAACTTGGGCTTTTCGCCAGGCGCGCTGTTTCCCGTGGAATCGCGGAGATACTGAACCAGAACGGACAGGTACGCGTTGATCATCTCGTCATTCAGCCATGCCAATGGTTTTAAACACGTCGCGATATCCCTCTGAAATAGGTCATCCCCAGAGGGTGACCGGGCGACTGCGTACCCTTGCAGGGTTCTCATAGCCTCTGAAACTTTCATGTGCCATTCCCTCGACAAGGGGCGGACAGCAGGTCCCCGTGGAATGACCCGAGCCGGTCGACCGTCCAATGCCTGTAGGGCCTTTTTTTCCTTCTCCCGTTGTTCCCACTCCCTCTTGAATAATGACTCGGCTCGATTGCTCGGTAGAGGCTTTGTTTCCGGATAAACGAGGGTGACAGCCGAGACCGGGCTTCGAAAGAGCCCCTTTTCAAATGCCTTGTATTGCTGGCCATACGGATCTTCAATGGCCGAGTCATCTCTGAACCTGGGTTTTCGAATCGGTTTTGAGCGCGCGCTCTCTGGACGACGCGTACTGTGCGCAGGCGGTGTGCTGGGTCTTGCTCGTCGAGGATGTAAATGCGGTCCAAGATCGGTGTGAAGCGGAGTCAGCTTTGAGACATCGATGCCAATATCAATTTCAGTGTCAACAGTCGGCGCAGTTGATGTCACCCCAAGAATATTTCTCTCCTCGAGATTGTTATCATGCGTCGCGAGTTGCGGTAGTACAGTCGGGGATGGTGGAAATGCCCCAGGGACGTGGAGATCAATGTCATCTACTGAGCATACGTAGCTTAGTAATTGTGGACATATGGACGGACAGGTGTCATCGTAAAGTGCTGATTGATACCTTGACTCCTTCGCGTCTGTCGCGAGCTTGCACGATTATCCACAAGCTCTGAATTGTTTGGTGATACAGTGTCCGTCGTCACTGATCCAGGGTCTGGCCTGCCACGAACCCAAGCGAGGAAGCGTTTCATCATTGACTAGTGATTGCGCGCGAGGAGAAGAGATAGAGGATGAAAGATCATGCGTCGGTCCTTTTTGTTGGTCCCTTGAAACGAGTCCGGCAGGCACAGCGCTGAGCCAGTCAATCGGAAGTGATCAGATTCGTCGTAAGGCGATGAAGATGATGGAGTTCTCGTGCCTTGTGCCCATTGTTGGGAGGGCGAACCCCAGGACACATCCAAGGGTTCGATCGCGAGCGGCAGCAGAGCGGAAGAGCAGTGGACGGGCAGTACGAAGCTAGTACAATCGCACGGAAAGTCGATCGTGCTGCCATCAGCTCCAGCCACGCCAGGTCATGGATGCCTGGCAGACGGTAGTGGCTGACTGATCCGCGCTAACGCTTTCAGGAGATCTGCAGACGCCTGGAATCTCTTATGATGTCAATCGTACTAGTAAACAGTAAACAAGTATATATTAAGGACACAAAGATGAGGTCAGTGTAAGTATTATAAGAGAATCATTACATGACAACGATTGCGATCCAAATGCGATCATACACTAGCCAAGGTAATGCTTGGCTGTTGGGGTTAGAATGAAAGATAACATTTGAAGTCTTTGTGCTGGCTGCTGAAAAGGACCTCTCAGTCAGTAACTGAATTGCCAAGATAGTGAATGAAATCACACTAAATGGTACCTACATTAAATTTCATTCCAGAGCTTCATTGCGATGACCATGTTGCGGGTAAAACTGTGTGTGCCCGAGCTCCTGAGATATCCAATTGAAGGGCCTCCCTAAGCTCGGTTGAAATACAAGCTTCCTAATACCTCAAGCCCGGGCGGATGCAGCTCAAGAGCCGAATTGGTGCTCAATGTCCACATATTTGAGAAAAAAGGTTTTATTGGGCCGGTCAAACCGTATATGACTCAATCTGGTTTATGTGCATGTTCAGTATCTATCTAGTAAGGGACTCGTCTCCGGGCGAAGTGTGCTGGACGATGACAATCCAAGGTCAAGGCGTCACGTCACGATGCAAAGGGTTTATATCTCCAGCAATGGTCATAACAAAGGGACACCAAATCCAATTGATTCAAAAACGGGAGGCGCCACATTGATAACAACCCAGGGAATTCCTAACAAAAGTAAAAGTCAGCCATCATTATCATCCAAAGTCTGCACTGGCGGTTTGCTTGTTCATACCCGCATAAACTACAAGCTTGGTCACCACCTCCACGTCGTACCGGACACGAGGCTTTTTAATCTGTGAGAAAACTTCTCTCTCGTCGGCGGTACCGGTACGATCGTTGGTAGAAGGAGGAAAGGCCGAAGATCGTGGCGGGCGCAATGAAGCCTCACCATTGCCCACACTGGGGTTGACAGTGCCCATCATCTCCTCATATTGATCCAGCTTGGACGGTTTCCGGTTGAGTACTGGCCTCCCGTTGGGCCTACGGCTATCACCGACAGGAGAATCTTGGTTTCCTCCGGAGAGGCTCTCGCGTCTGCGCTTTTCCCGGTAAGCGAGAGTTTCGTAGGCATCAGCCTCAGACTGGGGGCCGATGGACACTGCCCGGCGGCGAGGGTGGCGTATAGTTGTAATGAAAGTTGGAATGTCCGAGAAGTTCGGAAAAACTTCATTATCTTTCAAGTTTGAGGGAACAGTGGTATATCGCCTGTGAGATTGTCTCGGTCAGCGAATGCTCACATCCCGTCCATTGTGAAGGCGCGCGATCTGCAATGATGAACACTTACGAGGCAGTAGTGAAGAAACGACGAGGTAGGAGAAGACCTAGTTTTTCAAGACTGCGAAAGACAGGCGGGAGGATCCGCAACAAGGTCGGCTTGGTGACTTCGCGCCAGGCAAAGACACACAAGACACCAACCACGAGACGGATCACAGTTCCCACGATACCAATCTGTTCATAATTGTACGGAATTGTTCCCGGAAGAGGGTCCGCCCATGCGAGGCGGGACGTGGTGAAATACCAAGAGCCGACATCGACCCCCATCCACACTCCAGTAAATGCAAGACTATCGTCGTAGCAGGGACAATCGTCCGCTGGCTCAGGGTGAATTCGGACAAGGACCAATATGACAGCTGGAATGACCAGGATCTCCAGCCAGGTCGCAGACAATATATACTCATCAAAGGCCGGGCCGTAACTGAATTGGGCGAAGCCAATCATTGCACCAAGGATACACCCAACGACCACGTCGAAGAAACCATGCATCCCACAGTACAGACGACCAATGACAATGGATGTCACATAGAGATAGGTGATGATCTGCAAAAGCAAGTTGGTCTTGGATGGAACCGTGGAGTCTGGGGAGTTCAACAGCGCAAGCCCGTAGACGGCGACAGACACAGCATTTGTCGAATGCGTCGAAGGAAATCCGTACTCAAGTGCAGCTGATCCGGACATGGTGATGCGCTGGAGCGGAGGAGATAGAGGTCGAGGCAAACAGAGCAGGTCTTTGATAAAGCCGCTAATAAAGACGCCGGCCGCGAGGATATGGACGAGTCTGTGACACCATTGAACGATCAGTGAACCACTCAGTCGACTTGACTTCTCACGATTCGGCAATTAGGTACGTACGCTCGCCCTAGACTCGTATGGCCACACCAGAATAGAAAGGGTAGAAAGACCATGAAGAAGGTGTGTGTGCCGAGATTGGCCGTAAATGCAAAGTACGAGTCCAGCGCCGGAGTGCGCACTTTCTCCTGAAGCCATGCTAGATAGGGAGTCTCATAACGAACGAGCGGAATGAGCTTCTGTCGAGGCCAGTAGCGCCAGAGCGGTAATGAGTTGGCATCTGTGACGGTTGAGGTGTCAGTCGCAGAACGGTCAGATGGGCTCTCGACAGCGGAACAAGCTTCTCTGCCTTCTCCGGCGAAGACGCACACCGCGCAACGGATGCGCAAACAGGCATTGGCCCTTACAATGATTTAGGCTCCTCAATCCAGCATCCGGCTGATCTTTTGTGATTTTCGCCGGGCCCATTGTGCAAAACTATCGATCCGAGGGCGCCAGCAAGTGGGTCTCCATATACTGACAGGTCGATGCCCGCGACGTCCGAGGAATTGGTGATCCGGTACGACTCAGCAGGATCGCATGTATAGAATCTGCCGTCGAGACAAAGAAGACCAAAGGCCGAGACGTCGGACCACAAATCGGGGGTGGGTGTCGCTCGGAGGTTGGGAGCAAACCCGAGGATGGGGAAAGTAGTGGATCAAGTCATTTGAAGATTGCTATCGCATCCGCGGCTGTTTCCCCTGGTGGCCGCAGATGCCCAGCTGGGCGGGCATGTGTGGGCTTAGTCACCCGACTCGAGCTCCGACTCTTAAACTGGAACCCCACGGCAACTTAATCCATGGACCAACCCGTCATGCATGCAGTGAATTCGAGTGTGATGCGTAAACACCGAGAATATACGGGTGCATCATGCTGCAATGTCAGCAAGTGATATTGAACTGGAGACCACTGGCCAACAGGCGAGGTATGACTGTAGATAGTATGCAGTCACAACGCAATCGCGTCTACGTACTCTGTAGTAGTTACTCGATTCCGTTTCACTACAGTCCCTTGAGGAGGCAGATATTCTACGCATGGATCCAGTGCATGCGTGCATCACTATATAATCTCCTGTCTAGAACTGGGCTTCTTTCTATGTCATATGCCACTGTGCCGCTGATCATCGATATCCTGCGATTGATTTGTAGCTCGCTCAGATGGTCCTTGCAAAGTCAAGGGACTAAAAACTTGGCTGCGTTTTGCGCAATTACACAAGGTAGACAGATACGCCTTGGGCAGCAGGTATGTAATAGCGTGATGCCTTCACTTTGCAAGGCATGGTACCTGGTACAGTTCTTTTCAAGTTGGTATTGAGGCTACTACATATGTACATGATATAGGTCCTGCCAACAAGCCCCAATTAAAGCAGCAGAGAGCAGAAGAGGGGACACCTTGGTTTTGACAACGGCCAGACACTTACTGCGGAGAGTTGAATGGAGTCATCTTGCAAGCCAGCCCTACGTGAGTGCGCGGCCTGCTGTGGCTGACCATTACACCTATTCCAGCTACGGGGATATAAAATCACTGGAAGCCTTGAGAAAGCGGAGCTCCATAAGTGGTATGTACCTGTGAGATTTCCATGGAAATCACAAGGCCCCTCACACGCATGAGACCAGACAGACGTCAACAACGTCGCGGTGGAGACTTTTCGGTTCAGGGCCGGGAAATTGATGATCTGGACTCGGTTATGTTGATAACCTGCCCTGTTTGTAGGTAACGCAGGGTGCTAGGGTCTCTATCCAAACTGGATCCGATCTCCCTATGACTTGTTTGGAAGATCTTCCCCAGCCACTGAGATCTTGAACATGAGGGGGGGGGGAATCTCAGAGCCGACGAGGGGCAGTATTGAGTATGCACCACAGTACATAACTGCATACCATGCAGTAGGTACGACATCGCGGACATCCTGTACGATAGGCGGATGCATGGCGTACACCTCGTGAGGATCAGGTATTGAAGCTTTGGACTTCATGCGCAAATTGTAACAGGCTTCCAAATGAGTCCTTCCCTGCCCGTTTGTTTCTACCGTCATCTCCACTGTCTGAAGGGCAGAGCTGAACAGTGGAGTCTCAACGATCAATGATAGGAAAAAGAGGGGCACGCGGAGAGACCGAGGAGCCAAAAAAAGAAATCCGGAGGCCGAGGATTCGGGTTCAATCAGGCTGACCTTGCCAGGCACAACTGAAGCTTGCCAACCGAAACGGCGGAAGGAGGCTCTGGCGTCATTGCGGCGCCGGGTGGACAGGCGGGTTGCCATGGCAATTTGTTGGGTAAACAGAGCGGCACAGGGGTCTCGCCCCCGTAAGAGACTCTCAGCTCTAAACGGATTCATATCATCCACACTCAATTCGGATTCCGCACCTCCACATTTGTTGTACTTATTTGCTGAAATCGCGCACTTGAGGTCGATCTTCTCTTGATTGCGATTAAGTGATTATTCTAGTACACACAATATTATCTTCTCCCATCCGCTCGTCTATCTTCCCGGACCCTTTTTTCACACCTTGACCCCATCCATTCTCCCTGTTTCCCTCCTGCTCCCTCTTCACGTCTTTTGCTCGCTCACCTCACACCAGAAAATTGAACCGCTGGTTGTTCTACGGTGTCTGGCCATATTTTCTTTCTTCGGACACCCAGCATACTTTTGGCCTTGACCTTACGAGACCCGCATTCTCTTCTCCACAACCGACTACACTACTCTCAGTGTCCGCCATCATCATGAGCCAGGCGTATGAAGACCAATTTTATGCCGCCTCGCGACGTCGGTCGGTGGCCACACCACCTCCAAGCTTAACCCCAAGACACAACCGCGCTCGATCCCAAAGTGTGCGAGTCAGCAACGGAACCGCCAGCACGCATACCAGCTTCTCCAGTGCACAAATGTCCGAAGCCACCAATATCACACAACCACCTTCCTACTCCAAGAAATTTGTCGTGGTAGGGGACGGAGGATGTGGCAAGACCTGCTTGTTGATTAGTTATTCGCAAGGCTACTTTCCAGAGGTGAGCATACCACTGCCTTGCTGTTTTCACGGGCAACGTTGCCTTTGTCGACACACGATGCTAATGCCAAACACAAACTAGAAATACGTTCCAACAGTATTCGAAAACTACATCACACAAACCACTCACCGTGCTTCGGGCAAGACAGTTGAGCTCGCTCTGTGGGATACGGCCGGCCAGGAGGAATATGACCGTCTGCGGCCACTGTCCTACCCTGAGACCGATCTACTGTTTGTCTGTTTTGCCATCGATTGCCCCGCGTCCCTTGAGAACGTTGTCGACAAGGTAAGCAGAAATGCCAACGCCCTTGAGAGGCCGAGACATTGGGTATTCAATCTCCCATGGCAGCGCTAATCTCGTTACCAGTGGTATCCCGAGGTCCTGCATTTTTGCCCTACGACTCCCATCATTTTGGTTGGCTTAAAATCAGATCTTCGCAATAAACGCACTTGCATTGAGCTCTTGAAGACCCAGGGGTTGACTCCCATCACACCCGAGCAAGGACGGGGAGTCGCGCAGCGCATGGGCGCCACGTATGCGGAGTGCAGCAGTAAGGAGATGCGAGGTGTTGACGAGGTCTTTGCAAAGGCAGTTGACACCGTGGTGGCCATCGAGGAAGATGACTACGTGACTCAGCCCACGAGTAACCGCAACAGCAGCAAGCCATCCGGGGGTGGAGTGCGGCCAGGGAAGAAAGTCAAGAAGCGCAGCTGCAGCATTCTTTAATGAGGGGGCTACCTGTCGCATTGCCTTTCCTTTATGTCCATCTCTCTTGATTTCCGGGATGCGTTCTCTTTTCCTTCTTCCCAATTCGGTTCCGGTCACTTTGCCTGGTTGCTTTGATCGATTTGCTTGTCTGCCTCTGTGTATGTGTCTCTGCTGCTGCAAGCTGAACATGAATTGCTTCTTTCTTGAATGTGAGAGCACATATGGCCTCTGGGGTGCCGGATCGCTGCGCGCATCCCTCAGTCCTATCAATGGCGGGCCATCATCTGTACTCGAAACGACCAAAACTATGTCTCGACGACTGGATGTTTGTTGGACTTATTGTTTCTTCTCCTTCTCCTTCTCCTGGATCTCTTTGTTTGTTCTTTCTCGTTCCAATCCCCTCGACTGCTTTTCTCTCCAGATGACCAGCCTATTGCCCTGTCTCAATGTTGTATCTCCATCTGTTTTTTTTTTTCTGTCCAAATATCCTTCTCTCTGACTCTTATGACCCCCCGAGTCTTTTGTCACTTTGGACATGCATAGGACCGGTGTTTTCCATTCATGTTACCCACAATCAGCCTTTCCCTTGGCGAGAGCGACCTTTCAGATGTTATTGAAGCCAATTATACCTTCCAGCCTAGACCTTTTCCAGAAAAGAATAAGTTACAGTAGGACTAGGCAAGTCTAGAAATCGCAGAATTCTGCACGTCGGCCTTGTATTGCCTACGACATCACCGAGGCACCGTGAAAATCCCAAAACACATCTATTCCGTTCAACGTCATACAACATGGTATCATGAAAAAGAGAGACGATCAACATACCAAGCGCCGACGGGCCCAAAATCCCCGCAACGCAACACAAGAATATAAAGCCAGCCCAGCCCAGCCGGCTCGCCTCCTACTGGCTGGTCATCGATTCATCGCCCGACTCATGCTGTGTTCCTGCATTTGTCTGGCTTTCGCTCGCTTGTCCACTGGCCGTGCGCTGGCCCTGGGCAGCAGGTTCCTCGACGTCTTCCTGTGGTCGACCCATGTAGTTTTCAAATTGCGACCAGAGAGCTTCGACAGAGCTGAATTCGTTTCCGACCTGTATAGATAAAGCGTCAATCTAGATTGAAAAGGAAGATTCGGAGGAAAGGAAAGGATGGGAAAGGGGAAAGAAACACGTTCAACGGCGGGTTCAACCGGTCATCAGGGCACCCGGGGTGGGAGGGAGACATGCACGTACAGTGATGATGCTTTCTAGATTTCGATTGAGACGATTCATGTTCTGGAGGACCTGCTCCATGCCCTATCCGCGCCAACAATAACAGTTAATCCATCTTTGCATGACTGAACGTAGAAATACGGCTCATCTTCCCCTCACCACTCTTGTCCTCCACAGGGCGGAAAGGTTCAAGATTCACTCCAAGACCAGTACCTCACTTACCACGGCAATTTCTCGAACCAGCTCCTCGCGCTGTTGTTCAAAAACCGTCGGCGAAGTCGCACGGCCTTCGGGACCCGGCGTGGAAGTTGAAAAGGCCATCGTATCGGAGATTTAAAAGAGAGAGAGAAAGAGAGAGTAAAGAAAAGAATCCCCCCCCCCCCGCCTGTTGCGCAGGGATCGGCCGAGTATGTGTGTATGCGCTTTGGGAATCGCAAACTCAGCTGCGCAATAGCTCTTGTCACCGTGCTCGTTGTAGGATGACGCGCAGTCGCGGGCTTTTGAACGTGCAGCCGGCGGTCCGGGCCTGGATGTGCGCCCGCGTCCGCGTGTGCAAGCGAAGACACGGTCGTACGGGGACGCTCAGTGAGTTCCGGAGAGATGAATTCCGGGTCCTGGCACGGTTGTTGACTTTGCAAAGCGATTGGGGATTGGACCGCTTCGGGGCCGCGGGGGTGTCGTTGTTTGTTGTACGGTGTGGTGGTCGGATAGATTGTTGTTTACCGTTTAGCTGATCTGACTTGGTGTGGTGGGGGGAAGAGCAGAGCAGCTTGTCGATAAGATAACGACAAGACACATGAGATCAGAGAGCCCGTGATCCGATCGGAGAGGGAGGTATTGCATCCACTTTGATGAAGCACAACTGATGATAAGATGACTTGCAGATCCTTAGACTCTCAGAGAGTACAGAATTGGATGATGGTGATCCCTTGCTTGCTTCAAGCCTATTCAATGTCTATGTGGACTTTCAGCATCATCGTTTATCGGTTCGTGCGTGTCCACGTCGCACTGTATGTGACTATGTTCCCGTTCTTCCGAGTCTTTCACCTGCAGACGTTGTAGTCGGTTGGAGGTGTGGACTGTAGAACAGCAATTTTCATCAGTCATCAAAATGCCCGGTCCAGGTACTGTATGAAACAGGGAGCGTTGACTGGAGGTATCCAATTGTCGAGATCGACTTGATTATCTCGTCGTTGCCAAATTCACTTTTTCTCTCTCTCTCTCTCTCTCTCTCTCTCTCTCTCTCTCTCTCTACGGAAGCAGTGCATGGCATCCACCCGAAAATGTCGAGATAGCACAAGATTGAAGGCCGTCCTGGGGAAGGTCATTCCATAATCCATAGCGATGACAATGGAGGCGTAGGTCTTCGGATAGATGGTCCGAGCCCAGTCCAGTCCATTGACAAGTCTCAATGCTGTAGAAGCAGGATGGCCCCGAGGATGTCTTAGATGCCCAGGCGCTCCCGCAATCCTGCCGTGGAACAACACAAGGCAGTGCAAGGACCAAGCAGAGATCAACATGAGATTGACCGGTTCATCATTGGACTCGTTTGAAATCTCAGATTGGTGCACAAGATCTAAATATCCAGGAACGGACTGGAGGGTCTTACTCCTAGTGTGCTATTACTACTACCATCTCACAAGTCACAAAGATTCAAGTGTCCCAAGACACAAGTGGATCAGCAACTGAACGACAGAAAGCGCGCGCTACCTGCCGCGCTCAGACCGTAGACGAGGTGGAGATGTCTTACCCTGTTCAAGCCTTTAAGGGTCTCGTCTCACACCCCAAGATCAAGATCAACTGGCCGAATCGATGCTTTGATCGTCGGCCCCGTGAATCTAGAACCACAAGATTCGTGATGAACGATCTAGAGCAGTCTGGGTCGTCTTGCCGCTGGTCGCTGGTCGCTGGCGAACTCATATATTCGCCTGGTTTATCCTTGAGCAACCCTTTTCTTGAGGGGTTCAGGGTGAGACTGGCCTCTTCGGGAAGTTCGGGGTGATGGTCCAGGCTAGTTGTCTCTTTTGAATGTCTCAGGTGTTTGTGGAAGTATCGGATTAGAGGGGGTTTGGTCTGCGCTTGAGTCGAGCACGAAGATGGTTCGTTCATCGTTGGAGCAGGTCGGGTATGACCGAGTGAAACGACGGACGAGTGAAACGACAGTGGCCAAATGGCCCAGACTTTCATCGTTCATGTTCTTGTTCAATCAGAGATAGTGGGAGATGGGGATGAAGAGTCTTGATAGGTATGCCAGACAACAACGGGATGTAGAGCTTGAAAACCCCCCTTCGAGTCATGCATTCGACTAATGGAAGGCGACTGCCCAGACAACCCCGTCAACCAAAAATGAGATAATGAGATCAGATGCCAGGTAGGAGGTACTAGGGAGGTACAGTGGTACACTGGTACAGTACTCCTATCCCGTTACCACGAGGAGCAAATTCACGTGTTGCAGGTCCACCCCGTAGTCAGTCGTGACCGTCCGGGACTCTTTTCGCGTGTCGCCGACTGTCGACTGTCGAGTCCCTGAGGATGGCAAACTTCTTCGGACAGAACCACGGGTACCTGAACAACCCAAAATAGCACGGGGTACAAGTTTGGGCGGTGCCGGGGCCTCGGGGCGGTCAACCCGTCAGGAACACATGTCAATTGTGTATTTTCCAATTTTGTACCCGCGGCACCATGGTTTGGGCACTGAGACTCCCCGGTAGGCCGCATCCATAGGTAACAGGCAGTACTTACTAAGTACTACTAGTACTTAGTAGTACACCTGGACGTATTGCGCGGTCCATCAAGGATTCGATCGAGTATCGCCATCTACAATCCATTCTCCGACTCCATGTACGGACGCCACAGACTGAGGTGGCGGCGACACGACAAATTCAGCATCGCTTCCACCAAACCGTTTCGGAAATCAGTCAGGTGGGGGGTGAGGAAAAGCCGTCTGGAGTCAGGCAGCGCAGCGAAGCGAAAAGATGGACCCCCCTCTTACCCAAGTCGGTCAGCAGATCTCGTCCGTGTCCGCCTGTCACATGGGGTCCACCATTAAGGTAATGCCCATGGCCCATCATCCTCCATTAGGATGCGGGGAAACAGAATTTTTTTTTCCAATTCCTCAGGGACCCCGGCAGAACAGTTTGCAGTTTGCACCGTACAAGGTAACATACGGCCTCGTACACTCGGCATACAGTCATACACGTCTACGATCAGTATCCTATCATAGACTCGAGTATCTAGTATCTAGTATCTAGTATCTAGTATCTAGTATCTACTGATATAGTGTGGTTGTCTGAACTTTTGTTAATCACCTTCATGCGAATAACAATTCACGATTCATCTATCGCCTGGATCCAAGAAAAAAAGGGCAACGCCAATCTCCCAGTCAACACCTAGAGGCACAAAAGATCTTCGTGATGAAAATGGCCCAGCAAAAAGTCTAATTGATCTCGTGACACGGGAGAACTCGGGACTCTGCGACGGGAAATGAAAAGAACGTGGTCGTCGACTTCAGTGGGGAATATTCATCTGAGGTGAAGGTAGCAAGGTGGATTCATGAAAGGATCTGTAATTTGTTCAGGGACCGGAGGGATGCATTTGTTTTCTGGCACGTTACACACAAACAGTCGGCGGGGGTGAGTCTGACCATGATAGCAGCGAGGTACGCTGCCAGTCGAGTACCCATTGGGCAATGTACCAATTTGACCGGTTCGGATTGAAAGGGCGTCGGCATCATCCTGAAGATGGGAATGGAGTAACCGTGACTCGGGGATTAGATAGCACGGTGAATTGCGGTGGGTGAGTCGAATGTTACTGAAGCTTGACTATCTAGTATCACTATCTAGTATCACTTTCTAGTATCACTTTCTAGTATCACTTTCTAGTATCACTTTCTAGTATCACTTTCTACTTTCACTATCTACTACCTACTAGTTGTTTTCTATAAAGGAAGGCCGTATAATTGACTCTGTATAATGTCTTTTTTGTACTGGTCTTTATCTGAAAATCTCACTTCTTTGGTCTAGCCATCGTGGAGCAATCCCTCATTTCCCGCCAAGCAAACAGCACAGAGGCTTACATGTCCGTCGGGCGGAAGAGGTAGAGAGGAGGGGGCAAAGGGGGATATAGTCTCATGGTCATAATCGTCATCATGGTCGTTCGTCAACATCATCATTCGTAGCGACGCGCCGCGAAGCAAAACAGGGTGGGTAACCAAAGGAGCTATCTCCTTGTGTGTAACTGAGTCCACTGTACAGTGTATACCAGCAAAGCCCACCGTCCAAGCCGAGAGCCCACCAGGCTCGCCCACAGATTGCTTTGAACGGAGGAAGGTATAGATTCGGAATAGGCACGGTCGAGAGAGAAGGAGCATAGCCCACTTCTCTCACCATCGCCTGCTTCAATGACTGGGGTGATGGAAGAGTTCACGTCGCAATGGAGCATGTGACTTGAGAGCAAAGCATTTCCGTCGCTGCACATGTCCGCCGTCCTCGAATTCGAATGTCTTGGCAGCAAGGTCGAAGAATCATCGTCATTGGTTTCATCTCTTTGTCGAGCGAGTGTGGAAGCAAGGGTCTATATATATGTCGTGTCTTTGTGGTGGAGGCGACATGGGCCACCGCTCAGGAAGAGCGTCGCGGTTGGACCAGAATACTACTGAGTCGTTTCCATCGTTGGGTGGGAGATGTGGAATTGGCTCGCGCCAGGTAGCTCTGGTCTGGCTTGACGGTGGATTGCGTCGACGATCTTGGGCGGTTGATGGTCGCCTCGTGGTCGGCGAGGACATCCTCGAGCCGGACATCCGAGTCGTGCAGGTGCAAATCCTTGGGATCGAGAATCTCGATGAACTTGGAGGGTGTATCACGCATCATGGTAGATATAGATGCAGGGGGAAAAAGTTGAGAGGCAGGGTGTTATCGACCTTGAACCCTGGTCGATGGTAGACAAAGGATCAAGTATAGACAGCCGGGCGGCGCTTTCACGGTCCTCGAAAAGGAGAGGGCACGAGTATACGATGGAGAGAAGTTTCTCTCACCCAAGGTCGATCAAAGAGTACAGGTACCCGAATGATGCAGCGATACATGAGATGGAATTGGGAATAGAGAAAAGGATCTAGAAAGAAATCAGAGTCAGAGGACAGGCGCGTGGGCAGTGGGAGGCCGGCGTCATTAAATAAAAAGGCGGCCCGCCGCTGTAGAGGGAAACGGTACGTCCTCCATACGTCGTATGGCCGAGGAACCCATCATTCGCCGAGTGTGGATTGCGGGAACACCACGAACTCGAGGGCGACGCAGAGTACCGCCGCCCTCTGGGATGCAGAAGCCTCTTTAGGATCCAACCCACCGATTTGTGCAATAATGAGAAGAAGAAGAAGAAGAAGAAGAGAAAAAAAAAGCGGATTGTGAAAAATCGAATTTTACAGCAAACCAAAGCTTCTCGACCCATTCCAACGCCAGACTCCAATTTCCGAGATGGAGAGTTTGAAAAAGTTCTCCTCAGTGACGACCGTGCGCTCAAAGGCTGCAGAGGACACCCGGCTCCGCGGATGCAGGTGGAGGCGGAAATCTGATTTATGATTATTGGAAGGGTGGGGGGAGGCAACAACAGTCATTTTGTTCGACAAAAGAAAAGGGTGTGAAATGAGACTTCAGAGCAGAGAAATGAAGAAAAAAGGATCCAGGAAAAAACACAACATCTCCCACATAACCAACGGGCAGCCATATACTGTAGTTAGTAGGAAGGTGGTCAACTCGAACGAAGCACTGTCGTGCGTCGCGAGAGAGAGAGAGAGAGAGAGAGAGAGAGAGAGAGAGGCAGTGTAGAAAGAAAGTGAAAAGGGTATCGTCGGTCATGCGGTCTGTGAGTGACTGTGTTCCTCTCGAAACCGACTAGCGTCTTGATGTCTTCAGTCTCTTCACGAGTAATGTGGACTCGGATTCAGCCAGACTGGCCGGTCTGGCCAGTCTGGACCGTCGCAGCGGAGACTCGACGATGATCAGGGGGGCGAGTCCCAGCAAAAAGGTCATGACAAGAACGCCCCAGTTCTGGTCAAATTCTCAAGTCAAACCAAACCGAGGGAGTCAGGAGTCAGGACTCACTGACTCAGGATTCTCAGAACTGTACGGCGGATATCGTAGTACCGTAGGACACCGAGGAAAGTAGTACCAGGCTACCAGGACCAATTCATCGAGTCAAGTCACCGGTCACGCAGTCTCAACCATCTCCCATGATTCGAAGCCCCCCCTTTGCCTTGACATGTTGACTAGAATCCATGGTTATGCGAGGACCACAGGTGGTTGAAGTGTTGGGTGTCTCGCACAGTTGGGAACATGGTCCTAAGTCTACGACCATTAGGTCTAGGGCAGACGGATGGTTGCGGTGGACGGTCCGACCAAATGACGATGAGAACTAGGTATGCGACACCAGAACCCACGATCTTTATCTGACTGCCTGTCCTGACCACTGGTGCGTCGGAGGTGTTCCACCAGCTGACTTTATAGAATCCTCTGGCCTACTACTACTACTACTACTACTACTACTACTACTACTACTACTACTACTACTACTACTCTTTCTCCCCCGCTATGACCAACCCTCAGCTTGCATCGAAGACCGAATCGACGCTATGCTAAACTCCCTCCGAAACGGATGTGGGCCTTTCCGGCGGAGCGCACCCTGCCTCAGCGGGTGATCGTCACCTGCCACATACACCCCTCTCTTCTCCGGTTCTCGATGCGATTTGTCAACTTGTACAGTCGCTCCTAGTCAAGCGTCCGATTCAGACTGTTTAGTGAACCTTTTCGGACGATCGGGTTTTATATAATGGGTAGAGATTAAGAGCAAAAAAAAAGAAAGAAAGAAAGAAAGCAAGAAAGAAAGCAAGAAAGAAAGCAAGAAAGAAAGCAAGAAAGAAAGAAAGAAAGAAAGCAAGCATCCAAATCACAACCCACAGGACATCACGCAGTACGCACCGATCCAGATGCACCCGTCCTCGATGAACCGAAGCCGTGCGTCACCCGCTGGCCTGGGGTCCATGACATGCCAATTCTAGACGAGTTCGACACTAGCAGTCTTGACACTCTCGTTCTACGTCTTCCCCATGTGTCGGATTGGTATTTGACCACCAACCTAGAACTGGAATTACCGATCGAGGTACTACCCAGTCACCAACTACATAAGCGGCTAAGACATATATAACCGTTATTTTGACCGCTGCAGCCATGTTCTCCCACCTCATAACGACAGATATCAGCCATGGCATAAATATCCACTACCGTCCCTCTTCCTATTTATGCTGTGTGGTGACCATCTACCTAGTCAGTACCTTGGTTTACACTCTCTTATGCTGTATCCCGGTAGTAACGTGGCATAGTAACAGTGGTGGCAGGACTAGGTGGTGTGCCATACATCCGACAACAGATTGTCAAATGTCAACAATAAGCATGCTCTCGAACGGTCCGAAACCGAAATGACGAAATTGCCCCCCCCCCCTCATCTTCTCTCCTTGCCCCTCTCTATCTCGCATACTAACTACATACCTACATCGTACACTTGACGCACACAAACACCTCCACCACCACAACAACACCCGCCGAGTACCGGCTCCATTTTACGGTGGGCCTCGGCGTTCACCATTCCATCCAGATTCGTCAAGTTGCGAAATCAGCGTCGCCTTCGACGGAAGAGGCGCACGGAAGCAGGTCACCCTATCTGATGTCAACGGTGTGCGGGTCTGGATCTCGGTCTCCCGCTCCATCTGTTCTAAATGGCGTCGGTAATCTTGAAATATTGCCAGGTCATCTGAGCGAGGATCTGAGCTAGTCCGATTCGTATGACGCCTGGAGAAGGGGGGAGGATCTGTGGCAGCGAGTGGATGGATCAAGAGCAAGAGTGAAGCCGGACATCCCGAAAGCGCCGGCCGATTTCACATTATACAGTTCAGTCGAGAGATGGTGTCGCCATCAACTTACTGTGAAATTTGTTATAAAAAGACCCCGGCTTGGCCATTGCTACTCGGATACACTCACTACCTAACTTGGTAGGTATCGTAGGATCTTAGGAAGCATCCGAGATGTGGCCTGGAATCCGAAGCCCAAGGATGCAGTGGCACTCATGTTGTCCGCTCAATGTGGCGCAGCACTGATGCTTCCGACGGGGGAAATTGATTGACTGGCAAGTTGCAACTGCTCAGCCTTTTGAGTGGGAAAGAACATCATCTCTGTGGCTGAGCACTAGCCACATCATCGCGCCCCCGGTCTAAGGGGACCGCTTCTTTCCGGAGGACTGCGCAGGTATACATCATCGACTGTGGCTGGAGCATCGACTTGTGCCTCAGCAGGCCATGGGTGAAGGCAGGACCCCTTGGAAGCGCCCTACTTTCGTGATCCGCAGATGGGACTAACAATGTGTGGACCACGCTGGCGCCCCAAGCTAGAGTGACTTGAGCAGACGCATTGCAATTACGTACTATGGTGGCGGAGCCCAAAAGACCGAGCTGACTTAGGGTGGCTAGCTTGCCTGATTCAGCAGTATCGATCATATCAGTAGCCGGTTCTCTACCACCTGAGGGTCACCATGCAAGGAAAACTAGCGGGCAGTAGTGATTCGTGAAATCAAGTCTGACCTTCTGTGGAGCTGGTCAAGTCAATACCAAAAACCTCGGAAGCAGGTACAGCAGTGCAGCTGCGTACCTGAGGCCCGCCTCCCGTGTACAACCCTTGCCAGAGACGTGGGTGCAGTACGTGGACGGAGCAAAATAGTACCAAGCTCCCCGGTACCTAGATAGCCAAGTCCACATGTTGGAGCATCCACAAACAGATATATCTTAGGCGTGGAAAGGCAGACACACATCCTTGTGTCAGAAGACGAAAGTTCATTTTTCGTGTCGGCAATCGCCTTGCGAGATATCAATAGTTCCACAGAAAACAAAACAAATCGAACGCCTCATGAATGGGGGGAAGAAAGAAGATAGTCAGTCCAGAGTGCTGATCGCGGCGAACTTAGATCGCGAGCAAGATGTCGCAACGCGGTTCTTGGTGCAGAGAAAACTCAGAGCTTCTGATAGAATCCGAGGCGCTCCCTTGGTCCAACAGATTGCCACTGTTCACGTGTCCGTCGCCTTGAGCCAAGTTTCCGTTAACTGGTGCAAGAGGTTCCAACAGGTCCGGCTAGCTGACTTTCGCAGCTGTCCGCTCTTTTTGTCAAAGTACAACGAATGGGTCTTTTGGATCGCACCGCTGTTGTCGGTCTCTCAAGACCACCGAGTGCGTGCCAGGGTCACCGAGCAGCCGTATTTCGTTTCCCAAAGCCCTCTATTTTAACCCCATATCCGTCATCTCGACGCCGTCTGCCGACCCCATCCAGAGAATGTTGTTACACCTGTAGATTCAAAGAGTAGCATGTCAGTCAAAGTATTTCTAAGCTGACCATTCCCCTCTCACAGGGCGTTCTCCGCCACATCACTTGGAGCCTCTTCAGACGCTTGTTTCACGTACCGGATCAGGACAAGACCGAGGCTACCGGTGTGCTTGCCATCAATGTATTCCTCCGTGTCGCGCAGCAGTACGTTCATATAGGAATCAATGCTCTCCAAAGCGCCCTTGTATTCGGTCTGACCCCACTTCAAGCGAATGACCATCTCAGTGCCGACTCTGCGAGGACAATGTTAAATTAGCAAGATATTCCGATCGTGCTGGGAGGTGCGAGAGACCATGCGCGAGTGTCTGGAGCTGGTCTGCATCGGATTGACAAAGTCTGGGATCGGAACATGCAGCGTACCTGGCCTGCAAGAATGGTCGGGGATTGACTGGTTGGAACTATTTGAACCGTGGTATGTTAGCAAAAATTCAGCGCTTTGAGATTCCCTTGGTATCAGAGGAGCCACGCGAGGTAGTGCGGAGCTTGATGATCGGAGACTTAGGAGGCGGGGGGGGGGGGGGGGGGGGGGAGGGGTAGAACGACGTACGCTCATTGTGAGAAGAAAAATTGAGAAATTCGATCTTGGGCGAGAGCGAATTGCAAAATATGAAAAATCAGGGCGGGCAACTTGAGTAAAAGGTGGTCGAATAGAACAGTTCGTGATGTTCGTGGTCTGGATTGACTGGATCTCGGAATCGACAGACCGCGAAAATGTGAGCTGGTCGGGGAGGGTGTTGTGAGCCAATCAGGAAAGTCCATAGCTCACCGCCTTCCCCTCACTCACCTACAGTAGCAGAGCTGACCATGAGAGCTTCGTCGCGATTCTTTATTGAAGTGTCGAACAAAAGGACTGATCGATGATTCGGGGCAAAGTTAATCTCGCGAGATGTGAACTATGTCTTCTCACATAAGACTTTCACGCCCTTTTCCAAGGCAAAGTACGGACACTGAGCCCTCAGATCTCGTTAACAAAGCTTGTGTTCAACCACAGTCACCTAACAGATTGGCCGCCATTTCGAGGATATCTCAGGTTGCTACCCAGGCTCACAAACTTTTGTGCTTGTCGAAAAGAACGAAGCCAATATTCCAGAACGTCGACGTAAATGTATAATTTTCAAGACTATAGCTCAACTACGCCCGTCCAATACTCCAGTTCATCTCCTTGATGCTAACTTCCTCGCTGGCCTTCTCATCGTAGTCATACCACTCACCCTCGGAGAGGTCAATCCCAGTAAAAGAAGTCGAAGACTCGACGCCCTTTGCCTCCCATTCGCCCTGACAAGACAACCTCGTTAGCTACCATCCAGCAGAAATATTGAATTGGAAGAAAACAGATGCGTCAATGGCCTTACATCAGGCTTGAAGTCAACGAATTCTAGACCACGGCAGTCCAGCTCGATGATCTTCTGGCCCTTTTTCTTCTTCTCCTCGGCCTCGTACGCATGCGGGCCAGCCGTGATGGACGCAGAGTGGGTTTTCTAGTTCACCACGTTAGTCTCCTGGATAGAGGTCACCGGGAGTATGACTGTTCAAGTAATCAAGACTGGCAACACGCCACCGCGATGCGACTACTTCCATGGTCCAACGTACTGTGCACAAACGACACTTCCACACAAAGTTGGCCTCACCCCGGCTACCGGGAATCTCTTGCTGCTCCTGATACCATGATCTCAATTAGTGTGTGATGCTGCACATGTAAGACGTTGACGACTGCAAATACATCAAACTTACAAAACGATTGAAACTAACCCAGTTCGGGTGCGTCTCGCGACACGAGGTACATTGCACCTTGAAGGTGTAGTAGTAAGGGTTCTCCTCGGTATCAGTCGGCTTCAAGCCGGTTACACTGCAAAGAGTAGATCAGGGTTCATGTTCACATTGTTTCATTGTTTCCGAAGCACAATGGTCACGAAGACGCATGTCCCAGCAAAAGTTCATGCTTTTTGGTGGGGGAAGGCGGGGCGCCTCGGCTCGCGCATGAAAAGCAAAACATGCCAGAGCCGATGTAAGGTGACCAAGGTACTCAACTCACCCTTCCAGTTCGGCGGTGAGTGTGAGGGTAAGCATTATGCAGCGAAGACTTTGGGTCGTGTTGTACGCTGGAGGAATCTCGCGTTGTAAGAGAGAGTTGCGGATGACGCTTGGTGGAGACGGAAATCCAACCGGGCTTGGCATGTGACCACTTGATACTGGACGCCATCCATGTTGCGCGCACTTTGTGTAGTTCCACGTCCTGATGGTCCTGTACATTATTGCAGGCCACACCTCAAGATTGCAAGATCTTGCTGTGGTCATGATGAAGCTAGGTCATAGGTAGAAAAAATAAATTCAAATATTGCATTGAGAGATAAACGTCAAACGCCACATATGCACAAGACTATGGTTGCAGACAATATGAATGAATATATACAGGAAAACTCGAAAAGAAAAGACATGCTAGTCACCAAGCATCAAGCTATATAATCCCGTGAATTTACAGACGGCTTCCTTGCGACGTTGAACCAAGCGACTTGGTCGAGAAGGCGTTGAAGTACTCATTGAGAGCATCAACGGTGCCAGAGCCCTCGACCAACTGAATAGTGCACGCAACATGACCGTCAGGACGAGCCACAACAACACCACCCTTCTCGGCATCAAAGCCAAGCTTCTCGTGAGCAGCAAACTTGGCCTGGGGGACCCGAACGTCAGGAATGTCGTCTGCGTACAAGTGATGATGATAGTCGCGCAATATTTGAGGAATAGACTCGACATCGACCTCATTCTTGTTCCCTGCGTAGATGACAGAGATGGTGAAGAGCTTTGAGTGAGGGTTGTGACGCTCAAAGAACGACACGTTGGCAATGTCGGGTCGACGATAAGCGGACAGGAAGGAACGCTCCTTTTCCAGGTTAGCAGCAAGATCAGCGACGGCCTTGCTAGTCTTAGCCTGCTTGCCGGCAAAGACGTAGATACGGAAAGATCCATTGACGGGGACCTCCTGTTCCAGCTCGACAAAGTTGGCATCCGCAAGACGAGTCACTGTAGTCGGGGTGAAGGCACGGCCAGGGGTCAGTCGGACACCGGAGATGTTGAACAAGCTAGATTTCGCCGAGTGGCTGGCATCCCAGTTGTAGACGTTGGGCTTGTACGCCACTCCGTATCCGCTAGTGAATTCGCAAGAAGACTTGAAAGTCTTGACAAACTCATCCTCATTCTCCTCGTTGCCAGTTGAAACAGCCTTGCTGGCGGAAATCTCGCCAGCGTTCGGACGACGCGTGGAGAACAAGGCTGCGTACTTGGCGTCAAAGTCAAGCAAGGTCTCGGCAATGTCCTTGCGCTCGCTCTCATAGGTGCTCAAGGTGGATCGATCCGCCAAACCACTCTCGACGGCATGAATCTTCCACGCCATGTTGAGCGCATCGTGGAAGGCAGTGTTCATTCCCTGGCCGGCCTTGGGGCTATGGGTGTGGCAAGCATCGCCGCCCATGAACACCCGCTCGTCCAGAGTGTAGTTCTCGGCGATTCCCTGGCCAATAGGATAGACAGAGTACCATTCGACGCGATCCCACTCAATCCAGTAAGGCTTCAAGATGTTTTTGGCGGTCTGTTGCACCTCCTCGGCTGTCGCAGTCTTGCGAGGGTTGAAGTCCGGGTCGGTAGATGAGGCAATTTGGACGTAGAGCCGGACCATGTTGTCCTCACGGGGAATGACCATGATCGAACCAGCATCGGAGTGAATCGTGCACTTGGTCTCAATATCCGGGAAATTGGTGCGAACAACACCATCCATGACGCCCCAGACATAAGCGATGGGGTCCTTGTGACGCATTTTGATGCCCAACTGTTCCCGCACGAAGCTGCGAGCTCCCTCGCCACTGAAGAGGTACTTCGTACGAACGGTCTCAATGACATTGGTGTCGAGACACTTCAGCTTGACTTCAACAGGGTGGTCTGCGGCACCGTCATTCTTGAATTCGACAATAGTCCATGGCCGTTCCACGTGCGTTCCAGCCTTTTCAATCTCGTCCAAGAACACGCGCTCAATCTTGCCTTGATGCACAAGGGTGGTAAATGGATAGCGGGTATCGATGAATCGAGGGCAGCTGGGCCAGCTGCCAGTGCGCGCAATGCCCGATCCGTCGCTCTTAGGATCCCAGAAAGCCACATCGTACACCTTGGCAGGCTCGTAGGCCATGATGGCACGCTTCAAGCCCAGGTTTCGAAGGATCTCCGTCGACCTAGGCTGAATGCCATCTGCACGACCGGTAGCGGTCGGTACCGGGCGGTTATCGATGTGCTTTACTTTATATCCCCATCGTGACATGCACAAGGAGAGAAGCAAACCAACCGGACCTGCACCGACAATGACGATGTCGAAAGTTTCTTGTGGCATGTTGACTGTCGAAGATGGTCCCAATCTTAAATCGAGGGATTGAGGGAAGAGATGGGATAGAAGAAAAATTTCCTATACAAGTGAGGATCTCGATCAAGCAGTATGATTCTGGTTGAGTGCTTCGCGCAGGGAATGTTTTAAAGACGACCAGGTACGCGCGAGATCGAGGGCGTGAGTTTCAGCGGCTTTGGTCTCCTCACATCTATTCTGAACTGCAAGGGCCATGGCTGGCTCATAAATACTCGCGAGCAGATCGGGGTAAGCGGCCCGCATTGTTGTACGAGTGACGATGGGCAGCCCCGGCATTGAAGATCGGTTGAACGTGGAGAGCGGACCCTGCTAAGGCGGCAGTCTCACCAATCACAATGATGATGATGAGGGAAAAGAAAGCCTCAAAGAGAATGTGGGAGGCCTGAAAAAGGAGCTTGATGCCTTGTCCAGACCTCAAGGGGCTGGCGCGCAGACAAATGTATGCGCCCTCGGTGATCGAATGCCGTCTCTGGACCCGAGCCGCCTTGCTCCGTTGATGTCAGTCAGACAGACCTCAGTGGTTCTGAGGATGCGGGGAGGAACTCCACATCTGCACGCATCGGAAAGACTTCTCGGCATGTGGATGAGCCAGCCACGTGACTGCATCATCGGCAGGCTCGGCCGGGACTTCTGACTGGGCGGACTCCGTCTGGAGTGAACATGGCGCCCCTTTGGAATGGCCGGGCCATTTCCCGTCCGAGGGCCGATGGATAATAAAGGCAAATCTGGACGTTGAGATCGGGACATGATAATGGTCACGGTCTCCAAGTAATGAGCCCTGCATCGCTCGAGCACCTGGTAATGGATCGCAACGAATGGAGTGTTGGAGGTCACGAGTATGTTCTGACAGGACAATTGTGACCGGCAAGCGACAATTGAGCATGTGTGACATGCCCTTGAAACTAAAGTCCTATATCGCAATCGAGAATCAGTCACTGAAGCATGGAGTCTCATCTCTGGGCTATGTGAACTCACTGGAACGAAAAAGACGCCCGCAGATGCTTGTGGAGTGTCGCTTGAGGCGTCAATGGTAGCAGGGATGCGATACATGAGAACATAATTCAATCAGGCCATCTGATGAGTTTTATCCTAGCAGTATCTATCAATCCACGCGTCTACGTATCGATAAGAGCAGCGCTGTGTTCAGAACGGCTAACCTAGAGGAGGCGGCTATCACGTCTGCTGTATCGTGCTGGAAGGTCCTTAGTTGACAGGAACAGGGTAGACGTACAATAATTGATTCGAGCTATAAGACATGCTCTATTTGCGATGTGCAAGCTTATGGGAAATTTCGAATCCTCCTTTCATATGCCCAAGCCTTTGGGTGGGCAAATAATTCTGCTGAACCGAAAATCCCAGCTTATAGACCCTTCTGTGACATGCTCAATTGGCAAAGATGAGTTCGCTTCGGCGGTCGATGTACATTTCATGGAATTTCTTCCTTGCCAAAACATGAGCGGGTGCAGCTCACCCCTCAGAGTAGATTTGTGGTTGAGTCCCATCGCAGACCCCTAGATTCAACAATTGAGACATGGGTTTGTATCCCAACTCTTCACCAACTAGATATTAGCCTGGCTTGAGCAGGCATCATTACCCGTACAAAGAGGACATATGATGATTGCTAACGATGTGGGGCTCGGTTGCTCGTCGTCGCTGACGCCTTCCATCTACTCCCAGGCCGTAGCTGGTGATCGTGCACCGCGGACTTGTCATTCTAGATTAGATCTTCATATCGACCACGTCTGGATATGACTTTGCTCGTGGGGGAATATGCGGAGGAAAAGACGTGAAAATTTCTATCAAGCCTGTCAAAATTTTGTGAGGTCTAAGCTCGGATGAGAAGCATAGCAAAGCTGCAAGTGCTGGGGCTTACTTAGACTTTAAAGATGGCGGAGACGAAAGTGGAGGGAAATCAAGGTGATCGATGGCAATACATTTACTAGGTGAAGGACGTTTACTGAGATCAAGTTCAGATCAAGCTTCAACTAGCTCATATAAGACTGCTCTTGCTGCTTGCTCGTGTGAGCTCAGGACATCGAGTTTCCCCAATGTTGGCCGACTTCCTCGCGTCTGGAGGAGAAAGGTACCTTACTTGCCCGATACGGTGATTTTCAAAAAATCATTCAGCGCTATGAGAAACTTGTAACCTCATACACACCCACGGTGGGTCTGTGCGAGAGCAGCCTTGGTATAGCACTTTCGTCTGAATTCGGTATCCGATTAACTATATCAAACAGATTATCTTGTCGCAAGATCAATAGAAGGTCACAGTTATATGCACTGATGACTCCCATATTCTATTGTGCCTTTACTATGTGGGAATACACTAGTCAAAAAAGGGCAACATTCTATAGACTTGTTTACAGCTGATGCCTAGACAAAACGCTCCCCCAGCCTCACGAACCATCGCGAAGGGACAATCAACAACTTAGGGCCTGAAGCCTAAGCTTTTACCAATGAGCGCGTCTCCACAAAGCTTGGCCACGCTTGGCTGGTGCTGGTTTGTCGACTGACGTGTGGTGGACCCACGCAAACAATTGGATTGTCCCCTTTTGGATGACTGCCTGTCTACCACTCTTGTCCCAATAAGGTAATTATCATTGAAGTATAGCAGAATGTTTGCTGATTTACTCAAAACACGATTAGCGTCTCGGAACCTGCCATCACACAATATTCTCGATATTTTGAATAACGCGCTCTTACTTCACTAGGGAACAGGATATAAAACCTTCTATCCAAACTTCCTCTTCCTTCTTTTCCTTTTCTCCAACCCTTTGCACCTTTCCCACTCTCTGCTCCATTCCATTCTCCCAACTCAACACCTTTGCCCACACATTTCCCATCGAAACTCCATTTCCTTGCTACCGCTTAACAACCCTTCTTTTCTCACAACGTTCTGTTTCGTGGTCCATTCCAATTCTACCACTTGACACTCGTTCTCATACATCCTGCCTTTGTGGTGGCATTTCATCCACTCGATACACCCTCTCCCACATTCTCGATTTACGATCTACTTGGTCACACACCACTTTGATATCTTTCCACACACTGGTAGTCTCAACCTTTGCTGTCAAAGGCTTGAGGTGCCATCCTCATTGAGGCTTCTTCACACTCATTACAACACCGTACATCGCACTTAGGACGCAATGGACGCGCACCTCAAGTCCGATTCAATGAGCAACCAGAGCTCCTCCCGAAAGCCAAAGCTTGAGTATCGCAAGCCTTCCCTTCCCCAGCTAAACTTCATCGCCGCTATGAAACAGAATCAGAGATCGGTATCTGCTGATACCAAGCCTACTTTCCACGAGGAAGTTGCCTTTGCACCTGTTGTGCATGCGTCTGAGTCCCTTATCACCAACCGAATTCTCGAGAAACCAAAGCCGGAGTACCGCAAGCCTTCTCTTCCCCACCTCAACTTCATCGCCTCTCTGAAAGAGAACAAGAGATCGGTGTCTGCTGACAACAAGCCTGCTTTCCATGAGGAAGTTGCTCATAAGCCTTCCGTGCATGCACTTGGATCTATTGGCACCAAGCGCACCCCCGAGGAGCCGAAGCTGGAATATCTCAAGCCTTCTCTTCCTCAGCTGAACTCCATCGGTGCTGTGGAACATAGCCAGAGATCGTTCTCTGCGAATACCAAGCCAACTTTCCGTGAGAAAGTTGCCCATAAACCTGTCGTTCACGTGGCAGGGCCTCTTAGCACCAAGCACGCCTCTCAGGCACCGGAGCTTGGCTACTTTGAGCCTGATTTCGACAAGTATTCCCACTCAGGAAGCTCTGATTCAGACATCGCACGCATTTCACAATATTTCAACTCTGGTCGCAATGAATCGCAGTCTCCCATTCAAGCTGAGGGTCTTGCCATTGCTCTCCACCGTCTGACTTCTATTTACGCTGCAAATGTTCAGATGAGACAGGAGCTGGATGATCAGAAGTTCGGCGCGCACACATTTAATTCTCATGCTACCATTCCCACCTCTCAGAAAGTGGCGACTGGACATCGCAAGCAAGATGTTCACAAGCATCCATCCCCAGAACAAAGCCCCTTGTACTCCAGTCCACGACTCCCGGCACATTCTCGATCTGGCTCAGAAGCCACTCAATCTCCGAGCATCAACGGCGTTTTGCGCGACTCTCAGGCTGAGGATCTGATTCTTGCTATGCACCAGCTGACGTCTCTTTACGCTGCCAACATCCAGATGAGAGAGAGCCTTAATGGTCCTAGATCCGCTGGGTACACCCGTTCTGATGGCAAAGAACACCCCGCGTCTAGCAAAGAGCGTCGTATTGATGACTCTGACATCGAGGAACTCATGATTGCTGTGCATGACATGAACACTCTCAATGGGTCCAAAGGCAATTTAAAGCCTGAACTTAAAGTGCCCGAGCCGATGGCGCACAAGCATAGTTCCTCCATTATCAGAAATTGCTCTCGAGATCTTACTGTCAACATTATCAAGCCGGAAATGTGTCAGTTGAATCTCAGCCCTGTGCGCCTTTGTCAAAGACTGCACGTGGATGATCTCAGGCCTGGTGTTTGTCAGCCCTTGTCACTTCAGGCCGACTCTCACTCTAGTGACGCACAGCCTGAGAGTTCCTCCGACAATGAGAGCGATTTATCTGAGCCCGCACCCACTATTTACGTCTCGCCGGTTGCTGAGGGTAGCGAGGCCGAGGCCGAGTCCGAAGCGAACAAGCCCAAGCGTGCCAGTCTCCAATGTGCCATTTTCCATGCTGAACCGGAGCTTTGGTACTTTAGACCTGAGAGCAGCAACTACGATTCATGTGCTACCACATCTATTGTGACCAGCTCAGAACGCGAATGCACCAAGCTTGACTCCTACGGCGCCAGTTCTCCTCTCATTGATCGCTCTGTCCAAGAGCCGGAGGTTGAGTATCTCAAACCTTCCGTCTACCAGCCTCCGTACCCCGGACACAATCCCTGGTACACGGGTCCCCGACTCAGTACATTGCCCTCTCCGGGTCACAATGAGCCCACATCCCCCAGCGTGAAGCACTTTTCTGGCTTTTCTTGGGACGGTGAACTTGAGCGTGGGGAAAGGGACGTCAAAGCCCCCTACGCCGAGGTTTCTAGATTCTCTTTGGACACTGAGTCCGAGGATGATAAGCCTGACACCAACACACCTGCAGCAAAGAGTCTGGATACTGCGCGCCGCTGGTCCTTCCACGACCTTCTTGCCGATTTCCTGCGCCCATCCGAGTCCGGCAGCGTCTCTTCTGGCTCAAGCGAGCTTCCTTCCAAGGAACCGGAGATCGAGCTGCTCAAGCCTACGGTCTACCAGCCACCATACCCTGGACACAACCCCTGGTACACCGGTCCACGACTGGACACACTTCCTTCTCCGGGTTGTGGCGGCCAGAAATCCCTCAGCTTCAAGCATTTCTCGGGTTTCTCGTGGTGTGCTGAGCACGAGAATGATGAGACGGACGTCGACGGTCCCGAGTGCGCCAGCTCGGCCTCTTCCGCTATTCAGGATGATGATAATGAATGGCGGGAGTTGCTGTACCCGGAGGGGCTCAACGTCCCAAGCAAGCAAGACCTGCCCCTTGGCCGGCTTTCTCGCCCACGTGGAGAGGCTGACGAGGCGCTCTCTGAAGCTGTAAGCCCTCCCTCACAGGCAAGCTTCACCTCGACCTTAGCAGACTCCGACGGGTTCACGGAGCCGGTCGCGGTCCCTCCTCCTCAACTGAGCTCAGTGAAAACTGAAATCGACGACCGCGTGCCTAAGCACAAAGTTCTTTGGGGAGAGAACGGCTTGCTGGGGCTGAAGGAAGAGGAGCTCTCTCCCAAGGGTCGCCCCGCGTCTCGGCTTCTGGGTGGTCTCAAGAAGAAGCTGAAGCAGCAGCTCGCCGAATTTGTAAGTGATTCCTCTTATCCCCACCTTATTTCACCTCTCATATCTAATCATAATGTTCAGGTGGACGAGCCTCACTTCGGACTGAAGCGCAAGGCTTCGAATGCGGCTTCTTTTGCGGCGCCAGGTAGCTCACCTGCGTCACTCACAACTTCGCTGGACTCTGACAAGCAGGCCAAGTTGTACGCCGAGCTTGAGGTCCTCATTTGCAACACGGCAAATGACTTCATCCTCGAGCAGTACTACGCTGGTCGGATTTCCCAGCACTCGATCGACAAGGTGAATGCGGGCTGGAACAACAAAAACCAGCACCATGTGAACGAGTTCCGTTTCGACCAGGCGACGCAGCGAGAATTGATCGTTGCCAACCGTCGCCGGATCGCGTTCACGGGTGACTCGGCCCGCTTGCCAATTTGTGTGCAGACAAACTTGCACAATTGGAAATGCCTTGCTCGCGAGATGAGTGTTCGCACGTTTTGCCTCCCGGACAGTGCAATCCGCAAACACCTCTTCGACCTCCGGCAGATCATCACCATGATGAACCCCAAGCTGGATACGTTGATGACCTTTCAGAGAGTCAGCTCTGAGATCAACGACCAGATGCTGGACAAGGAGGTTGCTGAGCGCCGCCGAAGTGAGGCTCTGCGGAAGAAGGGACAACTTCCGCGACACAGATGAGCAGGCTCTGCTGGTCTTTTCCTTTGGCTTTTGGACTTCAAGACCAGGTCTTGAGTGTTGGCTGTTGTTCTGGGCTCGGTGTTGGGTCCTGTTCTGGGTTTGGCGTTGTGTGTGTGGTTCGGGTCCTGAGTTTTGGGCTTTCTTTGCTTTTTTTTTCTAATGATTGATGACGGAATGATTGTACGAGTTTCATGTCACATGTGATACCCCCATATTTGTTAGTTTTCAATTTGAGGCCATCTCACGAGCAGTGAATGGTCTAGCGGCGAGAGACTCCGCCAATGTTTTCGATGTCCTTCCATATGTTCCTTCCAAATTTTTTGTGACTTTGTGTATAATATACAGTACTGCACGCTTGTTGTGATTGATCCACAAATCTGTGAATCCATGCAAGCAAATCACTAATGCGTAGTTGAGGCTTGGTGGTCGGCTGCGGCTGCAAGAAGCTCAAGCTCTCCGAGATGGCACGTGCAACGACGTCATTGGCCCTCACGAGGACAGCACAAGGCAAGCATCCAGCTTTTCCACAACTCACTCAAGCCCACGCACAGCTGGGAGAATTTCTGGCACATCCCAGGCCAGCGCTGCTTCTCCCGCAAGCGAGATCTCATAGGGTGACAAGACAGGGAGAGATATACAGAGCCTAAGCCGAACATGAAGAAGAGGACCTAGCGATCGGTCTCAGATCTCGACGAGACCTTACCACAACAAAAAAAAAAGTGGGACCTTCCCCGTTCGCTATGACGGGCCCAGTGTTCCATACTTATGGCTCAGGGTGCCTCCTGGCAGATGAAGAACCAGAGCTTTCAAGTCTATACGAGCTCGACACGCCGCCAGACATTCGCACACAATTCTTCTACGTGTCCTCCCTGCCGATAGACGATCCGCTCGCTCCCCTTCCGCCACTGTCGAGCGGTCAAGCTCCAGAAGATGACCGGAGCCCTCCAAAGCCCTTCTCGGCCAGAGACAATATAGCCTTGGAAAAGTCCTGGCGTGAGCTTGGTAAGGCCCGGGAGGCTAGTCCTGCGCCAGAGAGATGTTCAAAGCCGATTGAGACGCACTCGATCTCCTCGGGAATCGCCGTCCCGGGTCGGGATGTCCTCGAAAAATTCCCGAAGATAGCGTCCCAAGGAGATACGAGTCTGCCGAGTACTGTGAGCACGTATGGGGAGCAAGCTTCACTTCCAAATAGGCTGGCTCATAGGAGTTCAAAGGGCCAGGCCAGCAATACCGGCGTGAGCTTTGATGCCCAGCTTGAGAGTCGTGGCGAAGGGCGCTCGTTGGGCTCTTCTGGAAACGACAAGATGGAGAGCGAGAGTCTAACAAGTGGCACTGGTGAGATCAACAGGAAGAGAGATCGCTCGAGCTCTCTGAATGAGCCGTCAATGAAAAAGAGAAGCAATTTCTCATTAAATCACGACGCCGATGAGCACTACGACGAAGCCCCGAGTGTTCATGCCAACCGCTCACGAGATGCAAGTATCAGTGGCTCGCCCTTCATCAGAGCCCCAGCTCTCCATTCACATAGTCCGTATGGTCGCTCCATTGAGTCCATACCGCCCAAAGATGGGGCCCAAGACGAACGCCCGGAAACTCGAGGTCTAGGCACGTCCCACGGCTCTCACGGACTGTCTAAACCGTCAGCTCTTAGAGGTAGCATGGTGGCAGAGGAAGGGGTAAAGGAGAGGGTCAATGTAGAGGACATCCTAGAAGAGCCTCAATTGAAGATACCTGTGGGGGCCTCCCGTCTACATCTTGTTGAGCTTCCCAATTTGAAGGTGCGGATAAGTCTCTCCCATATTTGATCATAAGCTGAACGACCCTGACAATCGCAGATGAAACCGATCTACTGGAGTCCGCTCCACGATGTGTCGAGTGTGGTTCGAGCTACTTGGTTCTACAAAAATACTATGATGCCCGTTGAGACAGATCTTGCCAACAAATTAGAGGAAGGCTACGTGTATTTGAGACCTTGGACGCAGACATGGCAAGACGAGCTGAACAGCTGTGTTGAGAATGGCGCCGAGGCGGAGATGAAAGTCGTGCATCATCTTTGGCCAAAGGCCGATCCTACTTCAGCTAGTCGACCCGGCACTGCTCAGGAACTCAATCCAGCAAGCAGTGAGCGTGACGTGAATCATCGCCCGGAAGAACTCCAGTTTGATCTGAATCGTGCTGCAGGGGATGTGGCCAACCGGGCCGAAGCAGTGAAGCCTTACCTGACTTCGAGTGCCATCTATGTGGATGCTCGGAATGCCCAGATTCTGCGACCAAGCCTGCTTCCCTCGGTCGCTAGAGGAAGAAGACCTCTGAGCGCAATTCGAAAGGAGCGACAAATCGGTATACCGGTTGTTCGTGGGTTTAGTCGCAAGAGGTGGGACCAACTTCACCCATCTAAAGCGAGCCCAGTTGATGTTCGCCACTACATCCGCAAAACTCAAGGTCAAGCTACCGCCCCAGCCCCAGGAGTGCCAGTATGCTATGCGTGCAGAATGGAGGAAATGCGTCCGACGCCGTCCGATTTGGTATTCGTCGTCCATGGCATCGGTCAGAAGTTGTCTGAGCGAATGGAGAGCTTTCACTTTACCCACGCTATCAACGCCTTCCGCCGTCAAGTAAACATGGAACTACACAATGACCCCGTTTGGCCGCATGTGAGGCAAGAGCATGGGGGAATAATGGTCCTGCCGGTCAACTGGAGAGCCACATTATCCTTGGAAGATCCATCTTTTGATGGTCCAGAGTCGGCCGAGCCAGCGCCAAACAATTACACTCTGAAAGACATCACGCCTGAAACTCTTCCTGCTGTTCGGTCTCTGATTAGTGATGTCATGCTAGACATTCCCTACTACTTGTCCCATCACAAGCCGAAGATGATCCGAGCTGTTGTCCGAGAGGCCAATCGCATCTATCGCCTGTGGTGTGAGAACAACCCGGGGTTCCAGGACAACGGCCGGATTCATCTCATTGCTCATTCTCTGGGAAGTGTCATGGCAGTTGATATTCTGAGTCACCAGCCCACCGCGGTTCCGCGCTTTGATCTCGCTTCCACGCCCCTTCATAGTGATATCTTTGAATTCGACACGAATAATCTGTTTCTCTGTGGAAGTCCTGTCGGGTTCTTTCTGCTTTTGAACAAAGGTACGTCTTTCAAAAGAAGTAGATGGATCTTTGATGGCTGACTACATTGTCTGTGATAGCAAATCTGCTCCCACGCAAAGGCAGGAATAAACCAGGAAGTGAAGGCGACGACCGCCTGCGCGGGGTCGCTGGAGAGGCCGGTCAATATGGCTGCCTCGCTGTGGACAACATGTACAATATCGTGCACACTACGGATCGTAGGTGCCATCATTCTTTCCCGCTTTGTCTTATGGGATCATCAGCTAAGAAACATCCAAGCAATCGCGTACCGCGTCAATGCTGCCGTAGACTGTGACCTCGCCAGTTCGTTGAAGGTTGCGTCACTGCCCAGCTCGACCTCTTCGTTTATACAATCTTTTGGCAGCGTTTTCCGATGGGGATCCACTCCAGGATTGTCAGCCACATCGGCAGTGCGTCCACCAATGACCGCGAAACTTCCCTCGACTGTCGAGATGGAGACACACGACTTCACTCGGGAAGAGATCGCTGAAAAACGCATGCTACTTCTCAACGACAATGGCCAAATTGACTATTTCCTGTCCGGCGGCGGTGGCCCTCTCAACATCCAGTACCTGAACATGCTTAGCGCCCATAGCAGTTACTGGATCCTCCCGGAGTTTGTTCGATTTCTAGTCGTCGAAATCGCCCGCAAGCAGGGACGTGACGGGACGCTTGCTCCTTTCAAGGCAGAGAAGAAGAAAGAGTGGAAGTATTCCAAAGGGTAATGTGCTGTGCGGGTCATTGTCACAGTGTTTCGAGACCAGATTTGAAGCTGTTGTCTGTGTCAGCTTCTTCTTCTTCTTTCTCTACCTATATGGCAATGCGATGTGATTTCTAGAGGGGAAGTTTTTCGGGATAAATTTCATACAGAGCGACGACATGAATAGATCCGCAAGATACCAAAAAATGTATAATCATCAGTATCTTTCTTTCAATGCTTAAGGTTCCAGTCACATCATGTCACCACACTCAAACCTAGCTGGCTCACAAAGTGTCTTAGCATTCAAGAGCCACGCTGTCCCACATGAAACCATAGGCCTAAGTTGAGTGCGCTGGAGTTGAAGAGCAAGTGGGAATCCTTTCGTCTTTCTAACTGTGAAGCCACAAAGTAAACATGAAGCACATAAGGATACAGCAAACATTTCCCCCAGCCAGAGTATGAGCATCGATTCTAAGACGGTCCAATCGTCCGGTTCACCTTCCGAACCCCCCTCCAGTAGCTTTGACTCGTGATTCTTCTCCCGTGTCGCGAAGAATAGGCGATTCTCCAAGCAGAATACCTCGGCGCTCTCGTACTCGCGGCCATCTAGAAGTTGTATGAGGGCTTGGCGACTCTGGAACGCTTGTTCCGTAAGACGATGATGACCCTTCCGCGCGTACATATATATCGTAATTGTGTCTAGGCTTCGAATCGACTCCGGGATGGGGGCGAGATCTTCAAAATTTGAGTCAGGAGTGAATGAGTAAAAAACAGTAAATGAGAGACCTATAGCGGTCTAAAGGCACAGGAAGTTAGAAGTAGCACGAGATCGGAACAGGAACGGGTTGGGGAGAGGAAGGAGGGAAAACCTCCATGCCGGCATTTACTGAACTTGAGATACTGTAGTCGCATAGAATCTGTTTAAAATACTATAGGAATACTGCAGTCCAATCCGAATGTTCGATAATACTATATCACTGCGGTATCTTTTTGCATTCGGTATCTTGGTATCGTAGCGCGCACAGTATTTTTTTGTCATATGATGATATGGTATTGACTCACATATGGCTTCGCCAAAATCTTGCTGTATCGGCATGAAGCAGTATTACTATAGCACTTTGAAAGAATCCAGTAATCCTATAGATCCCAAGCGGTATTCATATTAATATAGTATTATCTCGTATATGGCTTTGCTTAGATTCGACTGTAATCAATAATAAGACGGTAATAAAAGGTCCTTTCTATTAATAGAAAGTATACGAGCCCTAGGTACGTCGCGAACCCGGTCTAGTCCTTCGCTATCTAAGTAGATAATCTCTATTAGTTCCTCCTATAGGATAAGATTACCGAGTTCACCGCGCTCTCTCCGGTAGATAGAGCTCCTTTAATCTATCTTAAGAGCTACAGCCTACAGCCGAGCCTAAGATAATCGTCTAGTATAAAAATCTAAAGGATATTAGACAGAATTAAAAGCTATTCAACACTTATTCTTACTCTTACTTTACTCTTACTTTACTCTTACTTTACTCTTACTTTACTCTTACTTTACTCTTACTTTACTCTTACTTTACTCTTACTTTACTCTTACTTTACTCTTACTTTACTCTTACTTTACTCTTACTTTACTCTTACTTTACTCTTACTTTACTCTTACTTTACTCTTACTTTACTCTTACTTTACTCTTACTTTACTCTTACTCTTACTTTACTCTTACTTTACTCTTACTTTTACTTTACTCTCACTCATTCGGGCCTCGGATTGGGACTTATGACCCTCGAGACTCTCGAGCCGAATTCAGGCTTTGGAAGCCCAAAACAAGGTTCTTTGTGAACATTATATTACACGAGCCGCAGAAACCAAGATCTGCAGAGACGTTCGCTTACGAACTATACTTACCTATTACCGCCCACGCGTGGACAAGGTGGAGAAGACTCCGGAAGAACAAGAAATATGCGATATAGTAACAAAGTCAAACCAAACGAGAGTCTCGACATTGCCCTCGAGAGTCTCGACATTGCCTTGTGTTTCTGACCATAGTAAATGTCGAATCGTTCCAACCGTCCTTCAGGAGGCTCTTATCAAATAGAAATCTCAGCAGGTGCCACTCCCTAGCAGCCGTCGCGGAGCGATACAGAGATGGGATCACTGGGAAGTAACGCGGACCCGCGGGTCATATTACCCACCTGCACTCCGTTGGCCAAGATATTCGAGCTTGCTTCGGAAGCATACCCCGCCACGGAGACGATCAGCTCGGGGGCCGCCGACTCTCGTATACCAGGGGTGCTGAATCGCACAGTCCAGTTCCCTCTATCGGTCTGGCCAAAAGACTTATCACTCGTTTGAGACCTGCCAACGTGTAGGTCAAATCCGCCGGGCAGGCAGCGACCAAGCCATGCTGATACGGAGCGCCTCCGTGCAAGAAACCATACCTGTACCGGTCAAAGTCCCCGATCTGGAAGAGCTTTTCCTTGGGAGATATCTTCCCGGGGAGATGGCCGAGATTGGTACGTTTCGATTTCTTGATGGTCACTTTGACCTCGAGGAATGGGGTGGACACATCGGCGATGAAACTTCCGTTGGACCAGGCTTGTCGACCATATGTTCCGGCACGCTCGTTGGGGAGTTCGAATTTTCCGCTTTTGTCGGCATAGATCGTGTATTAATAGTCGGTGCCCATGTCCAGGGTAGTCTTGGTGGGATCTGGATCGCCCAGGAACACTGCCGCGGTGGAGGCAGGTCGGCCGTCTAAGAGAGTGAGTCTGCCCGTGACCACACCGCGCGGCTGTGATAGCCTTCGTCTGCGAGCCATTTGTATGGCCATGATTGAGATTCTTCTGCGGCGCGTTGGGTCACGTCTTCCTTGTCGCCGTCGATCTTTGACTGTAGATTTAGCAAAGGGTTGAAGAAGTTGAAGATGATCCGGAAGAGTAAAAGGGTGCTGGACGAACAAGATACCCAAGCCAAGGCCCCCATATCTTTCCCTCCGGGGGGAGATCCTTTGACGAGGCCATGAAAGGCGTCCCATGGATCATGTTGAGCTGGACAACATCGCCAGTGGTGGATTCTCGACGCACCTGGGGCCGTGGTCAGTCAACTCATATTCTCTGCCCTGCCTTCCATTCTCTCACATCCCACATTTTTCCCCGAAAAACCCCCACAAACATATCATCAACTCCTGCTTCAAGTGATCTCCCTTGTAGCAATCCTTCCCAGGGTTAATATACCAGCTTTCAACGCCCTCTCCATACACACCAAAGAAGTCCTGGTTCCGTGAGCATGCCGTAAAGTCATACTGGGTAATGTAACCGCTGCCATCCGGCCCCAGCCAGGTCTCTCGCCTTGCACCTTGTTCTGCGGTAGATAGTCACTCAGTAGCGGCAGCTCTTCATCCTTGATATCTGTTCGGCCCCTGCTCAAAGTGGTATTTTCGAGCCGCCAGAGAGTCTGAAACTCACCTAGCACAGGAAGGGCACGGTTCACAAAATCTTGATACGCTCCTGACATTCCGGCAAACACCACCTGAGAGACCTACAGCGGTCGAAATGCACAGAAAGCAGCACGAGATCGGAACGGGTTGGGGAGATGAAAGAGGGAAAACCTGCCCACGCAGGGAAAACCCTCCAAACCTCTCAACACAAGGGAACAGCTGGTCCTGGCCACGCAAACCACGCAGCACCGAGGGAGGAACTCCATCACCTCCCAATGCATATCTCCCTTGATCGCCGTGAAAGCGATGTCAATGAACTTCTTGCTGCGGGATGTTTCCCGCTTGGTGATGGATGCCGAGGTCCAGTTCAAGTTCGATGCAGCGCCCCATCTGTGATTTGGCATGGACCGGGTTCAATTAGCTCTATCGTCACTTCCCAGCCGGAGAGACGCCCGAGACACTGATGGGGCTCTTCTTCTCTGTTGAGGGTCTTGGTCGATGGATCATACGCACTGTAGCTCACGTAATGGCCAGCAGCTGTGCGTCTCCAATACAGTCTCTTCCATTATACATCAACTTGACGCCGTAGGTCGACTCTGGGGTGAGATTCCAGACATTGTTACCGAAACTCCACGACGAGCCGTCGAGCTGGGTCAAAAAGGGGCTCCGGGGAGGCATGCTTGGCAGGGAAAGCGTCTGCACCGATGCCGAAGAGTCAGACTGCAGCGAGAAAGGACAGTTGCATCATCTTTGTCGGGTCTTGGTCAAATAGGAGATTCAAGTGTACTATGAGAAGGGGTGGTTTTGGATGTGGCTGTGGTCGATTATCACACTCCTGCCCTGGAGTATTCATCAATACCCTGGAGTACCGTATATAACATTTACCCATCGATATCGTTCCAACATAACCCCTATGCAAGTGACCTTCACACCTGCAAATCAAAAGTTTTTTTTCCATGAGCGTGGGACCCAACCCCCGTCTCCATTTGTACATTGAGCAAAAGCACCATTGGAGGAACCCCGCGTTACCGGCGGAGCGCCTGTGTCTGGCTGTCTGTCACTCTGCACCGTGTCAAGCTCGGTAGAATGTATGCCGAAGGGAGAAGCATCGAGAGGCCCCTTTGTCCAGTGGCCTGTAGCGTACCTCCGACATAGGCCACCGGATCACAGCATCGCTGAATTCCTCCTCGTTTGCTTGGCGATTGCGCAGGCCAGCAGGCCGCGGAGAGTTTAAAAACGGCAGGAGCAAGCCAAGCCTCGCACCCAGACAAGCCGAGTACTGGAATGGAGAAAACAACAACATTGAAAAGCACTGGCGGTCTCTGGCACAACCCGATACCTCCAGTCCAGAGAGCACACAAGTCACTCTCCGACCAACCGATGTTGTTGATGATCGGCCATCCGATTCGATATCCTGCTATGTGACTAGTGGATTTCCTTTAGTTACTGGAAGGTTTCACGGTGACATACAGCTTGCCTGTCGGTGGATCAAAGACAATCTTGAAGATTCTTGACTTATCTGGGCCTACTCCACAGCTGATCGTCTGTCTGTGGAGTCAAGTCGGCTGAGATCTTCACAGCCGGTACTATGAGCCCGTGGGGAAGTTGAATTGACGTGCTCATACGCAGCATGGAACTTGCCAGCGGTCATGGCTGACCCACGGCCCATCTTGACGTTGTGTGTTCCGTCAGATGAACTGCCCTTCCTGTGAGATTGCTCAGCTTGCTAAGGGAAGATGAAGCCAGGAGATTCATGGCGGTGATCCTGGTGAAGTGCTATCTGGGTCAAGTTTGTCACAGGTCATAGTACTGTAACCGTTGTAGCGACACGACCACAGAGCCATCCTACATCGGAGCAGGTGGTTCGACAGTAAGTCTCCATTTTGATCATGACTGGAGGGCAAGAATTGAAAGACAAAAGAAAAGAAAAGAAAGACGTGAGGTAACCCGGGACAGCACTGCAGGCGTCCGGTGGAGGGGTACCAAGCCGAAATATCAAAAAAGAAACTCTCCCTCGGGGAATCGAACCCCGGTCTCCCGCGCTTATCAGTGGTGGTGACAAGCGGAAATCATGACCACTAGACCAAGGAAGATGCGATGATCGAGTTACTGCTCGACCACTTGGTGCTGGTTGATGTGAACAGCGACGAGTTTTGAAAATATATTTCAACAATGATCTATGAATCGATCACCCCAATTCTGCGTACGGACATTGTCCATCTCAAATCCCTTCACATTAAGAGATAAGGTTTGAGATACCAATTTCCTGGGTAGAGTCAATTTTGGGCTCGTGTTTACTTTTGCAACCATTCGAATACCAACGCCCGGTAAATTGCACCTTTCTCGCCTCGATTCCATGTGTGAGGCAGCCCGTAGCCCTCGACAAGGCTATCTTCCCGGGCATGCGGTATCTCACGACGTATATATTTTGGCTTGCAGCCGCGCGAAGCTCACACTTAGTAGGTTGAGGTTCCAGCCATTTCGCCATGCCCGCCGTCCCTATGCCACCCAACAGCCGACAGGTCCCCTCCTGCACTGGACAGGTCTCAAAGACTCTCGTGACCTCAGATATGCCCGAACTACAAAGCCTGCTACTTCGTAAGCGAAATTTGGTCTCAACTGAGCGTACTGTGCAAGCGGGGCTTCCCTGCGAAGAAATGGATGACTTGCTCCAAGCCCTAACCAAACCTAACGGCGCAGGTGAGCCTACTCCGACGACGGCTCGACTGCGACGGGACGTAGTCCCGCACCGCAAAGCTACCTACCTAGATACCGTCGGACAGATAAAACTTGGTATCCCGATTGTCAACCAACCCCCTCGGGAGGCTAAGGTTTAGCGCACAACTCTTCTCTATCCTCGGGGCCGTCCCGTCGATGTCTAGATCGTGACCCGTCGCCATATTCTTGAAGCCAAGCCTCATTCTCTCAAAGCATGGACTCACATCTGGAACTTGTAAAGATAGTATAGTATCTCTCAGGCCGCCGTCTTGGCCGTCAGCCTGAGCCGTGAGCCTGGTTCTGTGTCTTCACTTGTTGAAAGAGTGTAACGCTTGCCATGATCGAGCCCAGAGACCGATTGTCCACGAATGGGTAGGTACCATTGTGAAGGTGCAGCGAGTGAGATATACTTCTAGCAGCAGCAGCAGCAGCAGCAGCAGCAAGGAAGGTCAGAGCTTGAAAGCGAGGAGAACAAGAAGGTTGATCATGGATGCCCAATCCACCACCTCGGCAAATCGCAGGTGGCTTCAGGCCAAGTGAGGGTTCAAGAAAGCCGTCGACGAGGGTTTACGAGCAATGGTGAGACTAACGCGAGAGGGGCACCTAGCAGAGGCGAAGGACTTACTTATCACTGCATTTCCTTCATCCGACTCGGTGGACCCAGATATAGGATCCGTTGGTGTCGGCACAAGACTTTTGGCCTCGACGAAGAGGGGGCCCTGGTATATATGCCTGGAGATGACAGCGGCGTCATGGCAAAGTTGGCCTCATAGGCTCGGGCAGGGAAATGTTGTGTCTCAAAGACAGTTCAGTCCACCAACCCATCCGTCCGGCCATTTGGACATGCTCACTGACGAAGGGTGTGCCCACCCAGTCGCACAGCGTGTTGTCGCTTTCCAATGTCTGTATGCTGCCTTCCTTGATGGACCGCTGTTTCTGCGATGGGAGTATACGACTGACAAGACAGGCGTGCATAGCTTGCCTATCGAGGTGTACCGCCAAGCCAGCAGACGTCGCCGAAGTATTCCGATATTTGCAGGATGCGTTGTCACAGTGAGATAATCAGAGTCGACGTCTCATTCTGAGTCAGCTATCGAGCATGGTCCTGGGAGGCAGAGTTCAAGCCTCGGTTGAGATGTGACATTCATGTGTTTAGCACCCGGTCTCCACCGTACACTTTTCTTCCAGCTCTGGACACTTTGCAGACTGTCTTCATGTGTCCTGAAGAAATGAGATAGTTCCTAGCGGATCTGTTCATTGCCTGGATGTGACTGAGGTGAGAGATATGGACACGTATTGCAGGACCTATGTCACTATATCGTCACGTGTGGTGATACGAGAGGAATCCCGTGGTACAGCATGCTCGTTCGCCTTGGGAGGGAGATCGAGGGCTGCTCCAGAGCTTCTAATATCCGTGGAGGACCCTTGGGAATTTGTACCCAGCAGTCTCCGAAGCTTGATTGATCTGGTAGACTTTGCACTGATCCACAGAAGGGACTGATTACGATGGATGACGCATTTTGGGCAGGCGAAAAGGAGAATGACATCTTCGAGGGTCTTATCTCCCTTGCTGAACGTGACATCTCACCCCGATGATACTATCTAACGACCTGAAATTACGTTGCACTTGATTTGGTGCGCACCATCATGAGCGAGGTTCAACCGTTTCTTCATTCCCCTGAGCTGAGAGGAGCGCGAGTCCTCTCTGGACACCACGCCGCCACTTGGGCCTTCTCTCCGCCACATTCTTGATGTGGGTGACCGCGACAGCTCAACGGATGTGCTTGGTGTAGCGCTAACTTTCCCCCAGTGTCAACTGTAGGGTTGGTACAGCCATTTTTTCCGTGCCGTCCTCTACTGCCCAGAGCGCGGGAAGCGCTGGCGCCCGCTCTGATCTTCTGGCTCATCGGGTTCATCCAATCGTTCTGCGGGTTCTGCATTTGGCTCGAACTAGGAAGTGTATTGCCTCGCAGTGGTGGAGAGAAGGCGTGTCTAGAGGCGGCGTATCTGCGTCCTCCCTTGCTGGCGACCACCATATTCGCCGTACATGTTGTGGTCCCAGGGTTCACAGGTACCGCCTTCATCTTCCTTTGCAATACTCAGCCGGCTCGGTGGCTAACACATTGGTTAGGAATTGGTAGCATCATGGCCGCTGAGAATATTCTCCTGGCTGTTCATGGAACTGCGAATGACTGGATCAAGCGCAGTATCGTTGTTGCTCTTGTGGTGGGCGTAGCATCGCTACACATTTTCGGAAAGAATCTCAGCATCAGGATCATGGTCGGTATCTCGATCAGAGAACCAAGAGGGAGATTGATTGCTGATGACTGAAAGACAGAATATTCTGGCATCTTGAAAGATACTGATTCTTGCATTGATTGTGATCGCTGGCTAAAGAGCTGCTCGGGGTGACTTACCAGATGTACCCCATCCCGGCGGCAGCTTTGCGCACCCTTTTGCTGGGTCTTCCACCAGTGTGTTCGACTATGAAGTTGCTCTGTTCAAGGTTCTTGCCGCCTAACAAGGCTGGTCCAGTGCAGCCTATGTTATGGACGAGATTAAAGATCCCAAGAGAACGCTCAAGTGGGCGGGGATCCTTGAAGCCGGCTCGGTCGGCCTTCTCTACCTCTTAGTGAATGTGGCCTATTTCACGGTCGCCACACCACAAGAGCTCAGTGAAACGGGTGTCACTGTAGTTGCACTCCTCGTTGGGAGGGCCTTTGGACCAAGGATGCAATGGCTTGCTGCTTTTTTGGCAGCTCTATCGTCTCTGGGCAACCTGATGACTGCGTCTTTCCCCATTTTACGGGTGATTCAAGGGCTGACGACGGAAGGTGTCGTTCCCTTCCCTTCCTTCTTTGCCAGTCGAACATCCAGTGGCCGTCCTGCTGCTAGTACCTTCTTGCTTGTGTTTCTACCTTCTGTTCTAATGGTAACTCTTATGCCCCTTTGTTATGTGTCCACCCATCGTCACGATGACCTGTCCCATCTTCTAATCCGAGCAACAGAAGACACATACAATTCCTTACTTGACGTTGGACAATACGCCATGGCCATAATTCTCTTTTTCGTCGTTGCTGGTTTTTTCATCATTAGAAATCGGGTAGCCTATCCCCCACGAACCTTCAAGGTTTGGTCCAGTGTCGCCCATATCTATCTCGCCGTGCAGTCCTTCCTGGTCATTCTTCCCCTGGCTGGCTCTGGCAAAAGCGACACCCACCTACCTTCTTGGCTGACGCCCGTGGGTGGACTCCTGACTGTCGGCTTCAGCTGTGTCTACTGGAGCTATTTGTGGTATATCCTGCCGAAGATTGGGAACATTATCTGGCAAAAGAGAATATCGACGTGTTCGGATGGCGCTGCCGCGGTTGTCTGCGAACGTCGGTATCTATCATGAGACCTGTATACAGAGCGAATTAGGAAGCAAGCCACGCCATAGAAATGATGTTGTGACATTTTCGGAACGATCAGCTCTCTTCAATGTGTCTAGAGAGCGATTATTTCCCATGACCGACCTCACCCTAGAGGACTTCCCAGTCCAAGCTATTACACCTCGGTTTATGGAAGATAATCGTCATGTCAGTGAAACGCATTCGATCACTACTCATTTTTCATCACACCGGGCTCTGGTCATTACTGTAGCCTACGTTATTTGCGTTTTTTTCGTGATACACTACAAATCTCTTCGTATAAAAAAGAGAATCGCCAAGTATATCGCTGCGGTTCGTAGTTCTCGGACTGCATTTCTAACCCACCGAGCCTGTCTGACCTCTTTACACGTCCACAGTGTGATCTAGGGACCTCAGATTCGTCAGATTCACAAGGAAACAAGCACAACTTGCGGACTCAGCAATACAGTGAGTCACCCCCGGACGCTTTTACCATTGGTACCACCGGTGCCAGGCTACTTATAAGGGAATTATCTGATGGCAGATTATGAACAAATCCCGAGCAACTCGAAGCTTTCTAACAAGCGAACACTCAGACTAAGTGAAAAGCATACAGTGGACAATCTTATCACGCTGCAGGAGTAGTGGTGTCTTCTTCCTTGATATTGCAAGGACTTCGATGTCTGGCTGATGTTGTTCGAGAGAATGATATCAAGTAAACCTAGTTCATTTGGGATAACGAAATAGCCGAGCGCTTCTCTGTGCAGATCGTCATCACCGGTCATCTCGTTGTCTTTGGCGGAAGGATTGTGCTATCCCGACTCCTGTCTCACCACAGACTTTGTTCCAGTTCCTCATAGCTCTAGGGTAAGGCCTTGCTCGGCAGTCAGACTACGACGTCCATTCTTCTTTTCGATGGTTCACCAAAAGAAAGCTCAATGGATTTCCAATTGTAGACACGAGTCGGTTTCCGATTGTAGACCCTCCGGAATTGAGGAATCTTGCCTGAATTTGAGTACAAAGAAGCTTTTAAAAACCGCTGACAGAAACCTGACCGCCGTTATTCAGAAGCCTGCGTATCGCAGCTATAGACAGGGCCCATCATTAAAGCCTCCACAAGAACACCCTTTTTTGCAACGCCGTTCCCAGGACGTAATACAATGAGCGCATTAGCGGATGCAAGGCTACCGACGCGGGAGCTTCGCTGACCAGTGCCGCTTACACCGGTGCTGGTTGCGTACAATCGCCCATCAGCGCGCGAGGCAGCAACAGTGGCGCGATGATACTCGGTACGCTTTGAATCCAGTGGGAAATCATGAGTCAACACGACTGACACCAGTGGCAGGCCGCTTCGCGGACCCATGAGTGCCACCGAGCTTGTAGCTGGGAGTTTTTCGCTCAGACCAGAGAGCTTGTGCAGTGAAGGCAAGACAAACAGATTGAGGGTTACCAACGCCGAAGCTGGATTACCTGGAAGAGCAAAAACCAGCTTCGGCTTTCGCTCCTTTTGATGCGTCTCAGTGCCCTCGGTTGCGGTCTCTTTAAATGAAATAGTGGCGAATGTGGTAGGTTTACCGGGTTTCATCGAGACACGGCCGAAATGAATTGTACCACCGAGCGATCTTTCGATCGTGGGCTTAAGCAAATCAAGCTCGCCCATAGACACGCCACCAGTAGTGACAATGACCTCAACGCTGGAGGAAGCTCGGCCAACACCGCGAAGCGAATCACGCAAGGCGTGCTCAATCTCGCCGGCTGGAGTGTCGCGCGCAATGCCCAAATCAACGGTAGGGAAGCCCCAAGATTGAAGACAAGATAGAAGGGACGGACGATTAGAGTCGCGAATCTGACCCCCCGTGAGAGAGCGGGGGTCATCATGCTCCACCAGCTCATCGCCAGTGCTCAAGACACCAACGCAAGGCTTCTTGTATACTTTTACGGAACGGACTCCGGTGGCTGCTAGCAGCCCAATTTCTCCACCAACCGGGGAGATGATGTCTCCTCGAGAGAGGATTTTCGATCCCAAAGTGACATCGCTACCAGGCTCTCGAACATTCTCCCCCGGGCGAATGTCGTTAGTCAAAATCTCGACAGTCGCCTCTTCTGTGCCGTCTGCGGTAGTTGAAGCCAAGACTGTATCCTCGACCATGACTACAGCGTTTGCGTTTGGCGGAAGCGGTGCTCCCGTGGTAATTCTTGCAATGGTCCCAGGCATCAGCGGCTGTAGCTTTCCACCCACGTTGGCGTGAGTGACTGAAGCTACGGGAAATACACCTTTCGTGTTGGGTCCTGTTGAGGAATCTGATGCAATGACTGCATAACCGTCGACTATGCTGGCCTTGTAAGCAGGTACAGCCTCGGCAGCGTATACATCCTCAGCAATAACCGAACCCACAATAGAAGTATTTACTGGGGCTTCGATTACAGTTGGTGCCGGTGTATGCTCGCTGATTCGCTGTAAAGCTTCCTCGACGGTCAACATAGGGAAAGGCGAGGAACGATGACGCTGGCTGGGACCCACGGATGGGTCATTGGACTGGGGCCTATCCGCAGGAGATGTATGGGCTCGAGGAACTGCATGTCCATGACCATGGTCATGATGGTTGTGGTGGTGATGATGATGATGGTGCTTGTGCTCCTGGGTCTGCGGGGCTTCCCTGGATGTTGTTGTCGATGACAGTCCCGCTTCAGCCTCCAACTTCTGCACACCACCCGCATGCATCTCCCGGGAGCTACCACCGGCGCTTTGCAAGCAGGCATGTGGTAGTAGTTTGATCACAGCTTCGAGATTCTCCACGGCTCCTTTGGGGGACCCAGGCAGAGTGATGATCAGAGATCTTTCACGAACGCCAGCAACTGGGCGAGCCATCATCGCGACTAGAGGGAGCCATTGGTCAGTACCAAACTACGATTCAAAAAGTGTCTTCAATATCGAAGTATCGAGTCAAACTTACATGGGGTAATCTTGAGTGAGGCGGCAATCATGCCGTGGCTGGTTGAGCCTTGATGTCAGTTGCTTCCGAGTTCGGAAATCGCGTGTTAGCTGATTGATCCAAGAGGTACTCACATGAGACCAGGCGCGTGCCGATGTATCAATGGAGATACTGCCTGATGTGCGAGTTAACAAGAATGCAATATGAACCGGCTTCGTGAGATGGGACTGACCTCGGGAGTGTTATCGCGGACAGCGAAACCAGTTCCGCCGCTGAGCAGGATGAGATTATACCAATCAGGTCCATCGGTCCATTCGCATATAGCTTGCTGGATCTGGAATTTGTTGTCAGGCACTATCCTGACAGTGGGAGTCTCCCATTTCCCTTCGCCGGCGAGAACGGGAGTGAGAGCGTTCGCCGTCCTGTCCGAGGTGGGGTCTTTCGAAGCCGTGTCGGAGACAATCAGGATTGCAACGGCGAGCTTCGGAGTAGACTCCGGGCTTGTCATTGTGTCAATGGCCTTGAGTAAGAAGTCTGAGGCCCCGAGGAGTGATAATTGAGAGCAGCAATTGGAGGAAGTAGCTATCTGGTTCTGTGTGGGGAAGGCTCGGAATAAGAAGCTGGAAGAGTGACGAGTTGCCGTTTACCTTATCCTCGGAGGCGGATAACCCTGCGTGACATGTCCACAATACCTGCGACCTCCTTCTGCTAGATCGGTTCAATGTTTTACGTCGCAGATCTATGACCAGCTCATGCTTGTTGAAACACTCATTCCTGGGATTTCGAGTATTTCCAAAAGACCTGCGAACTATCGTCTGGTCTAGCCACACATTCACTGTACATGTGAAAGATCTTTGATTGACTTGGATCTGCAGTTCAGCAAAAACTCCAAAGCTTGCTTCTATAAATCCAGACGCCCTAATGCTTTGTGTACAAGGAGAGGCCACCGAAGCAAAAACAAACAATAGACGTGATGACCGGAAAGATGAGGGGATGAAAAACAATCAAGATCATAAGGCGCAGCTTAACACACGACCGAACTCATAGCCGCTGACAATCATAAACCTCACACCAGTTGAGGGCTTATCTTTACATGGCACCAATGTCCAGGGCCTTACCACCCACGAGAAGACCGACAATGAAGCCGAACAGACCCAGAACAGAGCTGAAAATCTCGATAATGAGAATGCGAACAAAGCTAGACATCATCAGCACGTTAGCAGATGGCCAAGACGGACCACGAGATACCTCGATGAGGTGTATATGGGGAGGCCTTACAGACTGGGATCGGTGGCATCTGCCAGAGCAGCACCACTACCGTTCATACCGACTGAAACACCACAGATCATGTTGCACATACCGACCGTAATGCCTCCCCAGAACAGAGCGTAGCCGGTGTAGTAGTTGCTTTGGGTATAGAGTTCGCTGTCGGGAACTGGAGCAAGCTTGGCCGAGTAGATGATCGCAACGATGAGACCGTAGATGGCGACGACTTCACAGAAGATGATGGACATCAAGTTCTTTGTACAGATACGAGGAGCCCGCACACCACCACCAATGATCGAAGAACCTGTGAGGAAGATTCCCCTACATTGCAGCGACACGTCAGCAACTGGCTTTTTGTGGTAAATATCAGACGCGGGAGAAGAAATTACCATGCAGCACCAACCACGGAACATCCACAGCACATTGCAATGCCGATGTTTGCCCAGGCGTAGGGAGATACTTCTTCCAAGAAGCGGCCGACCTAGAAATTACGTCAACAGCGCGTTCCAAAGAGAAGCTTCGCTGAAGCTGCAGTCGTCCATATTCATACATTAAAAGCTTCACCGTCACCTTGAAACAGCATATCTAAATATCAAAGGCGATCTAATTAGCTTCTGAACAGCTCATAGTGTCAACGGCGCGGAACGTACACAAGCCAACCACCACCAAGGCGGTGGTCAGGACACCGACGCTGTATCGCGGATACATGGCGACCTCGTTCAACCTGAAAATCAAAGAAAGTCAAGGCCTCGGATGTGAAGATTGGGAGGGTGAAAGCGAGGCGCCGAGGAGGGAGCTTGAAGCCTGAAGCTCGACGATCGGAGTTGGAGGTGGAGGAACGGACTCGGTGGCTCGGAGCGGATTAACTGCTCCGTTTTTGGGGGGAAATAATGGCGGGCGGTGGCCTGGTCGATTTCCCCAGATCCACGGGCTCCCAGTTTAGCTATTCTAGACATCGAATTGACGATCGCTGTTTTTTTGTTTTCTTTTACTTTCCCTAGAGATCTGTGTTGGGAGCCTCACCCCTTTGAAAATCCCTCGGATCTTGTGCGCTTATTGAAAGATTGTCGTGACGAGCTCTTTCACTCGGCGAGGCTCTGCATTGTTAACCCCGATTCCCCTGAATTCGCCGCCCCCTCTTCCTCCCCTCCTCCAAATCTCTCGACAACACAGTTCATCACCATGGCTTCTAGTTCTGGGGTCGGGTCGTATTCGAACCCGTTGAAGAAGTTCAAGTAAGCTGTGACTGCACCTTGACCTCGGACAGCAAAGAGGAGCAATGACTGATTAGAATATTAGGCTGGTGTTTCTTGGCGAGCAGAGCGGTATGATACTCTTGCAATGCACTGCGAAAGACGGTTTGTCCTAACATGGATCACAGTCGGCAAAACGTCCCTTATCACGCGGTTCATGTACGATTCGTTCGACAACACATATCAGGCTACCATTGGCATTGACTTCTTGTCCAAGGTAGGAAACCGAGAAGCTTTATGTACAAGCTAAGGTGCGTGACAGGATATGCTGACTCGCGCGCTCGTCCTTGTCTACAGACCATGTACTTGGAAGACCGAACCGTCCGCCTTCAACTCTGGGATACCGCCGGTCAAGAACGTTTCCGCTCGCTTATTCCATCTTACATCCGAGACTCAAGCGTCGCAGTTGTCGTCTACGATATTTCCAACGCCAAGTCCTTCCAGAACACCCGGAAGTGGATCGATGATGTTCGAGGGGAGCGAGGCAATGATGTGATAATCGTTCTCGTGGGTAACAAGACAGATTTGAACGACAAGCGGGAGGTCACCACGGCACAAGGAGAAGAAGAGGCAAAGAAGAACGGTCTGATGTTCATCGAGACAAGTGCGAAAGTCGGGCATAATGTGAAGCAACTGTTCCGAAGAATCGCCCAAGCGTTGCCCGGAATGGACGGCGAGGCTAAGCAAGGGGAAAGCACCAGTAAGAGCCATCGATTGTCAACATCACACTTTATTTTGTTAGAAAAAAGTACTGACTTGGCCAGTGATCGACGTCAACATTCATCCCAAGGAGACCACCAGCAATGACAGCTGTGCATGCTAAAAGGGACAGTTCGCAATGTCAACTTTCTACTCCTCGTTCGCGATATACGGCCGTACGGGTTGCCTTCTAGCTCCGAGGCCTCTCTCACACACACCTTCACATTTAACATGTACATGTTTGTCCTGCTTTTCAAATGGACAGCGTTTGTTCTGGTATCGCAAAGCATCTCCGGCTCTTTTCACTTAATGTTTCACTTGGGGAGGGGCAAGGTCTACCGTTGAATTGCTGGGCATTTGGTGTCCTTTTTCCTTTCTCATCTTTGCGCCACATCGGTCCGAAACACAGCCGAGGCCATTCCTCCCTTACTCCTGGACGTCCCCTCCCCTATTGGCCTCGGCTCCGGTTGTGGAGTTAGTCGGCATGGCATGATATATGAGGCTGTACAATATAATTTTCTTTTTCTGATCGATTAAACACAGGTTTTACATAGAAGTGACTCGATCACAATTGACCGGATGAAAAAGTCTAATATGAGGTGTGACAATTCCAGCGCATGATACAGACTGAGCAGGTCGTGCGAGATTTTGCGAGAACTGCCACAGCTTAGAAGTATGTACTCTCAGCGCAGGTCAACTTACCCCAGACGGCTGTGCTGAAGAGAATGGATTATCAAGTCAGACCATGTCGAATTGCTGTGCACTCCATACAATTTCGGAATTAAAAACAGATTTGCAAGGATCCACTGAGGACTGGCTCGCAACCTTATCAAATCGAGACATTGGATTTGGATGCATTCTCTGTTGGTCAACTGCTCTTGATGCGTGAATAACGATTGGCCCGTAAGTATTAGTGACCGAGCATAGAATTGGCCATAAGAAAACAAGGGTCAAAAAAAGCGGGCAGGGAATACCAGGCAAGTGTCACGCTAGAATGTACATAGACAATGAAGGAAAACAAGTTGAAGGTGAAGGTGAAGGTGAAGGTGAAGGTAAAAATTACTGCAATGTACATAGTCGTAAAGGGAATCGGGGAGTAAAACGAAACGAAAAACACGGGTATCTTTTTTTTTCTCCTCGCGAATATCTCTCTTCAAGGACGCTCCACGTTCCCCTCTTCAGCCGCATCATCGGGTTCCACGGCCGTCGACTCATTGGCCGGCTCAAAAAACGGCGCAAATTTACTCTTCATTCTGAGTCTTTTGCCGAAGAAGTAGAATCCGATCGGAATTGGAACCAGGATGGCGGCGAGACAGCCGAGCAATGTGGATGCCCATTGAATGCCAAGGTTGTTGAACATCTGTCGCGAGAACAGAGGGAAGCCAGCTGCCACGAGTGAACGGCAGAAGGTGTTGGCGGCAATGGCGGAAGCGGCACTAGGGAACAGAAGGAAACGTTAAGTTAGCATGGACATCGCTTTCACCTCGGTTGTGTTTCTTCCGGCTTTAGGGTTTCGAGGGTGCGAAGCGCTCCCTCTGAAAAGCTGCCAGGGCAAACCCATCAAGAATCGTAGACGGAACTTACAACATAAGATATGTGTCGATAAGATAATTGAACAGCTGGATGAAGATCATCAAGAGACCGAATCCAGTGAACAGTCCACTGAGGGTGGGAACGATCCAATGAATGCTATCCGTGAATCCAGTCCATCCGAACCAGAACAGCCCGGCCGCAAACAGAGCACCTCCCACGATGACTGGAGGCAGTCGCCATTCTGGGACCGGGACACCGCCATTCGCTTCCAGCTTGCGATTGTATGCTGGACTGGTCAGGATGATGTAGGCAGCAGCGATGAAGAGACCCGCGACCATGCCGAAAAGAGGCAGACCACCGACTCCAGCGTTCATTCCGTGAACGCCTTGGAAAACGAGGGTATAGGCAGTCAAGAAGCAGTAGAGCAAGCCGTAGATGAAACTCAGGTAAACGGTCACGGCGAGAATCAGAGGTTCCTTGATCAATAGCCGTAGCGGACGGGAAAAGTTGTTGATCACCAGATCTCTCAGGTCAACTTCAATTTCTTCCTGCTTGGCATGGATGCCCCAATTCTTGGTGCGACGGCGCAACTCGGAGGCTTTGTCTACCAGAACCACGGGAGGGTAGGATTCCTTGAGGAAGAAGAGATTCATCAAAAAGGCAGCGAATCCCATGAATGCCGGGATGTACGCCGTGTAACGCCAACCGAGATAGGACATGTTGATGAATCCTCCAATAAAGGGGGCGAGCAGAGGACCCAGGAACACAGTACTCGAGAAACAGGCGATGGCGATACCACGAGTGCGATTGTTGAAGATATCAGAGAAGATGGCAGCGACGACAGCAAGGGGGGAACTGCCAAAGATCCCACAGAAGAAACGGCAAATCATGACGGTTTGCAGATCCTTGGCCACAGCCACACCGATGTTGAAGATGCCGAACCCCAGCATGGCGATGAGAATAGGCAGGCGACGACCTTTCAATTCAGACAGGGGAGCCCAGATCAACGGCCCGGTGGCATATCCGCAGATATAGAGAGAGCTCGACAACGTGGCTACTTCGACGCTCACACCAAATACCGAGGCCACGCTTCTTGTCGAGGCGCTAAAGATTGCCGAATCAAAGGTTGAGCAGATACTGGTGAATGCAAGCATGACGCCGGTCCAGGCTCTAGACATCAAATCGGAATGTGTCAGCTCATTCGATGAACGCAATGGCGAACTCCATTTCGCTGAACTACTTACTTTGTTGTGAAGGACCAATTCTGCGGGTACAAAGGATCATCGGGCCCGTCAAACTCCACCACGTAATCCTCTCGATCTGGTAATTGAGGCGGATATGGCTTGCCCGCACCCATTGGGGGCAGGGGAAGCTTAGAAGGTCGCGACTTGACACTCTCTCCCACCGTCATGGAATGTTGCAGCCGTTGCGTCTCAATGCGACTGAGTGCCTGGGACAGACTTGATCGCCGACGCTCCAGATCGACCTCTGTATTTCGCGATTGGAGGCGATGCACATTTGGATTGTACTCGACCGAGCTACTGGAGCCCGAAGAGGACATGGTTGATACCGATCCCGATGTCGAGGGCCGGGCAGCCCCGGTGGGCTTGGAAGGCTTCTCATCTCCCCATTCGGAGGATCGACGCTGGCCGTTGGCGTCGACCTCGGCCCTTTCGAGGTCGCGATCCACCACGTTACTCATACTGGTGGAAGTGACTCTGTGAATGCGCTGGGTATTCCTGAGGGAATTGTAGTGACGAGAGCAAGGTTGCAGCGTCGAGAGTCTCGGGTTGGCTTAATGATTCATATGGACTGCGCAACCTGGGGAGGGTGGTGGAGGGAGGGACGGAGAGGGAAGAATTCAGAACCTTCGACCGCCGCGGCGATGGCGAGCCAGGCTGCTATTATAAATTGACGATGGGTCAGCTTCATCGTGAACAGACGTGGGTCCCTTCAGAAGAAATGGGGCACAGAACGGGCCAGGATCCCGACTTAACCGTACTGACCCACCTGAAGTGTCGGCTTTGAAGTGGTCGATAGATTTGCCGGCCCAGAGGAGAGTCGGCGTGTCGGATACCAGGCCGATGAGACTTGTCAGGCGCAGGGTGCAGTGTACAGTGTACAATGGTGGAGATGGGTGCCCTGGGCAGGAGGAAACAGTTTGTGCTCGAGTCTGGATTCAAAGATCTGGGGCTCAATTGGGGGGGGGTAGTACACCAGCGGTTGTCACGATCGAAATTTTTGAAAGGGTGGCGGAGAGCGCGTGACGGCTCCATCGAACTATAAGTAGCATCGTTAGGGACCGCTTCAGGTAGGAACTTACTAGTTCACAGTCTAAAGATGACTCCCTAGGTATCGGGTACAAACTTTCACCTTGGCACAGTAGCACTCAGGTAAGTACTTCAGGTAGCTTTGGCCTTGGCCATGTCCAGTCCGAGCCTCTGGTCAATGAGCACAGTGAATGATCATCTCCAGTACTTCACTTGAAGCATTTGCAATCGCGATAGAACCAAGCTTTCTGGCCTTGACAAGAAGTCACTCCTTCACATGCAGCACGTATAATCTACCACGTCCAGACCAATCTGTCCCCCTCCAAATTAAGGGCACCAGATTCGGCATCAGAAGCCAAGGACGGCGTCCCGAAGACGGCCCAGTGGGGCGTGCATGGGCATCCACGCGAAGAACGCACGAGTGGACAGACATGATTTGCATTTTGCCCTGCAGCCACGCCCAGCGGGTCTGATGTCATCCATCTTTTTTTTCTTCGCTGATGCCTCCTATCCATGCGACCATTGAATACCATGATGTTCTTTCTAGTCGCACAGCTTCTATTCCCCTGAATGGTTCTCTTACCACCATCATCATCAATTGAGAGAACTCGCTTTTTCCATATAATTCTCTTACATCAAGTATGTGCAAGGTGATGACAGACGTGACCGCAGTATGACCATGGATATAGTCATGCTGTCATAATAAGACACTAAGACACGGTCGGATATAACGGCTACCGCGGAGGCGCGGACTACCAAGCTAAGATCCTAAGGTAGCATACTGGCACACTAATGTACTGCATGGAGGTATGGCAGGCAAAATATGGCTTGGAGGACCAGTTGGACCTCCCTTCAATGTTGACCGTCAGGTCTTCCCTTCAAACAGGACTTGCATTCATGTGAAACAACAAATATCGTGATTGCAGTCGGACCTAAAAATTAGCATATGGCCCTCGTAGTCACATGAACAAGGGACTAGTGGGATGAGCCCCATAGTTGTGGCCTGAGGCGTGCACATCATCGATTAAGGGCCCGCGTGGTCAGGTCGGACATTCGGAAAGAAGCCGAACCTGAAGCTACAGAGGCCCAGGCGGAACCCCTTACTCTTACGCAGTAGACTACTACCTTAGACTATCATTAGTTAGTAACTTAGTAGACTAAATGTAGATGGGTAGGTAGGTAGGTAGGTAGGTAGCTACTAGCTAGAAGCTAGCAGCTATTCCTTGACAATGACAGAATTGAGCACGTTCATGTTGTTCAATGCTATCCATGTTGTTCAATGCTATCCATGTTGTTCAATGCTACATAGACTTGAACCGTGATGAAACCATGATGGGCCAATTGAATGGACTTTTACTGTCTGCTTGATCCAACAATGTACGTCCAGTCAATATTCAGTTCAATCATGCAGAAAAGTACCCAGCCCTACGTGAGATCTCTACCTTTGACATTGCTCAGAAATTTGCACTCATATCCTTGCTTGGTGCGACTTGGCTAAGCGACACGGCTAGGATGGTTCTCCGGTTGACAAATATCCTCAGAGCAAGCCTCATCACTTAATTTCCAAGGGACTAGAAGTAGAAAGTAGCTACTCATCTCCATCAATCAGGTTGATGCTATAGACACAAAGCCTTACTTACTGCCTTCAACCATGGGCGGAAGTGCTATAAGGCCGAGACCTGGCCTCGCTATTTGGTAAGTAGGAAGTACATACTGCATGGATCTGTTGATCGGAAAGTAATTACGGTCGTGTCCGTATTTGGGCTGGTAAAATTTGTACACGGCTAAGGATCTGGTCCCCTTATAACTACCACGAATATACAATATACAATATGCTTCGTGCACCTGTTGCTATGCTCAGTTACTAACTTATGGGCTAGTAGGTAGGCCGCGGCTGCATCGGCGTTACTTGACCCGCCGTTCATACTATGTACTATTTGATCTGTTTTAGCATGAAACGAACGATACGGGGAAGTTGGAACACATCCAATATTGTACATGCAGCTCTTACTTCCGTCTCTCCTCAATGATACACATATCTAGTGTAAAGAAGATAAAGACATATAATCAATAAGTACTCACTGCTCAGTATTATGAGTAAGGACTAATGACTTTCGTAGTGCCTTTCAAAAATCTCAGCATACTGTTTTTCCGACCGATTATATAACTTACGGAGGACGGAGTACAGACCGCATACAATGTGTGCATAAATTTTCAGACGGCAGGTGATCTGCATAAATTTGGGTGCACTTGGAGGCTTGGCGCCCCTTGAAAAACCGAGTAATGAAGTTTGTCTACTAAGAGACAATTCAAGTGACTCGAAAGAGAGGACTGCATACGACGCTACTCTTACCAATTGTTTCGTGTACCTGCGCACGTATTCGTATTGCACCTTGCACCAGACAGGACGGGGCGGAAGGGTGACGCCTCAAAGCTCCGTGCGCCATTAAGCCCTCCCGTTCTGTCCAAGGCCCCATCCTGGTTTCCGAGCCTCCCAGATTCTGATCTTTCCCTCCGTCATCTCTTCGTCGTCAACTACGCCGTCCTACTTTTCAACGCCACTGTCAGCCCTCCCCTATCCGTGTGACTCTTTGCGCATCATCCTACCATCTGCCACCCCGTTTCAAGGGCGCTGAAGTTCAAATCACTTTCCCATACAAGATTGGAGAGACTGGCTTGGCCGGTCACAGTCCAACTACGATGGGATTCTCATCCCGGTATCTCCGCATTCCGCGGCCAGAGGTAAGGCTGGGACTTCCCTCGGTCGCAATCGCCCCATTTTGGATCGCTGGCTTGTACTGATACTCATCTCGTGCCGCTCAATCCAGACTTTTCTCTACGTGATGAGCCTGGAGACTGGCGCATCCCTCATCACCCTGTCACTGTTGCTCAACAAAATCAGCGGCCTCTATGGCCTTCTCGCGCTCTTGACCGGCTACCACCTGTCCCCCGTCCAGCTGTCCATGTACCTCTACTCTCTCCTCGCTCTCGCCTTGACCGCCATTCTCTTCCCTCACATCCGCAAACAATCGCCGTTGGAGTGTCTCGCCTTGGCCTGGCTGTATCTGCTCGACAGTCTCATTAACGCAGCATTTACGGCCACGTTTGGTGTCACTTGGTTCCTGGTGGTGTCTCAACATTACGAGGGGGGCACAGTGTCCGGCCCCGGCAGTGACACCATCGCTCAAACAGCTGGATTCACCAGCCCCAAGTACGATGCCGCGTATGTCGAGATCCAAAACACCGAGAATGGCAACAACTTCATCGCTCATCCGCCACGAGGTGTCGACCCATTGAGTAACGCCGTCGACCAACCCGAGAGCTTCCAGAGTATCATGTTCATCTGCATCCTTTGGCTCATCCGGATCTATTTTGTGCTTGTCATGCTGGCCTTCGCCCGTCAGACTCTTCGTCTCTGGATGGTCACACCTCGCCACACCCAACTGCCCACGCATAGCCGTAACGTGTCCATCGCAAGCGTGGCGGATATCGACCGTGAACCATTCTCCGCCATTAGCCCTGAAGGCCAGGGATGGAAAGGCAAGCTGGGCCGAGTCATGGTCGGCATCGGTCGCAGTTACTGGCTTGGTGAGGAGGAGGAGGGTAACTGGCTGGGAAATCTGGGCCAAAAACTGCGCAACCGTCAGAACCACGCCAGCCCTACAAATGAGCTGCCCGGGCCTCTGGAACGCGAGCGTCGACGTCGGTCGGGTACTGGGCCCCCTCAACCTTCTCCGTCCATCGTGCGGGGCGCTCAATTCCCACAAACGATTCCGGAGCATGTCCCTGGCATGAATGTCAAGATGCAGGAGTGGAATGAACCTCGTTAGATGTACTGTGCTCATCACCCAAACCCGGTGATCCGTGAGCCAGACTCGCGGTCACAGCACTACTTTTGCACGGTCGAAGCCGCCACCTCTCGCTCTCATATATACAACCTCCCTCCTCGTCCCCCCACCTTCTTTTATGAGATATATGCTTTACTTGATTCAGGTCGAATCCACGCACGTGGGGTCTGTTGCTGTGACACTTTGCACATCTGTTTGTGCTCAATAACAATGTCTCTTCTTCAGATGCTGAAGATGTGAAAAGGAAATCCCCCACCCCCCTCTCCACACTTTATTTGTCCTCAACTGCGCGACCTCGGATGAGCTTTTCGGTACTCTTCTGCTCTTGAGTCTCCCGACTTCCGCTCCAGCGGACATTCGCAGGCATGTGATGTGAGCAAAAGTTCAGATTTGGCGAGCTCAAAGCCTCTGCTGCCGTGCGCAGAAAAGACAGGGGCTTCGCTTGTCCCTCGATTGACTATGGCCGTCTCAGTCCCAAGGACGACATACTGAGACCGGTGGGGACTGAGGGAAAGGAAAGACGTTTCGAGAGGGAGAGACTCGCCTTTCGGGACAAGGATCGGCTGATACGGGCAGACGATACTTGCATTCTTATATGCATCTGTCCGTGGCGCTGGGACGATTCATTACCTATTCGAGGCTGGCTGAACGCTGCTCCACTAGGGCTTGCACGACGAAGAATTTTGTAAACATTTCCCCATGAGACCTGGAGCCCAGACAATGGGTACTACACCCAGGCCTCTTTAATGATCGCATGACATTAGATGGCCACTTCTATTGTTGCCAATATTATTGCTGTTACGTCCATATTCATTCATCCCGACAGGTGCCATGCCCAACTTCATACGGGTTCGTTTTTCCTGCCTTGGTAATTCCCTTGCCGATGTTTGCCCTGGTCATGGATGCAAATGCTACTACTGTAAGATATCCATCGAGTCATGATGCCTCACATATACTCCAGATCAGCCTGTCGGTATGTTGATGCTCCGCTCGAGGCACCGACGAAGATCAATCAAATACTGGAATATTCGAAGTAGTTCCTGATACCTACTACCAGCACTTAGTCTACCTACTAGTTACCTACTACCTAAGGACTACCTAGTACCTATTACCTAGTACCTACTACCTAGTACCTACTACCTACTACCTGGTCATTGAAATTTGTTAATGTAATGCTTGAAGGTCTTGCTCATCCAGCTTCTCCGCCCCTGAATCAATCACAGGGCTCACCCAGTCAAGCCACACGAGTCTGAAGAAGTGTGGTTAGGCGCGGTCAAAAAATTCCCCTCTCCTTTCTGCCCAACGGATGCCCAAAAAGAACTAATGGTCCTTGTCCGACGATCCGCCGGATGATCCCACAGCCCCCCCTCCCCCTGCCGACCTCCTGAAACCATCCTTCCTGTCTTGCAAGTTGCAACGCTCATTTTCAGACCCGAAGGACGGGTTAGACTTTTCCATCGTGCATTTGAGAGTGGGGAAGTGCTGGGGAGATGTTCAGAGCAGAGTGCTGGGTGAGGTTGCGGCATGCGTAATCTGGGTGGATACACTGGATAGAACCCAAGTACTGCAAGACGTTGATATGAGGCGTTTCTAATGGAGGAAGTTGATCCGAGATGACGCGAGGAGTCGAGTGGCGCACCAGAGACATGATATGGTATTAGGCAGCGTGATTGATAAAAAATCATCATCCTATAGTACGTAGATCTCAAGCAGATCATGCGTGATTTTCTTATTCCCGCTGAATTGGAAGTGAATCCTCTGGATCGAGAGGACTGGGTTCAGGGTTGTTTCAGACATAGTTCAAACTTCGTGAATCCTTTGTCAATGGATCACCCTAGTCAGGTAGACTTCAAGAGGGGATGGGATATAAGATTGGCACATACTACTACTGCGGCCGACGGGGAATTTCCGACTGCATGGTCATATTTCTATTCGAACAGTTCCTTCCTGATTCCATCTTCTTCGATTCGAACGATCAACTTTTTCTTCAGCTTCGATCCTGCATGATGATTTCTACCTCTTTTACGATCCAGGCCAGCGGTAAGTACTGAGTATCCGACTGTTTTTTCTTCCAATTCGGGCAGTGATGTTCCTGAGTCTCGATTGCATCCGGGCTTCCAATCGTTGATTGACATGGGAGAATATCTAGACATTGTCCGTCCGTTGGGTTGAGAAATTCCAAAGCACGACTGAGACTACATACTAAAGGATTTGGCATAAGCCTTTGACTGCCTCTGCCGCGAGATCATTCAACGTCCTCGAAAGTTGCATCAATTTGGAAGGTGAGTTAAATCAAGTCCACATTCAACTGGACCTGCTGCCGGCAAAAAGGCAAGAAAGAAAGAAAAACTACACTTTCAACAAGACAATTTTAAGGGCCTCCACCGTATATCTTGCGAAGAACCATTGGAAAATGCAACCAATCACTAACATAACCGTCCAAAGTCATAGGTTTTACACCACAGTAGATCCAAGCAACAAGAAACTTCATCCCGAGAAGAACATCCATACCATGTTCGGCATCCAATTCGACGCCGCAGGGATCTACCTCGTCGGCACAACCACGCACCAAGTCCACATCTCCTTCGAAGAGCTCATGTCCTCAACAGGAGGAATCATCGCCCTGCTCGAATACGGCCTCACCTGCAAGGTCATCAAAGCCGTCCTCGGCCGCATGCGACACCGGGTATGGCATCATTCGAGAAACAACACGCTCGACCCGGACGAGCGCGCCACGATGTGGATCGATAACTCCGGGCCGGCGGCATACGAAGTGCGGCATGGGGATGAGTCGATCCGAGTGACGCCGCAGGAATTGGAATCGTCGAGGTTCGGATTGGTGATGAAGAAATATTGGGATGGGGGCTTGGCGGGACCGAGTTCGAGATGGATTTTTAGAATTGTGTTGGAGGCTTTCTTTGTAGGGATGTGCAGGTCGTTGGTTGGAAGGTTGAAGTTGAGGAGGATTGGATGAGTTCGATGGAATGCCTTCAAATTTCCATACCCTTGCCTGCTTTAAATGACCTCCCTACCTATGTGTTTGCATTCAACAGAAACTTCCCTGTGTTCTGTGCTGTGTCAAGTCTTGAACTTGGAAATGGCTTCTCAAGCGGGATCGAGTTGATCATCATGTGAGATCAAGCTTTTTTTTTTTCACAACAGATATCTCACTAGCAGTAGAGTTCATGAAAGGACAAGGACGATGTCTCAAAACGTTGGATATAGTAAATACTAAGTAGTGGTACTAGGTAAATAAGATGCTCGAGTCCTAGACAAGAACGTCAAAAAAAAGTACACGAAATAATATGTCTAATGGTAATGATTCAAAAGGAACAACAAAATGCGAGAGCAGATTACGTCCCCGGGAATAAGGCCCAAATTTTATCAAATGCCGTGGCAGTCATGACGCATTCAAAGAAATATTGACGATGCAATATCGTGAGGTGATTTACTCCTCATCGTCTTCTTCCGCAACCTGTGAATAGAGCTTATCAGTAAACGAAGTAGCAAGCATTACAGAAACAAGCGTCAAGTACGACTTACACCCTCGTGGAAGTTCTGGCCATCTGTAGTAGCCTTGATGATGCCGGCGCGAATACAGAAATCACCAAAGCGTTCTGGCGTCTCCCCATCGGTATTTCGCTCCTGAGCGTAGCGCTTGAGCAGGCCCTTCATGATCTCAAGGATCTCGTCTTCTTTAATGGAAGAGCGATAAAGCTTGTTCAGACGCTGGCCGTGATAGCCACCGCCGAGGTACATGTTGTAGGCACCGTACGCCTTACCAACAAACGCAACCTCGGCCAACCAAGGACGGGCACATCCGTTGGGACAACCGGTCATACGCATCACAATGCTGTCACGAGCAAGACCGTTCTCCTCAAGACTAGACTCCAACTTGGAGATGAGGACGGGCAAGTAACGTTCAGACTCGGCCATGGCGAGGCCGCAAGTGGGGAAGGCAACACATGCAGAGGACGAAAGGCGGAGCCCCGAGAATGCGGTGTTGTCCAGCTTGTACTTGGCCATGACCTCTTTGACAGCGGGCAGATCCTCGTCCGTAACCCGGGAAAGGATCAAGTGCTGGTTACCGGTCAGGCGGAATTCACCCTTGTTAAGAGAGGCAAGCTCGCGAAGACCAGTGCGCATGGAAAATTCGGCAGTGTCCTCGATACGGCCGTTCTCGATGAAGAAGGTGAAGTGATTCAAACCGGTCTCATCCTTGATCCAGCCAAACGTGTCAACGTTCGATTCAAACTTGAAGGGTCGAGGCTCAGCAAATCGCTGACCATCCGGAAGCAGGTCCTCCACCTTGCTGCGGAATACATCCAGACCCATGTCATCAATGGTGTACTTCAGACGAGCATGCTTGCGGTTCTTGCGGTCACCGTTGTCACGCTGCACAAGCATTATCTTCTCACAAGCGATGTGGATGTTCTCGGCGGGGAAGAATCCGAGCATGCGGCCAGTTTGAGGGTAGGTCTTCTTGTTGTTGTGGGTGGTTCCCATGCCACCACCGGCCAGCACGTTGAACCCTTCTAGGTGGCCGTCAGCACCCTTGATCGCGATCAGACCGATGTCGTGAGCGTAAACATCGGTGTCATTGTGAGGAGGAATGGCAATCGTAATCTTGAACTTCCGGGGCAGATAGGTAGGACCGTAGAGAGGCTCATGGTCAACAATGGCATCACCGGCCACCTGAACCTTCTTGTCGTTCTCGTCCTTCAGCCAAATCTCGTGATAGGCCGTCGTTGAAGGAAGCAGGTGCTCACTGATCTTCTTGGAAAAGACATATGTCTCACGATGGAAGGTGGATAATTCAGGGAGAGAACTGCACATGACGTTACGGTTGACATCACCGCAAGCTGCAAGGGTATCCATCAGAGCCTTGTTGATTTCCTGCATGGCTCCACGAAGCTTGCGCTTGATGACGCCGTGGAACTGGAAGGTCTGACGAGTAGTGAGTTTCAGAGTCTCATTGCCGTGAGAGCTGCTGATGGCATCCATCTGCAGCCACTGTTTTGGTGTAGCAACACCTCCGGGCAGTCGACAACGGATCATGAAGCTGTACGCGGGCTCGAGTCCCTGGGCCTTGCGCTCATCGCGAAGATCACGGTCATCTTGCATGTAAGTGCCGTGGAACTTGGTCAATTGCTGGTCACTGGCAGAGATGGCGCCAGTTGACTCATCCCGAAGACCTTCAAGAATAGTACCACGGAGGAAGTTGGACTGAATCTTAATGTCCTCGTTGGTGATGGGCGCAGGTTCCTCGGGCAAGCCCTCCACATTGTCGACACCAAGAGCCTTCCACAAGCGGGGTTCCCACTCAGAGTATCCAGTCTGGTACCCATCAGGATCCTGGTCGTCACCGAGGCCGATGTCGGTGAGTTTCTGACCTCCCAAGAATGCGACACGGGCGTCCAGGTCCTTGGCAGGCTTGTTATAGTAGATCTTGTCCTCCTTACGCGGCCAGTAATGGCTATCACCAAGTCCGAACGTTGAGTACTTGATCGAAGACAAATCAAGATCACCAATGTTCTTCACGTGCTCCCAGAGACCGCGCCCGTTAACAGGGAACTCACCCTGGCCGGCAGTGGAAGAGATAAAAACGACATTCTCCTCAGTGGACAAGTCCTCGACCGGATACTCGTCCATGGCAATCACCATGGTCTTGAGACCACGAGCGCGGCCGCGGTTGCCCAAGCGCTTGGCGAGATTCTGCGCATTGCCACCATCCGAAGCGTAAAGAATAGTGAGAGGCGCCCCGAAAAGACCATCCAAAAGCTTTTCGTACGAGTCCTTGGCCGTGCGCTTCTGCAGAGCACGGACCTCGGTGCCGTACGATTCAGATAACACAGGGGCGTATTTGGGCTGACGGTTCATGAGCTGAGTGAGCTGGTTGTCCCGACGAAGGAACTCTTCAAGCTCACGCTTGATGCGCTCGGAGTCAAGAGCAAACTTGGGTTCACCCTTAGCCTCATTGGCCGGGTTCCACCGATACAGAGGCCAGTAACCGAGATCAACTGCCTTCTTAGTCTCCTGTAAGACAGTGAGAGCGGAGTCATTTTCCTGGTGATAAGGAAGGTACGCGACGACGACTGACGGACCGTCAAATTGCTCGGCCTCAGCCATGGCTTGCAGGACTTGAGTGTAGGAGCTGTACACAGCAGTAGATGCGACATAAGCGTTGCCAAGATTCATAGCGTAGAGGCCAATATCCTTCTTCCGGCGCGTGGGATCGGAAGCAGTACGCTCGGAATAAGGCTGGGAGTCAATGATCAACATGTTGACATTGGCGCCAGATGCAAGTACGTGGTGAACGCCAGAGTTACCCAGGTCGTAGGCCCATGCATCAGAGCCGATGAGCCACTGAGACTCTTCGAAGAAGAGCTTCTTGGAGCCCAAAAGCTGCCGCGACAACTTGGAGCCATCATTTGCCAGGCGAGCGATAACCTCGGGGGCGAGTTTGTTCGCCTTGGCGGCATCGTTGACACTCAGAGCCCAGCGAGACAACCAAGACTTGGGAACATCGGTGGCAAAGGTCGTAGACTTGGAGGCCTCCTCCACTTCGCGAATGAAGCGCTTGCGATGTTCTTTGCGGGCAAGGAGAGAGCCAAAGCCGTATTCAGGGCTTGCGGCGATGGTCGAAGAAATGCCGGCATTCTTGGCACCCAGCTGATTGGCGATGTACAGGCGATCACCAAAGAGCTGGTTCAAAATCTTCAGGTACGCATTTTCGATCTGAGGCTGTTCCAGACTCTCCTGGACAGAGGGAGCCTGGGCGCTACCAACTTCAAGATTTTGGATAGGAGAAGCAGCCTGAAGATTTTGAACAATACCACGAAGCGCTTGCAGAGCTGTTGAAGGCTCAACATACCCCAGACGATAACCAACAATCTTCAGAGCCTCCCCTCGGACGGAAGAAGGAGTCACGCTGGAGAGAAGGTCCATGAATGACGGTCCCCACTTGGTGGTTTTCCGCACTTGTTCCAACACGGCGATCTTGTCAACAGAGCTGGGAATAGAGTTGACAATCTGGCTGCCAACCCAGGGTCGGTAAAGACGAGCAGTGATCAAACCAAGGTTGTGAAGCTCGCTGCCAGTCTCCACCCGAGAGAGGGCATCCGCGAAGACACCGGTCGAACCGAAAATGAAGACGGCAGACTTCGCATCGGCAGGACCAGTATACTCGATGGTATTGTACGTCCGACCCGTCTCCCTGGAGATGGTGGCCCAAATCTGGCGCGTCCATTCGAAGACATCGGCGGCGTTCACTGGACGAACGCTGGAATAGTCCACGGTAGTCGCAACAGAGCTGGGAGCCTCGCTACCCGCGCTGCTCTGACGACGAGAGGAACCGACGGATGAGTTGTCAACACTGGCAGCCAGAGGGGTTTGGGATTGAGAAGAGACAGTCAATCCAGCGGGCGCCTCGCCCTGACCAGCAGGAGCAATTCCCACACTGTCGGCGGATACGGTGGCAACACGGCCAGACTCGGTGTACAGGGTTTCGGCCTCGGTTGAAGAATGAGTCGCACTGGCTCCACTCAAGTTCAGGGTCTTCTTTACGAGGTCAATGTTCTCAACTGCAATGGGCGAGTCTTTGATCGAGTTGGCAGGATCGAAGAAGTGAATGACACCCTTGCCGGACTTGCGAGCCAAAGCATGTGCAGTTAAGGCAATATCCTGGGCCTCTTGAAGGGTCTCTGAGTGCAGGAAAGTGAACCCGCATTGACGAATAGAACTGATGACGGAGTAGTCGGGATACGGTGACGAATCGAGTGCGATGTGAATAACAACGGGAAAGTTCGCCAATCGGTAAAGATGGGGCACAGCTGTGATGAGAATGGAGGAGCTAGCAACTATGGAGACAGACTCCCGCTGGCGAAGAGGATGGAAGGCAGATAGTAAAGGGTCCTCATTGTGACGCACAGCTTGGACCTACAGGGATATGTGTATGTTAGCTACTACCAACTTCCATGGTAACTAGGCACTTTCTCTGGAAAAAGGCAAATGACCGTTTCAAAGACTCACCACTGGTATTTGATTGGAGAGAATACTGGCAGTCTTTTTGCTCTTCAGGGCCTTCAATGTTTTCGAGAACAGCGAGTCTGTCTGCAAAGAGGGCTGCACAGACAAGACCAGATCGCTTGACAAGTAGGCGATTCTCGCAACTGGTGAAACCAAAGGTCAGATCAGATCATCTCCCCGTTTGGAATATCTCATTTAAAGAGTACATACCTGCCTCACCGGCATTGGAAAGCGAAGCCATCGTGGACAATTTGTTGTACTACCCGCTGCAGACGGTGGGAAAGATCAATCACCGGCGGTTTGGACACTTATCGGTACCTTGTGATCTGCAACACGTCAAGGGCAGGTTCCCCAAGGATACAGAATGAGCCTCTTCGGTGATCAATGACTCGAAAAAGTGTCCCGCGCGTTCTTCGGCTTTTTACTTTTTGATGTATTAGAGATCTTAAAGAGAGAGAAAAAAACGTGCGATGGCTTCGGTATTTCCCCTCGAGCATGCAATCCTCCTCCGCCATCGGGGTTAGATTATAGGGTTGCTGATTGGCCAATGATCACGACATCGATCATGCTGCCGAGCAAACAGTGCAAACAGACTGCATTGACTGCGCAACTGCGGGGGACCCCGTGACCCGTCGGCGCCTTTGCTGACTCATGCGTGAGCACGTCAGCGTTTAGTGGCATTTGCTCGGGAACGACTTGTCCGTTCACGAGTATCGTTACTACCGGAGGCTAAGTATGTACATACTGTAGATTGTACACAGTTATACACTATACAGGGCATCCTATCATGCACTTATGCAATGGAATCATCTCAGTAAGATCGTGTTACTGTTACGTCGATTTAAGTGAAGTCGTGGTGGAAGGACTATCTGGTCGGTTTTGCTGTGTATATGCCATCGCTGGTTGCCTATCCATTCAGGTCATGTATAGTTGGTTCACCTAGGCAAAGAACTGACCTTCCACGGGTGGATCAGCCCGCAATTTATCTGTATGCAGTTAGGCACTATGGAATATGTATATCTAAGTAGATGCTCGGTTCTGTCTTACAGTTCATATCTCGGGAGGCATATCGAGGTACTCCGTACAGGCAGTAATCCAATCAATCATCCAACCAATTGGGACAATTGTAGGTTGTGCTCTCTTTCGCTGCGTGCTTCACCGTGTAATACAGAATGATTTTCCTACTCCGATTTCAGTATCAACTCTGCTACAGTAATGATACTAAGGGTGAACGTCCGTGACTCATTCCAAAGGCACCGATTCCATCCTCTCGTGGGAGAGAGCAGTCTCGAACCGGGTCGATCCATATCGGCAAACAAGCGGGACCAGGACTTGTTCTCCACAAGCACACCTTCTACGAGTATGGAAGGTATGGAAATATCAACCGCTTGCTTACTCAGGTCCACCAAGACGGTCACGGTCACTCAAGCAGATTTGAGGATTGAACTCGACGACCTTCATAGGCTCGTAGCACGGCCCAGTAACACCTAAAAATTGATCGACGCAGGGTTCGAACCTGCGATCTCCCGTGTGTAAGACGGGCGCCTTCACCACTGGGCCAGTCGATCAGCGGATGCTTAAGTTTGAAAGTTTATGTGTATATGATGACTTTCCGTGATAGCCCAATAGGTGAAGCTGACATCAGAGAGTTGAGGCTACTTAGTTACTAGCTTCAACTTGTCGCCTGAAATGTCTTCGTACAATTTACCCGTATCGGACAACCATCTTTCAGCAGGTTCTGGTCTCGTCTTGTCCAAGGTAGTCCTGTTCAAGGTACACTTACTTACATATGCTTCAAGGTCATAGTGAGCAGGGCTTATTTGTGAATGAATCATGTGAGGATGAAGTATAAGGCCATTGTCATGATATTATGTGTGAATTTAGTATGTCATGTACTCTCGCTATGCAATGTGAGGAAATCATCGGGGCACCTAATGTACAGATGAACAACGTGTCCTCCGCTGAAGTTGCTCCAAGAAGAATAGAAATAGGACAAAGATAAAGAAAACAAATTTACTCCGCCGGGTTGTAACGGTGAGCACCACCGACGAGCACCGTCATAACACCATGCAAGAAAGAACGCCGGATGACATGCATCTCGAATCGTACACACCATGCATCTCAACAGTAAATAGAAATCAAGAGAAGAAATACTGTGAATCGCGAATCCGGCTGAGGTCCCAGGAGCCCTTGGTTGGGACGGGGCGGAATCGCAGAGGGAGCCAGAGCCAGGTCTGGGGCTTTTGTCTCTTGCGCTGCTTGGATGGTTTTTTGTCTTCGCCAGCTGTCTCTTCAGCCGCCATACCGTCTTCCGCTTCCGCATCGGCGGCGGAAGACTGGGAATCCATCATCTCAATCTCAGTGAACAAGCTCTGAATGGCTGGGTCACTGGTGTCCACGTTGGAGGAGGGTCCCCTCTCAGCGGCAGCCAAATCTTCGGGAACGTGACCAACGGTGGTCTCACCAAGGGTGCTAGCCATGGCCAGAAGGTCGTCCGTACCACCCATCTTCTCGAAAATGGCAGCTGGAGTTTCCATAGCCCTACCCTCAGCCTGATCAGCGGGGTCATCTGATCGCAGGAGCGTCTGTCGACGATGCTCGTCGATCAACTCAACGAGCTTGGCGTTGCGCACATTGGCCTTGCGGCTTTTTCGAAGTGCCCGACCGATTTCGCTGTTGGCGTCAATCTTTGCAAGGAAGATGTTCTTGCCATAGCGAACATTGAACTCGGAAGCGAGGCGTCCAACGATGTCATCCGAGTGCATGTGCACGAACGCATCACGAAGAATAGAATTCATTGAGTCCACATCGCTGGCGTGGGTCCAGAAGGAATCATGAACAGCGGAGAAAGTCAGACCGGCATCGTGGCAGGCGTTCGCGGACATGATCATGTGGGTAGCATCGAGAGAATGGATGAAATTGGGAGGGAAGGCCTGCAGTTGCTTTCGGCGAGAGACCACATCTTCGGCGCTGGGGTCAACGATGCTGACCGTTTGGAGGGAGGTCACCACGCGACGGGCTTTGCGAGTGCGATATGGCTGCACGACGGGCAAGCCCAGGGGAGTCGTCCAGATGACAGTGGATTGGAACTTCTTCGAGGGATCAATCTTGGCCTTGGCACTCTTGTCTGCTGACTGGGAGGGAGATAAGGCTTCGTTTGACATAGCTTCAATCTGATCGGGAGTCAAGGACTGCGTGATGCGCGTGGCACAATCACCAAGCCAATACTGGATCTCATGGGCACCATTGAACATGGAACCCAGGGCCTCGAAGATCTTTCGCGCAATATAAAGCGCACCATCTTTTTTCATCTCACTCGAAAGATCAGGGAAATGATCATTGAGTTGGCGGCGAACTTGGCGCATTGCACCCATGAACGTCACACCATAAACGTTGGTCATGACTGTCTGCTTCACGACCTTTCGGGTGATACGACCGTCCAACAATTTGGCGACCTGATGACCCTCCGCAGCATCCTTCGCCACAGACTTTTTGACAAACTCCGAGACACCAGTGTAAACATCAGAGGGTCTATCAGATGGCTCTAGATTGACTTGTTGTGCGCCAACGAGATCTCCACCAAGAGCAGCATAGTGTTGAAGTCCGTTGCAAGAACCATCCTGGTGAATGGGCAAACGAGAAGCGTACTGAGTCGGGTCAGGAAGTGCCAAAGCATTTCGAAGCTCGCAACAGGCAGCAAGACATTGCCAGGGATCTTCGGCCTTCAGCCACCAGCGTTTACCATGGAGACCTTTGTTCGCGGAGTCCAAGATGTCGTCAAGATGATCCATTGCGTACTGCTCACGCTCAGACATGCTGGCCTTGTCAAAGCCTGCGAGGTTGGCAATCTGGATCTTCAGCCAACGCAAACCGCCCTCACCGAGGGGCTTTGCTTCGCTGAAAAGTAGCAAACCACGGGCATTATCAGCGCCCATCTGATTCAGATAAGGCGGGAGAGGATAGGCTCGACCACGGAAGTCAATGTTATGGGGCAAGTAGAACGTTTCGTTACGGAAAGCACGTGCGACTTCCAGCTGGAAATTTTGGAAGCACCGCATTGAGTGATAGCCTGACCGAAGATTTTCAATGTCACGCATCTGCAGCTGCCAGTCGCGCTCAGCAGCGAAGCCTGCGTCTGCTTCCGGCTTGGGAGGAATGGGCAGATCCGGATCGAGTGGCGCGAGACTGGCGATGCTCTCGCCGGAGTTCCAAGCCTCGAGCATGACGTTGAAGACGTCTGGATTGATCACCCAGCCGGTGTTTCCGAGCACATCGAGGCCTTTGCGGATATCCTTTAAGCCGCCATTCTCCAGTGCGGCCTTGACGTAGGCTGGTTGCAAGGTCTCACCAGGCGTCGACCGAACGATGTTGCTCTGATAGAGGCGATATCCGCCTTTCTTGGACCCTGTCCACGGTTGAGGTTTGCAAATCATCGGAAGATGGCGACCGAGCAAATCCGCTGGGGGTTCCCTGCTAATGATGTCGATGATTTCCTGATTCATGTGGAACAAGCCCAGGCGTTTACCAAAATTCATCTCGTAGGCGTGCAAAAACGCAGGATGCATAGATGTAGTCACCCTGCCAGTTGTTGGATCTGTGCTTTTCACGGGAGCCTTGGCGACGTCGAAAAGCAGACCCATTAGCACAGCTCCAATCCTGACAGTAACTCGTGGGGTCCATGCGAACTCCTCATGCTCTTTCTGCAGATTTTCAGAAATGGCTTTCCACTGCAGGAGGCCGTCTTTGCTTCTGCGATCAGCAAGCATCTCCTTCACCATCTTGGTGCGCCTGGTATCACCCGATGAATGCTTCTCGAGATATGCCTCTGCAATCAATTCATCTTGAACACCTTTTCCGATCGACGCAGCAACAGTGGAAACCTTCGTGCCTTTCTGCATTCCATTTCGGGTGAAGACATCCATGACCGAAAGTACCGTTACTGCAGCCAAGCGATCCGAGTCCAGAGACTGCAAGTAAACACCGTACTCACACCGAGCCTTTTGTTCCTCAGTTCGCATGGGCTGAGTCTCGGCTTCTTGTGCGAGTTTGATTTCTGTCTTGATCGCGCTAGACAGGTCTGAATGCCATTGGCTCATCACTGCCTTGAGTCTCGACTTGCCCGAAGCCACATCGACGCCTGCCTTGACTCGGTCTTCGAACTCGGTGCGCCAACGCTTTGACGCTGTCTTCATGGTATCCGACTCCAATCGCTGCTGTCGTAATTGGGCGTACAGCTCTCTTTTCTCTTGCTCGGTCCCCTTGAAACCCTCCGGCAACGAGATGTGGACGTCGTCAGAGAAGAGTGACAATGATTCTTTCAAGGAGCTGAGGCCGAGACCCTTTTGATCTGCAGCGAGGACCTCGGGAACGTCATCGAGCTGTTGCGTGTGCTGATCCGGTAGGGGCTCATCGACTTCGTTGGACATGATCGGCGTGGATAGGTCGGAATAACAAATCTGCGAGATTCATACGAGTCAGCAAAAGCAAACGGGAGTATATACACATTTATTCGGACTGACTTTGGATAGTTCACCCAGGTCAAGATCAGTCAAGACCTCACTGGCCAACATATCTTCATGGAGACCTGCATTCTTAGCGAGGCCCCAATATCGACGCACGGACCGATCCCGCTTAGATCCGTGTAGCATGCGCAGTGACATTCGAATCATGACCGCAAAGGTAGTGGCATCTGGATTGACACCTCCGGCCGGCATATCAACTTCAAACCATTTTTGCAGCGGCAAAACCATGTCTGACTGTCTAGTGTAGATCATGTGCGCAACCATTGCCTTGAGATAATGATTATGCAAGGCCAAGAACTCCGCAGAATCAACAGCATAATATGTCTTCAGGCGGCTAATCAAAGCCGCTGCGCGGTCGAACCGACCCACGCGCAGGGACATGTTGAAGTTGGCCAACATCTCATCCTCGTCACCACCGATTCCCCGGATTTTTCTCAAGATTTTGGGTTGGGTCTGCGGTGTCTCGTTAAGGACGATCAACGATGACGTGTCGAAGTGATCGTGTAAAGAGCCTTGATTTGCGATGTTTGAAGTGTACGAAGATTCGTCCAGAGACATGTAGGATCCACCCTCGAGGACAGATTGATCAACAGCAGTAGCGAGGTGGCGTTGTGACTGAAAGGATGATCTCCGAGGCCGAATCTGCGACGGAAGACATTGTGAGGGTGGAATCGTTGTCAGGCGACGAGAACTTGACTGCAGGCGCATGGGTGAGGAAGCGGCCAAGGTGCGAGAGGCATTTGCCTTGCGCAGATGGAAGAGCGCATTTTTCTGTCGCGCCACTCGGGACAACATATTGCAGTGTGAAACGCTGGAATGGCTTGAAAATAGTGGTGGATGGTAGCGGGCGTAAGAGAAAAAAAGAGTAACTTGGATGAAATGCTCCAAGCAGTAGGACAATTGCGGAGGAGGTAAAATTTGTCAAGGTAGTACGAGAGAAAGGGAAGAAAACAACTGATAAGGAGAAGAGACTGGAATAAGCAGCACCGCGGGATAAGTTGTCTTGCTGACGACAGTGTTGTTCTTCAACAGTGATCCTTTCTGATGCCGACCCGCAGCCCTCAACCCGATTGTTGAACAGTTCCAGTAAATGAAAGTGAGTGGCGATGCTGATGGATGGGGATCTGAGCACGAGAGCTATCGGCGACTCGGCGGAAAAAAAGCATCGCGGACGCGTGACTGCACGTGACTGCCCCTGATAAGCTTCGGCTGATTGGCAGCAATCTATGGCAAAATTAAATAAACGGTAGTGTGTGAGAGTGCGAATTGCACCACTCTGCAATAACAGCGCCCGCCCTTGAACCAAATCTTCTCGTTCTCGAAGCGATACGGCCGGTCAGGCTGAAGGAAGGCTCGACAAAATCATGCCTCATCCGAACGCCTTTTTCGGCCCAGAATTGGGGTTACAGTACAGAAATCTAAAATGTCTAAGAAACAGGCTGTCCAGGCAAAGGCCGTCCTATCGTATTATCAGTAGTGATCTGGGGCAGATGATCAAGCCTCGTCTTCGCTATCTGACGGTCCTTCCATCTGCTTCTGTCGATTTTGTTTCATCGCCCATCCGGTCATTTCAGGGCGAGCAGGGTCAATCCGTGGTGCGCTCATGCCGTCGAGATATTGTTCGCTGTAATTAGTAGCTTTGAGCTCGGGTAGTTCATCGGGATTTTGGCTCATCATGTAGTTCTCATATGTGTACCATGAATCTTCAGTCTGTTGCACAATTTGGATTAGATTGCTGGATGGAACAAGACGAGGTGCAGCCGCTCAGGCTCGTTGTGATAAAAGGCTTACCTCCGCGTCAACCCATTCAAAATTCTTCCACTGCTCTTCCTGCATTCTCTTGAGGAGATCAAGATTGCCATGAAGAATTGCTCCTCCATCCTCGGCACCCTTGACCTTCACATCAATAGCCCGCGCCTCAGCCTCGGCAGGTCTGTCTTCATCCTCTTTTTTGCCCCTAGCACCCTTGGCCTTCGGCAGCTCGTCTACTGCATCCAAATGATGTGTTTGAGGCTGTAATGGCACAACAGCGGAGACGGGCGAGAAGTGCAAGGTTTCTAGTTTTGAGAGAAAAGGTACATTGTCAGTCAGCTTGATTCACGTCGGCTTTGGTTCACGTCGCTCAATGATATCGGAGATTGAAACTTGACTTACTGCCTTTGAAGGTTGCTAGCATGTAGACCGGATCGCCCTCTTCGGATGGTTTAATGCGTCCACCAAGTGCTTGTGTCCTGAGAAGTGCAGAGGGGTCCATGCCCTTTTTGCTGTCCAAGACCTCCACATCGTCTCTGTTTTCCGACTTGACTCTACTACCACCACTGGGAATTCCTCCGGTGCTGAAGCCGCCGGCCATTCCGTAAGCGCCGCCATTGCGCGCGAGGCGACCCTTCTTCAGCGCATCGCCATATCGAATTCCCTTGTCCACATCATATGTGTATCGAGTGAAGATCGGGACTTCCATCTCGACCAAGCCTGAGTTGACCTTCATACGCATGGTTGTCGGCTTCTGACCCTTCCTCTCATTGTATGGTTTGGAAGCCGGGCGATCGAGATATTGAAAGACGTAGCGAGAAATTTCGGAGTCAGTGAGGACGACATCGTAGGACGCAATGACGGGGTCTTCTTCGGTTGAACCCATTTGGACTTGCTATTGAATATAGGTGTAGATATCTGGGCTGCAAGCTCCACAGACCGGTCCGTATTTGGGGGCAGGTGATCGTCTTCTGTGAAGGCCTGCGATGTTCTTTTTTCTATCTTTCCACTGATAGATGATAACCCGCCCCGATGAGGCGTCTTCGGGTGCGATAAGCGGGGATCGGCAGAAAAAAAAAGCTTCCCTCACGACTTTCTTCACCGCGTTTTGATAGGCCCACATACGCATCATTTGCATAACTCTAAATATGAGCATACATGAGACAAAAAGCAAGCGTACATAGCGCACCTATGCAAGCGATCCTAGAATGCCCCGTCAAAAGCAAACTGGGACATCATGATTTTCGATGTCCTCGTGGAGCCTGCATGGTCTTTGAAGCCTCTCCGTCGAATCGGAAAAGCTTGAACGGGAAAATCTCAACGGCGTCCAGCTCAGTAGTCTAAACGATGCTAGCGGAGAGTATTCCAACGAGAAAATGTCACTAACGAAGCTGCTTAGGTGGTTTCTCACGATTATGAATGTCAGCCGCAAATAAACGGTGTACATTCAACACTGTACTATATATGACTTTCGACTCCGGAATCAAAATACAGTTGCCCCTCCATCAACAATAATGTCTGTCCCATTCATATACGAGCCTGCAGAGCTTGCAAGAAGAACGATCGCCCCAGTCAGCTCTGGAGGAGATCCCATTCTTCCACTTGGATTTCGTTCAGCCCAAATCCGCCTGTGGATGTCAAGACCTTCCCCTTCATTCAAGATGGTGTCCATATATCCTGGACTCACACTGTTCACCCTGATCCCGTATCGCGCCCACTCGGCAGCCAGAGAGCTCTTCAACATCAACAAGGCTGCTTTGCTGACGTTGTAAGCCACCTGAGGCTGGGGAAAGTTCACACGGTGGGCAGAAATGGATGCAATGAAGGTGATAGAGCCACCATGTCCTTGTTTGACCATCTGTCGAGCTGCTGCCTGCGCGCAGATGAAAGAGCCAGTGGTATTGATGTCGATAATCTTTCGCCATTGCGAGGCAGGCATCTCCAGTGCGTCCACGCAGCCCACAACTCCCGCAAAGCAGACCAAAATGTCCGCTGAGCCCAGCTGGCGTAGCGTCTCTTCAATGCCATTTTGCACAGCGACTTCGGACGTAATGTCCACCGCGTGGGTGCAAATTTTGCGGTCGGGGAATTTGGATCTCAAACGGGTAATTTCCTGCTCGCCGTTTGCAGGGTTGAGGTCGAATATCATCAATCCCTCGAGACCGTGCTCAAGTAGAGCATCACAGGCCTGCAGAGCGAGAGTACCAGCACCTCCTGTCACAATCGCATTACCTCGGACAGAAAATCTTCTTCGAGCCCCGGTGGTCGGGTCGACTTCGAAGTTCGAGATCGGGGGCGGGGTCAGTGAAGAGGAGCTGCCATCGCTGAGAACCATAGACGGAACTGATCGGGCACTGAGTGCTTCACGTTCAGTCAAATTTCCTGAAGGCGCCATGATCTTGCAATCAGAGAGATTGGGGAAGTATGTCAGAGTTGAGTTAACAGGATATTATCGTCAACCTTTCACAAATCCGCAGCAAGGTTTTTGTTGGAGAAGAGGTCACATGGTTGGGCCAAGCCTCTCTGGGTAACTCAATGACTGCAGAAGGAGAGACGCTCTAGTTGCCTTCAAGTAATTGACGGAGTTCTGTCGACCGACCCCACCTCCCTTATAGATCAAAGACGAACCACTTGAGCATACAGCAAGTTGCGTGAACTTTGACAATGTAAATCTACCGGGACGAGGTATCAATCTTAGACCCTCGGTTCCGTAGATAGAAAAGAGAATGGATAGTAGTCCGCGGTGCACTGCGACCCGAGCGGCTAAATCGCACGCGTGGTGAAAGGGTACTGCGGGCCCCCGGATCCAGACGGGAGCCACCTAAACTGGGGAAATCACCAGATGAACACAAAGCATTGTGAAACGTTTAGTACGTGCCCTACTAGGTACTAGGTAGTAGGTACTAGGTAGGGACATAACTAGTATGACAAAGCTAATTTCGAGTTCATCCATGAGATTGTCGATTGTCGATTATCGCGATCTGTCATTTGCATAATGCATCAAAACGGCCGTGTCTGAAGAGTGCGCTAGCATTCTAAAGTCGGTCATTTGCTCAATACCGCAACCAAGTCTCGGCAGACAGAGCGCCGAAAGAAGAGTGTGGATCGTCGAGTTGGAGTAGTCTTTATAAAGCTTATCGGCGGCCATCCCCTCAGTCCGTAAGCCCAACCTTCCAAGTCCACCTATATTGCATTGCAGCATTCACACACACTGTACATCTTGGACACAGATCAAAATGTCGATGACCATAGATGATTGCGCTCCCGGGCGGGAAGGATTTCCACGACCTTTCCCCGACACGCCCACCAATGTCCTGGAGCAATTCCGTCTGGGTGGAAAGGTGGTGGTAGTGAATGGCGCTGCTGATGGCATTGGGTTGGCTGTAGCTGAAGCCATGGCGGAGGCGGGTGCACATGTCGCATTGTGGTACAACTCGTGAGTATCCGACACCGGATTTGCCTTTTGTGATCGACTAGCAACAACCGCAGCCATCCGGATTCAACTACAATGCTAACGTGGCGAGGGGCTTTCTAGAAATGATGCCGCAATTGGAAAGGCTCAACAGCTAGCCTCAACACATAACATCCAGGCAGCTGCTTACAAGGTTGATGGTGAGGACTCTCCATTCTGGGAAGACGGTGAATAGGAGCCGCCTCATACTTATGCAACTTGATGTATACAGTATCCGATGCCACCCAAGTGTCTCAGACAATTGACAAGGTCGTCAACGATTTCGAAAAGATTGATGTTTTTGTGGCCAACGCAGGTAATCACCATTCGATCAGGCGTGTCTCATTCCATGCAAAGGCTTAAACTTGTACACCAGGGATGGCTATCTCCAAACCAATTCTCGAACAGACACTGGAAGAATATCAAAAGCAAATGTCCGTCAACGGTAAGCAGAAGATCAAAACTCACTCTTGAGCTCTGCACTTTTGAAAATCCTCCATCGTCTGACAGCAGAATCAGTCGACGGAATCGTTCACTGCGCCAAATACGCCGGTCACATTTTCCAGCGTCAAGGCTTCGGCAATCTCATCATCACCTCGAGCATGAGCGCACACATTGTCAACGTACCGGTTGACCAACCCGTCTACAACGCCACCAAGGCGTTCGTGACTCATTTTGGAAAGTCGCTCGCTCGCGAATGGCGAGACTTTGCCCGCGTGAACATTGTTTCGCCGGGCTTCTTCGACACAAAAATGGGGGCCAGCCCGCTCTGTGTGAACGAGGCGTACCGTATGTCTGCCCTCGGAAGACAAGGACACGTGAAGGAGATCAAGGGGCTGTACCTCTATCTTGCGAGTGACGCATCGACTTATATGACCGGAAGCGATGTGCTTATTGATGGGGGATATGTTCTGCCCTAGAACTTTGGCCAGGGCATGCGGTCGAACACGGTACGACGGGGTTGTGAACATTCGGACAGAGGGCACAACCTACTACGGATTTTGTGTTCCGAAAATGGAGGCAACTTTGCCTCTGGGTCTTGATCATTGATCCACGATTGATGGGGTGATCGCTAGACTGGCTACTGTCAATCAAGTATACATTCTTGTAGTCAGAACTGCGTCTACTGTAATTGAGATGTCGATGAGATTTGAAAAATCGGGTAGGTAGGTACGTGTCAGTCAGGCACATTCCTCGATGTATATTGTCCGAAGACGGTCCTTCAAGTATTGAAAGTGTTTGATGAGCCGCAACTCAAGGTCTAGATCCACGTGGATAGACATGATCTGTGATCATCCGCTCGAAGCGACTTGAAAGGTATATGTAGACAATGTATGTTGACATTCTTGCATATTTTTCCAAAGCCTCAAGACTCCTGAACAAGTTGCATCACTTGGTTCAAGATTATGTCCTGTCCCGCTCACTCCGCAGAGTCTTAATTCAGCTTGACAAAGTCGAGTCCTCTTGCGAGCCAGCATCCAATTTTGAATCCTGTGATTGCGCCATTCTCATTACGGTGGAACACCATCGTCCAGTCTCCCGGTGCCGATGCGTCCAAACCACGAGGGCAGCCCAGAAGCCACACATCGTCACCAACATACTTCATCGCTGTGACGATACCTTTCCCAAGATACCCGTCAAAGGTACCGTAGAACATGCCCGCTTCACCAGTGCAGTGGAATGTGGAATCAAGTTCCTCGCAGTAATAGGCACCAGCCAGATTCGATTCGGCAAGCTCCTCGCGAGGAGTCAGACGCCGAGCGCTGAGCTTCCGGTTCTCAGTAATGCGATGGATGTACAAAGTGTCGTCGCTGATACAGCCATCCATGGTCCTAGTCTTCCCGCTATGCGTGTCCGTCATCCTGAGCGGTGCGGACTCGAGATGGGTCCCGTAGGTTATGAGAACCTCACCGGGGCGTTGGCTCTTGGTAACAGTGATAGCCAGTTGCGTTGCCTCATCGAGATACGTACCGTACCATGCTGGAGCCGGTTCTATGGGGTTGCTGTCGACATTGGGCTGGGTGAGTGCCGCTCGGAGAATATCGTCCACGGCTGCAGACGCATCAGCCTCATGATTGAACATCACGACTACCGAGAGACGTTCTCCCGGCACATGTCGTCGATTCAATCGGTAGCCTCTCAGCGCTCCACCATGGCCAATCATCTCAATTCCATTTGCTTTCATGTGGCCTAGCCCATAGTGATACCCAGCAGTGTTGCCATCGCTAAAGGTAGTGGGCTTCGCGGTCGTATGATACCAGCTTGATGGATCGGCATAGAGCTGGTCCAGATACTGTTCATAGGCAATCATATCGTCGAGAGAAGCGACCAAGCCCGCATCGCCGGACCACTCCATACGATTGACCGCATCAAAGAATCCGACGTTCTCGTTGCCCTCATAGCCAACACAAGGTGGCGGATGATGCGCCGTGTTCGGACACAAGAAAGCAGTGGACATGCCGGCGGGCTTGAGAATGCGCTCCTCGAGAAGCTTGCCCAGTGGCTCCCCGGCCACGCGCTCAATGATGCGCCCGAGCAGATAAAAGTTTACATTCGAGTATGAGTACTCCGTCCCCGGCTTGAAATGGAAAGACTTGGTCTTCTCCAGCATGGGAGGGCAGTCCCTTTCGATCAAGAACTCGTCGTCGGGCTTGGCTCCCCAGAGCGTGGTCAGAGCCCAGTAGTCACGAATGCCGGACTGCATGTCAGCCAAGTTCTGGACCGTCAGCCCCTCTCGGGCCAAGGGGAGCATGTCATGGAGCGTGTTTGTGAATTGTTTCTGCACGTCTCCCTTGGCGGCCATGGCCGGGGTGGGATGACGCTCCAGATCCAGCATCAGCCCACAGACGAATTGCTTGGTGATGGAGCATATGGGAAACCGCGTTGACGGTTCGACGGGGATGCGTCGAGACTGGTCGGCATATCCCCAGACTCGTTTGCCGATGACTCGGCCATCTTTGATAACCGCTAAAGCTCCTCCTGGCCCACGGTAGCGGCGTGGAACTGCGTCAATAGCCTGCTGAATGGTTAGAGTCGGCGTCGACATCTCGGCTTTCTCTTAGATTTGTCGGAAAGGATCGATTGACAATTGAAGCTGGCTTGGGGGAAAGATTGGAAGCTTCTTGCTTTCTCTCTCCTTTTCCTCTTTCCCTCATTTCCTCTACTCCGCTTCTTATCGGCGTTGGAGACGAGGGGTCCGCGGCCTTATCTGACTACCCCATGGGACAGTTACATTTGCTTTGAGGGGGACCCCAGAAGCGCGGACGGGTTGGGGTAACTTGGTAAGTCACATGGGTCATTGCAAGATCATCGTGGTTTTAATTTCTTGTCCTCCAGTCAGCGATCGAGTTAACGAGGCACTTCATGGTGAATTTCGCGGGTCAGCTTCAAGATTCATATTTGCAAGACGAGTCAGCCAGGTAGTACAGTACCGAGTACGTGGATTCAGGGCGGCACAAATAACAATCTCCGTCAATTCACAGACTCTCCCTCTTGGCCCACGCAATTTCTCCTGCTGATTTCATGGTTTTACCCCAGACCGCCGCGGGAGTCCAACTTTCTCCCCGGGCCTGGCCGTTTAGGCAAAACGTCCGGATGAATGCAACCTCCCCGGGAATTCCAAAACACCATTTCACGTGCAGACGGGTTGCTGGGTCATTTCAAAAGGCTGCATCGGGCAGACAACAGACCATGCGCCAACTTTGGAAAAACCCAAAGCACGGTTTCAGGCTCCTTAATACAGAGCGATGTTCTGCTCGCCGAGGTCCTTTACTGCTGACCAGCCATTGCGCCTCTCAACACCATCGAACGCGCAGGACGGAGATCCATACAAGTCTTGTCAAGTACGCACATAATAATGATTTCTCTGTCCGAAGAGTGTAGTGTCCAGTGTCCACCCTGAGACAAGAGTCGTGTGAATAGAAGGTGGCGGCACGCTTTCGCAGAGGCAACCCGATCTCGTCTCGCCTTGTCGTGGCTGAACAGCCCCAAATGAAGTACCACCATTGTCTTGTGTCATTCTATTTGCTCGCTCAGGGCACCAATGAAGGGCTGACTTCTAGTTAGCCATTTGTACTTTGTCGTTCAGAGTGCTCCACCAGACCACAACCACATGCCGACCATGGAGGGCGGAACAGTGGTCCAGCAGAGTGATCAGCGGAGGATGTGGCGAGCTGGTCTGACTGTCAAAGAACAGATGGAAGATGGGAGGTGAAAGGCGAGGCTGCATGAGCACAAAAGTCCTGCAGGGTAGTCATAGTCCCTTACACTTTCAGTAGTCCTGTTCCATCTAGGTAGGTGGCTTGAGCAACAGACCAACCTCGCACTGGTTCATGGTCCTGGTCAATGATCCGTTCGCCGCCGCCTGCTGATATCAATCTTTATAAGCTGTCATGGACTCAAGGCCTTGACGCGGGTGCTCATCTCCGCTGCATGTCTTGCTTCGGAGACTCGTGGGACCACTTCATGTGCCTTGCACCCCGAATCATATCGGGGATTCCGATCGATGATCACTGGTGAGACTCTTCTTTTTTCTGCGATGATCCTCCTCCTGTGTCGGAGCCATCTATTTCAGCCACCGCTCATACAACTCTCTATTCGCGGATCAGACGCAGCGAAACTCCATGGCGCACTACCCTTGAACTTACTCCAGAGCAGCAATAATGATTGAATGTAGTGGCATTCTGCATCTGGGGACCGTCGCGTCACACCCGTCCTACCGATTTTTCTCGATCGGGCCGGTAGCACATTCCGTGGCCGTAAGCGAAAGGGCTGCACTCCGCACTGCAGCTCCCTCCACTAGAGTGTAGAGTGCAGACTGCAGACTGCAGACTGGGTTGAGTCATTATTCTTCTGCCGCCCCGCGTCCTCTCACGGGAAGAGCACTGACGCGAGAATGGCCATGACTGGGAAAGGAGACCTGTCACCCTAGTGCGCCATCATCGGTGGATGGTGGAGTGGTGATTGGCGAGGATACTGAGGCTTGAGAACCCGACCTTGTTCACCCACTGAGGAGTGAGGATGCGTCCAACTACGCGGGTCCCGTCAGAATCGCGGTTTTTCGAGTTGGAACATTGATGTACCAGCTGGAGTCTAGAGTCTTCGGCGGTAAACTCGTAGTAGTTGTGGAATTGAGGAGTCGTGGGGAAGGGGATGAGAGTAGAGAAGGGAGAGTAGATCAGTAGAGTGTAGACGGTAAAGTGTAAGCTGTAGTAGTATCATTAGTATGACTATGATCATCTCTCGCCTGACGAGTCTGACTGACTTCCTGGTACAGGACTGTACGTCGGCGTGGCTTGGATGACCCTTCCACTGACTGCGCTCTTCCAAGTATGTAGTCGGCCTCTTTTAAGATTAGGGTGCTGGGTCAGATCCCAGTTCTTGGATCTTTGATCGTCTACAGTACCTCACTCCATAATAGCTAATGTGGTGGTTCTTGATTCGGTCGTTTCATACTTGCATTTGACTTTCTGACCAGAACTTGCTCTCCTGTTCCGGCACTTAAACATCGTCACAAACGTACCGACGGAGAGAGTTGTGACCGACTCGTTCTGCACATCACAACTCCCATTTCCCGTCGGAAGCGTTGCCCTCCACGTGCCTGATTCCCCGCCTTCTCCAGATTTTCCTTCTCCCCCCCCCAATCTCCCGTCCGAAGGTGGTGCATATCCTGCGTCAAACGTCCCCAGAGTCAGAGCGGATGTACGCACAGAAATTCATCTGGCCCCCACTGCTGTAGCCGTGGCAATTTCATGCATCGGCTGGCCATGCCTCGCTGGTCAGAGAGGGAACGAGCTGGCAAAGGTGATCCTCGTCGGTGAGCGGTTAGGCTGCCGGTAATCGGCTGGGCTGCCGAGTAAGAAGAAACGCCTTGTCCCCCTTCTCATTCTTCCCAAGGGCCAAGAAACGAAGAACGAAGACCTCGAACGGGCAAAAAGAAATAAAAAAAAGGACGAAATTCCCAGAAATTAGGGTCCCACCTCCACCTGCAACCCGGTCTGGGGTAGTTTTCCTTTCAGCCTTCTTTTTCCACTGACAGCAAAGGTTGGCCATGTCGCCGACTCTTTGACTTTGCAATATACCACATCTTTTCACCACCTCTTGAGCGTCGACCCAACCCTTTTGTTCTCCATCGAACGGTGAAACCGCGGGGCGAAGAGCCCGGATCTCGTGGTGAGAAACACTCCTTCAATCTATGCCGCTCTTGGTCTAGAACCCGAAAAGACGAAGCATGTCGGCCACCTCCACATCCCTCCGTTCGTTCGCCAATTCCTACTCTTCTTTCTCCTCCCGACCACAACCTCAACGAATGGCCCAATCTCAGACTCCTGGTTTGGACACGCTCGCGGAGGGTTCTCAGTACGCACTCGAGCAATTACAGTTGGCCCGTCAGGCCAGCGCGTCCAACCCGCCCATTGACGTCGAGAGCAAACCGATTCACGAAAATGAGTCGATCGAGCCACAATCATATCGCGAGACAACTGGCAACCATCCGATGGGCAGGGCAGCCTCACAATCGCACGATTCACTTGTAGACGCGCGGTCGGCCATCCGAAAGAACTCCTCGACGTCGGCAGTCCGCCGCAGAATCAGCCGAGCCTGCGATCAATGCAACCAGTTGCGCACCAAATGCGATGGACAGCAACCTTGCGCGCATTGCATCGGTACGGTTCACACCCCTCCCGACTCCGCCTTGAGTCCTTTGTCATGGGGAAGTGCCCAAGAAGAGTTCTAATCAACGTCTTGTCTCCTTCTAGAATTTGGCCTCAGCTGTGAGTATGCACGCGAGCGCAAGAAGCGTGGAAAGGCCTCGAAAAAGGACCTTGCTGCAGCCGCGGCGGTCGCATCTTCCAACAGTGACAAAGGGCAGCACGAGGGTGGGTCTGCAAATGGAAATTCGCCCATTCGCCAAGGCTCACACGATGTCAATGTTCCCTATGACTCGCCTTTTGACGCGGTTCGATCGGTGCCCGAGGCTGCCCACCAGCAACACCCGCAACACCCGCAGCACCAAAATCAGCAGCAGCAGCAGCAGCAGCAACAACAAACTCCCTTGCGGAGTAATGGGGCTGCAAGTCTGGCGAGATTGCAGCAAACCCCACCCCGCCGCCGCGGGGCATCCGCAGCAAGCGGTAGGATCAGGGATGGACGGACTGTCGCTCAGCTATGCCAATGTTCCTGAATCAAATCGACCGTCCATGCCCGTTCCCGATATGCGTTCACTCCAAATGATGCAACAGAATGGGAACCCACGATCTCCAGCCCCGGTGCTTCACTCGCAAGGGTTCGGATCAGGATACCATGATGGCCAATACTCGTTGTTGAACACACACGATGCCAATGCGACCTCGGTCAGCCATTTTCGACTCGGCGGTACAGCGGAAAACCCAGCGGCCCCCTTCATGGGATTCTCGCCACCAGCGCAGTCACCGAGCTGGCTCCCACTCCCACCACCATCCCCTGCCAATTTCCCGTCCTTCAGTATGGCGCCCTTTGCTACTTCTCTAAGATACCCCGTGTTACAGCCAGTTCTCCCGCACATCGCGTCTATCATCCCTCAGTCTCTTGCGTGTGATCTTCTGGACGTATATTTTACCAGTTCATCCTCCTCACACATGTCGCCGTCGTCGCCCTACGTTGTGGGCTTTGTATTTCGCAAGCAGTCATTCCTGCATCCCACTAAGCCGAGAGTCTGCAGTCCCGGCTTACTAGCCAGCATGCTGTGGGTCGCAGCTCAAACGAGCGAAGCAGCGTTCTTGACTTCACCGCCATCAGCGAGAGGACGGGTCTGTCAGAAGCTGCTCGAGCTGACGGTCGGTTTGTTGCGGCCTCTCATCCACGGTCCTGCCACGGGCGAGGCATCGCCGAACTATGCGGCCAACATGGTGATCAATGGTGTTGCTCTTGGAGGATTTGGAGTCTCAATGGACCAACTAGGCGCACAGAGCAGCGCGACCGGGGCGGTGGATGATGTTGCCACCTATGTCCACCTCGCGACAGTGGTGTCGGCAAGCGAGTATAAGGCTGCTAGTATGCGATGGTGGACTGCGGCGTGGTCACTCGCTCGTGAGCTCAAGCTAGGCCGTGAATTACCTCCGAATGCCAGCAATCGTCAGGAGGGCGAGATTGAGGGAGAAAACGATTTGGATATGAATGGGAACAAGAGGCAATCAAATCCGCTTCTTAACGCCATGGGCGGCCATGGATCCGGAAGCTCCTCAATCAATCTTACTGAAGAGGAGCGAGAAGAGCGCCGCCGCATCTGGTGGCTTCTATATGTGATGGATCGACACTTGGCGCTGTGCTACAATCGCCCCTTGACCTTGTTGGACAAGGAATGCGAAAGCCTGCTACAGCCTATGAACGATGACCTCTGGCAAGCTGGCGATTTCTCGGCTGCAAGCTATCGCCGCGCTGGCCCAGCTTTTGAGTGTACCGGCCATAGTACATTTGGTTACTTCCTGCCACTCATGTCTATCCTTGGAGAAATTGTGGACTTGCAGCATGCCCGAAACCACCCTCGGTTTGGCCTACATTTCAGAAACAGCGGTGAATGGGAGAGCCAAGCCATCGAGATCACTCGACAGCTGGACGTCTATGCGCAAAGTCTCAAAGAATTTGAAGCACGCTATACCAGCTCGCTGGCTCTAGGTGGAGATAATGATACAACGATGGAGGGTGCGCACATCAATCACATGAGTCCCTCTGGTCGGTCGAACAGTAGTACGGTTGGGTCACATGTGAACGAGTCCATTGTCCACACTCGAATGGTTGTCGCTTACGGGACGCATATCATGCATGTGCTCCATATTCTCCTCGCAGGAAAATGGGACCCGATCAACCTTCTGGACGACAACGATCTATGGATCTCTTCCGATTCATTTATCACCGCAATGGGGCATGCGGTCAGTGCAGCCGAAGCGGCTGCCGATATAATCGAGTATGACCCGGACTTGAGTTTCATGCCCTTCTTCTTCGGCATCTACCTGCTTCAAGGCAGTTTCCTCCTTCTTTTGACGGCCGACAAATTGCAGGGTGACGCGAGTCCCAGTGTCGTCCGAGCCTGCGAGACAATTGTGCGCGCACATGAAGCATGTGTCGTGACATTAAACACAGAGTATCAGGTATGTTACACAACCTGCGCTCTTTTTCACTTTTAGTACCATATTCTTGTACTAATTGCCATCGTCTTCTTAGCGAACATTCCGCAAGGTGATGCGATCTGCTCTCGCTCAAGTACGAGGACGAGTTCCAGAAGACTTTGGCGAGCAGCAACAGCGGCGACGTGAGGTTCTTGCGCTCTATCGCTGGAGCGGTGACGGCAGTGGTCTCGCGCTATAAAGCCTCCCCCCTCCTCGTTTTCTCCTTTCCTCATCGCTGGCCGAAATTCATTACCATGTCCTTTGTTTACGAGCGCAATTCAACCGATCGTGGGTTTCGATCCAGTCCTGGCTTACTAGATCAGATAGGCTACGAAGCGTTGCGATGACCCACAAACATATGTCGGTTTTCTCTATTCTCCCATTTGCTTTTTACCCCCCCCCCCCCCCCCCCCCCCCCCCCCAATAATCGTCGATATGGGATCTGTACATTACGTGATGTTGTCCTTTTTGCAACACTTGTTCCCTCCTTGTTGTTCCCTTTCCCTGATGAACATACCCCACGGCGAGGCATATCGGCGTCCCGACGAGCCCGTTTCGTCCTGTCCTTCCGCCTCCTGGCACATATCAATACCCATTTCAAATAAGCAGATAATACTTCGATCTCTGTTGTTTCCCGTTTTTCTTTTCCTCTTCAGAGGATCCCAAAGACAAGACAAATCCCCCTTATAAAGTGGATGTGCGGGCACATAGACTGACCAAGGCGCACCCGAGTTTCTGGAAGTGAATCATTCAGCAAGTCCAGACAGCTTTTGTATCACCTGTGCATACAGACATTACCAACGTCTCCATTTATCTCAATTATATATGTACCGAGCAGGGGTTAGTAGAGGTAAGAAACGATCCCTCAAATGGGGGACCTACCATCTCTGCCTTTGAGACATATGGTCTGTATCTCCAGTATTCCACGGACAGCAACGTACACATGGAAAATTCGTCTCTCATCACTAGCGAGATGATGTAAATTGAAAACCATTTCATGCATATCTTGATACTTGTACTATGGCAGTGTGATTTAGAAGGCACTGAGAAGGCACGTCACCGTATTCCCTGACAAACTGGTAAATAATTCAATCCCACGACCAATAACCAGACTTCGGATAGGCAGAGAGAGGCAAGTAAAGTAGCAAAATGGGACGTTAAGGTGCCGTACGAAGGCTCTACACAGTCTCGTGAACTCAGTCAGAGGCAGGGCTATGACGTAAGTCATGTGGGAAGCGGGAGCCTTCACGGCCGGGGGGTGATATGAGGTAAGTATGCTCTGTTCCAACTCTCTTACAATTACTGGTGTTCAACCAATATACTCTTGCAGTGTTGGACGTGGTTTCCAAACCACAGGGAGCGTATTCAAGTCCCGACTCAGCCTCTCAAATACTCACAAATGGCGTAGCTCAGTTGCAGCCATGCGTCCATTCACCAACCCCACAGGTCGTGCTCTCCAAGCCGGCCTTCACCATCCTCATCATTTGCGAAGACATCCTCTGGTCGTGAAACGTTTCATAGGCATCCCCCCTGCGTTTCTACTGGACGACTACACGCCTCGACATCAACTCCTTACCTCGGTGGACGCCTCGAAGAAGCGCTCACTGGCATATGCCCATTTGCGGGAGTGTAATTTATGTCCTCGCAAATGCGGGGTGAACAGATATGAAACGACGGGCATGTGTATGATCGGAGCGACGACAGCCAAAGTCAACGTGATTGCGCCTCATCGAGGAGAAGAGCCCTGTATTCAGGGCTACCACGGTAGCGGGTCGGTATTTTTCTCCGGGTGTAATCTTCGCTGCGTGTTTTGTCAGAATCATGTACGTTGTGCGATGATTCTGCTGCAGTTTGATGCAGAGTGGAAAATTTGGAGGGCTGACAAGTGAACAGGACATCGCCCACCAACGCAATGGAACTGATCTGACACCCGAAGAGCTTGCAGAGTGGTATCTGAAGCTTCAAAAAGTGGGTAATGTGCACAATATCAACCTCGTGACTCCCGAGCACGTTGTTCCTCAAGTCGTCTTGTCGATCCTCGCAGCCCGAGATATGGGTCTACGCATTCCAATCATCTACAATACCTCGGCTTTTGACTCTCTCGACTCGCTCAAGCTACTCGAGGGACTTGTAGATATCTACCTACCCGATTTCAAAGTCTGGCGGGACAGTACATCGAAACGACTCCTCAAGGCGGACAAGTACACGGCCACAGCCATGGAGAGTATTCAAGAGATGCATCGCCAAGTCGGTGATCTAAGCTTCACCTCGGATGGGATTGCGCAAAAGGGCGTGCTCCTTCGCCACCTTGTGATGCCTGGCATGGAAGGTGAAGGGAGGGAGATTATGCGTTGGCTTGCGGAAAACGTTTCGACGGATCTGTACGTGCATATCATGGAGCAATATCATCCTGATGCGCATGTGGGCAAAAAGAAGAGAGTGACCCGAAAGTCCGTCTCGACGGGGCAGTCGAGGTCAAGAACTGAAAATGAGGCACATTCAGCGGAAGGGACTGGAGAAGTACGATATGCAGACATCAATCGTGCGGTACGTGACGATGAGTTGAACTCTGTTCGCGATGCTGCAGTCAAAGCGGGCCTCTGGCGTTTCTGCGAGGTCAATGAGCAGAATAGTGCTTTTCATCTATGAACAGAAAGACTATTCGCAGAATATCGCGTATGAGCAGATTCAGTCTGTGGTCGTTTATGCCCACGCTCGATAAGAAACTTGTGACGCTACCGTGGAACTATACTCGTCTTTGGATTGAATTGGGTCCCTAACACCTGTCTCTTTTTCGAAGAACCATCGCATACCAAGAAGAGTAAGGTTGTCGTGATTCCTAAATATGCCCGGTATAATGTATTCTTTTCTCTTTTCCCCCGCCAGTTGTACAGTACTAAAGTTATTTACTAACTTAAGTGGTAACTAACTAAGAAGAAATAGTCAAGAGTAAGTACACATGGGCGGACCCACAGTCCGTAGTCCGCAGTCTGTTCGCTGGAGCTGAGCTTTGCTTTTACCCGGCCCCCACCACAGCAGGTGACACTTGATGTCCCGTCCGCGTGGTGGGCCTTGCGTAACCTAATGGAAGCTTACATTTCCAAGTCGACATGACCCAGTGACCTCACATGTCAAGACCTGTGCATTTGCACCTCTCTCTCGACCTAGCGAAACCTTCTCCGAAATTTCACCGTCAAACATGTCAGTGTCCCCCATTCGCCTGCTTGTGGTAGTGGGGATGGTCTATCGAGCGTGGTCTCGAAGATCTCTCACACCGCTCGGTCTCGTTGTCGCCGGCACTTCGGGAATCGCACAGGCCCTTCATCCGTGGGCGACGCCGTTGACTCTGCTGCTGGTCTTTTACCTGGGAGGAACCAAGGCTACAAAGGTATGGCATTCTCGTCTCGGAGCTTCAGGTAGCTGCCCTGGTGGAATTGCGTGCTTTCAAGCTCAGTTGGTTCAGCAACAAGAACAACAAAAACAACAATAGGCTAATGCCTCTCCGCCAGGTCAAACATGACATCAAAGCCCGAAAGACGCTTTCCGCTACGGGTTCCCAAGGAGGCGAAGGCGCTCGCAACCACCTCCAGGTCCTCGCCAATTCTGTCGTGGCCACGTGTCTCAGCATCGCTCACACCGTCTATTTCTTGAGGAATCCCTCTGCAGCCTCATGTTTCAGTTTCGGTCATCATCCGGCCGACATTCTCATGGTTGGAATCGTCGCGTACGTCATTCTACATCTTTCTCTTCGACGACGTGAGATATGCTATCGATGATTTGGTTGCTAACCTCGAGTATTGTTCATCTTCTCTAGTAACTACGCTGCCGTCGCCGCCGACACATACTCCTCTGAGTTGGGCATCCTCGCCAAGTCGAACCCGCGTCTCATCACCTCGCTCACTCTTCGTGAAGTGCCCCCCGGTACAAACGGCGGCGTGACTGCCGCCGGACTAGGTGCGGGTCTCCTGGGCGCATTCTCCATCGCTCTGACCTCCGCGATCATTCTCCCATCCTGTTCAAACGGGCCACAAATACAAGCGCGCGTGATCTGGACCCTCGCCATCACTCTCTGGGGCCTGCTGGGTAGTATTCTGGACAGTGTCCTCGGTGGCCTTCTCCAGGCCAGCGTTGTCGACAAGAGAAGCGGCAAGATTGTGGAAGGAAGTGGTGGGCGAAAGGTCAGTTTCCCCCGTGTTCTTTGATTCCTTCCCATCTCTCCAGGACTCCCGTCCTCGACGCTGTAGACCTCCGGCTAAGTCTAGAATTAGGTTCTTATCCACCCGGGCTCTACCTCACGTGCAACTAATTCTGGCGACGGCCTTGTCACTCAGCAATCAGGGGCCGCGGGTGCACACATTCGCAAGACCGAGGCCGTCGCCAACGCGGCGACGCTGCATGGAAGTCGAGCTACCTCTGGTACATCTGCATCGACGGGCTCGAAGGAGGAAGAACATGCCCACGAGAGCCGGCGGATTGAAAGTGGGCGCGATTGGTTAGACAATAATGGGGTCAATGTGCTGATGGCGTTCCTCATGAGCGTGGGCGCCATGGGTGCTGCGCAGCAGCTGTGGGGAGTTGATGCGTGGGATCTATGGGCGTAGAAAGAAGAGTGCCCTGCGGGTGCTGAGTCCTTCCCAACGTAAAGGGTGGTGTCCCGGAGCTTTCTCGCATGCTTCGTCATATGACATGGATGAGTAATGTGATTTTAAGACATAATAGGAGGTATGATAGTATGGATGTGTGGATTTTGCAAGATCGAAGGACGTTTCCATATGGCCTTATCAGGCAAGACTGGTCTCGAATTTCGAAAATGTACTCTTGACCTTGTGGCAGATGACCAGGGGCAGAGCTACTCCTGGTACGAAGCTTAGACTCGCACCCAGTCTGCTACTACACTACCACGTAGTATGTATGCATGCTATACAGGTACCCGACGCAAAGCTAAACAGATCAGTCATAGGTTGGAACTTGGAAGTATCATGGGCCATGATCGTGGAACGAAGGTTTCGGGCATGAGGATGGATCTTCAGTAAGGTTGATTTGTCGATCGAGATGAGTAGAGATCAAGGCTATGCCTATGCCCATGATGTCCATGTCCACGCCCACGCTATCACCCTCCTTCAGCGGTAAGGTGGAGAGCGGGTAGGTGGTCTACACAACAAACACCAATGTCAACAACGGATTGTAGAAAGTACATGTACTATTCCCTCTGAGGGAGGACTCGGGCGAGCATGGTGTATGAGTATGATACCGTGGTGTCACTGGCGTGTCATTCTGGTTCAACATACCAGACTTGAACTTTCACGTGCCATTCGCAAAGCTGAAGACTGCTCAGTTGGCGCTGCACAGAACATGGTGAATTTCACTCTCACTTGTCCCTCGGAACCATAGCCCCCAAAAAAGGAAAAAGGAGTTTGAGCTGTGCTCAGTGCTCACTGTCCAGCGGTCCCGGCGCGTTTCCGAGTCAATTCGATGCCAAGAGACCACCGCTACGCATAAGGCCAAGCCATGCATGCCTAGACTCTTCGGAAAATGACAAGGATTGACCTTTGTGCTTAGCAGGCTTCGAAGTAATGGACTCACCTTGGCTCAGACTCGGCGGGATTGCCCAATGCACCTTTCTGGATTCGAATCAGGTACCAGCCCAGTCTCTTTGCAAACCCATGTATTCAGTCGACGTGCGGCGATTTCTGTAGCGGCAAGCCGAGACAAGGCGTTGTTGCAGGCGGAGAGTGACCTGTGTGCTGACACTGTATTTTCGGTTCATAATAATGATGACAAGCGGGGACCAAAGCATAGACTCGTTTAGTTTCGTTTCCCTTCTGTGACCGAGTGGGCTCATGGGTCAATGGTTTCGGCGTTCACCGAGCGCGTGCCAGGAAGGGGACCAGATCCCCAGTCCAGCAATTTCGTCCGCTCCCAAGACAATCTTTGCCCCAAAAAAGCAAGCAGGTCTACTGTGCTTTGGAGAATTGCAGACAGGCTAAGACGGGGGTTGGCAATGGCAAGAATCAATAGGTATCAACGCCTCTTCCAATTTGAGAGGTGCATCTGATACAAATATTGACTGCTGAGGTCGAAGTTGAGGCAGGATCACGCTAGTCTCCGACCTTCCCAATCCAAACTTCACTGATCTGGTAGGATTGGGTTGCAAACCCACGTACTACTAGCTGGCATCATCATGGTGGATTCCACTTCGCTGGATCCGGACAAAGAAGGAATGAATCAACATCTTCTAAGAGATGATCCAACCGCCGCTCTCGGGCCATGATGAGGGACGTGAAGGGGGTGCAACTAGGCCACCACGCCGATATGCACGATCCGAGCATGACCACTATCGTGCATTGCCGTCGATCTTTCAGAGCGCAACAAACCTTCTGAGTTTGATTCTGGGTTTGCCGCATCACATTCCTCAGACGTGACTAGACCGGAATTGCATGAGCGGTGGTGAGATGCTCATGCTAGTGCCCTATCGTGCTTCAGAAGGATTTGTACGAGTGATGCGTAGCGCGGCTCCTCGGCAAGAGACGCTGGTCACCAATACCTGACATGGTATCTGCCCACGTGCGCACCCTGATCGGCTCGAGAAAAACAAGGTCGTCCGACAAGTTCCACGCAGTTCGTGCAGCGATCCTGCTGCGATGTGCTCTCGTGGTGGGGGGCATTGGGCGAGGCTTGGCGCATCTCCAGTGTTGATGGCACAAGTGAATTATGACTACACTCATTGCATTCGTGACTGGTTCGGAGTCTCAGAGAGCACGCGACTGAAAGCATCGACGGTTTCGATGCGCCAGAGGATGAGATGACAGAAGGGAAGACGAGGACCTCTTCTCGTTGCACGTGGGCTAAATGGGGTCATCTTATAGGAAGCGGAGGTCCGTCTCGGACCCGCTCCTCGCTCTCACTGCCAAGCCTTGGCAGACGCCACGAGACATAAAAGATGGCATCCGCGTACAGCCTTTAGGATGATGACTACTAAGTACCATCACTTACCGAACTACCGGGTCTAAGTGGTAGTGCCAAGTTGCCAACCCTAGTGCGAAATCATACAAAAGGCACTCTTTGCGCCCAGAATTGCCAAGGCTCCGCCAAGCTCGGCGAATTTGCTTCGTTTTGTCCAGCTTCTGCCATTGAGTCCAGATCTCGGAGATTTGGCTCTTTTTCTCGAAAAAGTGTCCCTTTGACGTGATAGCGCTCCGCAACTGTTCCACGTTCTGCGCAATTGGCATTGTGACCTGCTGCTTCATATGAATTGCCAAGCTATGCTGAGCCGATGGCCTGAATGCCAATTCCACGAGTCGCTTTCGCACGTGTAGCACTTTCGCTCAGGTGGTGATGATTGAACGGCTCGTCGAGGACTTTCAATTCGTCTGCTGCCATGTTGGTGGCCCAGTGCCCAGAAAGTCCGCGCCCGGTATGCGAAGCACTTGCGACAATGCAAAATGGGCAATATTGGAGAGGAGAACCGTCTATGCCATGCATGGCGGAAGGTCCGTTGAGGTATAAAGTCGAGATAGCCACGGATCCTGGCTAAGGGAATTTTCTGAAAAGTGCACAGACCATTGCTCAGTGAGAACTTGACTTGGCCCTTCTTCGCCTGTCGGAAAGATCTCGTTCAGCAAGATGTTTCTCCATCAGTATGATTACATCTTCGGCATTGGCACGGTCTTTGCCATGCTCGACGCCTACAACAACGGAGCCAGTATGTCGTGTCCATGGAAGGAGTTCTGAGTCCTTCTTAGCAATGTTCTGCTTCGAGATTGGCTACTAATACAAGTGTCTTCTTCTCTTTCTAGATGATGTCGCCAACAGTTGGGCCACCAGTGTCTCTTCTCGCTCAATCTCGTACAGACAGGCCATGGTACTCGGCACCATCTTCGAGTTCCTTGGTGCCGTGACTGTCGGATCCCGCACTGCTGACACCATCAAGAACGGCATCATTCCAAACTCATCCTTCAAGGGAAATGCTGGTGTGCAGATGCTCGCCTTCACCTGTGCTCTCGCCGCTGCCTCGTCCTGGGTCATGTGGTGCACCCGTCACTCTGCCCATGTCTCGTCAACATACTCGCTCATCTCGGCCGTGGCCGGTGTTGGTGTTGCAACGGTGGGTGCTAGCAAGGTTCAGTGGGGCTGGAACGATGGCAAGGGTCTGGGTGCTATCTTCGCTGGTCTGGGTATGGCTCCGATCATCTCGGGCTGCTTTGGATCCATCATCTTCTTGTTGATCAAGTACGTCGTCCACGTGCGGCGCAACCCCGTCCCCTGGTCGGTCTGGAGCTCCCCCTTGTGGTTCCTGGTCGCCGGTACCATCTGCACCCTCACCATTGTCTACAAGGGTTCTCCCAAGCTTGGCCTCAACAAGAAGCCTGGCTACTGGATTGCCGGTGTAACGATGGGCTCTGGCATTGCTCTGTGTCTGCTTTCCGCTCTCTTCTTCCTTCCCTTTGTCCACGCACGTGTCATCAAGAAGGATCACACCGTCAAGTGGTGGATGTTCGTGTATGGTCCTCTTCTCTTCACCCGCCCAGCCCCCGCGGAGGGTGCCGAGACTGCCAAGGTCCCCAACTACGCTGTGATCCAGGATGAGGCCGACAATGTCTCTCCCGCCTCCATCTCTCCCTCTATCACCTCCATCGAAGAGGAGAAGAACCCTAGGATGACCGTCGACTCGAAGGAGCGCCAGCTCGTCAGCAGCGAGACCAAGCAGCTCACGTACAAGGAGATCATGGCCCAGTCCGAGGCCCGCCACCGCGCCAAATTGATGGAGAACCAGGGCCCTCTCGGCTGGGCTATGCGCTACCTCCGTGACAATCCCATGGGTGCTGGTGAGATCTACGAGTGGCGCAACGCTCTGGCCCTGCTCAAGCGTATCCCTGCCGTCATTGTGGTCGGCCTTCTGTACGGTGCTCACTACGACATCCACACCGCACAGAGCGGTATCACTGGCACTCCTGAGGGTGAACGCATGAAGCGTGTGTATGATGCCGCCGAGAAGTACCCCAACGAGGTTGAGCACACCTACTCTTTCATCCAGATCATCACTGCCTGCACTGCATCCTTCGCCCACGGTGCCAACGATATTGGCAACTCGGTCGGTCCCTGGGCTGCCATTTACTCTGCCTGGTCCACTGGTGATGCTGCCGCCGCCAAGTCTCCCGTGCCCGTGTGGCAGCTCGCTGTTCTCGCTCTTTGCATTTCTGTCGGTCTGGTCACCTACGGATACAACATCATGAAGGGTAAGCCACACCAGTCACCAGTCACCTTGATATTTCAAACCCCACCTTTTTACTAACTTTGTTTTCCTCAATAGTCATGGGTAACAAGATCACCTACCACTCCCCCAGCCGTGGCTGTTCCATGGAGATGGGTGCTGCCATCACCGTCCTCGTCTTCTCCCAGTACTCCCTCCCCGTTTCGACCTCCATGTGTATCACTGGCGCCACCGTCGGTGTCGGTCTGTGCAACGGAACCCTCAAGGCTGTCAACTTCCAGCGTGTCGGTCTGCTCATGCTTGCCTGGATCATGACCATTCCCGTTGCCGGCACCATTGGTGGATGTCTGATGGGTCTCTTCATCAACGCCCCTCACTTCGCTGGCAACTAGGAGATGGGCGATCACGTCTGATTCCGAACTTCACTTCTGATTCCTTGTCTTGGTTCCTTGTGGCGTTTGAATGAAGAGCGTGGCAGGCAACACGAGCTCACGAAGCGCTTCCCTTTCTCATTGATATCCCGGTCTTTGTTTGCAATATATTTCACTTCTTTCTACTACTCCAAAAGCTATTAATATACCCATTATTCTCTTGATTGAAAGATCCTATTGCTAGATTGTATGTCATGTACAAGATGCTCCATTAAGTGGTCCCGAGGCCCGACATCTCTGGTTGGGTAAGCATCGCCCCATTGAGATATGTGCAATTGTGTGAATTATACGAGATAATGATTTCGACCAGAGTCTCTCGTCCCAAGCATATAGCCCCGTTAGGCCGAGTGTCGTAGACCCAACAGCTTTCCGCCGAAAAGATTCTTGATAGTGAAGATGTGATTCACAATCCAAACTATGAGCAATAAAATGGTGAGCATAGTGGACGACACTTTGAAGGCCGTAGAGTCCATGATCGAGCCCAATTGGACGGCGGCATTGGTATAAACACCCTGTGGAATTAAATCATGAACCGTATCGTCAGCTTTCATTTCATTGCAGTCTTGTACAGCAGTCGACATGTCCACGAGAAGAGATACACTCGGGAGTCAGCAACTTACGATCGGGAAAACCAACGCCCAGGCGGAGAGCGTGAAATGCGACTTTCTGATGCCTCCCGGCTGGGACAGAAACGTGTGTACAATGCTGATACAAGCAAAAATGAACCAAAACGTCCCATACCCCCAGACAAGAAGACCCAGGAATTGGCTCGCAAAAGCCACCGGTTTCGCTGCCTCGGCAGTCAAGAATGTACCGCTGTTATACTCGGCGAAGCGGCCGTGGGCGACGACATAGCCCAGAATTTGCAAGGCGAAACTTCCTTGTCCGAACGGTCCGCATAGAATCATGTCCTGATAGATTTTTTCGAGAGATGGGAAGGACCGATCGAAGAGTCTCGTGACGAAGACGTCATTGAATGCCATGGCCAGCGCAAGTCCCAGGCCGACTTCGAGATAGGAGACCACGAGGATGGGGACTTGAAGCCGGTCGCTTAGTGCGCCATATCGGCAGACGACGCCTCCGCCGGCGGCAGACGTCAAGGCTGAGATGAGTGGGAGGAGGATGACGGGTGTGACTGATTTGATTCCGGGCGATTGCACTTTGACAAACACGTAAGGGATCACCATGACCGCGATCACTGCCATTGAGGTGGTGATCCACCACAGGACATATGCGACAATTCCCCAAGCGGGACCCCAGTATTTCACGAGTACCAAAGCAGTCATCTGGATGATCGTCGTGAAGGTGATGGATATGCTCGAGAGACAGGCAATTTCACTCATGTTCGCGCGAATCTCGTGCGCAACGTGTCGAGGAAACAAGCAGATCCGGAGCAAGTAGAGTAGCAGTCCCACGGCCAGCAATACAATTGTGTAGATCCAGATGATCACAGAGATGATCTCGAGTCCTCGAAACTGATAATCCAGTTGATGCAGGATCACCGCGATCACCCCGGTTCCTTGAGGGACCAAGAACCATTGCGAAGAGAAATTCCATACTGCGCGTGAGAATGCGCGTTGTGGTTGTCGCTCAGTGCCCAACTCCGCGTCTTTCCTTTCGTGAGCCTCATTTTCGAGGGCTACCTGCCCATGAGATGGCATCCTTGAAGGGAGTAAGTTCTGACAGGATCCAGCTGCTAAGAGTTAAATGCCATGCGCGCCCATGTGGCCCACAGTTTCGTACACAAGATATTCCCAGGCGCCAGGAATGTCCAGTTGAAGGGGTAAAACGCGGTTAAATGTTCAATTATGGGAAAGAATCGTAATTATTCATCATTGATTAGCACTGAGTCTGCGGACTCCGACAGCAGGTTATGTTCCAACAAAAAGCAGTTCTGAACATTCCATTACCCTGGGGCTCGGGCTCCAGTGACGTCAAGTCCCGTCCGTTTAAAGTTTCATTGGAACTATCGAAATAACCGACGGCCCCAGGGACTTTTCACTTTCCCCGTGTTTTCAAGATCACAATTCCGCTAGGTGATTCACTTGACTCTGCTCGAACGTTGGAACCATGACGCTGATTCATTTAGCTGTGAGGTACTTGTCACGATGTTAACACGGATATACTCTGACTATGTTATTCCGGATCCGTCGTCGGGTAGTAGAGGAAGAGGAGGTCCGTGAATGTATATAGGTTTGTACGCCGGTACGGTGGATGTGATTGCTTGGGCCGGGCAAACGATGCTGTCATATCCCAGTAATAGGAGAACGAGCAAAATCAATCAGAGCTCCCATAGTCACGCCCGCCTAGCCTGAGGGCTCAGCGAGCTTGAACCTTTAAGCCATAGCCGGGTACCACAGGACTGAGATTGCAATGTCTTGGAAAGTTCCCTGGAAAGAAAATGTTTACGCTGGAGCAAAAAGCGTGGCCAGTAGATCTCTAACATATCTTTTCGATCTGTATCATAGGGTTTGTTGTTTTGATTCCGCCATGGAAGGCATACAAATGTGTCATAACGCTGTCCACCCTTTTAGCTTCCGAGAACTCTAGTATGTAATACAAGCTTTGTGGCTTGCGCCCACGTATGCAAATTTAATAAAGCTCCTTGAATCTCTCAAAGTGCCCGTGGATCTCTCTGTCTAGTCTGCCTTATTCTTGGCGATAGCTCAAGCTCTCTCTCTCTCTCTCTCTCTCTTCCGCGAGATAGGCCATAGTAACAGCTCGCTTACTCATGGCAGATTTCAATGACTCCCATTCCGTTGGGGATAACAGGTTTTCCGTAGGAAGCTTTGGAAAGATGTTCGTTGGACGAGTTCGCGGTGCGATTCCAACAGGGAAACATCTCATTGTGAAGTCCGCTTGCAATGTGGGCTTGGGTCCAAGAGGTTCACACCTCGACGCTTCCTCGCTGAGCCTGTCACTGTGCACATCGTTTGATCCATGGTCGATATCTGTCTCACGAGAGGGCAGACTCAGGTCTGGCATATCCCTAATAATCCATTCGTTGATTCGGGCAGGAGCCTTTCGAGGAGTGGTGGGCGTTGAGCGCTGCAAATGGCCCTTGAACTTGTTCTCTGGAGCCGGTCGAAGGACAACCTTCCACGGCAGGAATTCTCGTTTGCGCTTCTTTTGCAATGGAGAGTATTGTCTGATGCGCTTCGTGGAATGCTCGTTTTTGAGCGCACGAAGGGATTCTCGATCTTGCTGTCGTTCTCCTATTCCCTGACGCTTACACTGGAGACGCTTCGACATTTCAATATAAAATTGCACCGTCTCACTCTCCAGAGTATCATCATTCATAAGACAGGCTCGTGCGGAGGTGAACAGCTGGTGCGCTACCTTGGGCCTTTTGAATTCAAGTTCAACACGGCCCATCCAATATTGACAGCGGGCGATGAGGTCCTGATTGCTCAACGCTCGAGCTTTCTGCAAGTTGTGCAGGGCAACAGACTTGGCGCCTTCAGGGTTGTCATTGGCAAGGTGAGTTATGACTGTGACAAGTGAAAAAGTCACAGGCAGGCTGAGGAGCTCGCTCCCAAGCCCACTCGTCGTTGATGAGGTGACACGAGCAGGCTTTGATAGCTCCAGGGCTGAAGCCTGAAGCTGCTGTGTCTGCTTTATGGACCGACTGATAGATTCGGCCTTGTTGGCGAAATCGCTTGGCTGAATTAAAACATACTCGTTGTGTTCTGACACGTCGGGGTTCTCGCTCGTGCGGATCAGCTCCATAGTTGACGGAGTGCTCGGCGAAGATGATAGAGGTCGCTCCGGTGCCATAGTGAAGGGTCAGGACGTAGCACTAATTGCAACGGCAGAGGGTGGTTAGAGATGAAATTCGAGACAACGCTCTCACAAACGAAGGGAGCAGCGCCAGCGTTTGCAAGAGTGCTGGAAGAGTCTGTTGGAAAATTCACCTGATATTGGAGCCGAGGTCGCTAATAAATCACTCGTCGCTAGGTGGAAGACCTGGTAGAGGTGACCGCTGGGAATGCAGAAAACTCCCTTGGCTTTGTTTGTTTTTCGGTGACAATGACTCTTCCTTTGAAACCGACTCAATCAACTACTGAAAATAAGGTGGCTATTGCTTTGTGCTGCTGGTTGTGATCAATGTGCCGGCCGTTCTTTTGTTCTTAACAAAGGAACCGCGCCGTTATCACTTAGACAGTCTTTTCGAAAGAGCCGTGTTGAACGCACGAGCCGGCCTGCTTTTCATACTTGACGCGCACATTCGTGAGAGCTGATTTGGGCATAGGAAAAATATAGAATGGCCATGTTGTCGTTCGTAAGGATGACCATGACACTCAGGACTGCGACGTCAGCAGCCCCAATTCACCGGAAACGAAAGAGCGGTCCTACCCATCGGCTTGGAATGGGTTTCCTGCCCTACATCTAAAGATGGGATGCCCGACCTAGATTACATGTGGCCACTCTTTACTTGATAGATCTGTTGCATATAAGACTGAGCACTCTATAACTCTCGAAGCGATAGCCCAGTCAATTCGAAATCTGATGAATCATTGAATGGAATGAAGTTCTTACCGTTTTGCCCATTACTCTCCAATATTAGGCCGCTCGCTCGTGAACTATCATCGCGACCGGTCGCATTTGATCTGAGCTGATAACCGGACGTAATGACAGATTGTCCAATGTACTATCGTCTTCAGTCTGTTGACGAGTAAACTCTTCAACGAGGCGAATCTGGCACTTCCGCGCCTGATCAGAATATCCGGGCAGCTGCAATGACTGTGAGTATGACCAGTAGGCTTGTTCATTGCTTCCCAGCTCCACAAGATTCATGCCTTCGACAAAGTGGGCGAGACTAGTGATTTCGGTCGAGACGGACTCCTGCTGTTGTTCACATGATAATGCAAGCTTTAAAACATCGCTGAGTTGGCCGAGAGATCGCTCATACTCACCCTTTGCGTAAAGCAGAGCGGCAATTATAACTCGGGAATGATTGGATTCTGCGACCGAGAGAAACGGGTTGCGCGCGATCGAAGTTTGCAGGTGACCAAGTGCAGCGTCCACATCGCCGTCCTTCCACGACTGCTCGGCCTGTTGCAAATAATGCAAGTCTGTACAGATCCAGATGTTGTCAATCCACGTCAAGTGCTGCTTTGCCGTGTCTGATTTCGACAAAGGGCCTGCGTTGCCCGCGACTCTTAAGTGGGCTTTGCGCCAGGAAATGGAATTCAATTCACTCACGTGGGCCCTTTGCACTTCTGCATGAGTGAGAAGACAGCCTAGGTCTGCTAGTCTGGTGCGAAGTGTCTGGATTTCTTGATTTGCCTGGTCTAGCTGCATCGCAAGATCTGCGTTGGCTTTCTGGAGCCGATCAACCAGATTCGGCCCCGCAAACTCCCTCGGCTCCTTGACTGAATTGTTCTTGCGGAGCTTGGACACTATTTTGGAGATCATGCTGTCAGTCAGAGAGGGCTTGGAGGCCTGAGAGGCATGTGATGGAATAGGATCGAGGGACAGAGGATGATGAACCGTAACTCTCGTTTCTTAGTATGTGTAATAATGGAACTGCAAGACGTCCTTGTAGTGAGGTTGTGAGCGCGGGACTTTCGGGGGTATTCTCATGCTTTATCTCTCTGAAGACTGCAGTTGGTAGTCAAGCCTAATGATAGATTTGGTAGGGAAGATGAATGAATCAGCAGATCGATTGTTGGTAAATTGATCATGAACCCGAGAGAAGGAAAATTGAGTTTAAAAATAGACATGGATCTCGAGGTCTTTTTCCACAGTCTGAGTCTGACAATCCCATTGTTAATGCGAGAATAACCTTGTAGTCACAAACAGTTCCATATCGTGTCGAGTAGGGATCTTTGATCAGAAAAAGGTCTTCGTCTTCAGCAAATTACTGCTTCGAGGTAAGCACTAAGACCGATTTAGCAACGCTTGTGTAGAACAAGGCATGTAAACGAGGTAACTTAATAAGTTAATACTACTGTTAGGAAACTTGAAGGTAAAACTCAGCTCGTTTCCAGCTGACTAGAAGACCAGGCTATCCAAATTGGGCCACTCCTATAATCGGAGGGAACTGGGAGGTACGAGATTTGGAAACTAAATCTCTTGTCCTCCGAATTGAGGTTGGTCCTTTTGTCCATGAGGGGCAAAGTCAGGTACCTTAGGTAGGTAGTACTGTTGTACCCTTCTAAAAGTTAGGGAGGTACATCTCCCGACTACTTACTAGTAACCTACTTAAACTATGTAGTTAGTAGGCACATCAGGTCAGTAGTAGTGAGTAGTTACTTGCTGTAGTCACCTAGGTGCCACTGACGTGGTGGATGGTTTCAGTACTACTACCCCATCCTCGAGTACGGCATATGTATGGATGAAGCGAGGGATTAAAGGGCGTAGGTCACGAAACTGATAACAAAAGGAGCTAGTGATGTTGAGGGCTTCGTTGATCTCTAGTATATTGTATTGTTATAGGTAACTAGGCCTAGGTAAAGAGACCTTTGCTAGTACTAGCTAGTAGCTACAAGGTCATTATAAGCTCAGTGAACTTCTTTGTTCTCTTTCACCCTTGTGAATCTACCATGAGCCTCGGAAGCATCGGAGTAAATACCATGCTGGATCAGTGTGGTGGTCACCGTGTAGCCACTGGCCAGTGACTTACGTGTTGTGACTGCATCCTTAGTCCATCATGACATCCCGACATTGAACAACCAACAACCGCCGGTCGGATGTAAACAAGACAAACCAAGCAAACAGCCCCGCTCTGACCCTCCTGTGCGTCATCGAGAGAGCTCGAGAATCCCTCCACCCGCGGTCTCCGCGATCATAGCGACTGCTACTGGACACCGCAGTAGCGCAGACCCTGGAGTCGAGTACGAAAGGAGTCTCGAAAGTTTCACCCCTCGTCCGATCTGGGGCCGTGCAAACACCCAAGTGGGTAGAGCTGGTCACCCGGCAGAATCCACAAGCGGATCATATCGCATTTATAAGCCAATCTGATAATGCTGGCCCACGCCTGAACAGGACCTGACCAGCGATCTAGACTTGCGGGGCATCTGAATGGGAAACCATGTTCTGCGAGTATTGCGAGACAAAACCGGATCACAGTGGACCCGTTCTGCATAGCTCAGTCAGCATTGGTCTCCACGATCAGCTCGTCCAACGTGCAGAGATACAATCGTTGACTGCGTGTCAATTACAGATGGTTCCTGAATGGATGACTTTTCCGCGCTCATTCAAAGGTTCCCCCGCCCTCCTCCTCGTGCAGCCGCTGGCGGAACATGACTGGGTCTCCAATCCTGTCCTGGTCCGGATGCTCCCCTGCGTCTCACGGTGATTCGTCATGGAGTCAAGCTTTCGCTTTCAGTGGCATGTCCGAGGTCCAGCACCAGCTGCTGCGGAGTCTCATAAAGACTTGACAGCTCCCCCTCTTTGCTCATTCTGACCGAGTCACAATTCGCGCATCTGCCGCAACAGCCACGCAAGGTATGATCCCCAGTCTGATGAATACAGACCAGCCCGCGGATCCTTCTCCAGCAGAGCTCGAGGTTACCTGCTGAGCTGAGGGTATTGACTAATGCTTGCTGCCTCAAAGGGATATCGTCGCAACAATGTCTCCATCCGCTTTGAGGAACATGGACAAGGTCGAGATTGTCAACATCCAACAGGAGAAGATGGATGTCTCCCTTGTGGACATCCTCAACAAGGCCCTCAACCCCTCCGACGGGACCTCACGCTCGTTCCCGACCCTACTTTTATACGATACGAGGGGCTTGAAGATCTTCGAGAAAATCACATATGTGGAAGATTATTACCTCACAAATGCCGAGATCGAGATCTTGACTTCACAAGCGAAGAGAATCGTCGAACGCATACCAGAGAATGCGCAGCTGTTAGAGCTTGGTAGTGGGTCTGTTGTCCTCATAACTCCAGGTCCATAAGACTGTGATGCGACTACTCGTCTCTGGAATCGTTTTGCCATGGCATGTTTCTGACATCAGCGTTCTAGAAATTTGCGCAAAATTGAGATTCTGTTGCGCGAGTGTGAACGGGTCGAGAAGCACGTGGATTACTATGCACTGGATCTTTCCCTGGTGGAATTGAAACGGACGTTTTCTGAGATCTCCCCAAGAAGGCTTTCAGTACGTGGGACTGCACGGCCTTCACGGCACATATGATGACGCGCTACTGTGGTTGAAGGACCCGAAGAATCGAGAGAGACCCACGGTCGTCCTATCGATGGGGTCGTCACTGGGCAACTTCAACCGCGCCGCAGCTGCGAGCTTCCTGCGAGGTTTCTCGAAGGCTTTGAGTCCCTCGGATATGTTGTTGATTGGTTTGGATGCCTGTAAGACCCCTGAAAAGGTATACAAGGCTTACAACGACTCCCAAGGGGTGACTAGAGAGTTCTATGAGAACGGCCTGGTTCATGCCAATGCCGTGTTGAGATTCGAGGCGTTCAAGGCTGAAGAATGGGAGATCATTACCGAGTATGACCAGAAAAACGGATGTCATCAAGCTTTCTACTCGCCTAAAGTTGATGTGACGATCAATGGCGCTCATATTCCGAAAGGGGACAGACTGCTCTTTGAGGAAGCATACAAGTACAGTCCTGATGAGCGAGAAGAGCTTTGCCGCAACGCGCACCTGATCTCGCAGGTTGTATATGCAAATGCGACAGACGATTATCGTAAGTGCTCACAGCACCAGGTGGCTTCCCGTCATTGGCAGCAATGGACCTCCCGAAATCTTATGCAGCGCCTCGCACCTCGGGTAGACTGACACTTTCACAGATATTCATCTACTGTCACCATGCTCAGTCGAGATCCCACTGCGCTCATCCGAATACGCTTCTCATCCCGTCCCCACGCTCAAAGATTTCGAGACCCTTTGGGCGGTTTGGGATACGGTGACCAAGACAATGGTGCCGCGGGAAGAGCTCTTGTCGAAACCCATTCAGCTCCGCAACGCGCTTATCTTCTACCTGGGCCATATTCCCACTTTTTTGGGTATGCGCTCCATCTCATGATGTATGCCCATGTCTTTGAAAGGCTCACTGACTGGCTATAGATATCCATCTTACGCGTGCACTGCGTGGCAATCTCACCGAGCCCCAGTCTTACAAGGATATCTTTGAGCGCGGAATCGACCCCGATGTGGAAGACCCGGAGAAATGCCATTCTCACAGCCCGATCCCCGATGAATGGCCTCGACTTTCTGAGATCCTGGATTACACAGATCGTGTGCGATCCAGGGTGCGATCGGTTCTTCAGGATGGCCAGGGCTCAAATGACCGGACACTGGGGGAAGCTCTTTGGATCGGGTACGAACATGAGGCCATGCATCTCGAGACTTTCCTGTACATGCTTCTTCAGAGCGAGCGTGTCCAGCCTCCGACTGGCGTGAAGACTCCCGATTTTGCCTCGTTGGCGCAACATGCAAGGGAGAATGAGAAGCCCAACCAGTGGTTCAGTATTCCAAAGCAAGCTGTCACGATAGGCTTGAACGACGTCGATGAGGACTCCGTACCCAGAGAGTCCTTTGGCTGGGACAATGAAAAGCCTCAGCGCGTCGTCGAGGTAGACGCATTCGAAGCCCAGGCCCGTCCAGTGACAAACAGAGAATTTGCCAAATATCTTCAAGTGCATCACAGCCGAGCAATTCCCGCATCGTGGAAGCTCGTTCATGCTGACAGAGAATTTGCGATTACCAACGGTGTGGATGAGTCTGGTTCTCGGGCGACCGATGACTTTATGAGCAACTTTGCGGTTAGAACAGTCTTTGGTCCAGTGTTGTTGAGTCTTGCTCAGGATTGGCCTGTCATGGCATCTTACGATGAGCTGGCAAGCTATGCCGAGTGGGCGGGATGCAGGATCCCGACCTTCGAAGAGGTTCGCAGCATCTATATGCATGCATCGAAAGTGCAGGCGGAGGCGAAGAATGAGGAAGCCAATCACCACAGGTAGGCTCAGTGATGTTTGATCGTCGTGAATGAATGCTCAAGCTGACCACTGACGCAGCGACGGACCCACCAACAAGACCACAGCAACAAACGGGGCTGTGAGTGGTGTAAAACGCACCGCTAATGGAGAAGTGAAACAGAGTCTTTGTGCGGAAACACCGGTATATCGCTCCCTCGAAGATTGCAATGTTGGCTTTCAAAATTGGCATCCTCTTCCGGTTACACCAAACGGCGACAAGCTTGCTGGCCAGGGTGACCTTGGTGGCGTTTGGGAATGGACCAGCACTCCTTTAGCACCCCACGAAGGTTTCAAGGCCATGGACATATATCCCGGCTACACATGTAGGTGTCTGCCCCCACAGCCCGTGAAAATAATTCCTCGCATGCTTATCAGTTTCTGGCATAGCGGACTTCTTCGATGGCAAGCACAACATTATCCAAGGCGGTTCCTGGGCGACCATGCCGCGGATTGCTGGGCGCAGCACATTGTAAGTACTCCTTCAGTCCATCGATTCACGTTTTCTGTCCTGACTAACTCTCATCTCTCAGTATGAACTGGTATCAACACAACTACCCGTATACGTGGGCGGGCGCACGACTTGTGCGTGATCTCTCATCATAGCCAGAGCTGTTCAAGGAGTCGACAATGCTTGAGTCACAGTCAATGGTAGATGGCCTGTACCACTAGCATCTCAGGACGTTGTGTAACCATGGGTGTTTGAGGCTCGCTTTGCATCCAAGACAACGTGTCTGTTCACTCTGAAATGAAACATTTGAATCTACCAGGCAGCCGCACACATGCAGGAGGGTGTGGTGATAAATCTCCGATTGAAAAGGTGCACACTGCAAAGGACTGGAACGCTTACGAATCGCGTGCCTCGGCTACCGCAACTCAATACCCTGCAGCGCGGAATGGGTCCATCCGCGCAAGGAAGCTCTCCCGTCCTAGTGACATTCCCTAAATGAATTGTATCGAACTTTCGAAGAATGAAGACTGGAATGTAAAATCGGAAAGCACTGCACGCTTACAAGCCACGTACTGGCTTGAATCGCCGAATCCAGAAGAGGAATCCGCATCCCTCTACAGTATCCGAAGCTACGGCCAATCGTCTGCATGGTCCTGATAGTAAATTAAATCCAAAAGCTTTTCTTTTCTCTCCCTCGGTTCGAGTCCGATCCCTTCATTGATAGGGGCACATTGGCACATGATGAAACACCCGGCACTTGACAGATTAAGGTTGATTGCCTGGTGTCGATCGCGCGCCACCAAACTCACCGAGACTGTCTCTGTCACATCTGGCGGATTCGGCTCTGATCATATTCGAGGACGTCTCCATCTGTAACTCTATTGATTGCGAATGAACCACTTGTGAATCTGCTTCGAGTTTTTGGAAGATGTTGGACACGAAAGAAACAACAATAATGCCGTCCCTTGGATGCATGTTGCCGACGCGAGGAGCGGAAGAGAAAGTTTCCTTGGTTGGTCAAAAACGGTGATCCTCGGACTGTACGTGGTTGCCGACCGCGCGTCAGTGTTCAAATGAGGGTGAAGTAAGTTGATTTTGGAAACCCCTGTATGTATGGAATTTATGGTAACTATGTAGATTGGTAGATAGAGCCTAAGAGCACACCTATTTACCTATTTCCAACCTTTGGTAATTACCAAGCTGTGTTCCGGCCCATGCTATACTGTAGTTGGGTATTCATCATATTGCATGACCAGGTATTTCTCCCCCTGTCTCTGATCTATGCTACCTCATTACCTATTGCCGGGGTCCTGCATACATCAATATCGCTTCCAAGACTCTCTCAGAAGGTACGTAAACCTGCTCCAGCACGTAGCTCCACAGGTAATAATCGACGTCACACTACAGCCGGGCACGATGAGAGTCCGATGTCTTCGATCACCTACAGGATATACGACCGAGGCCAATCCACTGAAGCTCGATCACGGCCCCGATCGAACAAGCTCCAAATGCCGGGGCTGTTCGCGGCACGAATGCCAAAAGAGTGTGATGAGCACAGTCACCCTAGTACCTTTTGAAATATGTGTACGAGATTCATGGAGCAATATCCATTTGACGGGCAGCCCGAGGGTGGTTGGTCGGACCGCTCGCTTTAAATGGATCGGCACACCCGAGGCGCTATAGTGATCGACATTAAATGGATCCGGATCGTCCAAACCAGTGTGCCAAGCGCTTGGGTGCTATGGTTCCCATCGGAGAGCATTTCTGAGGCTGTTGGTCTCTCATGTTGATCGCATTCAATCGTTCCCGTTCAGGACAATAGTACCATGGAATTCGAGTCGAATCTCTGGGTTCTCGCACGGCCTTTTTGTGAGAATTTCAAGACTCCTCCCCTTGATGGATTTTGAGCGAAGGATGACCTCTCCCGTCATTCAGCTCCCCTCATCTTGATTGTTGGAGTAGACATGGAGAGCCCGGTCCATAAACCTGGAATGATTTGGAGGTGTCATCTACGGTGGGTGCTAGTCGTTGAGATCAGAGTGGAGCTATTGAATCTTTCCAGGTTTGTTGGATGAGGTTGAGCGACCAGGGAATCCATCAAGTGATCAGGTAGAGAGTTGACCACAGTTATAGACGAGGTTGTGATTTCGTGATAGGTACCTAAGAGGTAGTGACTAGTAGGTAGTTAGTTGATCACTTCATACTAGCCAAGCTTTTCCGGCCTTGTTCAATACTCACTGGACTCTGATTCTCAAGACACCTTTCCCCATATAGTTACCGCATCACCGACTCTACCAGATCCAATCCACCGAATACCGCCAGGTTGCGTAGGCAGAGAAATAAAAAGGGCCAAGGACGGGAATGCTGGCTGTACGGAGGTCAATAAGTATTCTTCCCTGGAACTGATGAGGTATCCAGCTCCAATACTACAATCACCCCCTTTTACCCGTTTGAGCCATGGTTTGCAATCAAGTACCTTTTCCGGCGGGCCTCACAGACCTTGACACTCGTCCTTCGGAGGGACCCCTGCAGAAGTGCGGCTAGACTGAAGACTGTGTAGCTCATCACTGGGACCTGACTGTGTAGAGACCCGAAGAATTCTACAACGACGGCAATCGTCGTCTAGGGTCGTGCACGCGAGGAACGCCAATCTCTGCCCATGTACAGGGCTGTATATTACTACATTGTACTCTGGTCCCGCCCGAGGAAGGAAAGGGAGGGTAAGCGTGGCTGAGATGCAGGACGTAAATGCGGCATCGGTATCGGATGTTTTGATTGATAGATATTTAGAGATTCCAGCTGCAGCACTTTGCATCGCATCGGCACGATCTCTGCATCGCCATCCTATTAAGTGTACATGGTGATGTCGGACGGACAGGAGACTACATCCTTCTTCCGAACATGAGACGTGTTCCCTCAGCAAGCCAAAGAATCAATACATGATATCATGGGCACCACCTGAGGAAATGAAAAAGACACCCATTACGAGAGAGAGAGGGAGAGAGAGAGAGAGAGCAAGAGAGAATCAAGTATCTTGAAGGATCTAATAGTCCAGTCCAGCCCGCCAGTGCCGCTAGGGAGAGCCAAAAGTGGACGCTTCAAAATGGAATGTGTCACAGACCCATCGCCAAAGGGAGATTCCAGGGTGAACCTTTTTCCCGATTACATTCAATGTAATGAAAGCCTCCCTTCTCATACCGTTCTCCAGTAGTGTCAAATCTACAGGCTATCGTTTCCCTCAATGGCACTTGACGGGGCGTCCAGATTGTGGATCAATTTCATATTGCGTCCGTCGTAGGCAAAATGGATGTGCATACTGCATGAAAGGGCCCTGAAACTCGGCTCGGAGCGTGCCACTGGGATGATCGGCCTTTTTTGTGCACAATTGTAGTTCTCTCTTTTGGAAGTGGTGTGATTTTCTTTTTCTTTTTCACGTCTTTTGGGTGTTTCGTTATTTTGTTTTTCCTTCCATGTGAACGGACTATATCTACTAGCGTCTGGACCGGGCGGTTACTAGACATTCATCCTCCATCGCTGAACGTACTAATAACCTAGCATATCCCAGGATCTTGTTCAGTCTTCTCTTTTTTTTTGTTGGGTTCGATCATTCCAGTCGACGTCCTTCGTCACCAGTCCTTCCTTTGGCGTCTTGTCCTTCGTTTTTAAATTCCATCGATCACTCGATTTTCAAAATCCGGTTACTTCCTGCCCAACAACACTTTCGAGTACGCAACAGCGCTTGCCGGTACAAGTCTCTTCGTCAAAGTCTCAAAATCGACCATCGCCACAGAATATCTACAACTTCTTCTCCAAGGTCGTGTTAGATCCGTGTTCCTCCAAAAGATTCATATCCACTCGCCTCGACATAATGGACTGTTTCAAACAAATCCTTCGCACCTTCAAGGCGCCATTTGCGCGCAAGCAAGGCAAGATCGTCGAAATTGTACGTATTCACCCAGGAAGCATTCAAAGTCAAGCGAGCAAAAACAAAAACCAAAGAGGGTATCAAGAAACTCCAGGCTAATGCAAATCCTTCTTTCTTCGCCAACAGGGACCTCCTACCAATTTCCGCAAAGAAGAATTACCCGCCTGCTTCTCCGATGCCGAGTCAGTCTTAACGCGCAATCTCACTCCGTCCGAACGGCCCCATCTGACATCCCAGTCACAGTACTTTGACGTCTCAGACAAGCCGCAGCCCATCGGTGGAGAGGGAGAAAGTGTCCAACGAGATGAGGAACCGTCGGCCATCGGTGTCAGCCAAGATCCGCAGCCACGTCCGCAAACTGAGCGTGCGAAATTCGCCCGCGTCCGAACTTGCCTAAAGGGTTTTCGCATGTCTTTTGGCTCCAAAAGGGTCCCGAACGGCCATCCGGAGGCGACGAACGGTGGCAATGATACTTTGTCTGGGACAATCACGGAAAAGGCCAAGAGTGACAAGCCATCGGAGCAATGAGGGCGTGATGGTCCATTTCCGATTGACATCTGGATCTGATCCGATGTCATTGTTTTGGATCACAGCAAGAACGTCGGGACATTTTTGAAGCGGGATTGTTTGGTTGCGGGAGACTCATTGTCTCAGTTATGTCTGGTGGTTTGCAGGTTTCTGAATGGCTGAATCTCGGGGTCTGAGGAAACCTTCGTGTTCTTTTCCACTTTGACGCATTGCGATGGCTCCGGTAGCCCATCTAGATCATCAAATAGACTTTGAACCCGAGATCTGAATCTGCTGCTTGTCTGTACAGCCGGGGCCACTCGTTGCACTTGTACAGCGTTATCCATCTCTTGGCGGTCTGGCCGCACTATAGATTTTGATGTAGAAACCGTAGATCTTTCATACTGTGCTGGAGCCAGCTCCTCAAGATCATCGTCGTCCTCTCCTCCTTCTGTTTCTTCACCTGGATCTGTGTCACCGTTGAGGTCATCAGTGTCCGAGGCCGTTTCCCCGTCTAGATCAGCCATCTTGTCCGTCGCGGCTCGCTGTTTAGATACGCGTTCCCGTGGAAGATCCCCGCCTGCGGCTCTACCACCACTCCCACCAGCCTGTTTGTACCCTGCAGCCGCTCGCGTCGCAGATTTCACCCCATAAACGCCCATCAGAGACCTTGATTTCCTGGGACTAGTCATCAGCCCGTGGAGATGGGTCCCCGCCCAGGTGGTATCGTCATCGTCATCCAAGTCCTCTTCTAATGGCTTGATGTCTGCCAGCCCAGCCTGCTGCCGAGCATGGAGAGATTCTGCTTCTTTTTTCCGCTCGCTCTCCTTTGGCAGAGCTGTTCGGCCATCTGTCGGTCGTTGAAGATTATTCAGGCCTTGAGTGCCTCGCGACCTCGCTTCCTTCTTTCTTCGAATATACTCCGCGTAATGAAGATGCTGTGTAAAACTCAGCGCTATGGCGTAGAACTCATCTTCCACCATGATCCAAGCGTCATCATGGTCCAGTCCTTCGAGGAGAAATCTACAAAGTGTCGAATTAGCGTCTGGAGCGACCGGCTCGCGAAGATCAAGACTTACTCTTGGGGAGGACATTGTCGCGCAGGAGAGCTAGGCGGGGTTTGCGCTTGAAGACCAATGCACAAAATTAGCTAAAGAAGTGCAAGGGAGTGTGTTTTTTTTTTTTGAAAAAAAAAAGAGTTCGCTTGATTTACAAGATCGGAAGAAATCCCGCTTCTCCGGCGTTTTAGGAGGTCCCCTTGATGTCGCGTTGTCGTTATCATCATCATCGACAGGCGTGCATTCTCGCTTCGCCCTCTTGCGGGGGCGCGACTGTTGTTTCACTGGACTAGCATTCCCCTTGTGTATCAACCAAGGTAATGTTCGCGGCATTGCGCGCCGTCATTCGTCTGAAGGTAGGGTGCACTGGGGTAGTAGTGATGCGGCACGTCTGAACGCGGGTCACAGAGATGGAGAGTGATTGATAGGCGGGCCGATAAGGTGAGGTCACCTTCCGCTCGGGGAAGCTGCCGAGGCCAAGCCGGTACTACTGGCGATTCAGCGGAAGGGCCGTAGTACTCATTCCTTCCAAGCAGAGCCAACCACGGAATGTGAATGTTCATAGATTGCTCAGTCTGTTTTACTTTGCTTGGGTATCTAAAGTGGTATCATAGGATCCCGTGTATGCGAGGAGAGCGGTGCGACCAGGAAAACATTGCCCCAATAACGCCCGCTTATGTTTGTCGCCCCAAAATTCAAGAACAAGCCAGTGAAGAACGCCTGCGTGGAAGTGTATCACGCCCCGTTGGAAGAAAGATCCAGTGTAGACTCAGCCAGCCAATCTCCGCTTAGGTCTCGCCAGGGCGCTTGCTGTTGCAGCTGACAATCTTCACCCGTTCGGCGGAAACGGTGGTCTGGTTGTCGAGTTTGAAGGTCACGTCCTTGATAAGGAATGTCCAGACTTCATCGCAGAATCGGTAGGTGTCGAGATGGCCCTGGATAGCAAGCAGAGAAGAGCTACGTTAGCAACAACCTTCATGGCGACCTCTTCCATTCACACCTCGATAGGAACACAAAGACCTGAGCCTTCGCGCGCGTAATCCCAGACAAGCGCTTGTGGATCATGTACCTTGAACGTAAGTCGGGCTCGGACTTTCTCGGCCAAGACCTCTGTGACGACCTTATCAAAGGTGGACAATATCTTCATTGCCAGTTGAGGCTCAATCCGGCCCTCGTTAATCAAGTCATCCAGTGTGTCCGTAAGGGAAAGACCGAGACTAGTCATTCCAAGTCAGTCCCGCTCAGCTAGCTTTTTCCCTGCAGTCCACCCTCACCTGCTGCCACGATACAGCTCGTAGTATGATTGTTGTTGCTGAGCCATGATGAGTACGATGACTGTGGAGGAAGCGTGCTCGAGACAAAGTGTCTGTTGACAGGTACAAGTGAAAGCTGGACGTTCGGCATTGACCGATCGCGGGGAGACGATCATACCACGTGACACCACGTGACTATGTATATGTCCCTGATCGCATATCTACGTCAAGACCAGGGTTCGGGTATTGTGCAAAGCGTCCTGGACTATTTTTAATGAGATGAAAGAAAAAGGCTCAGAATACAATTAGAAATAATGTTGAAGTCGAGAACAATTACACGCCGCCTTCAAAGGAGCCTCATCCCACATTTGAGCGCTGTCGCTTCGTCGGCTCCGTCAGTACGGGCCGTTTCCTCTTCGACAAAACAACCTGGTACGTAAAAGATCCATGGTCAGCAATGAATAAGCAGCTCAAGGGCCGAGAGCTTCTAACCTCGCTCACAGATCAAAAGTCCCTGGGTCAGACTTCAAGTTCCGATTCCTCAAGGTCAGATTCAAACCCGGATGACACTGTTCAGGCACAGGCCGGGACATCAAAGAAGACTCAATCAGTCGCCGATGCAGATGCGCAGCTGCGGGAGCGATTGGAGAAAATGTCAGGAGAAGGGGGAGCTGCGGGAATTGAATATGAAGATGGAAAGCCCAGCGCTATGAAACGGGGTGTGCGAAATAATATGTTCAGACTAATCTGAGTTTAAGTTGCATCGTTTCAATTTTTTGGGAGTTTATTCACCAAGCCAGATAAATTGCTTCATTCCCCACGGAGCTCCAATCAAGTTCGCCTTGTTTGCCGGGGGCCCTGTCTAGTGTCTAGACATGTGTAATACATGAGATTCTTCAAACGATGAAAATGCGTCAGTCCGCGTTTTGGCATAGTGCTATGTCTCGACCCTGAAATAAATACAAAATACCTTATTCACACTACTTCTCTGCAACCATACCAGCCAAAACGCCAGCTCCGATAACGCCTCCGTCCGAGGCCTCTCGCAGGAACACAGATTTTCCACCCCGCTGTGGACCTGTCCGCATGATGAGACGGTCAATTTGCTGTTGGCACATCTCTTTGAATTGCGGGTAATGTTGGATGATCCCGCCTGTATAAGCAACGACAAGTTCCTCTGGTCCCGATTGCCAGTCCGCAGGCAGTGGCTGAAGGACTGGTACGACATGTCCATGGATCTCGTTCGAACTCGGCGTCGCTGCTGATGGGCTCGCTGCGCTACTGATAACCGGAGTATCCCCGTTGCCATGAGGAGAAGCTGGGGCTTCAGGTGTGTTGACCGTGCTGTCCTCTTTCAACTCAATCTCCCGGCAACATGCCAACAGGCCGATCACAGCAGCGGCAATCAGACCAGCTGAGCGAGCTTGTACTGTACGCGCAATCTTTCGGAAAGCACCAGCTGCCTTCCAATCCCACTCCCAATCGCTGCCTTCCGGAGGAGGGAGGGAATCGTTTAACAAAGTTGCAAGGTCTTGGTCCGATTTCGCCCTGGCGACATTGTCGGATATGTATGTGGTCGTCAGAGCGTATTCCTGGACCAGGGAGACCGGCAGGTTTTGCTTGGATAACCCTGCTACGGTCGTGAGGTAGTCGGACAGAATCAAGCGAATTAGCTCTCCAATATACCGACCACCTGTCATGTACTCAAAGGGCTGGAAGCCAGGACGCGCGCATGCTTGGTCTAGGAGAGCATCCCATTTTGTAGTAATGTTCAACTCCCGAAGGGGTGCGGCGGCTCCTGAAATTGTCCACTCCGTATTGATGATTGTCTCTGTGGCATCAGAGTTCATCGTGTGGACACTTCGAGCTTTCGACTCATGAAGGTCCTCGAGCTTCATGGGAATGGTGGCATTGCATCCGGTGCCCACAATAATGCCCATTGCGACCCGGCTGTTCGGTAGTGACTTGACCTTGTAAGCAAGCGAAGCCAATGTCGCAACCGCATCATTTGTTATCGCTTGGATCTTGAGCTTCGGCAGAGCGAAGAGCTTTCGTCGTTTTGACGAAGGCTCGTCCTCATCGTCAGGTCTCCTAGTATGTTTTTCATATCCAGTCAAGAGAATGTGACGCAAGTCAAGGTTTGAAGTGATTGCAAACCCTTTGCCCATGGGCATCAGCGTGGCTTCGGCGAGTGATTCTTGCCTAAGAAAGGTGTCAGCATAATTCGCACCCTCCAGAGCATCCAGCGCAAAGAGCCTGTCCGCCGCGTGAATCATGCCGCACTGTCATGAAGAACATACATGATAGGAAAACTGAATGTAATGCCCATGTCTAGCTCGGCGGGGACATGCTTTTGTGTTTGATCCGAGATGAGACTTTCTGCAACCACTTCGGCGATACAATCTCCAATCCACGCAAATAAATCCTCGGCCTGATCTTTTTTCAAATGTTCCTGGATCGGCCATGCCCGCTCGAGGGTCCGCTTCACTCTTTGTCTCTGAGCCTTGCGGATCGTATCCTGGGACCTCTCGGAGGCGTCTGCGGAGCGATTTTCCGAGTCCTCAACCTCACCCAGTAACTCAATGAAGGCAACCCGCAGATTACTTCCTCCCACGTCGATGGCCAAGTAGCGGCCTGTTTCCTGACCCGTAGGCAGCCGGGTTACAGGGGTGGGTAGAAATTGTTGATCTGAGGTCAGAGCCAGCTCACGATATACTTTGGAAAATCGTCGAGCCAAGTTGTATAAGATTGCCTCTTCCAATTTCAGGGGTGCCAAAAAGTCATCTAGTTGACGGTTGAATTCAAGGTGCGCGCGTTGTCGCTCATCCATCTCCAAGCTCACATCGTTGTCATCGTCCTCGACGTCGTCATCATTCAAAAGCTCCCGATCCTCCTCATTGTCTCGCCCAGACAACGTGGATATAGCGGCTGGTGAGGCCATTGTGGTCACTCTGACAATGCCTTGACCAAGGCTGGGTCCGTCTTGCGTCTTGGCAGGAAGTCCAAGACCAAATCTGGCACAAGGTGGCGGGATCCAGCTTGCGGACCTTTACCAACAAGCTGCACAGGGCTTAAAAATGGATGCCAGTGGACTCAACCTACCGTACGAGTGTGTCCAGATTCCTGTTATGTGCTACTAAATTAGCACTACCGTAGGCAATTTGATCCGATGCCATTGTATGGACGCAGTGTCTGAATGTTGCTCGAGATTTCCAGGAGCCAACAGTGCCACACGTTCAATACCCCCAATTGGACACAGATTGCCCCTTCAAGTGAGGCACTGTGTTCAATGTTGCAGGCGAATACAACTGATCTCTAGGCTGTTCGGACCGAGACACGGGACCGGACCATACGCGCGGGGAAATTTTCACGAAAAGACACATACCTGTTCGAAGCGCTCAATTACTGCGTGCTCGAGTTTCGAGACCCAAGCTCACCTGAGAAGCTGAGTCAATCTGATTTAGCTCGAGCTCTTGTGCAAGGAGACCGATTGGGCTACTTTTGAAGTGTGATGAATGATAGTTCCCGTCGATCGAGGCAAGGGGGACCGAAAAAAATGGTGAAAGACGTGTCTCAACAGCCCACGGAAACTGCCTCCGGGATTTAGAGGATTGAAAACTTCTCCCAACTTGCTCGCGAACGGCTCGAGCTAGCGGTGGTGCTACTTTCGTCGAAGAGAAACCCCCTTAAGAGCCTGGAACTACCGACGTTCTTCCGGACTCGTGATCCTCAGGCCAAGCGGGGTGTCCAGTGATTGATACGGTGGAGAGTCGACTGGTGCGGACCTGATCAGATAGATGAGTGGAATGCCAGACGCGAAGGGACCAGGATCCATCGACAGAAAGCAATGTGTGAGGTAAACGAAGAAGGAACTTGGAAGACCAGGACGATAAGGCGTTCGATATAACGTTGTCAGAGAACGGCCTGGATCGGACCCGATGCAGCGGTCACGGGCAAAATAATCACCACCGCCGTAAATGGCATGAGTTGGATCACGGGGAATGGCAAGGAAGCGTACCAAGAGGCGAAAAAAGAGGAACACCAACCGTCACAAATCAGTATCCAGCGTTGGATAAAAATAAACAATAATGTCAACCACAACAGTGGCTCCAACAGGAATGGCCGAGCTGGCCAGAGGTCAAATAGTCTAATGGTGGAGCCAATTACCCACTTTTGAGTATGGAATCTGTCGCGCTTCAGCCTTGAACTCGTCGTCACTAGCTGCGAGGGTGCCAAACTGCCGGATCGCCGGTGCTGATTTTGGCTTTGATGGCTTTTGGGAGGGCGTTTGACCCTTGCCCCGGAGTGCAAAAGTGGACACGGAGTGACTAGGATCCAGATCGGCAACTGTCTGTGTGGTCCAGCCAGAGAGGATTCATGAGGCGAAGATCTGGCAGAGGTACCTGGTCGGGACTAGCTGACGAGGTGGTGGCTGGGTTCTCACACCTCGGATCGCACCGTCACTGCACTTTTACTGCACTTTGAGAACCGTCTCCCGGCGATCGCAACGGAACAAGGACGGAGAGAAGAACACCATCAGGGCAGCACCAGGAACTCCGGATGGGAGGACCACAGACTAAATATCAACCAGGAGCACGGTCGTGGGGAAATGCGACCATCGGAAGGCACGAAGTAATGCGACGATGTGACGCTGTTCCTTTCCTGAAACGGGCAAGTTGACAATCACGGCATTCGTATGAAGGCCCTCTCCCTCTCTCTCTCTCTCTCTCTCTCTCTCTCTCTCTCTCTCCCTCTCTCTGTTGAGTGTGGACTATTCCTCAAGTCACCCGGTCATGCATCATTCCCGCTCCCTCTTTGGACTTTCACCGGGAGATCTTCTGCACTACTGTTACTGTACTTCGATGGAAGAGGCCGGGAGATCTGTGTTTGATGGCCATCCACTCCATGCATTCACTTGGCAACCTCGGTCACGTCTGAACTGACGACAATCAGCAGCGACTCACGAGACCACTGCTCTCGAGGGTCGACACTCAAGATGCCTTACTTCTACAGTCCCGATGTGCATGTGGTGGACAGTGGACACTCAGTAGTCAGTACTACTGCGAGTCTGCGACTGCAGGCAATTGCATCGAGGCGCGATCTATCCGGACTCCCGAACGGGTCTAGCCCGTTGATCCACGTTTCGTCGAAGATCCCCAGCAGCCGCTTATCAGTCGTAATCCTGCGGATGATGGATGCTACCTCAAAAGCAGAACGGTGCAAGCGCAGCGGATGGTCAATCAGGAGACTCAGGACTCAACTAGTGACTAGTAACTACGAGCTATCAGCTACTCGCGGATCGCTAGTAGTGAGCCAGTTATCTTGGCCTGCTGCTGGTAATCTGAACACTGGTCCTCGCAGAAGCACTTTGCGACAGCACTGCTTAGCCCAGAACTTTGCTTCACCAGAAATGCAGACGGTGTGGCCGTGCTCTGTCTTGTCTAGATCGGCCGACTCAAGGTCGCCGACAATTGCGCCATCCAAGCTGTTGCGGTTCCTCCTTCTCCTCCTCCTCCTCCTCCTCCTCCTCATCATCATCATCTGCGCGCGTTTCCGAGGGCTCTGACGCGGCCTTGCTCGTCGACTAGGCGGAAAACGGAAGGAAAAAAACAAATCCTAATCCAAACAGATCCAAGCGCATGAGAACGATGATCACGGTCGGGGAATGTTCCACTTCGAAGCTCCTAAGTGCGAGCTATCCTGCCTCGCCTCGCTGACATGGCGGGAGCTATGTAACCCTCCTCGGACGTCTGACGCCTTCGCGCCGGAGGACGATTCTCCTGCTCGGTTAAAGACATCGGCTACTTTGACCCCTCCTACTGTACACGGAACCACGGACGTAGTTTCGTTCTCTTTCAGCACTGCCCAGGAGTTGGTACAAGTTTGTACAATGGAACATTTATAGTTGCAGCTCCGTGCCCAAAGCCCACCCCATACCTCCACGGGCCCAGCGCGCCGCTAGGCGTCTGGTCACCCCTCACGCGATAACACGAACCCCCCGGTCGTGGCGGCTGGGCTCAGGTACGCACGGCCATATCCGTTCAGTGTCCAGGCGCCCGATAGCGGCCACGCGCAACAGGCCGAGTTCTTCCATCCACAGTGATGCGAGCTGCAACACCCCCTCAAGAAAAAGGCCAGGGGCTTTGAGCGTTGATTCTTGACCTCTACGAAAGCATTTGCCTGGGTACAGCAAAGGCCTCTTCTCAGTCCGCACTCGATGCGGCCTGGGTGGGCAAATCCAGACGTCCCGGAGACCTCACGAGCACGGGCTCCAACGAGCCTGCGAATGCAGATGCCAGATTCGCAGGTGACAAAATTCCCAATTTTGAGCCAATACCCATGGCGTGTGACCATGTGGTGCATCATTGATGATTCAAAGAAGCTCGGCTGAGGCTCCCATCTCGGCATGGATCACCGATGCCAGTGCTCCCTTGTGCAGCAGGCAACGGCGCCTTTTGACTCCATCTGTTCCATTGATCATTGCGTCAAGTCGAGACCGAGATGTGTTGTATTGAATCAATAGTCGAGCCAATCGGTCATGATTTGCTGGCCGTGAGCGGACGGTCTTGATTCATTCACTCGAGGTAGCTGTCCTCCCTAGATTGTAGAACAAGACAGAGCTGGTTGACACGGAAGCTTCTTAGAGGGTCTGCAAGGCAATTGCCAGAAACGAAGCAGCGTGGCAAGGCTCACTACTGGTGCAGTGGGCTACCGGGGCACGATAACGATTCTAGCGACTGCCGGAGCGGCTCCATTGCTCCCCGCCACAAGCTGAAAGAGTTTGTTGCCCCGCTTCTATCAACGGCCGAGACAACTCGAGCCAAAGCTGCGCTGGGAAGCTCTTATGTATGACGATGCAAGGGTATTGAATATTATTCTTCAAGACTTGTATTTCCATGAACGGTTTGTGTTGACCCTTGCAAGCTCTACGCATTTGGCATTCATGCTGTGAGATTCATAAGATAGAGTTCTAATGAATGGCCAACTTTGCAAAGTTACAGCTCCAAACCCATGTCGGTCACTAGAACTCGAGGCCACATGCCTCCGAGATCGGAGCCCGCCCACATGGAGACAATTACCTTCCACATTGATGCAGGTGGGAAGTCGTTGACACTGGGAAGACCATCGCATTGGAAGTCTAAGCTAGTGATCGCTTTCCAAAGATGCCCTTCGCTCCCAAAGAGATCGAGAAAATACCTCCCTTCATCAGCACAGACTTATCGCACACGTCAGTTTGATAGCTCTTCAGCACCAGAAGCAGAGATTCTCAGCTCCAGGAGGATGATATGACCTGGCTTACCACGAATAGCAATATCCATCCCACTGAAGGTTGAATTCTGCGTGAATGATACAAAAGAAGCCATACGGGCCACATTTGATCGAGTGGAGAGGCAGAGAAACTTTCAAGCCCTGGCTGGTATTTGTGAATTTGATTCAGTTTGGATGCTATCTTAATCAGGTGATGTGTACGAGAGATGCCCGTGGCTCTTTCATGTCAATTTTAATCCGCGCGCAAGGCTTGGGGATGGACAGTCCTTCACAGTCCAGTTTAATTCAAGGACCACTGAAGGCGGCAGGAGCTAAATAATGTAACAAGTCGCTTCTGTACGGGTCAACTCGGTGAAGAGATGTCTTGATGTTGAAACTCGAGTCCGAGCCAGCCTAGAGAGACGAGACAGGCGGAGTTGGCAGGGAGGACGGGGACCGTCCGCCTGGACCCTGACGTAATCAGTCTTGCTCAGTGCAGCCTGAGGCTGCCAATCAGGCTGGCGGGAGCACCTGACCCAAAGTTTCCAAGCTCAGCTTCCATGCCGCCGCGTGATGTGGAGAAGGTCAGGTCACCGCCCGAGGAAAGTTGTGCCAAGGAGTACTCCAGTCCCGTTTTATCTCCGCAGGCCCGATCCATCGATAGCGGAGTCCTATCTCACAGTTTCTCAAGCATGTCAACTTTGCCGCTTCATAGCGGTAGCCCCAAGGGTGCAGGTCTTGAGGATGAAAAGGCCCCATGGCTGACTACAAAGCAAAGGGCAACACCAAGTCGAAGAACCATGGCATGGCGCTATGCCGTCGTGGTGACCTTTTTACTCTGCTACTATCTGCTCCTGAGACCCGCCGACACAATATGCACGTCACCTAACTGTCTGGAATCTTGCGATGTCGTTTCCTGTGCCGCATCCGATGGTTCTGAAAGTACGGCGGACTTGTTCGATCTGGATCAGAAGCTCGATGAAGATATGACAGCTCGGGTAACAGGATATCGAACCCCAAGTCAGCGCCCCCTTTCCAGGATTCAAGAAGGCACGGGGAGCAAGATTCCATTAGAGGCGCATATCATGAGCAAATGTCCAGATGCCAAAGACTGCCTACAGAAGTTGATTCTCCCGGCTATGGAGCAAATCAGTGACAAGGTTGACTTTAACCTCTCTTTTATCGCGAGGTATGTTCTTGATCTATGTCACATTTTATACTTCACACAGATCGCACCTTGTACTGATCTTGTGATACACTCTAGCGTTTCTGAAAAATCAACCGAGGTTGACTGCAAACATGGTCCTGGGGAATGCATTGGGAACATGCTTCTTCTTTGCGCAGCAAACTTGCCTTTTCCTCCAACAAATGACGACTCACTGTTACCTGAAGTGTACCCCCGTACACCAATTATTCGATCCCTCGGTTTTGCAAATTGCATGCTGAACGGCTACTCCCACATCCCCAACCGTGAATTCATTCATGAGTGTGCGATGGAGCACGGCATTGATTTCGATGCCCTGAACCGTTGTGCCAGCCAGCAGGATGACGATCCTGATGGTGGCGAGCAGGATGGGCCAATGCTCAGTGGTTTGGCACTCTTGCGTGAATCTGCGCTGCGTAGTGACAGTCTCGGGATCAAGACCAGCTGCACTGTCCGTCTTGATGAGTCTGTTTGGTGTGTTCGTGACAACGGCGAGTGGAAGGACTGTGCCCGGGATGCTGAGGGCTCAGATCCTCGGGTTTTGGTCGACGCAGTAAATAAACTCTGGGAAGAACGAAATTAACATTAATATGTTGATAGACAGTCCATACCACACATACTACATAAGCGGGTGGATTCATGTCTTAAACAGCGAATAATACATTGACGTCTCTGATTAAGCGTGTCAGTTATAGTTCTCATTGCTGAAGCTGCTATAAAACAAACAGGCTCATAAGAGCGACTGTCAGGATAGATAGGCTGCGTTGCAAAGCAACCTCGAAGCAGGATGGTTTAATTATCAAAACATGTCTCGAAGACAGTGCAGTACGGACTAGGATTTCACTGGCTATTCGATAATCAAACGTAGACCATCAATCTACTCTTATACTGAACCACAGACTTTGAGAGAAAGGGGAGGATCTGATAGAAAGCAGCTACTTCACACTGCTGGATTGTTTGCTAAAATTGCTTCTAGCCAGGTTCCAGGCTTGCTGCACTTCATCTCAAATCCTGTGTGGTGTCAAAGTCCTTTGCGAAACGCTTTTGCCTGAACTCCCACGCACTCCATTTCCCACACATCTTTTTTTTTTTTGGCACGCTATATTGCGTTTCCTGTTTTCCCTCCTGGCTCCCACGATACTCTTCGTCTTTTCCAGCACACCCGCACCTCACCAAATGCACAACGCCTTTTGCTTCTAGCTCTCATCATTTTTTCACCCGACGGTCTTGACACAGCTTCGCTTGCTGTCAAGGTTCTTCGAGCCCTCGAATTGATTTTCCTCGTTTCAGTTTGTGTATTCGTGGCGAGTTGCGGTCATCAAGATGTCTTCCGCGGCCAGTCTTAATGACTTGTTGATCCAGTGGCGCAGTGTTTCTCTTCCGAGTCCGGTTCTCCAGGACATTTTGCAAGACGAGGGAAAAACGCACACGCTGATGAATATGATTCATCGTCAATACAACTTCTTGTTGAGATATCGCTCGGCGAGGTTGGACGACCATGAAATGAGCGCCTTTGATCGAGCCTTTGTCGAGTTGGCTGTTAGCCCGGGCATCCAGCACGGGAACATTCCGCTTCTGGAGTTATTCCTTCAGGAGTACTTGATGGTCAACTCGGTCCAGTCCTACCTTGAGAAACGCCAGATTGTCTTCTCTCGCCTCATTGCGGAGGAGCTCATAGAGCAAGGTGATTCAATCTCTCACTCCCACATAACTTACTCCACGAGTCACAATGTCTGATCCTTTTCCGTATTTAGGCACATTCAACGTGACAGTCAAAACTGAAGGCGTCTCGGCCCACCCTATCCTCACGTCCTTCGATTCGGCTCTTGAAAAGCTCGTCGGCGTCTACCAGGAGGCCAAGGCTGATGTCTACTTCGGTGATGCCAACAAGACGGGCTATAGCAGCAAAATGACCGACAAGTTCAAGAATGTCTGTTTCCTTCGCGACTCTGCCGAGAACGTTTATCGACACATGGTCCAAAACCATCTCGAAGGCCACCCACTGTTCCCCGAGGTGAAGAAAATGGTGGACGTCAGCTCGAGCCATGCCGAGCATCTGGCTGGCGGTCGCAAGCGTATTTTCGAACTTCCCGTCGAGGAAGATACGCGACCTGCCAGTCGCCGGAAGCGCGCTCACCATGGGGGTGTGTATCGCCGAGCTCGTGACTCGTACCGCCCCGATCGTGATAGCAGCAGGGCTCGTGATCAGCCCATCACCTACGGTCCTGCTTATGACAGCGACCGCGCCTTGGAGTGCAAGAAAGAGTATGACTCGGCCTAGTCATACATGGGAGGCCCCATGGTTGTTGCTATGCACGTTTAGATCTGTCTGCGCCGCTGACAGAGTAACCTGATCACTTGAAGAGAGCGTGGTGTACAGCGACAATCTCGGCAAGGAGGTCGATGATAACCTGGCGTGTGTTATGAGGTCGAGGTTCAATGCATGTAACTAGCCGTTGCACCAATGTTGTCGCATCTTCTATGTTTTGTTATGATCTTTCATTCAGTATGCCAACCGATTGAGGAGTCTCATGGCCCTGGTGGGCTTTTGCAAGTGTGCTTTGAACCTTCAACCTTGAACCTACATTCGATCACTGGCAGTGGCCGCTTAACCCTATTCAGCATACCCACGTGCCCTTGTTTACCTAATCTAACAGGCCCGCCGATCAGGTCATCTGCAAAAGAAGCAAGGCTCGAGGTCAAAATAGTAGAAGAAGCTAGACTTCCTCTAGAAAATCCCGAAACTCATATTAGCAGCGGCAGCAGCTTCTGGTAGCCGTTGTCCCTGCGGTGCTATGTTCTTAGGATACCGATAATGGCCAACATCCATCTAGTCCCGTCGGCTGCGGGGAACACTTCTTCCCGCGATTCGGGCTTGTCAAGTCCGCGTTTGACGCCAGAATCGAACTACTCCGACGAGGAATACTCCATGGCAAAATCACAGATGTCACCGCCGAAAAACTTAAGACTTCAAACTAATTTTGACGATGCAGTGGAAGTGGGCCGATCAGCTCCCGAGAGCACAGGTCGCGATCAATTCGATTCCGCAGATGAGTTTGACGGCAAAAGCGCGCAGACACCGTCCCGGCCGCAATTCACAGTGGAGGAGGAGACCCAGGTAGTGCGGAAATTTGATCAAAAGCTAGTGCCCTTTTTGGCATTGCTCTACTTACTAGCCTTTCTTGACCGTTCGAGTAAGTGTGCCTTGTTCTGCTTCAAATGATATGGAAGAGACTAAGGCTGGAATGATGCAGATATTGGGAATGCAAAAATCGCTGGGCTGCAAGATGATTTGAATCTGTCGTCTGGACAATACGAGTGGCTCCTGACTGCATTCTACATCACGTACATTCTTTTCGAATGGATGACTCTGATGTACCGCGTCGTGTCTCCACACATTTACATTTCACTGTGCGTGTTCAGCTGGGGCATGGTGGCTTCCTTTCAATCCCTCGCGACCTCCTTTGAGGGACTTGTTGTTCTACGGGCGCTTCTCGGCATTACTGAAGCAGCATTTGGACCGGGTGTCCCGTTCTACCTGTCGTTGTTCTACCGGCGTGAGGAACTGGCCTTTAGAAATGGACTGTTCATCTCCGCTGCGCCCTTGGCCAGCTCCTTCGCAAGCAGTCTTGCCTGGCTCATTGTCAAGAGCAGCAAGAATGGGCCCATTTCTCCATGGCGTGCTCTGTTTCTCGTTGAAGGTTTCCCCAGCGTGATAGTTGCTGTTTTTGCCTGGGTCGTCATCCCAGATGCTCCAGGCAGTGCGCGGTTTCTGTCTCGACGGCAAAGAGTGGTCGCCAGCCTTCGGATGGATGATGGCCAGTCAGAGTTCAAACGGATACCTTCGCATCGCTTTCAATGGAGGGAAGTTTTGAAGACAGTTGCCGATCCCAAGGCTTACATGGCAGCAGTGAGTCTATGGGTTTTCAAGACCCCTCTCGTGTTGAACCAGCGTCTTACCCTTTCACAGGCCATGTTCTTCAGCTGCAACGTTGCGTTTAGCTCAATGCCGGTCTTTATGCCCACTATTATCAAAGAGTGAGTGCTCCTCGCCTGAAAGGAGTGTGTAAGTACAGGCAGCTAACTCGTCGTCAGCATGGGATACTCGGAATTAAGCGCCCAGGCCCTCTCCGCACCGCCATATCTTGTTGCCTTCCTAGTTGTTTTGTTAACGGCATGGGCCTCGGATCGCTCTTGCACCCGAAGTACCTATCTCATTGCGCATGCTTTGATATCCTCCCTGGCATATCTTGCCATTGCGGCAACGGGGTACTTCCACTCACATCTCTCCCCTCAGCTGCATGTCCTTATACGTTACATTTGCGTGTACCCCGCGACAGCCGGATTCTTCTCGGCCATCACGTTGATCATAACCTGGTCGATGGACAATCGACTGGAGAAAGAAGGCAAAGGCGCCAGTATCGCTCTGCTGAACATCATCGGGCAGTGTGGTCCTCTTCTTGGCACGAGACTGTATCCTGAAACAGATGGGCCCTGGTATATTCGTGGAATGGCTACCTGCTCTTTCTTCATGGTACTGGTTGCCATTCTTGCGGTCTGCTTGCGTGTCACTCTGCAACGGGCCAACCAAAGGTTAGCGAGGGCAACGTATCAAGCAGTGAATGGAGCTGGACCGGGTCAATATGGTGAGGAGCACGATGGACTTATGGGCGGTGATGGTAGTGGCGAACTCGATTGGAGAGATGGACATGCATATGGTAACCGTGAGCGAGGGCTTGTGTATATCACCTGAGAAATTTGTGTCGGTCATCGTGTTCCATTATTTATATAGATTTTTGATTCTGTGCTGTCGAGCCACATTGCGTCGTTTCACTGTGTCACTCAACTGGGCAATATCTTGTCATCACGTCTTGAATGCTGGACTTTTCGGATCGAATATTGGATCAGACACATGTTGGCGGAGATAGTATAAAATGAAATGTAGATATCTCCAGCTTGATCAGAATCCCGTCTTTGGCTGCTCCCGCAAAGCCGCAGCTCTCATCAAGTATCGATCTATTGAGTCGGGCGCAATTTCGGCGCGGGTGTGTGATATGAGAAAATCGTACACTCACGACTTTCCGTGATGTATGTAGCTCACCACGGGTATCAAAGAAGCAGTTTATAGAAATAAACCGAGGAATTAGGTAGATCTAAAGCGATTTAAATTTTAAAAGGAAAACAGTGCCGGGAGAACCGCTGGAGAAGGCTATTAAGCAGGTGCTTGTCGTCCAGCACCTGATGGGCCTTCCCAGGAAGCCTTTGAAAGTCACCACGTCGTTGATCATTAGGTATGCACATAAAAGGTCCATCCGGTCTCCCCACGGTATCAGACATCTTATACGCCGCGACGGGGCCGCCTACCAGGCTGTATGTCCACCGTCAATCACAAGCGTACTACCGGTCATAAAACTACTTGCATCTGAGAGACAGAACATCGCCGCGCCTCGAAACTCTTCCGGCATCGCCAACCGGCCCAGCATATTCTCCGCCTCCCAGATGGCGCGCGCCTCGGGATTCTTCCGAAACACATCCTCCACCATCGGGGTGATGATATGCCCCGGGCAAAGACTATTCACACGCACCCCGTACCGACCCCATTCCATCGCCAACGACCGCGCAAGCTGCACAACGGCGGCCTTGGAGGAATTGTACACGGGCGACGTCATGCCCTTGTTGGCGATCAGCCCGCTCATCGAGGCAACCAGGAGAATGGAGCCCTTTGTGTGGTAGTTGAACATTTGGCGGGCGGCGGCGGTGGCGGAGTTGAAGACGCCGGTGTAGTTGATGGAGAGGACGTCGTTGAGGGCTTGTTGGGAGTGGTCGAGGGCCGGCTGGAGGTGGTTGATGCCTGCGGCGGCGATGAGGCCGTCGAGTCGTTTCTCTTGGGCGGCGATGGCGGCGAAGGTGTTGTGGACTTGGGGGTTGTCGCGGACGTCAATGCGGATATATTCTATGGCACTGTCGTATTCTTTTTCTGCTTTCTCTTTGACTTTGAGAAAGTCTGGGTGTGGACTCTCCAGGCGGTCCAATGCGTATACTGTGTGGTGTTTTCTTAGCTCGATTTCACTTTGCCTTCCTCGGTCGACAGATGTAATAGTACCGAGGGTATCAATGTTGTTGGTGTATAGTAAAATCCAGGAGATCAAAACAGAGGTATTGGATCATGAATATACCTTTTGCGCCAGCCTCGATCAAGGCCTCCCCCATTGCAAGACCTAATCCTCGGCCTCCGCCCGTAATCGCATATACACGACTCTCCATATCAAAGTCCCGGAACCGCCTTGCATTGCGTAGGATGCTCTTGAGAGGGAGCTTGGCCTGGATCCTGTCGTGGTCCTCAGGAGTGTCTGGAGGATTAGACAAGTTGCGGGTGACGCTTGTGCAAGATAAAGCCCGGCAAGTGTGAAGATTCACAGGCGATAAATGGTATTCGGAGCCGGCAGCCCATCTTCGACGAAGGTAGCGAGGGCAGTTCAATAATGAACGAGCGCGAAGACAATGTGCGGACATTCTGTCGGTATGTATACAAATGTTGTACAAATAGCTGGGGAGAGTCCAAGTATTCACAGCAGTCTGCCTGCTCATCAGTTGCAAGAGAGAAAGAAAATCGCAAAGTTGCCAGGAGTAATCAAAACTGGCTATACGACAATCAACGGTTCCAGACCAGATCATCTATGAAGAATCTCTTCATCTAGGTCTCACAAGAAAACTCCTCTCATTAAGTACAGATGATGGCGGGACTGGAACTGGCACACGATCTCAGGTCAAGGAGGAGCAAGTAAAATCATATACATCATCACAGACAGCGTCGAGACACGATAATTGTGCAGATGACCTTGGCGCGGTCAAACTCCACAGTATCTTTCATTTTTCATCATTTTTTTTTGTTTTTTTTTTTTGCCCACTCCTCAAGTCAGTCACGATCCTCGTTTCAAGCATCATCCATGGATGGGTTGTGGCATGACGTTTGCCACCGTGGCTCTGGCTGTGCTGGACGTGACCTGTACATGGAAACTCCCCACACGGCGACGGTCTCCGCATTCAAAGGCCAACAGCCAGACTTGGAAAAAGCAGAGGATTGCTGGAGCTCGAGAGTCGTACTCCTGATCAGATGATCAAATCCAGTCGACGAGAATCGGGATGTAGGAATGGGTCGTTCATGCGGGTTGCAAAGTGATCGAAAACGGTTATGCTTGCTGAACCCTGGAAGAGCCGCGTCACCTCCGGACCAACAGCCCCGAGCATGCCGAACCCGCCCAATAGTAGTACCTCAAGTTGCACTAACCAACTAACCCTGTAGTCTCGAGGATGCTAAAACTTCGGGATCTCTCTCCTGAGTTTCTTTGTTCATCTTGTCCCTTCCGGGATCCAGTCGGTCGCAATGTATCGGGCGCTGACAAGTGGAGCTCCAAGATCTACAAACGGGATCGGTGCCGTATGGCGGGCCCTCCACAGCGAAACTCATCCAGATGAGGCGCTGATCTGAACGGACTGGACGCGACCCAGCCGTACGGAACACGCCATCATGGACGACAATACTCACAGTATATCCAACATTAAAAAAAAGCGGCTTTGCTTCCTGCTTGTGCGAAACAGAGCACTGTTGCTCAACTGGATAGATTGCCTTAGTACCCATCTGATATGGAACTGTCGTCTGCTGGTCCAGAGTTCCGGACGCAAAGCCGCGAAAAACAGCAGACCTGTTCAGGTCAAGATGACGCAGTCCATAGATCGGACTCCCATCTGTATGACATTGAATGATGGGCTACATCCATGGCCACAATGGAAATGAGGGATCCACGATAGAGCTGCTGACTGTTGCTGGGCGGGATTGCACGATAGTTCGCACGGCTGAAGTGCAGACATCTTGTCGGATGTTGGGTAGAGTCGCATCGTACCACGGAACAAGCTGATCAGTTGACAATTTTCTCGTCTTCCAACCGAGTGTCTTCCCAAGGTTCCTCGAGTATCGTCGGGAGAGAGCTGGAAAGTCAAAAAGTTCTAGGTATTTTTAGCTGTTGCCCTTAAAGCGAGGAAGTGTGAATCTTGAGAAAGTGGATGCTGTAGCATCGACTTTGACCATAGAGTAGCCTCATAGCGAGAGATCAGAAGTGCGTATGCTGTGTACACTGTGGACACTGTTCACTCTTTTCTTACGGGACGTTTAAAGATTGTCTTGATGCCGGGAAAACTTCGGATTCTGGGGTGTTTTCTTAGACGGGGAACACGGGGTAGCCCCAAGGAAACATCCACGTGATCTCGCACCCACGATCCGCCCCCTACCGAAAGTTTCACTGCCTCAGTCCATGAGGCCCAAGGTTCAAGATCGAGCCATCGCGCATGCCATGAATGGATGCGATCACATCTCGGCCTAGAACAATCGATTGACTAGATGCAAGAACATGTGGAGATTTTTACCCCAGCCACTGCCTGAAATGCAAGATCTCCCAAGAATACTTACGAAGCACGCATGGTCGCCTCCAAGCGAGGGGCAAGGGACAGATCATATGGCATCCTCTTCTTCACGATTAACGAATTCCGCGAAAGGGTAGTGCTTCGCAGCCACCTACAGCCAGATCGAGCGACTAGACAGTCCAGGAATGCTGAAGGAAATCAGACAACTCCCGCTTCGCGACCCGTGGATGAAGAAAGCCAATCGCGTCAAAAAGTCTTACGAGCAAAGCCCATTCGAACAGACAGTATGACAGAACCAGCAAATGGGAAACACTTTTCTGCGATTAGGCTAAATATATCGCCATCTAGACACAACTCATCTATTTGGGAAATTAGGGCTGCGGCTTATTCTCAAGATCGAAGACATCAGCTGATACGCCGCGTCTTGTAAAAGTAAGTGTCCAGGAGTTCTTGGGTCTGTCTGCTCCCTGTTCAGTCAAAGTCCAGACGGTCAAGGTCCGCTCCAGTCGTGGAGCCTCGAAGACTCCCAAAATCTAGCTTCATCAGCAGGCGGTCAACACCCGCGGGCTGGCGAGGAACATAATGGCGAAATCCAGGACTAGAACTCTCGTCCACACGAGACCCTGCCCAGGCGGGACCGAAATTCTCACCCGTGCGATGATCGTCTATATTGCGAAGACTAACGACCAGGTCATTCATGCCGGCATTGACATCATCACACGTACTGCGCAGATCCAGCCAGACCTCGTGTTCCTCTTGTGCGTAGTCCACAAGAGACTCAACCACGCCCTCGTCCGTCTCCAGGTCCATGTTGCGCTGCACTGTCTCAAGTCGAATGACAAGTGCCACAAAGCGGTCCACGCTGGAGATTAAAGAGCGAAGCACCCCGGTGAAAGCTCGGTCGTTCAAGAATAAAGACCTGACTAGCGTGGATAAATGGCGTCGGTGAGCAACAGTCAGCGCTTCAGGGTCGTGGCGGCCCATTGAGGGAGCCCCGCCCGCAGAGGTCGGTCGATTGCCGACGACGTTGGGGGACGCAGCCCGAGACTGCTGTTGGTCTTTCGATGTGGATGCAGTGCTAGGCCTAGAACCAGATGCACGGCTTGCTGAGGAATCTGTCTCCTCAATCCATCTCCGCAAATGTTGCCATGATTCTTGAATGACCTCTCCCTGGAAGAACCCTCCGAGCTCTGATAGCACAAAGAGACAGGCGCTCGCGGTGGCCCATGTGGAACGCATCAGTCGAACCCTGGCGTTATCTCTCGCACGTCCCTCTCTCAATTTGTTCTGGCCGAAGACACTACTACTTCGGGGCGGTCCCCACGGAGAAGGATGGATTCTGCGAAGGGATGTCTCTTTCCATAGGTTGCCCAGTCGGAATTGAGCGCGACGGATGCCCAACAGATACGCATTAATCTTAGAATAAACAGCAATGTCGGAGCTCGAAAGAAATAGGTCGAGAGGCGCCTGAACCTGGGCCGTGAGGGATGTAGGTACCGGAAAGAGGACATCCTCGAAAGAAACTCCTGAAATCTCGTAGATGACAGCCGAGCTTCGCGATGGAGTCATAGGGCGAGGCGTTTTGTCATTGACTGACAAGCGAAGAAGCTCTCGCGCGAGCTCGAGTCCCTCGTCTGTAGGATCCTCAACCTTTTGAAGAGAGAACAATTCAGCCCACGCCTGGGACAAAACACTGCTGACATCGCCTTCTTTGATTGGAAGTCCCGCCAGATTTCCAGACAAAACCCGCGCAAGTGCACCGCGGCGCCGAATCTCTTCAATTCGGGAGTCCGCTTGGGACACTAGCGCAACCGCAAACTCTCCCTCCCTAGTAAGAGGAAATCGTGCAGTAATGTCAGCATCTCGAGAATTCTCGGCAGCGGCAACAACTTCGATAAAGTCGACTGTGACAACGATAGTCGGATAGAATCTACAGCCGCGGAGAGCAGAGTTGATGAGATTGGCGACTTAAGCCCGGCAAGTTTATCGATGTGCTCCCGGTATAGCGTCACCGGCGTGGTTGAATCGGGTTTTTTGGACTTTTTCTTGTCACGAACACGATTAAGCGATTTGCCAATGAACAAAATGGATCCTGCTGTTTGTGCAGTGACAAACTTGGGAACTAGCTCCATGTGCAGGCTGAACTCCACTTCGCCATCTCCAGGATCAATGTCTTCCCCGATGAAGAAGTCCCCTTTGCCGAACACTGGCATATCGCCGCATAAGAGCCATGTAGATAATTGTCTCATCCAAGCCATCTCTGCGGCTGTTGTAAGCTGGACAGCCATTTCTTTGATATCAAGGTATCCAGTGCGACACTCGGCGCGCAAGTGGTCGATGAGCGCCGCTCCCGTGCACCCCTGTACAGAGTTGGCTTGCTCATGTTGTGGTTGCATAAACGTCACAATGTTCCAGAGCCACTCCAAGCGACGAGTCCAGGGCGCAAACTCTCCAACTATTGTGGACAGCGGTACAATCCCGTATCCGCCAACATACCCACTGTCCTCGGTAAGTATAGCCTTCTCTACCTCGAGAATCTTCTTTTGAAAGTCGTCTAGTTGATTGTTGCTGATCGCAGTAGATACCGAGCGACAGACAACTGAGCGATGCGATGATGAGACTCGATAGCAGGATTCTCGCAGCTGCGCGTGCAATCGACTCAGATGGGCAATTGATCCAAGGAGGGCTCTCTCTGGGGGCGCGAGAAGGGGAAGATCGTCTTCAGCGAGCGTATCACTGCGCCCGTCTTGAAAAAAGAGCGGCGAGGGTTGCCCGGACAGGGAGAGGAGGATCTCGTGGAGCATTTTGGCGGTCGGGCCCTGCGGTTGCGATGGTCATTAGCTTTCAGGACCTGAGAAGTAGCGCCTGAATATGAATTGTAATGTACCCAGCTGATCGTCTCTGTCGCCAATGGCTATTCTTCTTTTGCCAGTACAGCAGCCCACGGCCTAAAAGTTCAAATCGGCACATGGGAGGAGGTGACGAAACGGGTCGGTTCAGGTGCGGGCGCGGGTGTAGTAATTGAAGCATTCAGGCCCAGACTCGTGTAGAAGTAAAGGCAGACTGCTTCGAGCGTTTCAACAGGCATTCAGTTGCGGCTTCCTCATCCTCAGTCTTTCAAGCTAAGAGCTTCTATGGTCTCTTTGCCGCACATTGAGATGTCAGTCGCGAGTCGAAAAGTGCTGTCGCGTTTACACGCGACCGGCCACTCTACGATGGACTCCGACCGCGGGGGTCTCTCCCCAATTTCCGAGGGCTCCTACACAACGATTAGTCATTCGTAGCTTGCCCACCTTTGGAGGCCCGGGCACCTGACGGCGCGGGAGGGTCTCCCCTCTTACGTCGATGATCCCACACCTTTCCATCGAGCTATCTTCCTCTTCCACTCTCTTTACCACTCCGCCCACACCACAAATCTAATTGATTACTCCTCAGCGACCCTGTACAGCGCTGAGGTTCTCTTCCGAATACACCTATCACTCTCACCAACGTCGTCTACTTCCACTTCAGGCCCTGTCCTGTTCACAATAGGTACCCGGTACGCACTTGGGCTACTACTTGATTCACTGCATTAAAGTCGAAAGTCTTGCTCCTCGAGCCAGACTTTCACACTTCCTGTCTACAAAAATTTCTTCCAACCTTGCTGTTCGTGAATCGGCTAAGCCGGGGAAACGTAGTGCGTCTGAAGACGACACCGCCGTGCGGCCTCAAAAGAAGACCATGACGGTATGCGCCGCTTCAACACACTTGTCTCTCAATGATATGCACCCTAGCTCACACGACCCCCAACCAGGACGCAACCATGGAGGTCGAAACTCCTCAACATACCATGGAGATGATCAAGCAGGGCGAGATCGATGAATCCCTGTACAGTCGGCAACTGTAAGACAGTCATTTCCCGTGCCGAAGTGCTCTTTCCGGTCTATAGCTAATGAATCAAAAGCTACGTGCTGGGTCATGAAGCTATGAAGCGGATGGGCTCATCAAATGTCCTGGTTGTTGGCCTCAAGGGCTTGGGTGTGGAAATCGGTAAGCACTGGCGTTAGGCAAAGCGCCTCGAACTGAAATGACACATTGCCTGGGTCTTGTCATTGACAATTTCTCGTCGACTTGCACTAGCCAAAAATATTGCTCTCGCCGGTGTCAAATCTCTGACTCTTTACGATCCGGCTCCTGTTGCCATCGCCGACCTTTCGTCCCAATTCTTCCTCCAGCCGCAAGACGTTGGTAAGCCTCGCGCTGAGGTCACTGCGCCACGTGTTGCCGAGTTGAACTCCTATGTTCCAGTGAAGGTTCATGAAGGCAAGAATTTGGTTGGAGATTTAGAACAGCTGAAGCGCTATCAAGCGATCGTGCTCACCCAGACTCCACTGAAGGAGCAGCTGGCCATTGCTGATTTCTGTCACCAGAATGGCATCTACGTCACGATAACGGATACATTCGGTCTGTTTGGCTATATCTTCAACGACTTTGGAAAGAAGTTCACAGTCGGCGACCCTACCGGTGAGGAGCCAGTTGGCGGCATTGTCGCGGATATTGCGGAAGATGGGCTTGTGTCTGCTTTGGACGAGACTCGACATGGCTTGGAAGACGGTGACTTTGTCACCTTCACTGAGGTCAAGGGCATGGAGCAATTAAACAACAGTGCTCCTCGCAAGATTACTGTCAAGGGCCCTTATACGTTTTCGATCGGTGATGTCTCTGGACTCGGCTCCTACCAAGGTGGAGGTCTCTTCGCCCAGGTCAAGATGCCCAAGTTTGTGGACTTCCAGCCCTTGTCTGAGCAGATCAAGAAGCCTGAAATCTTGATCTCCGACTTCGCCAAATTTGACCGACCTGCCCAACTTCACATTGGCATTCAGGCCCTGCATAAGTTCGCAGAGGGTCACGACGCTCAACTTCCTCGTCCGCACAATGACAGCGATGCCCAGGAGGTTCTGAAGATCGCCAATGAGATTGCGTCTAGTGGAGAAGAGAAAGTCGAACTGGATGAGAAGATCATCAAGGAACTGAGCTACCAGGCCCGTGGTGATCTTAACCCGTTGGCCGCTTTCTTCGGAGGAATTGCTGCTCAGGAGGTGCTCAAGGCTGTTTCAGGAAAGTTCATGCCCGTACATCAGTGGATGTACTTCGATTCTCTAGAGTCTCTGCCAAGCTCAGTGACTCGATCTGAAGGCACTTGCAAGCCTACTGGTACCCGCTACGACGGCCAAATCGCAGTCTTCGGCAAGGAATACCAGGAAAAGCTTTCCAATGTTACTCAGTTCCTTGTCGGTGCGGGCGCCATTGGTTGTGAAACTCTTAAGAACTGGGCGATGATGGGCCTGGGCACTGGACCCAAAGGCAAGATCTTCGTCACGGACATGGACCAGATTGAGAAGAGCAACCTGAATCGGCAATTCCTCTTCCGGTCCAAGGATGTCGGGCGACTCAAGAGCGAGTGTGCATCTGCTGCAGTCCAGGCGATGAACCCCGATCTGAATGATAAGATCGTTACTTTGCGTGACCGCGTTGGTGCGGATACTGAACACATCTTCAATGAAGACTTCTGGAACGGTCTGGATGGTGTGACCAATGCTTTGGACAATGTTGATGCACGCACTTACGTCGATCGTCGTTGCGTCTTCTTCCGCAAACCACTCCTTGAAAGGTGAATGCCTCTAGACTGACGAACTGGAACTGCCCTCGAAGCTTCCCATGCTGACTATATTAACCTAGTGGCACACTCGGCACCAAAGGAAACACTCAGGTGATTCTGCCATTTATCACTGAGTCCTACTCCAGCTCCCAGGATCCCCCCGAGAAATCTTTCCCCATGTGTACACTCAAGAGTTTCCCCAACCGCATTGAGCATACTATCGCGTGGGCTCGCGATCTCTTCCAGACCTACTTTGTCGGGCCCCCCGAGTCTGTCAACATGTACCTCTCGCAGGCTGATTACATCGATCAGACTTTGAAGCAAGCTGGGAATGAGAAGCAGACATTGCAGCACCTTCGCGACTTCCTTGTTACCGAGAAGCCGCTGACTTTCGATGACTGCATCATTTGGGCTCGTCAGCAATTCGAGGCTCAGTACAACAATGCCATCCAGCAACTCCTCTACAATTTCCCCAAGGACTCCAAGACCTCCACCGGCCAGCCCTTCTGGTCGGGCCCCAAGCGTGCCCCTACCCCCTTGAAGTTTGACAGTTCTAACCCTACTCATCTGGGCTTCGTCATTGCCGGCGCAAACCTACACGCTTTCAACTACGGCATCAAGAACCCCGGTGCTGATAAGGATTACTACCGCAAGGTTGTGGACGACATGATCATCCCCGAGTTCACCCCTAGCTCAAACGTCAAGATTCAGGCCGACGACAACGACCCCGATCCTAATGCCCAGCCCTCCGGTACCACCAATGATGACGAGGAGATCCAGAGGCTCGTGTCCTCACTTCCCTCACCCAAGTCCCTCGCCGGCTTCCGCCTGCAGCCCGTGGAGTTCGAGAAGGATGACGATACCAACCACCACATCGATTTCATTACTGCCGCCAGCAACTTGCGTGCGGACAATTACGAGATTCCCCAGGCTGACCGTCATAAAACCAAGTTCATTGCTGGCAAGATCATTCCCGCTATCGCCACCGCGACGGCACTTGTGACCGGTCTTGTTGCTCTAGAGCTGTACAAGGTCGTTGACGGCAAGGACGATATTGAGCAATACAAGAACGGCTTCATTAACCTTGCTCTTCCCTTCATCGGTTTCAGTGAGCCTATTGCTAGCCCCAAGGGTACCTACCAGGGCAAGCAAGGCGAGGTGACTATTGATCGTCTCTGGGACCGCTTCGAGCTGGACGATGTGCCATTGCAGGCCTTCCTTGATCACTTTGCCGAGCGAGGTCTTGACATCACGATGGTCAGCTCTGGCGTGAGCTTGTTGTACGCTAGCTTCTACCCTCCTTCGAAAGTGAAGGACCGCCTGCCTTTGCCGTGAGTTTCCGACCATTGCCCGTGCCGCTGTTTAATGACCTTCCATGTCGCTAACCCAATGGCAGTATGAGCAAACTCGTGGAGCACGTCAGCAAAAAGCCCGTGCCCGAGCATCAGCAGAATATTATCTTTGAGGTGACTGCCGAAGATCAAACCGAGGAGGATGTCGAGATTCCTTACGTGATGGTCAAGCTGGGCAAATAGATGTAGAAATATTGCTTGCGAAACCTTCCCATGCATCGAGGCGGGGCAGGTAATCGCCGTTGTGTGTTTACAGCGACATGTTCAGAGCTACTTGCACTTTGTTCGGTCAATTGCAACTTTCTACCACTTCCTCGTGAGCTCATACGTAGATCCCTGTGAAAGCTTATGCTTCGACAGTGGTTAAGTTTGGAGCAAGTACAACGAGACGTGACTGAATATCATTTTGAAGGTATCTCAGCCTGTGGATAATTGATATTGACTGCCTTTGGAAGGTCTGACATGCCACTATCTGCGACCTGGATAAATCTGAAGCGAGACAGACTTCAGATATGATGTTGTATTTAGGTAGCTTGTATATACCCAAACCAGGCTCATCGTGGTTGGTTGTGGTCTGTTCCATCACCGATTTCACCCCATTTAGTGTACCAAAATTCTGACTGGGATTTTTATCCACACTTACCAATCTACCTTGACTGCTGCTTGCTGAATCCGAGTCGCTTGTACATTCCTCCGTAGCGGAGTTGAATCTCTCAATCTCGACAAGCTGCTCTGGGCCAGCGAGCTGTGTCTGGAGGTTTCTCTTGAATTACCAATTGATCTATTGAGGCATCCTTGATAAAAACTGGCTGAGATCGCGTAATCACATCCAGACGGTGTAGTTCTGGGGTGGGTGTTTGGTGTTTACAGCCTCGAGGTGATCAGTTGATGCTTTGTCACGGCTGACTGCTGCGGGAGCCCCAAGGGTAACTAATTGTTGAAGCGGCGATGAATAAGCCCCGCGTCATCACTCCGCTCCACTTGTCCCCGCTAGCAACAGCTCCGATCCTACCGACTCAACTTCTCAAGCATGTGTAGCAGTGGGAGGCCAATTTGTCACGGTTCTTGCTTTTGAATCCGCTTCAGTGCCTTATAAGACTCATGGGTCAGAAGCGTTATATATCTTGACCATCTACCTTCCGCTGATGCTTGTAATAATCCCACGCTTCCCAGCATTGTTCGCGACTTCTCGACCAGTTGTTCGTGCGGGGATCTTTGCAGCTGCATCAACTATTCGATCGACTTTTGCTCCTACCACATTACGAACCATGGCTGTATGTGTGAGATGAGCAATGCTATCAATCCGTTGACTACGATTGATGAACTCTCCAACTGACCTTCTTGATGCGAGTAAAGACCGGCAACTCGGGCAAGATCACCGACTGGGTGAATCCCAATGACAAGTCAGGCGAATTCAAGCGTCAAACCTCCGTCTTTCGCGACTTCATCTCCCGCGAGGCCGGCGCGCAGTTTCCACCAGAGAAGGGTCGCTACCATCTCTATGTCTCATATGCTTGTCCTTGGGGTAAGTGATTGTATTGGGGCAGAGTGAGCGGTATATACCTGCGGCCCGTATACTTACTGACATTGCAACGCGGCAGCTCACCGGACTATGATCACGCGCAAGCTCAAGGGCCTGGAGGATATCATCTCTTTCTCCTCGGTACATTGGCATCTCGGAGACAAAGGTTTGTCGAAACCCGCGCCGCAGAGGTTCAAAGAGCTCGGCATGTTTCTAATTGCTCAAATTAGGATGGCGCTTCCCTACCCCAGACGAGGAGATGCCGGGTGAAAACACCATCCCCGACCCGCTGCATAAGGACTTCACCCACCTTCGCGATATCTATTTCTCCAATGACCCTGACTACACTGGACGCTTCACTGTCCCAGTGCTGTTCGATAAGAAGACAGGCCGAATCGTGAGCAACGAGGTGGGTCTTCCATTGCCGAGCTTTCTCTCTCTCTCTCTCTCTCTCTCTCTCTCTCTCTCTCTCTCTCTCTCTCTTTGAGAATCTCGAGAAGAAAACCCATGACTGACCAGAAGATGGACGAACAGAGTGCCGAAATTATTCGCATGCTGTACTACGAGTTCGACGATATTCTCCCCGAGCAGTTCAAGAAGCTGGACCTCTACCCTACTGCTCACCGTTCAGAAATCGACTCCTCCAACGAATGGATCTACAACGACGTGAACAACGGCGTCTACAAGTCCGGCTTCGCCACGACACAGGAAGCCTACGAAAAGGCCGTCACAACCCTCTTCTCCTCGCTCGACAAAGTGGAGGCCCACCTGGCCAAGCAGGCTGGTGTTTCGCCCTTCTTCTTCGGTGAGACCGTCACCGAGGCGGACATCCGCTTGTTCACCACCATCATTCGTTTCGACCCCGTGTATGTGCAGCACTTCAAGTGCAACGTTCGGGATATCCGGTCCGGGTACCCAGCCATCCACCGCTGGGTGCGTAACCTCTACTGGGATATTCCTGCCTTCAAGGAGACCACGGACTTTGAGCACATCAAGAAGCACTACACCAAGTCCCACAAGCAGATCAATCCGTTCTCGATCACGCCAGTTGGGCCGGTGCCGGACATTCTGCCCAAGGACGAAGAGGTGAGGGCCGTGAGCGCAGCGAAATAAAGGATGCTGCAACTTTGACTGGCTTGACTAGTCGATGTTGACGGTGAACCAAATTGATAATTCACCTGAACTGGGGCGTTGCACAGGTGGGAAGTTCGTGTACTTAGATCTCACTTATACTCAACCGTAATCAATCTGTGGTATTCTTACGAACATACGTATTCTGAAATATCATGCAAAACCGTGAAATTGAAATCTCCTCAAATGTACACTGAGACAGGGAAAAGAAACTCTAGTGAGAGCCTGAGATATGCTGATGGCGTGCACACTGGAGTACACATGCTTGGAAACGCCGTGCCATGCTATGATTTATGTGAAAGGGGTCGACTGCGGGGAAAGAGGCCGCTATCCAGATTGACTGCGATGACAAGAGAGCCATCACCCTGTGGCCCTGGATATTTTGAGACAACAAAAAAACAGGGAAGCACAAAGACTAGATGCAGGGGGGAAGGGCAAGGACGACTGCCGGTATTTGCGCTGAAAGTCAACCCTACCCGTATGGCGAGTGAGACGATGCGATGCCGGGAATGTATAGAGGTTTTGTTTACCTATTTTGCGGGTATCTTAAGCTGACAAAGAAAAGGACTGGAAAGCAGAACGGAGACGAAAATGAAGAGCCGGCGTGGCTTAGTGAGGGGCGGGATGTCGGGAGGTCAGGGCAGAGGTGACGTATCATTGAGTGATGCGGACTCGGTGAGGAAACTGGCTCTATCTTAGGCCGAGCATCCGTTTTGAGTTCTCGTACACCACGTAGCTGATGGATACTGCCGGTGCCACTTTTAGGAGGTTGGGCGTCAAGCCCTTGTAGAACCCTCGAAGACCTTCGGCCTTGTAAGTCTTCCGGGCAACATCAGTGATGCTGGAGTAAGTGGTCGGATGAAGGTCTGTGCCTTGAGCTTGGAGACGAGTCCGCATCACGTTCAGCGGATAAACAACGGAGGCGCTGAATCCGCCACTGATGGCTCCGATTGTTCCGGTGAAGAAGTTGCTCAGTGTCACATCATCTTCGTGACAATTCTCGAGGCAGGCCTGCCGGGCAACGAGCGCTCTCTTGAGATACTCGAATGTGGAGAGATCGATCGCCGCATAGGGAAACATGCCCACGAGACCAAGAGGCAGCCCACGAAAGAAACCGAAGATACCATGCGCAGCGACAACTTTCTGCGCCGTGGCAAAGATGAGCTTATTCCCTCTCAATCCGCCCTCAATCGTGGAGCACTGCATGCGGCTACAATGGTTCACGTCAGCAAAAAAAGAAGAAAAAAAGAAGAAAAAAAGAAGGAAAAAAGAAGGAAAAAAGAAACAAAGAGCTTCACATCAGCGGCTGATACGAGGACTACTCACAACTTCAACGTATCAACCGGGTAAACGAAGCACCTATAAGATGAAACTGGTCAGAAAAACTTTTGCACGAGTGCCGAATTATGCAATTGGGCTTGCGTACTGGGCCACCATTCCACCGATACCACCCGACAAGAACTGAGATGTGGGTCGAAGCTTCTTGGGATCATTGTGACCTTCGAACCGAGCAAATGCTTGTTTTGAAGACTGATATACTACGTGAGTAAACAGGATCACTTGTCATGCCTCATCCAGTCAAAACATACCTCATAGGCGCCGAATTTGATTGCCGATTCGGGCATGACCTTTAAAACATTCAGTCCGTTTCCTGTAAACCGGGTCAGATAACGCTCAGTCGAGACGAGGCAACGTGACGGGAGGAGAGATGAACAGTTACTCACCAGCAAACAAGCTTCGAATTCCGCCAGCTCGCCAAAGCTCTTTCAGCGCACCAAGCAATGTTTTCGACGCATTCCCAGCCGCCGCCAGTGGAGCGCCTTCTTTCGCCGCTTGAACAGCCGACTCTTTGCTCCCTGTCTGAGCGATAAGATAGACTTTGAGACGGTCCAGGGGTGCAGTTGCCGTTCTCGAAACAACCCCGGCAATACCGCCTGCGATAAAGTAGCCTAGTTGGGGAGTGTTCTCGGTCAACTTGCGTTCATAGTAGCGAAATGACATCCACATGGCGACGGTCTTGGGGATGGGTAGCCATTCCAGCTGATGATCCTCATCCAAGGATAGGACGTCACTCTCCGAGCCAGATAGTAAGCCCGTGACCGAGCCGGAGGTGAGGGCAGTCTGTGCGTATGCGGAAGGGAGGAGAGAGGCCAGCGCCGGCAGAGAGAGGATAGTGTACAAGAGGCGCTGGAGGAAAGAGGAATGCGAAGTAGGAAATATGTGGTCTGTACCTAAACCCTGCAGGTCATTGATGTGGACATCTCCTTCCGGGTTTAGATTGCCCGTTGCTGTGTAGTATGATAGAACGGCGCGAAGATCGGAGGCGGAGTGCAGTGGAAGGAAGAGCAAAAAGTCCCTATAATATGAGCAAAACAAAAAGATTCGGTTAGCTACTTGCTTCGCTGAGTATCTGCTAGTTTTTTTATACGTGCAGCTAATTAACCAAAGGTTTGGGGGCTCAACAAACCTCCATTCTGCGTAGGAGAGAACTCCGTCGTCATTTTCGTCAACCTCGGCAAAAAGCGCATCGAGCTTGGCGTTGGAGACGACGACCCCTGACCGAGCAAAGGCACTTCGCAGCTCGTCTTTATCGATCACTCCATTATTGTTGTCATCGATATTCAGGAACATTTGCCAAAGACCGGCCTCGGTGTGGTTGATAAACTTTCGAAAGTCTTCAAAGGACCGAATCAGCCTCAATCACAACACGGAGCTCAACGGAGAGACAAGAGAGCAGCACGCTGGGTTCCAGCACTAACCATTGTAGTCTATGCGACCATCGCGATTGGTGTCGACATCACGCAAGATGGCACCCAGCAGATCATCCGCATTTTTCAGAGCTAATGATTTGACCAACATGTCAGTCGGGCACTCCCGGCACGCAACCCGGTCAAACGCGGAGACATTTACTCACGATGGTCGATCTTCTTCAAGCCTTTCTTGAGGCCGTTCAAGTCGATGTGGCCCTCGTTGCGCGTGTCTAGGCTCTCCCAGAGGCGGGCGACTCGTTCTTCACGCTCATCTTTGGATTCGCCGGGCGTCATGTTCGGAGGAAAATTGTTATTGCATCATTCAAGGGACCGCGACCGAGCTCTCTATGCGAGAGGCGTGAGAATGCCAAAGCGACGGCCGAGGAAGACGGGGTCTAGATGCTCAAGATCGGGGGGTGGAAGCATAAAAGCTGAGCATAGACGTGTGGGGTCTCTTCAAAGGTCTGCCTGTCAACAAGGATCAATGAATAATGCGACGCCGGTCATTGCTGGGTCCTGAACTGGAGTCGGACCCAACACGCTTGACGCCATCGCCGGGCGGCCACGGGACCAGGGCTGGGCCCTACTATACCTATTCGGGCCCAGTGTTTGGGCCTTATCAGACTACTACCAGCATCTAGAAGGACCTCGGTCCCAGGCTCCCAGCCCCGAGACGGATCTATACCGCCTGATGTAACCACCTGGTGTGCTACACAGGTGCCTTGATCTGAATTAGGATCACCTGTTTTATACCTAGAGTCATGGCTGCCAATTATTGGGCTTCGACACAGCGCCGTCACTGGCTTTTCACTCGAGAGAAACTAGCAGAGGTCCGGGATCGGCTCCGTGATCAAGACAAGGCTTCGCACTCTCAATTCCCACTGCCTGATCAGCGCCTGTTGAACATCTATTTCAACCAACGTGAGAGCGATGACTCCTGGACGTTGAGAAGTTGCGCATTAACTCTGTGCTAGAATTGATCAAGTTGGGAAAACGCATGTCTACCCGTCAGCAAGCCATTGCGACGGCTCAAGTATATCTGAAGCGATTCTATACAAAGAACGAAATCCGTCAAACCAACCCTTACCTGGTCTTGACCACTGCATTTTATCTAGCCTGCAAGATGGAGGAGTGCCCTCAACATATTCGCTTCGTGGTGGGCGAGGCTCGCGGTCTGTATCCTGGTGAGCATCTCGTCGCGGATATTTTACGAGAATTCTTTCTTCTCCGGAAGTGTTTGAATATGGGTCAACGCAAATTTGCACACCCGCTGATCCCTTGAACAGAGTTCATCACGCCAGATGTGGCGAAGCTGGGTGAATGCGAGTTTGCCCTGATCTCGGAGATGAGCTCTCAACTCATCGTTCATCATCCGTACCGAACACTGTCGGAGCTTCAAACTGAGCTGGCTCTCAGCTCAGACGAAGTGGCACTGGCGTGGTCTGTCATCAACGACCATTATTTGACGGATCTGCCCCTACTTCATCCGCCTCACATCATCGCGGTCATGGCAATCATTGTTGCTGTGGTTTTCAAGCCTTCTCACCCGGGCAACTTTGGCAACTCGGCACAGTCTGCCCTGGCCGGGGTGATGAGGGACGGCGGTGGCATGGGTATGCTTGCCGCATTGTCCGACAAGTCTGGGTCGGGACCCCCTCGGGTCCAAAACCTTGTCCAGTGGCTCGCGGAGAGTGAGGTTGACATCAAAGCCGTCATCGAGTGCACGCAGGAGCTTCTCTCACTATATGAGGTGTGGGAGCAGTATAATGAAAAGCACTGCAAAGAGCTTATTGGACGCATGGTCCGGACCAAGAATCTGGACAAGTGATACAGTCGGACTGCATTGATCAAGCCTGGTGTTCACGAATCCCCTGTCACGATGATAATATGAGACTTTCCGTCGAATTCTCGCGGACTGCGATGCACATTGGATCCTGATCTTTTTGCTGCTGCTCTATGCAAACCACCCAATATAATGAATTACGATCCCCTCGCTTGGAAGCTTTATGGAGTGCACCGGTCTTTCTTCATCTATGGACTGGAAACGTAGGCCAGAACGGGTCATCGCAGCTCACACGAGCTTACCAGAGTGCTGCGTATTGAATCTCTGATCTCCATATTGTCTGGCGAGGGAGTGTTGGAATAGACGCCTTCCCAGGTCAGTGCTGTTGGTGTTGCAACAGATGTGCTATAGCCAGACTTTGATACTTGGCACATCCCCCATTTTCGAGGTGTATTACACAAGGAGAAGTACGGAAGGCCACATTTCTGGGCTACTTATTTAATCTCCGTAAAGTGAGACCGATATACAGTATACATAAAATATACATAAAACTAGAGTGAGAAAGCCTGGCACATAAGACCCGGTTGGTACCAATGCTCATGTATGTCGAAGTCAGATCGGATGACCGCGAAAGATCATGGCAGGCGATAAAGTGATGAGCTCAGATCCTATGACCAATCAGATGTTGAGATCCTCAATCCACGTTCACGCAGGTGATCGGCGTCAATTGATGCGCTTTCTGTCCGTTTGGGCATGCCCAGCATCGGAGTTTCAAACCAGGCCAATCCGACATACCCGGCCATGAGGGCCTGGGTCATGGCTACCTGCAGCTCCGATCTCCTCGATGCGTGGCCATGTCCGGGGGTTGACTCGGGAAGGGAAGAGCTCGGACTCTCGGACTTGTTCTATGTTTCACTGGGAATGACCCTGGGTTCAGCTTTGCTGTTTGTCCTGGTACGAGCAGTAGTGCCGAACTTCCAATATCTGGACTCTGGAGTCACGAGTGTCAGATCGTTGATGGGAAATAGTACGACACGTGACTGGTCACAGGGGAGTGGAAAGCAGTGATTCGACTTGGACAGTGACAGTGAGATTCCTAGGGTACCTTTAAACTAGGTAGTCAGGGAAGGATCCCGGGGGCCAGGGGGCTTCGTATTGGTTTCTATGACCTTTTTATTGCATGAGAAAAGTATAGACATCTAGTCACTTTACAAATAATTGATCAATTTCAACCGCCTCTCCCATTACGCAGATTAACAATTAACCACAGGTCGTAAGCATGGAGGTTTGGAAAAGCCCTGGTAGTCACGGAATGTCAGGAACCGTCACCCGTTCCGATATATAAAGCGGGCCGCTGCCAGATGTAGTAGAATCATGGAGAGGAGGCAAATAACACAGTGATCCATTCCAAAGGAGCGGTGAAGATCTCCAAAGTACCACCAGACGCACTGACTGACAGTAGTGAGAACTATGTAAGAAATACATACATCTGACCTCCATCGGCGATCCAAGAAATAGGTACATATCATGGCTGGTACCTGAAACGCAACGCCCCCGCAGTAGGGGGTCAACAGAGGCTTTGCATTTACAGGTTGACAGGTACAGGTAGCAATCATGTAACTAACTACCACAAAACCTCCGTATTAGGTACAGAATGGAAACCTCCCATGTACGAGCAACCATACCACCGCTCAGTCCACCGGGCGCGGTCCTCTTAGGTGAGCAAGATCCCTGAACCCGAATAAGAGCTCCAATAGATCATTGCATGGGTCCGCACAATCTTTCGCGTTCCCCAGGCACAGAGACATACAGTGGTACTGGTACTGCTTGTGCCGCGAAGGAGATCACCACTGACTCACAGTTAATTGCAATTGAATCATCATCATCCTTCCATACTAACGCTCTCTAGTACGATATTGAAGGTTGATAGAAAGAGCAGTCATCCCATGTCAGGACTAGAAAGTGATACAGGTATATCCCCACCATATTAAAGCCTGGGGTATGTAGCTCGCTGCCTGCCTATCCTCAAGTCCAAGACTTACGGATCATAGACGTTTGGTCACTATAGGGCTGTCTTTGCTTTTACCACAGAGGAAAAAAAGGCGCAAACAGGGCCAGAACAGATAGCTAGAAATCGATCCAGAACCAGGGCTCGGAAGGAGAGATGGTACTAAACCCAGTAATTAACTAAAACTTACTGGAGATAAGTACCTACTCAGGTACTCCAACCACCGCGTCGGATCGGTAAACAGGTTCAATGTTAGGATGAACTGTGATCTAGGCAGTACCCGTGACTCAGCCATAAAGCGGGGTCCAGTACCACGAGTCATAAGTCACGAGTCACGACTCACGAGAGCTCTGGTAAGCTCGAAGACGGTAGTAAGCGAAATGTACGTCCTGAGTCAGTCCTATTATTATACCGTAGGACTGAGTTACTATAAAAGTGTACATATTACTAAGTATGGATTGCGTACTTTTTAGTAGTACTGTACAAGGAGATCAACCTATGTAGTACACTATACTGTAGTACCTAGTCGAGGTACTGAAGTACCTGGGCAGAAACCGAGTGGTAGAGTCACGACTACCTCTACTTGGGTAGATAAGTAAAGAACTAGATAGCAGATACTCTTAGTCTTTAACTACCAGTAGCCTGGGACCCTGGGTACTGTATTACCTATGAGGTAGGTAGCATGCTGATTGCTATCAGCACCTTACGAAAGGCTCTTCAGAGTCCAGACACGGACCTTTCCAACGTGAATTCAAGACCATCTCTTTGGTGCTTCCATCCAGACCGAATGATCATGGAAGATGAGATTACCTCATCACATCACCGATGGTGGTTGGGCCACAAAGCACCCTTTATCGGCGCTGCTTGCTTTCACCAACAGAGTTGGGGTTGCGCGCCGGATTCCGTAATGATCGACCCTGTTTGGCTCCAGGGCCAGCGTCAGATCTCCACGGTGCCAACCACGACCCGGCAGGGCAGCCAGGACAGGTGAGTGGGTAGCCTGGAGGGGGCCCTACCACCGGCACATCTGCATGCTCAGAGACGGAGTGGTTATAGCATGGTGTGGCTTTGGTGGAATATGGTTCTCAATTCTCACCACAACTGGTCCGCCCATGTACGGTGAGTACATAGTGAGTCGTGGTCCTGAGTTGGTAGTGAGTACGATGGCTACTCAATGAGTCAATTGAGTATTGACTACTGGTTCTCGTCACAGCCTACCTAGTATTTCCTCGTATTACTGCCCTGGTTCTCTTGATCAAGGCGTCGACCGTGGGGAGGGAATGCGGATGCACAGGTAAAGAGGAATGTACACTCAACAGAGTACTCGGAATCCTCATCTGGACTGTACAGGATTGGGGGTTCCCTGCAGTCAATGGTGGGTTCCCAGTGGTAAGTGTCTAGGTCAGGAACCGAACAGTCGAGAACATGGAGAGACTGAAGTTTGAGGCTAGAAAGTGAAAACTACCTCCTCATTCTCCTGTCCTGTGATCAAACCCTGGGGCTGGGATATGAGGATACTCAGACACTATTTTTCTTCAATTCTTGCAACTTACAGGTTTGATGTATTATATGAAAGAGATGCAAATGATCATTAGATCTTCACTGATACATGAAAGTGGCAAGAGTGAATGGTGTTCAATGTTAAATTGTCCATTCAGGAGTCATCACATATCACATAGCAGACCTCAGACGGTCTCATCCTTTAGTAAACCCGTCACTCATGAACGATGAACAAAGGGCTATTGTAGTAGGCTCTGCTCCTAGGTCGGTATCTCCTCATGGTAGCTAGTAGCTACTAGCTAGTGCTACTAGCTAGTGCTACATACTAGCTTTCATTTATGACCCATATGCCTGGTAAGTCTGGTGAGGACCCGAGAGTTGGGAAATTCTGAAAGGGGGCATGGCATGGCGTGTGTCCCTTTTCCGGCCGGAGCGTGGCTGGGGGGTCACATTACAGCGCAACGCTGGGGTGTGTTGTTTGGACCGGCAGAGGAGAGTGATTGCCGCTGGGACTGGGAGTGGAGCTGGCATTTCTGATCCTGTGGGATTGCAACAATCGAGATTGTCGCCCTGGCGGATGTATCATCATCGACAAGGAGAAGAATCCCCGATGACCGCATGGGGACTGCAGCAGTGCATGCACTTCAGGGAGACCAACACTAGTACTACGCCTACTCCTATGTGACAGGAGGCAAAAAGGTCAAGCATGACGGTTGAAGGCAAAAAGGATCGTCACATTGAACCTGGACCCCTCCCTGAGTGGTAATTCTTCTTCAAGGTTCTTTAATTCAGAGAAGATGATGATTGATGTGATTTTGTAGGTGCCTGTGTCAAGTCTTTACACAGGAGAAGGCTATAGTCAGATGCGTTATTCCTCGCGGTGCTGGAACTCGTACCGAGAAATAGTACTACACTACTACACAGTACACTCAGTAGTCAATAACAGTACAGCAGTAGATGGCAGATGGAAAAACCCGTGATCGGAAAAAGAAAATCAACAACAATAACCCCCCCCGACAGACGGGGATGGCTGCTGACGATGATGAGAGATCCAGAGAATGACCGTGACAGTGATGACCGTACCGTAACGTGAGCAGCCCCCTGGTATCGACTGATTCGGAGGCTTTACAGTACAATACACAAACAAATTCTTGAGAATCACCGAACCAGTCAAGGTGAGCTTCAGCGTGATCTGCTACTAGACCTAAATGGGAATAGGGAGTCGAGCATCGACGACGTCACGAACCAGTGAGTAGCCGCCCAGGGGAACGGCATTCAGTGATGGGTCGAGAGGGCCCCACTGGCCAGACGGCAATTGGTGCTGTCCGCAATCCCTTTGCCACTGGGCGGGTGTGCCGGCGGGCTCTGGTTGGTGCGTGACCCTTCGCTAGCGTTGCAGAAGAGCCATCTGGCAGTGATCCGCCCTGTAAATTACCGTTTTGAGATGGAAACTTTCACCTGCAGGACTGAGGACTCCGTGGCTGCACCCGCTGGAGTCGCTGGAGTCGCTGGAGTCGCTGGAGTCGCTGGAGAGGAGACTCTCCTCGATCGAGTCGAACCCCCCCCCGACTGCCACTGGCTGCCGGCAGCCTGGCACCGCCCTACCGTATTCAGCGGCGGGCCCTAGCCGTCCACCTCCACCCACATGACCATACCGAAACAGTACCGCACACTCTCAGGCTCTCAGCCCCAAAGGGCCACCCCTCTTTTTCCTTCGCCTCCCACAGACCCGTCCCTCCACGCTAATTCGAACGCTTCTGCACTTCCACTCTTCTACCCATTACATATCTTCCTCCACCAGTACTCATTTTCGTTCCCAACCACTTTCTGTTTTCCCTTTGTATCCTGCTTCGTACGCTCGCCTTGATCATCCAACCTTCTTCCACAACCCGTCTCCCCATCTTCCAAATACTTTGACTTTCGACCACTTCCACTTCTTGAACTTCGGGTGCTGGATTCTCCCACAATCTCTCCACCATGTCGGCTTTCCTCTACACCCACCAAATGCAACAGCAACAGCAACACCTCCCTCTTCATCATCAGCAGCAACAGCAGCCTCATCACTCGGCGCATGCTGGACAAATCCACAACAACACCAACCACCACGGTCGCACCCGTCGCGGCCCCAAGATGAGCCAGCAAAACGCCCAGCGCCAGTTCCGTGGAGTGAAGAGCATGCGGGAACTTGCGGAGGCGCCCGCGGTCACGGCCTTCCGGGCTCGATTCGAGGCTGGTCGTTCATTTGACCTGGACGATGACATGGAGTTCTGCCCAAACCTTCTGACCGATGAAGATGTATGTCGAACTCCCTGTCCATGCTTTCTACACAGCCTGTGATGTCGCTTCGTTCTTTTTGTTGTGTGGTGGCATGGGATCCATCCCTCTATCATCATCGTCACCATCATCAAGCGTCGCAATCATTGCCCTCCAAGTGATATCATCTCGCCTAGACACAGCATATTCATCAAATTTCATTTGGTATTCCTTTCAATAACTCATGAGCTGACTCGTTGCTGCAGTTGCACTCAATTCACTCCGCCTCGTCTGATCGTTCCTCGCTGTCCAGTGGATCCCCTGATACCTCGCCTCTTCAGCATCAAATCCAGCCTGTGCAGCAGGTGACTCCCGCCATCTCTTTGTCTCCTGCTTCGGCGAGTGCGTTTGTCCACGGTGGTATGGCTGCCAACCCTGGCCATGTCAACTATCACCAGCCCGCGGCCAACCGCACCCGCAAGGTCATTCCCATTGTCAACCCCAACACCGGCATGACCATGACTAGTCCTCCTTCGTCCATCTCCCCCGCGATGATGCACAACGCTCAGCGCCGTTGGTAAAAGAGCAGCGATCGGGCTCTTTTGCTGGTCGAAAGGGGTTTGCTTGCAAGTCCTTCAGTCCTTGCCCTCGCGGCACACGTTCTACTGCACGTCACACGAGTATCGTATTTGCATCATCGCGCGGGGTCCCTCCAATCGCAGGTCATAATATCCTTAACGTTTCTTCTTCTTCTTGTCTTGACACGACCACTGCATCCTTATCATTCTCGACATGATTTTCCTTCGCCTTCCGGGATCGCCATCTCAGGTCGCTCGGCTTGGGAGGCAGTCTCCGGGTCTCACGAAAAAAAAACTTTTCTTGTCAAAAACATTCGAAAATTTTCTCGACGAAAATCCGGCCATTGTACATATTACATTATTACGCCGTCGATCACGACTCTCCACCCGCTCTATGCCTCCATCTTTGCGATGCTTTTAGCTTCTAGCTTCGTGCGAGCGACGGCGCCCTCTTTCCCTTTTCCGCGATTTCATGACCACCCTTTTCCCCCATGCTTTTTCTCCGTTAATTGCTTACTCCCATGATACCTGCGGTCTCCCCGGAGGGGCCTGACTCACTTCTCTTGGACCTGTTTGTTCTTCTTGGCTTCGCGTTGAAGGCCTCGCGTCGATGATGTTTTAGACCGTGCAGTGACTGGCTTCTTGACGCATATGTCGCATTGGGACCCCGGAGTTTTTTTGTGTCCTTTCCTCAGGGTTGGGAAAAAGGACTGGATCGCTTGCGAGTGACCTTTTACCCCAGCTCGCCCTCATCGTTGCTCTCTTTTATCTCCCTTCCTATGCGTGGTGCCTACTTCGGTCGGCTTTTCCGGTCTTGTTTGAGAGTTCGTTTTATTTTTTTTTTTTTACTTTTTGCTTACAGTGGGATGGGTCTATTCTCCACATGCAGGTTTTGGTTTTCTTTTTTTTTAGGGATCTAGAGGCGGAAACGACAAACGTCTGCATTGCTTGGGCACCGTTGAATCATCATGGGTTATTATTTGCTTCTTTTTTATCCGTCTACCATTGCACCCTCCGAATGTGCAGCCTTGTGCTTCTTTCCTCATGCTGTCTCCACTAGCCTCCTCTCTCCCTTTTTCTCTTCTTTCTCCCTCTTCACTGTTATTTTACTTGGCTTGTACATGGCATTCAGGGCCGAGGCCGACGCACGGAACCTTATTGTCGCCTGGCTGCAGGGTGCACTGGCTAGATGGGAGGGGTTCGGTTGTGCTCGAAACCATGGGATGCGGAGTTGTCTCTTGTTTGATTAGTCCTTGTTGAAACTCGATATCCAGGGGGTCTTTTCGCGTGCTGTGCGATAGACCAAATTGCGTTGAAAATGATTCTACTCATGCCACAGTCTTCTATCACAATCACGTTTTTTCTACAGTTTTTGTCCTGCGTCTGGAGTGGTGGTAGTAGTCGTCGTCGTCCAGTAGAGGTCGTGGTCTAGGCGTATCTCAGCGTATCCATCACGGCAATCTGCAAGAGCCGGAAGAATTACCTATTCAAAAGGATAGCAAGTCTTTACCTGACAGGCGAGAGTTTCCAGCGCAGTCTTACCCCAGTCTCATCCGATTGCAATGCAGAGTCGTGAGTCTAGTCGCATCAGCACCTGCAGAGACCACGAGAGTGTTTCTGTGATAGTAGATCATGCACTGTCAGCTTGGATTGTGCGAGAACACGTTCGCCCCAAGGGTCACAGTCCATGATCTAGAAGTTCAATCGGAGGAATGTGAAGATCTGCCATCTCTACACTGTCATCGACAGATTTCCCCTGCGTCACTGGCCCTGGAGCCCTCTTGACCTCATGATGTCATTTTTCCATATGCCCGAGGCTTACCATGTGGGCAGCACTCTGTCCGATCATCACGAAGTCATCACAGTCGAACCTCGAGAGTACGCAATGCACGAGCCGTCCTACCAAGAAAGGGAGATGACACAGAAACAAATTATTAGTCGAGTGCAAGCAAGTAGTGTTGTCCGAGTCACAGGTCGGACGAGCTTTACGCCAGTTCTTGCAGGCTCTCTCTCTCTCTCTCTCTCTCTCTCTCTCTCTCTCTCACTTTCCACCGACCGCGCTCTCGGCCAAGGCCCGTGACGGGTTCCGGTCCGTCCACCAAGAAAAACACTCCGAGTCAGTGACGTCATTTGCTAGTTCGGCACTGGGAAGGCATACTCCATCGAGGCCATCCTACGGGGAGAAAAGTAACTGCTGCTAGAGCAAAGAAGATTGTTCTCGTGTAAAGACCGTACCTTGGTTAGTTTAAATCGCCGAGCTTCCCCACGGGATTGAACGCCTGTGCCAGCACTCTACGTTTCTTCTACTGCTGCAGGTTCAATCAAGTTCTCTCTCCGTCGTCCCCCCCCCCCAGCAATCAACTTCTCTGCTCTATCTCCATTCTCCTCCATATTGTTGGTCAATTGGTTGACGGCTTTTTTTTTTGGGAAAAATTCGAAAGAATACAAGAGACCCAGTTTCAACCTGCTCTACCTCACACAGACACCCTCCCAATCCATCGACGTCATCGCCGTCATGTCTTTCCTCACCTCCGCCCTCCGAGCGAGCTCTCGCCGTGTCGCCCCCATGAGCTGCACTTTCCCCGGCGTCTCATCCATGCACACCTCTGCCACACGATTCAGCCTCAAGGAGAGCGACAAGAGTGAGTTCGAACCCAGACAAGATGATCCTCGAACCACAACCGCAAAAGGGATCCTTGGTCGCCCAGTCTCCATACATACGTGGACGAAAAGAATGGAGAAGAGCCGCAAAACACAAAATAAAAAGGATTTCCTCTTTCAGGCCCTTGAATCTACCAGAAACTGATACGTCGCAACCCCTTTCCGCAGCAGACCGAGACAATCTTTCCGAACACTACGAGGCCAAGAAGGAGCAGCAATTGAAGGATCAGAAAGCTGGCAAGGCCGCTTGGGACTCCGAGATCGCCAGTAACAGTGAAGAGCAGGTACGTTCCAGCCTTCGTGAATTTCATCGCTCTCGACGACGCCTTCCCCACAGACAAGCTGGGATGAACCAAGTGACTGATTTGCGAGTCTTGCTTCATTGCAACAGGTCAAGGCAGACCGGGGTGAGCTCGATGCCTCCGAAAAGTCTTTCCAGGACTTGCAGCAGAAGACCAAGAACATGCCCCAGCAGAAATAAGAGGGGATTTGCGCCGTGGATGGATGGACATGCCTCGATGATGCATTATCACAGTGGATCAGAGTTTTCAGGGAAGATTTCATTATGTCGGATGTTGAAACTCGCCAATCGCATGTGTAATTTCCATCTTATCGTGAATGCAGTTTTGAAATATGATTCGTATCATGAACGTGCCCATATGACCAATCCTCCATTGCAGCTATCTTAGGTTTGCAAACTTCCAATGCATGTCCAAGGGATCCGTTGGTTTGGAGGGTGTAAGATTAATAAGATCAATATCAGGTAGAACAAAGCCAAAAGACTCATAAAAGTCGACCCATTCAGATCCAATTTCCAAAACGCCCGCTCGCAGGTATATATACTCGTAAAGTTCCAAAAAAAAGCGCTTGTATCAACCTAACCACCTGCTTAAAACCTTCAGCTTTGGTCATCATTTCAAAATCACAATCAATATCACCAAAATAATGATCAATCCGATAATGGTCATCATGCTCCAATTATCCCCAGCCTTGCGACGGATCCGGTCCAGCCGCCGCCGAGCGCCATCCAATCGCGTCTGGTGACGCTCAACATCACCGTCCAAGCCGTCCAGCAGTGCGACATGGCCGTCCAACTCATCGCCAATCTGGATGCTCAACTGATGCTGGCGCCCGATAGACTCGCCGAGTCGGTCCAACTGGTCATCCTGTTCGCGCATCACACGGTCATGGTGTAAATGAATTTGCTCATTGCTCATGTTGGACTGATCGATGGTAGGCGGGGAGGGCTCGTCGCGGTATGGCCGGAACAGGTGTTGACGATTGCGATCATCTTCGTCGTCGATCTCATCTTGCACGGCCGCCGCAGCCGCGGAATTATCCATAAATCGTACCGATTTTGAAGACGGATGCTGTGGAACCGGCTGTTTGAGATCGGGCGAGGTGGAGGACGGCCGCCCGCCAGCCGATGCCTGTGTAGTCGAGTGCGTGGTGGACAAGTCGCCTTCTGAGCCATTGAATTGGGCAGACAATTCCCGGTACTGTGCATGAAGAGGGCCAAGCTGGTCCTTCAAGGCGGCAGCGCCTGCGCTGTCGTTGGATTCGGCGAGCCTGGCCTGCTCGGCTTCGACGGCTTGGATGCCTGTCTGCAGGGACTCGAGGGATCGGGAGATTTCTCCATCCTGTGCGTTGGGCTCGAGATCAAGGGAGATGGCACGCTCCCGCTCCATAAGAGAGAGCTTAATATGGTCGGCCAGAAGGAAGAGCTGGGACGGATTCGTCATGGTGGTGTCAGGGCCGGAAGAGGCGAGTGTTGAGGCCGCCGGTGTTTGAGAGATAGTGGGTGGTGGTTGTGGAATGTGCCTCCGATTACTCGGGACAGTATTGAGTGTAATGTCAGCCTTTGGATGGGTCCCTGAGATGAAAACGAACGAGACAGAGGGTGAGATCGAGCTGCGAGACAGTGTGTTTCCAAGGTCCAGGCAGTCGTGCAAAAGAAGGCGCTAAGGAGGTAACTTAGCAGGGATGTGCAAGGGTGGAGTCTTCTTCTACTGTAACTGAGAGGGGGGCCTGTTCAGTGAGGTACACAGTACTTCATTTTGCAGTACTGTGCGAATACAGACGATGGGTACCTCGGGCTCAGGCAAGTACTGAAGTGCCGGACGGCGTCTCCGCCCGCTTCCCGCCTGCGCTTTCTTCCCCTCAGCAATTAATCGTACCTGCGTGCTTTCTCTCTCCTCCCTCCATGATTCATTTTCACCAGCTACTAAAATAATATCTGACGACTAAGCTGTCTCTGGCACACTGCTCGAGCCGTGCTACCTTCTTCGGAACCCGAACACTCGTCATACAACGCTTGAACATCACATTCATACTGCGGACTCAGCAGCGACCTCGGTATCAAGTCCCCCGCACAAGCTCGCATCTTCTGGGGTTCCCGCTGCACTTCACAAGACTTCACAAGCTGGCAGCCGATCATTCGATCGTCCCGGAAATCTGTCAATCTAAGACAAGAGCGCATTCTTGCCCTGTGATTTGAAATCGCTCTCGCATGGGCTCCCCACAAAGAGAGCGCGCTCAAGTCTCACCATGGATATCAAGAGCTTCTTAGAGCTGGAGGCCGCCTCGAGCTCGGAGGATTCGCTCGACCTCCGCAGCCTCGATCTCGTTTCGAGTTATGATTCCCACTTGATGTGTCCAATATGCCACTGTCCGTTCGTGCAACCCGTACGCTTAGACTGCGATCACGTCTTTTGTCAACAGTGTCTCGGGTCTGCAATCATCACCTTCCGCTCGGCCGACGCGAACGAGTTTCCCTGCCCCTCTTGCCGGACCCCCACAACCCGAATATCGATGAGTGTCCCTCGTTTGCTGGTCAACATGTGCGACGAGATACAGGTGCGGTGTCCCTCGGCGGAGGCAGGGTGTGAAGAGGTATTGCCTCGAGGGCATGTCCAGTCGCATGTGCAGAAATACTGTGGCTTTCGGCTGGTCCCGTGCCCCGATGAGTCGTGCGGAAAGATGCTCCGCCAAAAGGACCTCCAAACAGATGGACGCTGTTTGCATGGTTATTGCCGCTGCGAGCGTTGCAGTGAAGACGTGATGGAGCGGGATTTCGAAGACCATGACAAGGTTCTCTGTCCCAGCTTAGAAGCAACATGCAATGACTGCGGATCGACAATGAGACGACAAGAATTAACAAAGCATGCTGAGACCTGCTCAGAGGTATCAATACCCTGCGCAGCATCACAATATGGATGCAAATCGAAAGTACGAAGGGTGGACATTGGGACTCACGAAGCGCAGTGTCCGTTGATATCAATCGGGCCATATCTTGAAGCGCAAAACACACGGCTCAAGCAATTAGAACTGACCACCCGGCACCTCCAACAACGTAATGAGATATTTGAGGATGGAATGGCGAGCATCCGAGCTTCCCTTGCCGAGTCTGCCCGAGCTGGCAATGGCGCAAGGTCTACGCAGGGCGGCGACAGAGACCGTGCTCGTACCGAAGTGGACGAGTCAACCGAAATGGCAAACGCCTTTTCCTCTCACACAACTCAATACCTGCTCTCGCTTCACGAATCTCTGCGTGAAGAAGTTAACCAAATGTCTCACGCCCTCACAGATCTCGACACTCGCGCTAGTATGACCATTATGAATGAATGTCTTCGTATCAAGGAAGACATGGCCCACACAAACGCAGCGCTCAATAGCGTCCGTATGCAAGTGCAATGGCTCATGAATCCTCGGCTTCACAACGGAAATCGAGCCAACGTGATGCGAGCCAATTCCACCAGCAATGATTCCTCCCGGACATCCTTGACCTCCACCTCTGTACCGGGTCCAAGCAGCAACGGTGCATCTTCAATCCTAGGGTCCCTTCGACCACGAAGACCTAGCGACAGTGGTCGAGAGGGGACGAAATTGTGATGGGAGTTAAAGATATCGCGGTACCCGAACTTAGTTGCAAGCGTTGAACTTGGAGCCTGGATTGTTGATGGAGTCTTGGTTTGATGATGATACCTTTATTATACCTTCTTGGGGTCATGCTGCGCAGACGGGCTGGCCTGTCCGACATGACGTGAAGTAAACCCTCGCTTCTGTGGCCCGGGAGCAGAGTTGCAAGAACCTTTCTATCGCAGAATAGACTACTATCTAATAGAAATTCGGAGACGATTGACCACACCAAATTTTCTGTCAACTTCAGTTCGACTTGAAGCCCGGTTTACCATATTAAATTGCAGGTATTTTAAAGCTCGATAAATTTATGATAACTTATACCTAGTACTTTTACCAATGCTTTTGCATGTGGGATATAACGGATCAGAAGACTCGTTTCGAATGTCCCAGATTTCAAGGCGAACCGGCGCCCTAATCGGACTTTTCTTTTCATAAAACGAAAAAGAGAAAACCAAAACAATGAAACAAACTCAGATCACATGTGCACCTCGTCTGTAAATCAGGTAGACGTCGCTCAACGACGTTTGGAAAAAGAAACAAAAGGAAACCCCAAACCAAGCAAAAGGAAACAACCAACCGAACAAAACCAAGGAGAACCCAGCAAAGAGAAGCAACCCAAGACCAACCGACCAAGACGCACCAGCCAAAGAAAGCCAACCACCAGAGTAAGCCAACCCAAGAAGAACTCACCCACACGGCGCAGGCCGACTACCGCTTCTGGGTCCGAGCAAGTCGCCGCTTCTCTCGCCGCTTTTGCCGTCTCGCGTCGACATTGACGATAGACCTCTGGACGGCGGTCTCTCTCGAGCGCGAGGACGGGACGCGGTGGGTGTAGATCTGTGCTCGGTGACCACACTCCAAGCAGGGAAGCCAAGCAGACGCGTTCTCCGGCCGGACCATCAAGTCGCGGAAAGACGAGGAGCTCGCGAAGACCCAGACATCGCCAGATCGTCGAACCTGGACGCTGTCGACATCACAGGCAGCCAACGAGAGCAAGGGCTTTCCACTAGCGGCGAGGGCCTTCCGGACGTCCTTTGTGATGGACGACGGGTCTGCGTGCGACGAGTCCTTGTATGGAGGACATGTGCAGACCCAGTGGATTCGGAAGCCGAATTCCGATCGTTCGGCTTTCTTGCGGACTCGCAGCGGCGTGGATTTAGCTGCTTCGTCCACTTGAGCTTCGAATCCTTCCAGGGAGAGATGCCGGAGCCACTCCGTCTTGGTTGCTAGGAGGGTCGCTCGATCTTCCGTGGTCTGCACATGCAGGTCGGCCGTGAACTGTCTGGCCATGATCTTGATGGATTTGACGCCAACACCAAGGCCAAGGCAGATCTGACGGATGACCTTGTCCACGTTTATACGTCCGGGGCGAGGGAAGGCAACGGTACGGTTCCACTTGAGCCGGAGGATGTGTTGGCTTTCATCCGGCTGTGAATATTGTTGTGGAAGGGGCAAGCATGGCTGACTGGGCTCTCTGATGGGCTGATCCCTGTCATCGTCACCAGCGTACCGAGGATCCCTGGCTGGAATGGCTTCGAGCAGGCCAGGAGTGTCGGGTGCCTTGGTCCGGAACGAACCGACAGCCTCTTCACACTTGATCTTGCCATCGGGGCTATAGTCACTGGCCGATGAACAAGATCTGCTGGACCGAGCCTCTCTTCGAAGAACGAGCGGACCAGTCGAGGTCGAACGGCCGACCGTCCGGCTCTATGCAGCTGAGGTGGAATGAAGGCAAGGTGCGTTCACCCGGACCACGTCGTCGACGTTGGGATCTCTCATCTCACTCTCAGTGGCTTCTGAGTCGTGGCAGAGTTCACTGTCAGAAGTGAGACCCGTGTGGTCGTTCCCTCCTGGCATGTCCTCCTGGCTTGACGCAGGCTCGTCAGAGGGTATCCAACCCCAGGGTGTATTCGCCGCAGAGGAGATGTCACCGGCGACTCCGACGTGTGGGAAAACCTGCCAAAGCACATTCTCCGTCCAGCGCGAGAAATGCAAGACATCTCTCATTGGGAGGAATCCTTGGTATCGCTCCCTTGCCGTTTGAGAGATGCCCTGGCACAGGAAGATGTGTCTGCGGATGGCGTCACGCGCTTCTGCAGCGTTGATTTCCGCGGCTTCGGGGACTGAGGGCCACTCGGGCTGTGAGTTGGTGGTGATGCGCACCATCGTCGGGGGTCGGTTGTTGACGGCGGTTGGGTGTCTTGGGTATGTTTGATGTAGGGTTGTTTTGAGTGCAGTCGATGGGAGGTTGTCTTTGCTGGAAAGGTGTGAGATGGTTGGGAGGACACCAAGAACAGTGATCTTCCTGGCCCTGGGAGGACTCATCACATAAATACTTGAGTGAGGGTGTAGGTGACCATCGAAGCTCTGTACTGTTTATTTCCTAAAAAGGTAAAAACGGCAATTCGTGGTAGAAGCCTAGTGCAGCCTAGCATTCGGGATGTTACTTTTGAGACGACCTTCAAAACAAACATATCTGCCCCACAAGTTCACTGGTAAATGAGATGGAACACAAACGTTCATTGAATCTTTCCTCTCAGAGGCATCATTGCCTTACGAACATATCGATGACAAACAGTCTTGATTCGTCGAGGAAGCACCGCGACAGATGCGCGTCTTGTGAGACGTCCAGGTAACACCACATGATGAATCTCACCACTGCTCGTCCTCTGGTTCGGCGATAATGTGTCGTGCGCAGGACGCATCGTCAATCTAAGTGAAGACGAAACTTCATCCGTGGCTGTCTGCAGGAGCGACAAGGGCTCGGGGCTGGATTCCGGCCTAATTGTTGTCGCTTCACTGTTGGAATCATCTGTCGATGGTGGCGTAGGCTGTAATGGCTCATTTTCACGCGCAGAGACGCGCGTGAGCGGCACCGTCTCAGCGTCTTCGAATTTGTCGGAGATGCGCTGAAGAGCAGCCGAGATGCGGTCGTGGGTCGCTTGCTCCTCCGTCGACATGATCGGCGGAGTAAAGGCATCGTCATTATGGGCCATCTTGCCATTTGCATTAATGACAAGCCCTATCGGCGGTGATCGGCTGATCTCTGGTATGTCGTCCTCGGGAAGTTCCTGTATCGTGCGCACTCGATGCATGCGATGCGCGGATCCGACAGGCTCGTCCTCGCTCTCTGACGATTCCTCATTATATTCATAGTACTCGTCTTCGGTGCGCTCTCCCTCCGAGGACTCGCTCCAGTCTGGATCTTCATCCTCGTCTTCAATGTCATCATCCAAAAGCCCATCAATATGTCTTTCCAGCCTCTTGCCCAAGGTTCTTTCTACATCTCCTGCCGAATTGCTTTTCACCATTCTTCTGTCGAGACACCGGCTGCCTTGAGGTTTCGCGAGCGACTGGTGGTCTGGAGCTGCCCTCTTTCTGGGCTCTCTGTGCTGGGCGGCCCTGCTCTGAAGCGCAGCAATGGCCGTCTCGGTGTCCAGGTACGTATTGCCAGCGTGGTGTAAATGCAGACTGCGCACAGCCCTGTACGCCTGCAAGACCAATTCAACCACATAGTCTGCGGGCACTCTCTCGTCAGAAAAGCGGGTAGCATGGTGATAGACTCGAGCGCAATGCGATTCGAATGACTCTGCAAATCGGAAAACATCATTGAACTGGGAATTGTCAAAGGTCGGTTGTGGCCACGCGGACTCCATGACGAATGAGGCTTGAAACGTCAGGCGTTGCAAGGAAGAATGCCTTCTGTTCAGAACGGGCGAATATCACGCGCTATATAACGCGAGAAAAGTCGGCAAGGGGCAGCCATTTTCGCGTCAGCTGTGAGTTATGTGAGTAGGCATCCGGAATCTCCAAGGGGCCTCTCCTAACCGATTACTCTCCCTAGGCCATCGCATCTCTGCTGTATGCATTGATGGGAAAAGAGGGATCTGAGGGGTGAGCATCAAATGTGGCTTCCAGGCGCCTTGCACCCTCTCAATAAATCGCTCTCAGGGATGGATGGGTGGAAGGGAGCCCCAAGACATAGGGATGTATGTTGACGACGGACGTAGCCTTGGAGTGGCTGGTTGTAGATCCACTTCCTGCAGCCCGGCATCGGGTAGCACCCCAGCACTATGAAACAGTGAGCTAAGAAGCTCTACTGCCCAGTGCCCACCACCCTGGATTCAGGGGCGACCAAATTGAAAGCTGAAAGATGCTTGGTCTATCAGCCTCAACTACATCAATCTTTATCATTTGTGCTTTGCATCATCCTTCAGATGGAAGTTCTGCGAAGTACAATGCGGGACTATATACGGTTTGTCTTGGGTTCGAAAGAATGCTGGCATCCCGACTACAATCAATGACAATTCATCAAGATCGGACGTAGCTGTTCCTCGTCTCCTGATACGATAACAAGGTACAAGAGAGCCAGCTATGTAACTGTGCTCTTCTGTCACAGGCATATGTAAAGGTATGTCACTTAAAAGGCATATGTAAAGGTATGTCACTTAAAGACCTCTGCTGTGACCTCCCTTGGGTAGCTTGCAAATCTAACGGAACCTCACATTTGGTGCCTTCTATAGCGCTGCTGGATATTTTCCACTGACCAAATATACAATTCTTTTGATGCCCGGCCCAGAGTCTGATATTGATATCGACGGCATGCAGGAGTTCGAGTCATTTGCAGAATCACATGAATCTATTCATGGGCCCTAGTATGTCCGCCAACACGATTGCAGTCTTAGTACCCAACCTGTGTTTGGGTAAAGATCGAACATCAGATCAGTCCATGTAGGCCTGTTCGAGCATATTTGATACGATTGGGACGTCGAAAAATGGATGAATAGTTCGGCTTCCTAAAATAGACAGCAACGCTCGAAGATCGAACGGCGTTCTCGGTTCACTCTAGCAACTTAATGGCATCAAAGTCACACGTCCAGAACACGGTTGTATGGAATAGCTAGCTGCAATTGGACTGAAAATGGAGAAAGCTTTAGAGATGGCATGCTTCAATATCGATACCCGCCGTTTCCATACCCTTGCGGTCCTTGGTAGTGTGGAGGCGGATACTGTGAAGGAGGATACTGCGACGAGGGTGGATGCTGCGGGGACGGCTGATATTGTGAGTTTCCAAGGCCATTGCCAGTGGAATCTCCGTCCAATTCTCGCCGCGAACCCTGAGAGTTTCCACCAGGCAAGAACCCCGACAACTTGTCTAGTTTCGACATGCCGGGGATTGGTAACTTAGACAATGCATCCCACGGCATACCAGACGCACCGTGACTCTGCGCACCAGGGGTTGACTGGTGCTGGGACTGGGGCTGAGAGAAGAAAGACTGGATTCCACCGAGTGAGAAACCGTGGCCTTGACCTTGACCCTGGCTCTGGTTATGGCCGTGAGTCTGGTTATGTGTTGCTCCACCCAAAGTGGCAAACCCTCCCTGATTTCCACCATGGGTATGCGGAACCCCACCAGTATTACGACCGGTCCTGACGCCCTCTGAACTCAGAATGTCATTCAGGTGTGCACCGCGGTCTTCCCGAGAGTGAACCCAGCTGGCGACAGCCTCAAACATTGTACGATGGGCCTCATTGTGCATATCACGGAGTACAGGGTGATGGAAGATGCGCATGCAATCCTCCAGCACCTCGTGCTCGGGCACGTCGGTGTGCTGCCAAGCATATAACACACGGGGAGCAACGTATTTGAGAATAGCTGAGCCGACCAGTCCGGCTGGCTCATTCAGAATGTTTGCAAAATGATCCTTCGAGAGGAGTGAATGAGTGGGATCGGTACAGTGAGGATCGGTCCAGGGCTCGTATTGGTGCTTGCCCGAGGCATTGATCACGCCAGAAGATCCTGTCTGTAGCGACTTGGAAGCAGCATTGATCAGAGGGCGAATAAACGGCGCAAGCAGTGACATGACGAACAAAGTGAGTGTCTCGGTGATCTTTTCGATAATAGCCTCCAGACCGGGGATCTTCTCAATGATGGCAGTCAGCTTGCGCACGACCTTGTCACGGAATGCCAGGATCGGATAGATCTTGGAGATTATCTCCTGAGGATTGATATCAGTAAGGCCGCTCGCAGAGGTTGCACCACTAGTCGTAGGATTAGTTGATCCCGGGGCTCGGCTTTGACTATCATCTTCAGGCTGCACGTAGCCAGTGTGAAAGCCGCGGGAACGATTGCTCATCTCCTGAGCCTGAGACTGGTGCTTGAGCTGCTCAGCTTCTACGACCAGTTCTCGTGTGCCTGGAACCTTGCCCAGTAGTCCAGTCAACATGTTGAGAGAATTGCCGGATTGTGCATTGTTCTCTGCATCACCTAGGGCCAGATCCATTTCGTTCACCTCGGATTGGGTGAAATGGTCGTTAGCCTCTCCCAAGACCGAGTGAAAGAAGTCGACCATTCCAAAGGTTCCGGTCACCAAGGGGAACACGTGGTGTCCACGCACGTTGCATTGTGTGGCAGTACCGGTATGAGGGAAAACATTGTGGAATCCCATCTCACGGAGAGCGAGCTCAATATAATTTGAATGCGCCGCAAAGTCTTCCAAAGTATGGAGCCCTTGCCCCAGGCATCGAAGAGCCTCGCACAGATCCTCCTCCTTACCCTTATTTTCACCACCGTTGGTGTACATGCGTCCGTAGTGGATGCTTCGACTGAGACTGAATTTGACAAAGGCAGTGCTGGTTGCCCAGTCACCGCGCTCGTTGGCGATGTAGTTTTTCATTCCCGTCTCGGGATCGATGTCAAGCTCAACTTGACGAACGGGGCCTCGCAAACGCTGGTCAAACTGGCGTGCATCTTCGTTGTCGGCATAGTCTTTGGGGTTACTACAAATAACGAGTCAGCTTCACGCTGCTCTTAGGCTTGAGGTTGGAAGAGCTTACTCAATATGTTCCTCGGGCCGATAAACACCCAGTCGCTCCGCCGTCACTTCGAATTCGCCAGTTGCGTATCCAAAGCTTAGAAAGGAGAGAATCCACACCAGAATGCGGATCGTGTCTGCGGGGAGAGACTTCAAGGTTCCCACATCCATCGCTTGAGAGCTAGGCACGATTGATTAACAAGCCATCGAGACAAAGATGATCGAGGATCAAGACTGAGAACGGGTCACTCACTAGTCACGCAACCAATTCCCAAAATACACGCGCTTGACCATTGTGGAAGTCCATTTGTGGCCGTGAATGAAGGCGATCGTCTTCAGCATGTCCTCAATGTCGCCATGACGCCAATTTTTACCTTCGACGGCAGAAATGGACGCAATATCTACCGCAAGTTAATGGAAGTTATTGCGAGTGGGGAAAAATTCAGACTTACTACCTGCTCCAAATGCATGGACCTGAGGAAGTAACAGCAACAACAGGCACAATAGCAGAGCGGGAGAGCCCACACGAAGAAGGGCCATCGTATTCGGCCTGGCACACGCAGCCGCGATATACGAGTGAGCTCAAGATCTGTAGTCTATCTAGACCTCAACGAGCAGAAGATGATAAATGGGTCACCTTTTTTTTCCGGAGCCGGATCTTTCGCGATGATACACAGTTACACACAGTGTGTGTGTCAGTGTGTGCCAGTGTGGGGTAGTGCCGTAGTGGTGTTTGACCGAGTTCGAGCTGCTCAGCCCCGCCGCCAGCGCACGCTCGGCATGACGCTCTTGGCGCTGGTCCGGCGGAAATCCTTCGGATTGGTATGACGTCGCGCTGCCGGGTGGCTGTGCGGCTCTGGGGCAGTTCACGTTGGACTCGGGGCAAGATGGAGTGACTTGAGGGGAGTATTACTTAGGCAGCGGCTAGCTTGTACTATGTATACCTTCAGAGGATGATTTATTTGGGTTTGGTAAGTGTCCTGGGTGTTGTTGTTGTTGAAAGGTACTTAGAACTGGGTGTCTACTCTACATCGATTCAGGGGAACTGTACGCAAGAGTCATCAAGATTGGAAACAATATAGCTTTTTCACAATAATAGGGTCATTGCCTGCAGTCATGCACAAGCTTGACTGAGGGGTTTCATCTGCTATTTCAGATCCGTAGGATTTCCAACATGGCCATGAAGGCACTGTGTATCAGTTTGACTTGCCTAGGTAGTGGTGGTGATAGTTATAGCCTGGAACATCCGAGTCCGAACCTTGGGAACCCACGGCTCGGGTACCTAAACGAAGCTGAGAAATCCGTACTGCAATCACAAGTTAGTATCTGTGACCTATGATCTATGGAAGGTTGGAGTGAAGCTACTAAAGTACCGAAACGAGGCAGTGTTCTCGGGGTTCCGAGAACCCGACCGCAACGTCTCAGTATTCCTTCTCAGCCGCATGTATGCAGGCTCCAACGTTTAGCACATATATGCCCAGTTGCCCATCGACCTTAAATACGGTGTTTTTCTCACCTTCCTTAGATTCTGACAGAAGTTTAAACCAGCTCGGAAGTATGCCGGATCCCAAGGAAGTCATTTCGAATAGCCGTTTCCATCGCCGAATTTCCCTCAGTACTAGCCAGGGTCAGCTCAGCGTCTCCTTTGCCGACATTGGCTGCGAGAATGGGCCCGTGATATTATTTTTGCCGGGCATGTTCGCATCGCGCTATGCAGGGATTCTACTGCATGCCATTGCAGAGAAAGCGGGCATCCGTCTTCTCGTCATCGATCGTCCGGGGATGGGCGCATCCACCGACGTCCCTCTCGCTCACCGCGTGGATACATGGATCGAGGTCATGCCGCAAGTACTGTCATATCTCCAAATTCAACGCGTGAGTTTGGTCTCACATAGTGCTGGCACTTTCTACTTGCTTAACACGTGGGCCAAGTGTCGTCAATATATCAACCCAGAAGCGGCCGTCATAGGTAATATTGACATTCTTCCTGTCCGTTCAGCTCTTCAAGAGCCTTCTTTTACGACGGTTATCTTACTCACACTGCCCTCTTCAGCTCCGTGGGTCGACTTGAAATATTCTCGCGTACTATCACTGCGGGCTGCATCGTACATCCCCTCGAAGGCATTTAGTTTTTGGAACGAAATCCCGCGCTTCTTCGTGACGCAGGCGAGCCCTGTCGTATCCGCCAGCGGTGCCTTCGTCCGCTATTGGTCGCCATCTGCGAGCAGCAATTCCGAGGACACCGCAAGTGATGTTGCTTTCCTGGTCACAAATTGGCGCAAAGTTGAGCGAGACTATGGCGTACCCCTTTCTGAGCAAAAGGAGCTGGCGCAACTTGTCGGTCGCTTTCTGCACACCGAAAACACGGTCGGTGCCAACAGCGAGGCCATGCAATGTCTTCGTAAAGATGGCGGTACTAGTTGGGGAGTCTGCTCTGATTATGTGGACTGCGCGAAGGCCCTCGCGACAGAGCCATTCACTCTGCGCGCATACTTCGCCGAAACAGATGCCTTGATTGGGTCAAAAGGTCAGCAATATTTTGAAAATTGTTGGCGTGGCCCTGGTGTGGAGGCGATCGAATTCACTTCGAAGACAATACCTCAATCAGACCATGATACCGTGTTTCAGTCGGTAGAGGTCTGGGAGGACATATTCTCCTCTTTCAAGCTACAGTGACATGGCTTTATGGCTTTGTGCTGCCATTGCGACCGAAGCATCTTGGAAGACTAGGCGCCTTCCTTCTCCACAGATTCGAGGTTGATGTTCAATGAGCGGAGCATGTGTTCTTCCTTTTGAAAGGATTGGTCAATAGTTGGATCGTCTGATGCACCTGTGAGACGTCAATAGTCTAGGTAGTTCATCATTTTCTACCCCACTGACCGGCTTGCTGCCTGTTGCAATTATGAGTCCTCCTCGATCATTGTGCGGAGAGTCAGCTCGAACTTCCTTGTGGAGATTAGAACATCGCCCGTCCAGGACATCTTGATTGGTGATAGTGGATGAACAGACCCTGTGCTGCCTAGGGCTGCCTGGAGCGGCTTCAACACGTTCGAAGCTAGACCCAGACGGGACTAGATCAGCATGGAGATAGATGGCATATAAATCAACAACAGACGCTCCATGACTGAGAAATGAATCAACAGAAGCACAATTGATCAAGGCTTGAACAGAATCGTCTCTGATATCTCACCAAGGCAGCTTTATTTTCTTTTTACACCATGGCGATCACAATTCCTTCTTTACCGCTGCAACACCGCGACTTTGTGCATCATGTTCAATCGCATCCAGACACTTCCGTCGGAGAATTGGTGAAACCTTTCAACGATTTTGATGCCTTTGCAAGAAAGATTTTTGCGCAGAGCTCTTCGGAAATATCGGCCAAAGTCGGCTGTGTCAACGTTGTCCCTTTATACAACGAGACAACTAAAGATGCTGACATTCGAGTTCGAGCAAGAGATATGACCACCGAGAGTCCTGAGCAAAAGGAAAAGTACCTGCTTCCTCTTCCCTCTAGCAAGCGTAGAGCAAATGGTTCTCCTGCTGTGGTGCCTACTCTCGAGGAGTTTCAGAATAACTTTGCTCTCTTCACGGAAGGTGCTTTGAGCGACATGGATTGGAGCAATGTCGTAGTGGCTGGATCTGCGGTTGTTACATCTTTACTTCCCGTGCCGGAGAAGTACAGAAACTCCAAGCGTGGACTGCGCCAGTACTACCACGAAGAGTTTGCTCCAGCCTCAGATGTTGATCTATTCCTCTACGGGCTGAACGAGGAACAGGCGATTGAAAAGATCAAGCAGATTGAGGACAAAATCCGAAACACAATTCTCTACGAGACGACGACAATTCGCACAAAAAACGCCATCACCATTGCCTCCCAGTATCCCACCAGACATGTACAGATTGTCCTCCGTGTGTACAGTTCTGTGTCTGAGATCTTGACGGGTTTCGATGTCGATTGTTCTTGTGTGGCCTACGATGGTCAACAGGTCTTTGCGTCTCCTCGAGCTATTGCCGCTTTCATCACCCAGACCAATCAGATTGACCTGACGCGTCGTTCACCATCGTATGAAAGCCGTCTTTCCAAGTACTCTCACAGGGGGTTCGAAGTGTTTTGGCCGCTACTCGACCGCTCCAAAGTCGATCCGGTGAGTGATGAGACAAGGGATCGCAACCATTGCCGCAAGAAGGTTGACTGACGAACACAGACCATCTTTGAAAGAAATTTCAACAGGACAGAGGGTCTAGCAAGACTTCTTATTCTTGAGAAGCTACCAAGGCCAGAAGATCGAGACAACTACCTGACCAAGAGACGCGAAGAGCGAGGGCGACCTCCATTGAGTCTCTACCTCCGCCGCCGCCAAGGGCGAGAGCTGCGCGGAAACATCAAAGACGACTGGGAGGATGAAGTTCCAGACTGGCAGGAAAACGATCAAATATCGGATTATCATACTTTCGTGCGTTTTTTCCATGGAATCCCTTCATCGTCATATCTAACCCGAGAGGAATTTTCCCCCTCAGACAATTCCATACGGAAGAAGATTCAACGCACGCAAGATCGAAAAGCTGCTTTACACGAAAGATCTCTTGTTGAACGCGGAGTGGAATCAGGATCGTGATGTCTACCTCCATCGTCACCCTGCCTTTTTCGGTGATGTGGAGGACATCATCGGCGATTGCTGTGGTGCTTGTCCACCGGCAGTCACTGAAGAAGAGCTTAAGATTGCCGAGGAGGAGAGCAAGAAATATGTCTCTGGCGGCATCAGCTTCATCAAAGACAACCCTGGCCGGCAAGAGATCGGTAGTTTCAATCCAATCACTGACACCGATTGGACAGGTAAGAAAAGGCACAGCACTCCCAGAAAGGAAAACAAGAACCTGAAAACTAATTGTTGAAATGACAGCGATGGCATACATTGGAAGCACAGAGATGCTTTGCCAGGCCATCGTCTCGCATGATCTAGCAGCCGTGCAGTCAGTGCTGGATGAAGGTTTGGATCCGAATCGCCGGGATTATACCGGTCGCACTCCGCTGCAACTGGCTTGCATGTCCTCCACGCCTGAAATCGTCCAGTGCCTCGTAGATCATGATGCCCGCCTGATCTCAAGAATGGCGGACGGTCAAACAGCATTGCACCTCGCCGCTGCTCGAGGCGCATCCGAGATTGTCAGCATCTTACTGACGCGAAGCCTCAAGAATCAGGAGTCCGAGGATGATACCAAAGAGAACAAATCTGCTCGAGAGAAAGGTCAACGCGGGCGCGGGGGCAAGAACGAAGTCAAAGACGGCGACGAAGATGAAGATGATAATGACGGCGGGAATGAGCAAGCCACCAGCGACGCTTCGCATACATCTGCCTCTTACGTCAAAGTGGACGTGGACAAGAAAGAGGACACTGGTGTCACTCACGACACCATTGACGAGAATGATGCGGAGCCTGATATCTACGATATCAATGTTACTGCATGGGACAATCTCGCATCGCCTCTGCATCTCGCAATTCTTCATGGCCACGTCGAAACAGTCGAAACGCTCGTCGCAACATTTGGAGCCGATGTTCTGATGCCGATCAAGATACGCGATGACTACAGCCAGCAGGCAAAAGCTGCAATTCTGACCTTGGTTTTGGCCCTTGCCCTCCCTCTGCAAAAAGCGAAAGAGATGTCGCTGGCTCTTCTCAAGCTCGGCGCCTCTCCAGCTCAAGGTGACATCAATCGTTTCACGTCTGTTGACTTCATCGCGCAAACCGACTATCTCGAGCTCATTGATTTGTATCTTGAGCATGATCGCCCAGCAGTGCAGCGAGCAATCAATCATATTGTTGTTCAGGTGCAATCATGGTACGGATCAAAAGCAGAAGTCTGTTCCCCACTGGTGAACGCCTTGTGTGCCAAAAACGCGAAAGGTGCCACGAAGCTCTTGGGACTAGGGGCAAAGACATCCTTCAGCCTCCATGACTACCTGGACGCAATGAAGTCGCAGAGCAAGGCTGACAACTACATGGGTGATGAGCAGAGGCTGGTGCAAATGAAAATCAAGCAGCCTCTCATTCACGCTATCGAGCGCGAGTTACCGCTTGTCGCCATCGAGCTGCTCAGTCGTGGAGTGGATTTCAATTGTGAATTTGAAGAAAGCTACAATGTATACTGGACTGCGCTGGACGCTACAGTGCACCGCTTGACCGAATTGAAGAGAGAATTGGAGCCAGTCATTAACCGCCGAACACTATATGGCGTCCCCGATCCCGTCTTCTTCGAGAAGCCTGAGCAGGAATATCTCACAGGCCTTGGACCGGACACCTACAAGCTTTTCGGTGCGAAAGGCTTGATCAGCAAGACGAAGACGGACAACGAAAGATACGAGAAGGAAAACGAACGTCTTGACGCTGACGAGGCCCGATTGGAGGAAGGAGCAGCAAAGAAGCGAAAGGTCACAGAATCACTAATTCGGAATTTCGAACTCCTCAAGACCGATTTGCTATCCCGGGGAGCAAAAACCTGGGCTGAACTTCATCCCGGAGAAGGCTCGAACTCCAGACAAACCTTCAGACAAAACACGCGGCAATTCAATAAAAAGCCCGCAAAGCCTTTCGAGCTCAAATTGTTCGGCGCGGTTTTTGCGTTGGACGACATCACATACGAGGGACATGTGCAAATGTATGTGTCAATTTTTGTTCTATCAAACCAGAAAGCTGGGACAGACGCTGACCGTACGTGACCAGGTTTGAGGCTGCGTGGAGAGGAGATCTCGACACTATCAAGTCGCTCACGCTACATATGTGGGGACCAAATGCGGATCAAAAGCCCTTGATGATTTCCCGAGCTGATGTCACAGGATTGTCTTGTCTTCAAATCGCGGTCATGCGCGGTCATCTTGCCGTGGCGAAGGGAATCTTGAAAATTCTTCGAGTGCAGCACAAAGTGAAGGAATCTGAAACCCGAAAGCGGTTCGAAATTGACTCGGACACGGACGCCGACTCATCTGACGACGAAGATCTCAGAATCACGAGCCACGTCGTGGATGATCGATTCACCCACGAGAATATTGGAGAGGTTGCAAGCAGTGTTGAGAGCGACGTGTCACCGCGACAGGCACTGCAGGCATATTTCCCAGTCGAAGCTTTCGCGGAAGAGCTTATCGAGAAAGAGAAGTTTTCTTATGTTGGGATGAACACGTGGAGTGGCTACACCATGAAAGTTGGTACACTCATCCAATATGCCATCTACAAGAACGACCTCGGCTTGCTCGAGTGGCTCCTCAACGCTGGACATGAGTGTGCGAGCGCCGATCACTCCGATAAAAACCCCTTCACACTCGCGCAGCAGGATCTGCAACTTGCGATCATTTTGGGTCATACAGAGTGTCTGGGATTGATGATTCGAAGCACTGCTGTCGGGCTTCCTCTGGCGAACATTAGCAGTAAATCTGGAATTGCCGCTCCTGAACGATACTACCAAGGTCTGTCGATTCGCGGACAAAAGCGCAAGGACTGGGCGAGTGCTGGTCGGCCTGACAGTGTGCCGCAGAGGAGTGGCTTCGATGAGGGTGGCCGCTCGCCAGTCCTCATATCTGCCACATTGGGTAAATTGGCCAGTACAGAGTGGTTCTTGGGCACCGCTCCTGGGCGCTACTACCTTGAGTATGTGAATCAGCACACTGAAGACGAAGCTGTTCAGAGATTGTGCCAATCTCAGCTGGGTCTCGAAGCTTCTGTTATGCAATGGCTGCAGACTCGAAGTGAGTATCACTCGACCTTCCACATCACGAATGTTAAGAGAAAAGCTTTTGCTAATCTGTGACACAGATGAGTTGATCCTCCATTGCGCTGTTCTTTCCCACCCATGTGAAGAGTCAGAGAAGCTGGTGCAGTTCCTGGTAGATCAGCACCCAGAGTGTCTTGAAGCTCGCTCGTCCGAGGGACATACGCCTCTGGCCCTTGCATTCTCCTTGCAGCGAATAAGCTTCGCTCGCATCTTGATCAAAGCTGGGGCCAATTTGGCGGTTCGGGATAAAGAGGGTTGCAACCTTCTTCATCTCATTCTCTGTTCGCCTCGATTGGGCACATGGCCCAAGCTAGCTCAAGCTTCGGCGCTAATCGAGATGATTGACAAGGAGCAACTCTCTGCCATGTTGATGCAGCGCGCCGGAGAAGGATCCAGAACACCTTTTGCGAACTGGGTTCACAAGTGTCAGGCCCTCAGTCCCTTGGAGCCCCAACCCAATGATTCCAACGAGCCCACAAGCTGGGATGTTGCGCGCCAGATCACCCATCTCATCCTTGATCTCGGTCAATCATCAAACTACAAATTCCTCGAGCTTCTCGACGGTGCCGGAAACACAATTGCCCATGACTGTGTCAAGCGATGCTTCCCCCAAATTCTCGACTGCATCCTCGACCGACGGCCCGATCTCCTCTATCGTGAGAATGCTACTGGAGCCACGGCTCTCGAAATGGCTGTCGCCGCTTGGCTGAACGAAACCACTCGCAACCCGCCTGAAATTGCTTCTCCGGGAACTCGTCGGAACCATCACTTCCATCAGACCCCAAACTACAAGTTCAAGAGTAACTCCGCCGTTGAGAGTGAGAAGACGCGGTCACAGATCATGATCGAGGCTTGTCAAAAGCGGGCTACGATGAACCCTGCCAAGAGACGCCTTGTCACCCTCTACGAAGCGAATGAAGTGACCAAGCGACTGGCGGCGATGGACAGGAGCCGTGAGAAACGCGAGGAACGCGCAGATCATTCGGGACGCGGCTACCGCACCTCACGATTTGGGCGTCGATATGGTCGTTATGATCGTTATCATGAGGAGGCGGTACAGGATATGGACGAGGTCACTCTGTGGGGTGAATGGGCTGCGCAGTGGAGGTAATCAGGGGATTACTATCCGGTCTGGAGAGTAAAAGGGGAAGATTGACTGGGATGGATCGTCAAATGTTGTCATGATTCTTGTCTTGCTTATTTCTAGTGCAGACTGTCCAAGCCTTTTTTCAAACGGTTCAAGTCCAGTCCTTGTCTTGAAGAGACCACGGCAGACGTGTGGTCAGCGAAAGCATCGCGCCATCGTCCTGTCTTCAGGTTAGCAAACAAGCAACATCAATCAGATTTCCACTTTCTGGATCCAGACCCACGTAGGGTTACATTGAGATCGACGGTAACATCGCAGCGTTTGGTTCGGCGCTAGAGTTGGCTCCGCCGCGAAGTCCCGCGCGGCTTTGCAGAGCCTCCGTCAGTCGATTGACAATAAGAACCTCACGAATCTATCACGGCTTATGTATCCCTTTTTTACGAAAGTACTCATGGGCGATGAAAAGTTCTCGGTGTCCATATGTGCTGGAGCTGGAGGTCTCTTCCGCTTTTGGTACCAAATAATGTACTTTCGTGCTTCGTTTTGACCATATCCCCGCTTTAGTAGTCTCACTCTCCACTCCATCGAGGGCCCATGGTGTCAAGGCTCTCATACATTGCCTACAACTTACTCGCCAAAATGGAATAAACAAATCGCAACTCGATGTTACCGTGACTGTAGCATACTGAATACTCCACTGGGGTAAATAAACAGAGTAACGTGCCTTCTTAGCGTGGATCTCCTCCCCCACGTCGCATGGCGGAATTCCCCCGCATTCAACAGCAATAACTCGCGCCAAGTCCACCAGTCGAGGTTCAGCCTCTATTCTAATCTATCCTTTACCTTCATTTAGAAGCAAGTGAGTTTCTTTGACATAACTCAGCTCAGTCGAACATCTCAATTTTGTCCAACTCCATTTTTGGTTTCAGCGCCACAGCGCAGGGAAGCCTACTACCGAAAAAAAAACTTCAAGCTTCGATCTGTCATCCGCAACTTCTTTTTCGGACCATGGCTGCTTCTCACCCTCATCTAGATGCTCTGCAACGTGATGGTTTTGTGGTCGTGAAGAATCTCCTATCTCCCTCTGAAGTCGATCATTATCGTAGCATCGCTGCGACAGCTACATCCAAGACGCGAACCGGCTCATGGCCGTTCTTTCGCACCGTTCCCAAACAATTCCCGCCATGGCCTACAAATGTACCCCCGCCAGCCGCGGAAGGTGGAATATGGGGAGTGCAGCACTTGCTCCACCCGGAGATGCCCGGACGTGACGAATTTGCCAAATGCTACTTTTCCGAGGCCATTCTCGACATTGCCAGTGAATTGATGGGCGTTGCCTCGTCCAATCCAAGCCCAGGCGCGGCCGCCAGTGATGAGGAGCCTCTTGTGATGGAGCTATTCAATCTGCTCGTTGCACCCGAGACCCGAGATTTTGAACTCCGTTGGCATCGAGACGATATTTCAGATCAATTATCTACCGATGAGGAACTGCAGCAACTGGCAGCCAAATCGCCTGGTGGCCGACAGAGTCACGCGCAGTATAACTTGGCGCTGTGTCCTGATGCGTCACTGATCGTCATCCCCGGATCGCACCGTCGTGCACGCACTGCGATTGAGCGCAGTGCAGATCCATATGAAGCGGTGCTCCCGGATCAACTGGTTGTGCAGCTGCAGCCCGGTGATGCAGTCTTCTACGACAGCAATATCCTCCACCGGGGCGTATACAAGGGCAAAACCGAGAGCGGAGAGGAGACCCGGTTAACATTGCATGGAAGTCTCGGGCTCAAGGCGTCTGATGCTGCAGATGCGGAGACCAAGAAAGTCAGAGCGACAGCGGTGTTACAGCATGGCGTGGGGACTTGGGTAAATCGAAAAGATGCGGCGTTCGGTCTGGGCGAAAGGCCGGAGAAAATGAGAGCTAACTTGATATCCATGGGCAGTGGAGAGGGGGTGGGTTATTCTTTGCAAGGTTGACACACAACCTATGTCAACCGTGGATATCAGACCAGAAGTATGCTCATCCTGTCTGGTGATTCTTTGAATCCAGGACGCAAAAGAGCATAAAATCACGGGGACGAAGTAGCTTGATTGGCACTGAATGACAACAAGCTGTCAGAATAGAGAGGAGATTGAAACTTGTGTGTCGTCTTCGTAGCAATAGTCAAGTATCTGCCCGTGTACCTACCTGGTCAAGTGAAAGCTTACTGCGCAACCAAGCTACTATCACGTAGGTAGACGGTTCTTGTCTAGCTCAATTCCTCAACAAGATCTGGTATCGCTCCTGAGTCATTGTCGATGGAGCGTCATGACAAGGCGTTGTTGGCATAGGCTCGCTGGGCAGACTCAATGAGACAGTGCCAGCTTATGCACCACGAGAAGCCCCAGTACTTCCGAGAGAAAAGAAATCCCAGAAAAAATGAACAGAAGATGGCGTTCGAAAAATTTCTCTCTGATCATTCTATGCTCGTTCAGAAGGCGAAAATGTCTCGTGCAAGACACGTGAGCTGAAACCGAGTCAAGTTCGCTGCCCTACGGCTCCAGCCCCTCAAAGCTCTAAACAGTACACTGGCAAACGAACGAGGGGCGAATCACTACTTACACTCCTTCAGTCACCTCTCATCATTGAGATAAAATTGCGAATGTCGATTGGACAATCCCGCTTTGTCATGGCACAATGCCGCGATTAAACTGTGGTCTGAGCTTCGACAGTTTACAATGTGCACTGTGCAGTCTGTACGCTGTAGTAGTTCGCAGTCTGAGCGTGGGTTGGGCTTGGCTGTCGCTATTATGGACTGCGTGTTCGAATTTTCCTGCGTCGCCCGGGTCATGTCTTCTCCTCCTCCTCTTTCTTCTCGTTCATTTTCTTCGTCTTTTTCTTACGATTGTCGGAGTCGAGGTACAAGATGTCTTTCGATTACACAACTGAAAACCAATGGCGCCAAACCTGTCCTCGCACTCAGCCAGTCGTGGGTCGCGACATTGAAGATGACCAGCCGTTCTTACCTCAATCAGGTTGCAACGCTGGCGTGAGCGTCTTGAAATGTGATATCCTCTTGACGCTGTGTATGGCCAATTCCTTCAATCTGTCAGCAACATGGAAGTACAGCCACTAGGTCAATTCGGAGTCTCGAATACTGAGAGGCACAACAGACCTTTCAGCTTCCAGAGGATAATTGGCCCTGCACAATGACGACGCCACGCGGGTTTCAAATCGAGCCTCTGCGAGGGAACACACACTCTTGTCAGCACCGAATGCAGTACGACCGTCATATCATTATGCTCTCGAACATCCCAATCGATGTCAGGGTGGAGAGCAAACCTCCAGGACCGCCTGGCCCTTCCATGGTTCCCACTCGGTGAAGACGTTGAACCTGGCGAGCAACGCCAGGCCAATCAGCTCCCTCAAGACTCGATCCCTAGCGTCCCTAGCGGCGGGGCAAACTTGGATTGTCAAGGATACTCTACAGTCTACACCCAGAGAGGCAAAGCCTAACGGTCGCTGAAATCGCGGCTACTTCGGGTTGAGATCTGAATGTAATTTTCGTGGGCGGGGGATCGGAGAGGGGGATATTTTCCTTTCCTGGCAAAAGGGAAGTGCTGATCACTTCGGACTGGACGTTTGTGAGACAGGTTCCCTGTCTACAGTTTTCCCCCTCCCTCCCTCCCTCCTGCTCTCCCTTGCCAACAATCCAAACTCCGGACTTCGCCGATGGAGAGCTACTGCAATTCAAATACGAGGCAATCCTGCTGGATGACTCTGCGTCACGGCTCGTCATGACTTCGACCGGAACAAGGACCAAAGTCCGTCCGCAACAATCGTGCCTTAAGTGCCGCGAGCGCAAAGTGAAGGTGAGCACCGGGACCAGCCTCTCTGCGGTTCAAATAGGGCGGGAAGACGACCCATGGCCGACATTGACGACTACACAACCCCAGCCAAAAATAAAAGACATGTCGAGCCAAATATCTAACATCTTACCTCATATTTTCTTCGCTCCAAGTGCGATCGCAACATTCCTTGTGAGGCCTGCGTCAACCGAGGCATTGAGTCCGAATGCACCTACCTGACCTCCGCCGAAGACCGCGCACAGATCAGCCAAGCCGAAATTATCGAACGTCTACGACGAGAAGTCGCCCAACTGCGTGATGAGTTGAGTCAAAGCTCGGGGCGGAGTCCAAGCCCAATTCACCGTGACCGAGTATATGCCGACAGGAAAAAGGCACCCGGTGTGCGTGAGCGCTTTGGAGTTGGACACGACTCTATGAATACCATCTCACGGGCGCGAGGGCCAGGATCGAGATCTGCGACCGGATCAGCCGAGCCTACAGATCTAGCCAGTTGTGCCGACTCCGCCTCCCCATCATCTCTATCCACGACGACGGGCACCAGTTCGGTCACTGTCACGAGTCCCGAGAGCACAGAGAGTGAAGGCGGGGCGAGTGGCTCGGGCTTTTTCCCGCAGTACGCGTATCCAGGCGTAGTGGATGGATATCCGACCCAAATGGCCGACGTCGAAATGATGGCGACGACTGATAGTGCAGCAATGAACCACTGTATGTCCCAGTCATTCTGCGTGCAGGTGCTTCAAAAGAGCAGCCTGCCTTCCTCTCCGGTTTTGTCGCTATTTAGCGCATGTTTGCTTCCTACGTCAGACCGAGTTGGAGTGCTTTTCTCAGGCTTGATCACTCACCTTCCCTGCTACCTAGATTATGGTGATAAATCAACGATACAGTACCTGTCGAAGGACGTGCCATCGTACTCATTCAAAGATCCTGAACAAATGACGGTACATCATCATCCGACGCAGAGTCTGTATCCAACCTTCAATGATCAACTCTTGGAACGGACTCCGTCGGGTGTCCATCCAAACCAGCAAGTTCAAGCTCACGGACGCCACCACTATAACCCAGCACCATCCCACACCTACGAGTATACTTCATATCAAACCCAGTCGGGCTTTCAATATCCTCCATCGCATGACTTTATAGCCTCCTCGAATTCCTTATCCTTACCCGGCCACGGTGTCCCCGAATTTGGCAATCATCAGGCCTGGACTCACGATCCCGGCCATATCCTCATATCAAGCCAACGACTATCATCACCCATGGCCCCATTTCAGCACCCGTCAACACTGAGCGCAGGCGGATTTACCGCCCCACCTTCTACAACGACCCCAGTCCACTTGGCATCAACGTCAACATCAACATCAACACCATACCACTTAGACGCCCACGGCACGCCTTACCACCCATCTCAACCCTACATCTACCCTGCTCATGCGACAGAATACCAAACTCGCGCAATGGACGCCATACCAGAATCGTGGAAGGGGCCAGACAAGCAACCGCTGCTAGAAGCTCTCCTCGAAACAATCACCAGCTGTGACGAGCAACGCGTTGCGCAGGTCGTGGCTGTGATTCGCGCGAGCAGTACCCCCGAGGATGCCGTCTCGGGAATTTGCCGAATCCTTGGCATTAGCGGAGACTGGACGTAGACGTTGGCAATTGGAAGTCACTTTTGTCTTAATAGAACTACCAGTACCAACTTGCTGCTGGTGCTGAGTCTGGCAGGGCGTTGAGAAACAGCGGTCCCTGCCAAGAGCGAAGGTCCATCTCGCCTCAGTCTTGAAAGAACGCTCCGCACCAACCGGGGCTTTAAGAGGAAGCCGTGCGGTGCGCTTGGTTTACGCTTCATAAAGTCACGAGTCTAATGATAATTTTCTTCGCCAAACGGGGCTGTATGGGATGAAAAAGAAGTATCCGTCCCAAACCATGATGTGAGAACCATGATGAAAGACCATTCAATGCAATTGTTTGTAATCTTCTTTTCGTGTATGCGGATGGGTTGATTCAGATTTTGCGGTGTGTTTGTATCAAGCTCACGGGCTTGCATCGCAATGCCAAAGAAAGTTCTCTCCGCAGTCTCGTCTCCGTGGACTGAGGGGGAGCCATGTCACACATGATCGAATCTAGGCTGCAAAGGGGTCATAGTCAAAAATGACCTTTATACAATTATTGAAGAGAAATAGTCATGTCGCCGTTAATCGTTAGAAAAGAAGGAGAGGGAAAGAAAAGTCACGCCCGAGGTATTGTCCCTCGAGGGGTGAAAGGGGGTATCTTCGAGATGCCAATTCCGTGGCCATGCCTCCGGACATCTGACAAGCAGGTCGGTGGGAAACGGGTAAAAGGCCGCAAGTCGCAGGTCTCCGTCCCAGATCTTCGAGAGATGAAGATAAGGAAGGAAGTCATGATGGTGGATTGTGGGCATCGAGTGGCTTTTGCCCGTAGACGAAATGAAAGAGCACATAGAGGTGGAATTTGTTGCTCATCAGTTCTGCCCGCACCTTCTCCATGTATTCCAGAGCATCCTGGTAGGAGAAACCCAAGACTCGAGTGAAGAGGGCGAGGGTATAGGGCTCGACCACTTCGAGGATGGTGACTTTACCCACGCGACCGATTTCTTTCAATCGACGATTCTTGGCCCAGCCGCCGACGGGACACTGTTTTGCGTGAAAAGGATGATTAATGGCTGGTCGACGAGGCGTGCCGAGGGCGCAAGAGGCCTCTCTCAATCGAGTATCGACTCACCTTGTAAATATCATCCGCCACGTTGACAAAGCCTGCATCCTCCAGCCATCCAGACAGTCTAGGCGCCACATTCATGGGCTTTCCAAATTTATTGCTCGCATGGTTCAATTGGTCTTGCCAATTCAGGACCCGGGTGGCGCGCGCATGCGTCCCATCATCGCTCAGGACGAAGGTCTCGAATTCCTGCGCTTCAAACCACCCACCCGGTTTGAGATGCGTATACGCCTGTCGGAGTAAGCGTGGCCAGTCGGCGATCCCTCCGCCCAGACTGCGCACATGAATATAGTCAAAGGCCTCGGAGGGGGAAAAGGTCCAGTCGGACTCGGCGTCGTCGATAAAGAAGCGACAATTGGGCGGGGCCCAGGCCGGTTGAATGGGGGAGAGATCGGTGCCGAGGATGGTGGTCGTGGGGAAGTCCTCGGCCATTTCGGTGGCCCATTCGGCGGTGCCGGTTCCAATGTCGAGGATGCGAGAGGGGATTTGTGGTGATTGCGTCAAAGTGTTGCGAGTGAAGGGGGCGCGGAACAGGTCACCGCCGGAGAGCATCTTGAAGAGGTGGTGCATCAGGGCCAGTCGAGCCTGCTCTTCCTCGTCGTTGGGGAAGGGATATTGGCCATGGCGGTAGGCGTGATATCGACGGCCGTTCTCGTAGCAGTAGTCACGGACGGAGGAGGCGAAGGACAAGTTTGAATCAATGAGGGTCTTGGTATCGACGAGGGAGTCGTCATCGCTGGTCTGGAGCGAGCAAAGTGTGAGCACATCGTTCACCGTTCATCGTGACGGAGTGGGTGAAGAAGTGGTGCGGGAGCAAGGTGGAAAAAAGAGAGTTTGTGTTGTGGTGATGGTGATCAGCAGACGATGGAGGAGGAGGATGAGCAGAGAACGGTGGGGCCGCCCGCTCAGCACCACAAGGCATGACCATCCATCCGGAAAGGAGGAAGAGCCCGACCAGAGAGGAACAGTCTCGGTAGGACTGTGGAATGCGCAGCTGGTGGAGGGAGAACGAGCTGGCGAGATTGACCCCAGCGCAGAGAAGGGAGCACTGCAAGCATTCGGAGAGAGAAGAGGGGAGAACAAAAACAAAGCAGATGACGGACAAGGTACCATAGAGTTGATCCGTGGCCAGGAGATGGGTAGTCTGTCCATTACTCACATCGATTTGAATGCTTTCATTCGGATTTGGCTGGGACATGGTCCCGTTCGAGAGGGGCGACGAGAATGGAGGTACCGCTCAGGAAATGGTCACGTCACCACGGTAGCTTGCGGGGGAGTCGACGAGTTGTCTGGAGGAGGAAAGGTACCAAGATGACTCCTTGAACTCGATCTCGATGATCTCTCGACCGAAGCAGACCACGAAGGGTAGGAGAAAGATGAGAGGAGAAGGAGGAGGGGGAGGATCAGGAGGAGAAAGGGACGATGAAAGAGGAAAAAGTTTTGGAGATGATTCCTCCAGATGGTAGAGTCCAGACAACAAAAAAAAGGAGACCCCGGATAAGGAAAAGCGAGGGAAAATGGAAGAAAAGAGGGAAATGGGAATCCAATTTCGACAGAGGAAATGAATTAAAAGAAAAAAAAAAACAAAACGGAGTCAAGTAACTCGAACCCTCACAATGGCCAGCAAGTGGGATGGGTCAATGCAGTTTGCACTTTGCAGCAACAAGAGGCCCGATGCTTCTCTCGATCCGACTAGTGCGCTGGACTCACGCCTCGATCATGGATCCGATCAGAAACTCTCCACAGATGCTTCCTCACGGCCTTTTTTCTTCCCTGGTCCGCACCGGGCAATTACAACTCAGAATCATCATGGATCTTTGTGAATGACAGAAGAGCAGACTTACACTCTACAGTAGTATCTGGTACCTGAGAATGTCAGATAATGATCGCGTGTGCCAAACTTTGGTTCCGACTCTCCAATAGACCCAAATGGCAGAGCAATCTGATTCAAACAGAAAAGAACACTCATGATCATCAGACATCGAGGGGATCATCCACGACGAGAATCACTGCAATCCCGGCACTGGGGATCCGGGAATCCCAACGAGAGACCCAAGAAAAGCACCCGAGAGAAAGAAAGACTTGTCACTTGTTGGATCCATCGACATCCCGTTTCACTTGGGAGGATACCCCGCAGCGGAAACCCGAGGAGATGGTTAGAGTCAGATGGGTCAGACGAACGGGATCGGGAGAGACACACAGCTGGTACGGTACACTTACACGGAGGTACATGTGTCATCATGTCATGTACAAAGTCCCCTCGTACAGTCAGCGACAGACCTAGTAATACTGCAGCTGTTGGAACCCCCCACGACCAGGGTTCAGCCTTCCTCATTCGGACTGATGTTTCCAAGTGGTCATTGGGGTTTATCGAGATCACCTCCAGATCCAATGGGCCCCTAGGGAATCGGGACACCTCAGCCCAGGGTGTCGAGGTGTGCAGAGTGCAGCGTGCAGGTCAATCCAAGGGGGGAATAGCGTGTCGGGTGCATGGCAACTTTCGACCGAGGTACTGTACATGAGTCAGTTAGCCTTTTACAGTTTGCGATTTCTGAAAATCGGGAAATCTGTCAACCATAAAACCAAGAACAAGGCGCAATGAGGATTTTCCTTCGGCCAGAATTTCTAATCGTGACAGTAACCGGTCAGGCTCAGTACCTGAGTACAATTATACAGGTAGGGAAAGGAGTGGTAAAAAAAAGGTATTGATATTAACTATACTCATAAATCCCAAGGGTTACCTCCTTAGTCCGAACTCCTATCACCTGAGCTGGTGGACTGCTGTATTCTTCTCGTCTCGCACTAGTCAAGCGCCCAACGTCTGTCAAGCAACAAAAGAAGCAATCGAAGCCGGGATCTGATCTCTTCAAATCCCGAGTCCACCGTCCAATGCCCGATCGCCTTGCGGACGCCTCGACTCATCCGCTAAACAAGGGTACAAGGGTACATGTACCGTACCTTTGTAGTCGTACCGATGTACCAACCCTTGAATCTACTGTAGTCAACCTACCCAAGGTCCCCAAGAAACCAGTGATACAGCACAGCGTGCAAAGTGCAAAGCATAAGTCACAAGTATCTTAGTTTTGTCCCACCCAAGTTCCAACACGACGGGCAATCCCATTCCCAACTATCCCAGGTGATCCACTTTCATCCCTGTCCAGCGTTTCCTTTCTGGGCTGGCCGCCCCGGCGGGGCGGGTGTGACCCGGGGCTGTGGTTTCGTCTTCACCCACTGCCACTACGACGGAGACGGCGGGAGGCCAGGACAGTACTGATTGGGTCCCAGCAGGACCATAGCCGACCCGGGAAGGACAACTCAACAGGCGGCATCGGTTGCCTGGACTGGCAGGGGCCAGAAGAACAGGGGACGATAGTCGAAGTGATGGGAAGCGCCTCGTGGCCGACAGTCTTGACCTGTTACGGAAGCGATTGCAGTGAGCTGACAACGGGCCATGTTTCAGGTGTTGTTGAGCCGGCCGTACATGAGCTGCACTCATGAGCTGACGGCGCTTTTCTCCTATGCTGTTCAAGAACAAAGGATCAACTATGAGTATGGTGTCTAGTTGTCGACTGTATACTGTATACTGTATAAGTGTAGAGTATTATATAGATGAAAGAGTGTGGTATAGAGGATCGACGATGGGTCCATACGAGTCGTAACGAAATGTCCATAGGCGAGGGCATCTACATAGTTCATAACTTCATAGTCATACACATGGAAAGCCCTCTTCAGCGAATTACAAACAAACAACGCCATCGCAGCATGTACAGGGAACTCATACAAGTCTCATTATTCGCGGTATCGTTAACTTTTTGTGTTCCCGGAGGAGGTAATGCATGATGCCACACCAACGTGAGCGGAGAGACCCGGTCTCTAGCCCAGGACCTGGAGCTTAGACTGCTCGTCCGGAGTCAAGGCTGCAAACACCTCCGCAAAGCCGGCTTGTTGCGAGGCGCGCCGGAAGAAGTCCGCCAGAAAGGCCTGTGTTGCATCGTCACGGCGGCGCACCCCAAACGAACTCTCTGTGCCTCCCTCGCCGAAACTCATCAACTGCTGCTTGGTCATCCCGAAATTCAAATCCATCACGCCACCACCTGGCTCGTCCTCCCAGTCGTCGTCGCCGTCGTCGCTGGCCGCATCCTCCAAGGCGGCGGCCTGCGCAGCGTCGATATCTTGGTTGCCGGATGCGGCGGCCAGCTCTTCAATGAGGACCTTGACGATCTTCATCGGAGCTGAGATCGTGGTGTATCGGTCGGGATTGGTGCGTGCCTGCGATCGCGTCTTGATGCGACCCGTGTCGCTAATGATCAGATCACCCTTGACGTGGACCTCGGCCACGCGCGGATCCGAAAGCTCATAGAGGCGTGCAAGGGCATGAATGTTCTGCTTGATCTCATCGTAACCGGCAAAATTGACAGAGTTTTCAAGCCACTTGCTCAGCACCACCACCAAGCCACTGTGTCCGTTCAGATTCAACTGGGACAAAAAGTCTACCACTTCCTGGGCGCTGATGAGGGTCAACCGAGCGAAGACCAAAACCAGACTCTGAATGAACTGAGCCTGCTCAGCGGTCGACAGGCGTTGGGCCACTGCTTGAAGCAGTTGAGGAAGGTACTCCCCCAGACCCTGGGAGCCTGCGCGTTCAACCAATTCCGCAGCTAGTTGGCCAACCTCTGTGGCCGCATTATCATCCACAGAGGGACCCAGGAGGCGGTCGATGATGATCAGGACGACCTCAACGGCCCCTTTGCCGGTGTGCTCGTCCCGCCAATTTGCCAACGTGGTGAAGTCACGGGAAAGCATATGGCGGACCGTCCCGGTCACAGGCCGAATCAGCTCGCCTTCTTCAGCTTCCATCAGCAGACGAGTAAGCTTGGGCATGACCGTCTCTACGAAGCCCACTGGCAGAGGGCCGTCACCGCCTTCAACGAGGGCGCGGAGCAAATCAGCCGCAAACACGGTCAGATCATCCTCCTCAGTCAGGTCCCCGACGTTCATGGCGGCCATGAACGAAGGTAGGACATTCGCACAAAGGCTGTCGTAAGACTGCCGCCCGGTTTCAGAAACCTGCTCGACAATGTCCTCGAAGGTCTCGGTCACAAGCATGGTCAGCTGGAAGTTGTCGGCGCCGCTGCTAGCAACTCTGAACAGCACGTCGATGGCCTTGGTGGACAAGACTACTGATGGGTCGACCATGATGGTATCACGCAATGTTTCGGCTAAAGTGACCTTGAGATCATCAGAGTCACTTCCGTCGCGAAGGTCATGCGCCGAGACATAGTCTGAGATGGCCGAGATTACCGCTGGCTGGACGTGACAAGCATCGTCACCACGCAAATTTGGCATAAGGTCTTGAAGAATCCGAATGCAGGCAACCTTGACGACCTCGGAAGGGTCTCCAGCGATCGCCTTGAGAGCGGATTCTAGATAACGGGCCGTCGGCTCCTTGAGCATTGTGCCTCCAGCTTTGACTAATGCACCTGCCGTAAGATAGCCTCTTGCGCGCAAGAGATCCTCGCCCTGTCCCATAGCATGGCTGATAAATGGCATGAGACGGTTGGCAAGATCCTCGGGAATGGGCTGGAAGGTCTCCTCGCCGAAGTCACGTAGAAGAAAGCCAAGAAGATAGAGCGACGCTTCTTGAGATTTCCAACTAATTAGAAGAGCAAAGGTCAGCTTCATGTGTATTTTGGGAGGAGTCTGCAAACAAATCACTTACGAAGCCCCTTCGTTCGCATACAAACCGCTCAAATGCGCAAAGACGGCCTCAGCGGTCTGCAATCTCAACCAGTCACCAAGCTTGATGATCAAGTCACTACTGCAAGTTCGTGGTGTGTAATTCGCAGTGACTGAAGTCTCCTCCGCCAGGAAGATGTTCACGTCGAATTCCCACAGCCCCTCCTCCTCACAAGTGATCTGCGCAAAGCTTGCAGCCAGCTTCACGAGTTCGGGTAGCCAGCCTGTTGAAGATGCGGCTGCGCCGGCGTCCTGCAACTGTTGTGCAAGACCCTGTTTCACAAGCGGCGCCTTCAGCAATGTTTGAAGGAAGTCGAGCTCCTCGAGGACGAGGTAGTCAAGCGAGTATGGAAGGCCATCAACATCCTCTAGTCGTCCTTGACGTTCATTCTCGATATAAAAGTTCAGGTATAGTGAGAGGATATTGGCAAGTTCAGTCCAGATAGTGGAGAAGTAGCCCTGACTTTGAGGAGCCAACAACCCCGGGAAAACTGTACGAATCTTCATGAGAGTCTGGGCAGAAATGAGTAGTATGAGTCAGCCAGAGATTTCTTCGCGTTAGGTATTCGCGGACCAGGGAGAACGAAGAATCATACCTTGACAATTTGAACCTTCAAGGCAACGATACCACGCCATTGAGAAGCAATCTCGCCTACTTTATTCGCCTCCTCCGGTGACGGGGCCTGGGGCAATGGAGCTTTCAAAGTCTCAACAAAGTATGGGGACCAGCCAGCAACCAACATGTCCGCAAATTGTTTAATGGCCACTTTATGTTGCTCCAGAACCATTTCTAGGGTATCGAAGCAAGATCGGAAGACAGCCACGGCGAGTGCTCGAAGCATTGGGCGACGGGTTTCGGAAGTGGCCACTGTGAACAAGGAGGAGACTAAATCGCGCGCAACTTGGAAGAATTGCTCGTCGCTGAATCCAGTGTCCACAAGATCCAAAAGCACCTTGAGAGCACCGTGTACAGCGTTGTCGCTAGACGCGGGGTCATTTATGACTTGGAGGATGGTGGGTAGCAGCTCTGGCCAGTCTTCCGGGAAGTCGGCACTGGCGATCTTACTGACTGCATAGCTTGCAGATGCCTTGACTTTTCGCTCGGGTGTCTCGATTGTGGTAGCTAACTCGAGGAGGGCACGGCGGATCTGGGATTTGTTGGAGTCGTTCACGAGGACTTGGCCCTCGAAGTCGTCGAGATTGGAGGACCAGTGGCTGGTGATGAATGTTCTCAGAACAGACAGAGCTGACTGTCGAAGATTAACAGGGACAGACTCATGAGAAGCGATGGCTGTCAGTGAGATCGGGAACGACTCATTCGCTTTGAGCTGGGCCAGCTGAGCCTCCGCGGCATGTCTGGTGTCCGCTGAGGTCGCCTGGGTGTCTGCCAGGAGCAACAGTAGTTCTTGCTCCATGGCGTTAATAGCACAGTGCACTGCAGATGATTGATTCCTTCAATCTTGAGCCAGAGAATAGGGCGTGATGTCGAATTGTTAGGGTATCTGTCACGAATGTGAATTAAGTTGTTATTATTTTGCGCGCAGCGCGATAAGGAAATAATGCCCCCATGAGGGGCAGAGGCGGTCAATCGAAGCTTCCTCATGACAGCTCACTAGGAGGGATGGCGGAGTGAGGTTAATCCGGGGTGTCGTAGGCCTAATGTAGTTGGCAACAAGGCGTGTGACTATATAAGACACCTGGGGTCAAACCTGGTGCGAAAAGCAACTTATTCCTGAAAGAGACTTGATGGATATATTGCACGTGAATAACATGATTCCTCCTAGGTCAGTGCACAAATGAACGGTCGCCAATGGAGAGTCATTATATTTTGAGTAGCAAGTAAAGCACTTTGGACTAGTACAAAGCTTGCAGGCTACTCAGTTTTAAACGACAGACGAGACAATTGTCCATTCATAGCTTGGCCATGCCGACAGGACTGGTATCCCAAAAGCTGATAAAATCCCAAGAAAATGATCAGCTTGAATTGATAATCTGAGATACATAGGTAATGCTTCGATATTCAGTTGTTGTTATTTCATCCCTCTCTTAGCTAAGAGAGTTTGTCATGGGTCACATAATACGACCTGACTGTAATGAAATGCGTGAATGGCGTCAAGCGGATTATATTGATCATAAACTTCGATCATAGCTTCTGAGGCTATGCAATACTCTCGGACTACAACATCGTTGGATTGTGTCTTTGCTGTCAATACTATCGACAAATCGCCTTGTGAGTTCGGTATAAGCATGATAACTTGCAGTGCCCCGCTTTGAATTCAAAAAGGAGGTATGAAAATCCTGCTTCAGCAAATTAGTGGCGACGAGCATGTTTGATAGCCTTGACATGGTCCGTCACCAGTATGGTGTAGTTTGCGGTGCCTCGGTAGATGGTGTAACCGTCGTTCGGAGAAGGTCCAGTGGAGAGCTGATCACCGTATTGCCAGAACGTATCACCAGCAATACCCTTTGTTTTCAAAGCAGTCTGCTGCCATGGCGCTTCAGATGGAGCATGTGCGAGGGATCCATATTCCTCGAGCAAGCACGGCTTGCCTGCTTTCACGCAAGCTGCGCCGTGAGCTTCGATCCAGAGGTTCCCCCATGAATCCTGTTCGCTCCCTGGGAATAAAAGTATAACAGTCAATAGGTGCAATTAATCACAGAGGAAGCGGTAGCATCACTGACATTGACTGGGATAGAGATGAAGAGTTCCAAAGTCGATCGTGGGGATTTGAATGTTTTTCTCAAAATCCACTCCTTCGTAGTAGGTGAATGGATAAGAGCCATCCGATTGAGTGTTAAGACCCATTCCCTCTAGTTTAAGCAAGACAGGTTAGCCGACGTCATGCTCACCTTGGGGCTTGAAGAACCAGAACTTACCGTCCCCTATGCAAACCATCCTTGTGGGCTCGAGCGACTTGATGAACTCGCTTGTGCTCTTGGCCCAGTTGTAGATGACACTTGTGTCACATCCTCGGCAGCGAGGCTCATTCGCTAGCTCCCAGGCAAAGATCGTTGGTGATCCCCGGTACCGAGAGATGACAGCCTTGATGTAGTCTCTGTAGGAGGTTTGGGAGGCCTTGTCCGTGTACCATGTGGTGGCATTGCCACCAAAGGCGGTGTTGTAGGCGGCAATGCCTCCATAGTCACTCCAGTTGTTGACAAAGTTGACGATAAGCTTCACGCCATGAGCCTCAGCAGACCTCACAACGTAGTCCAGACGTTGAAGTCCATCTGGACCAACGTTGATGGTGGACTGGCCGTTCTCGATATGGTGAAACCACACCCGACCGTCCGTGGGGACCTCATTCACATCATTGAATCCCCAAACTCGAAGGACCTTGAGGCCAGATTGCTTCAGATGTTTCATCACCATGTCCACATCGGCATTACTCTTCAGGAAAGGGATCCAATACGAGTTACTTCCTGCAAAGTAATCCGGCCGCCCATCAATCACGAAATGTAGGCCATCTTGACTGGGTGCAGGGAGCCTTAACTTGACGCCTGTTGGATGTTCTGAGTAGTCAGTCAATGACAATTCTATGCGCGACTCTCAGATGAGGATGAGGTGTCTACCTTCCACGGATCGCTGCTCCGGAGATTGGTCAAGTCCGACAGCATAGCCTGCGGCTAAGCCAGTCCACAGAAGGAAGTTGGCGAGCAGAGTCTGTCTCATCTTTGATTTGGAAAGACAGTGTGCGAGATCTTTCTTGGAGTGTGGACTGTTCGCTAAATGGCCTTAAATTTCTGCGTATGCAATCGATGCTCATGTTCTATGGGCGCCAAACGCCATCCTTATAGGTTCGGCCGCGTTCTTCACGAGGCCCGAGACCGGTATAAGTTGCGTCCATCCTCGATTCACTCCGCACTCATCACTGTGCTCCTTCGCCAATCAGTAAAATATCGCAACATGCGCAGATTAGTCTTGAGCTGATGGCTCGATTCGTGTCAAAAGGAGATTAGAGGTGCTGGAAGAAGCGGTTTGGAATTTGATCGCAGTCGCTCCGTATCAAATTGGGTCAGGGATGGCGGGACGCTCCATTGCTCTAAACGGCTCATTCCTGACAAAAGCGTGATTCGCACAGGCAACATAGAGCTGTTGGGGCCAATGGTGGCTTCTTGTGGCGCTGGCTGTCACCATTCTCCAGCGATCAGAGACTCTCTATGTGTTTCCCCAGAACGATTTTGCCCGCAGGTAAGTAATTTGGCGGGGAAGACTACAAGCCCCAAAGGAGTAGCCACAGGACCAAGTGCCAAAAGTCGATGCATGATTACCCCAGATTCGAGGATCATGTGCACCACGTGGCTCAATGCGGAAAACTGCTTGAAATCAGTGGCATCTCCCACCAGTCACAGTCAGACGAATTCTCGCTGATCGCGACCTCATTGTATGAGCGATCTCTTGCACCGATCACTTGATCCCTAAATTGATACGAAATGGATCGTTCGCGGTCTCACTCCGAACAATTGACCTGAAGCCCGTAGGGCCGAGAGGTCTCTTATGCGATTCGCAGTATGAAGGCAACACCTATCTCCTGTCCGCTTGCGACAGATTTACGGCGGGTGAAGATTTGGAAGAACTTCCTCTTTCTCTTCCGCGCCTCAGACATTCTGTGCAATGACCTGAGAAAGATCCGTCTTGTATCCGGGATGGACATTCAAGCCTCGTCACACCGCGAAGCTACCGATATCCAAGTGCCTGGTAAGGTGCGTGCGGGGAAGGGACCACCCCTGAGACTACTGCGTCACGTGGCCAATAGTCGGTGAATTGCAGAGTGCAAACTGCAGACAACACTTTGCGTGACTTGCTCAGTGGAGATGAGAATCATCGGCCTTCGCCTAGCTCGCATGTTTTGTTTTCTTGGCCGACAAAAGAAGGGCCGTGCGGTACAAGAGTGTCATCTCAATGAGAGCAGGGTTTGAGCCCGTGTACGGCATCCATGCGACCCTTGTGTCTGGCGGCTCTCATCCAGAAAGCTTTTAAAATCGAGCTACAAGCAGGGCTGTGGTTCGTCTCGTTCGACCAGCAACCTCGCTGCGGAAGAGCAACATGCCCTTCGGCAGAGATCAGGATAGCAGATGCGGCGGCTCCACCTGGTGGGAAACCTTCCATGTCAGTCCGAGCTCTGACGGTCGATCCTCGTTCCTTCCTGAACGAGTCAACATCCAGTTGACAAGATCGCAATCCGAGGCAAAGATTTTCGGAACTCCAGGCGATATTGAAAAGAGTGTCACATTCCTGCTCGATCATCGACATCAATGGGATAATAATCATGTCATGTCCCCGACCACCTGGGGATACCAAGACATTGATCGATTGCAATCACTCGAATCAATAGTCCGCATCCCAGTGGGGATTCCCACCGTAACTCCAATGCAATCCAATGGCAATACAATGGTCAATGGTCAATGATCGTTGGGAGTTTGAGACATTGTAAATCAAGATCATGCTGCCGTCAACCTGGGATTGAGGATGCGACCAACTCCCACTGGTTCCGGGCGGGCGCGGCAGCAGAATTGCGGTTCCGAGCGGGTTCCAAGTCTCGTTCGTGCTTCAACCCCCGGTGGTTCACGCAGCTGCCAGCTACCTGATCCTCGAACCGAATTTTGGTCTTCCGTGGTTGTCTCCAAGACTCACACCAACAAACAATAACGGCACTAAAATTAGGCTCGATTGATGTTTATACCAGGTCATTGAGATGTCGGAGTCAACAGGAAAAGGGAGCGGCTGATTTCCCTTTGATATGCGTACTCTCACTCTCCATGCCCGTGTCGTCTATTCAACAATGCTACCTACATAACTCCATCTCTTCTCACTGGTCTGATGACGATCACATCGCTTGCCACCACCTGCTGCTGCACCGGAATTGTGCAGCCCTATCCCACCGACCGATCCTCCAATAGATCCTCCAGGCATCTGAATCTTGTTCTCCGCTGGATTATGACTGGTAGCAAAACACCATGATCGGCCCTGCCTTCGCTCAGCAGACTTGAGACTCCTTCTGGAGCGCTCAGTGCTCACCGCGACAGGTGAGGACTTTTAGGCAAGTCTTTAAGGACGATGAAAGTAAGTTAGTCAAAGGCTCAGAAACACTACTATCTCCATTTCATACCGGGTCACTTCTGCCAGTCCGTTCCAGCCATTCATGAAGGGCCTTGGACGCATTTGACGAGTCTTTGTTGTTCATTTATATTCTTACTCGAAATGGTGACTGTTCCCTTCTAGGTTTGTAAACGTGAGCTTTGCAGTCCAGGTCCAGTAGTGTAATCGAAGCTATGCCGTGCTACACGCCTTGAATAGGTGTCCTCGTAAAGAACATATGTCTCTTTTTCCTCCTGTGCGTATTCTAGCTGCTGCAACTGTGTGTCTCCTGGAATAATCATCATCGCCCCAACAAAAATTCCTATCCCACACACACACACACACACACACACGAGAGGCGAAGTTCTGCAGCGCAATGACGCAGCCACGTGACGAGAATCGTCACCGTCCGTGGGTTTGTCTTCCGCTCTCTACTTTTCCTCTCCACCGAAATCACTGAACATTGAGAGATCTGTGGCTGAGCGTTACCTCCGTCATTCCCTTGACTCTTGTTGCTTGTATACAAAATTTCTCTGAGCGTTCAGACCACGTCTCCCAGCGATCTTTATTTTTCTCTTGTCCCAGCCCACCGCGCTGAATTTCGGCTCTCCGTCGGTTGCTGGAGCCCCTCTTCGCGCTCCCCTCCCTTGTCTCTCTCCCTGAGTGAAAGGGTAGTCGATTACTCGATCACCCTACCTTTTCAGGTCCTTGAATACCTCCTATATTAGGACCTCGGCCTCGACACCTTTGCTCTCCTATCTCCCTCATGCTTTGAGGGACCGGCTCCGATTGTTTTGTCCACCCAAGCGTACGTGTGTCACTGGAATTTCTATATCCTTCAACCGCCCCTCTTTCCCCTCTATTGTCACCCAGAGGGTTCTATTTTCGACCCCACACCTATTTGGACCCTTGTACAATCACATTCAATCCTGTGCCCGACAACTTCTTCTTCTGGTCTCTTCTCCTCTGTACGCGAACTGCACTACTCGTGAAGACCGTTTGTTGGAAGAGTCAGAAAGCAAAGAAGAGAACATTTCCGATTTTCGGAGCCGACCGCAGCACAAACCCTTCCCTGGCACCTGCTTGACCTGGCTGCCCGGACCCAGGATATGAATTTTTTTTTTGGTGACACATTCTCGGGACAACCGTCATACTGATCGCTTCGTTACCAGTAGGCAGAGCGATGATTAGCTTCAGGGTGGAACATCATCCAAACTCTTCGAGACTCCATCAAGACCGCCTTTGCGGTGGAAACGAGAATCAACCCGGTGACGGCAATGTCCATGGCCAGTGAAGCCAGTAGCGCTACTACCACCGCCGCCGCTACCACCACCACCACCACCATGACCACCTTTTCTGCCCCGCTTCCTGCAACCAAATCGCTGCCCACAAATCAGTCAGCACTAGCGGCCTCTTTCACGAGCTTCCTCACTGTTTCTGTTCACCAAATACTCTTCTTGCGGTCGGTCTATCCCCGGGCCACATTCCTGCCGGTGCGAGCCTACAACTACCCCGTTCGGCAGTCTCGTCACCCGAAGGTGTGTGATTATATCAACGATGCCTCCATTGCTGTGGGCACAGAGATCTTGAAAGGGACCATCACAGCTGTCAGTATCATCATTTCATCTCTGCGCACCAACCAACCGCTGGAGCGGTATGCCTTTGATCTCTCCGGGTTCCCTCGCGTCCCAGCAGGTGATCAAAACACCACCTTCGAAGGAAGGAAGGATGACACATCCGCTTCAGGTGTCCCTGGAGGCCCTGCACCCACCTCCGTCGACCTTGAGGCCCAGTTTCGGGCATGTCTGGCTCGACTGGCGTCAGCCTGCGCTCGGTTGACCCCTTTACCACGAGACGATGAATTCAGCTTCACTGTATGCATTGAGGTCCGAGAGGATGCTCTTCCGCCGGCAGGAACCACTAGCGAAGAACAAGCCTGGATTGTGGCCGAGCCGGGCAAGGTTCATTTGCGGTCCTGCACTGCTCCTTACTCCGTGTCCAAAGTCCGGAATAGTGAGACTCAGCAGCAAACCGCACCTCCGGCCTCAAATGGTCGTGCCAAAACAGTACCTGTGCGTCGAGTAGAGGCCGGAGAGCTCCGCTTAGAGCTATGGGTTGAAGAGGCTCGTCAAAAATTCAACGAGCCTGTTGAGTCGGAGCCGCAACCCTAAAGAAATAGGAGAGAAAGCTGCTGCTCTCACAGAAAGAGTGGCCATGATTCTCCATCAAGTGACCTCAATCCTCCCCACTATGCTTCGGATAATTCCGCCATTTTCCGGTTCTCTCCATTACGAGATTAAAAGGTTCGAGAGATCTATCGAAACCTCCTCATTTTTCTTCTTTCACATCGTTATCTTCTTCCGTCACATACAAGTTCGTCACATGTTTGATCTCCCATCATATCACCTCCCCCCCCTTTTTTTGAAAGTCCAGTCTTCACATTGCGTCCAGTCCTTGATTTAGCGTGTCTAAATAATCGAGCATACCTGATGGACAAAAGGAATGATTACCTATCGATCGCCATTATCTGTAACAACTTGAATGTGACCAGTTAAGAGAACTCGTGCCTATAAATAAAAACCGTGTCACTAGAGTTGACTCCTTTTGGAGAAACTACATGAAGACAGACGACATATCTATTGAACTCTGCAGATGCAGCTCCGTTCGGTTGACCGTTTAATGGGATATCTATAGATATATAAGGAGGCATGTGTTTATGAATCATTCTTTTTTGTCTTCCCCTCTGCACTGTCCTTTTTAAATTGTCCTTGCTGTCATTCTCTCTTGAAAGGCGGGCTGAGGATTTGTGTGCCCCCTCCCCATTTATTCGTCATCGTATCCTTGGAAGGTGATTTAAGAATCAAGTCTGATACCGAAACCAACAGGACCGAAATAAAACCAAGCCACAGGAGTTTTGTCACAGCAGCAGAAAAGTTGTTCTCCCATTCATTGGCCCGTAAACAAGAGGAGCATGACGGACATCTCCAGTCTCAAACGAATTGAGTCTCCCAGTGCTGGACCATTGACGGATATGACGACCCTCGGTATCAAAGGGTATCATATTCTCGATCCAGATCTCCCAAAGCCAGCGACAAGAGTTTAAAAAGTCAAGCTCCCAGCAGGCCCGATCCTGTCGGCTTTTTCAACCCTGTCCATGAATGTCCAATCGGCAAGTGCAAAGGCCACCGTCGGTACCGTCAGTACCGTCAGTACCTGCAACTACAGGTGCTTCAAACCCGGTATTTGATAACAATGGGGTGCCGTCATCTCCAGAGCGGGACACAGGCTGTGTCGAATCCGCCCACAGTCGGACGGATTGGGGTTTCATGGGTTTGCCCTTCAGTATGGCCTTCATATCCGAAAGATTTCGTACCTGGAGGTTTTAGGTCCCTCGACAACCGTCCTGACCCAGGACGATGAACCGCAATGAGGCCCAGTCGATGAAGGACCAGAAGGACCTGTGGCCGTAGGAGAGAACTTTGACACGGAGGGACGACATGGTATGGATCTCAGTCATAAACGGACAAGACAGACATTGAAGCCACTCAAATGTCCCCGCGCCAAAGACCAACAGTTGTGGTGTTGGGATTATTCGGCAGTGATTCGACGCGAACATTCTTGGCAAGCGTTGCTACAAAAGCTTCGGGCTTTCATTGAGCCATCGATGTTTGACGGATTGGTCGAGGAATTGATAAACAGGGTTGCTTTGTTTGTTCGAACATATTCAAACCGACCCCCACTTATTGACAGGACCATACTTGATCATCGGTCTCCAGAATTCGCACCGTCATATCATCGGCAGTAGATACGACGAGCTTGCCGTCGCGAGAAAAGGCCATGGCCCGTTCCCATCCCTGGACAGGACCTAGCTTGCCACAGGCGGTGCCTGACGTGGAGCTCCACAGACGAATTGTCGAGTCGTCCGCGGCAGATATCACCATGCTGCTGTCTGGGGAGAAAATGACATCCTTCACCCAGCTGCAATGGCCTTCGAGGAGAGTCGATACCGCCCCATCCCGCCACAGCCGCACGGTACGGTCTTTGGACCCTGTCGCCACCATCGACCCATCTGGTGAAAAGTTGACAGTCCGCACGTAGTCCGAATGGCCTGTGAGCACGGCACGGCATTCTCCCGTCTGCACATCCCAGATGCGGGCTGTGCAGTCATCGGCCGCAGAGGCCAACAATTTGCCATCGGGCGAGAACTTGACGATTCGCACCCACCCTTCGTGGCCGTGGAAGACTCGAAGCGTCTCGCCTGTACTCAGATCCCACACCCGGACCGTTTGATCATCCGAGGCGGATGCGATCAGTTGTCCATCAGGGGAGAATGCAGCCGATCTCACACAGCCCGAGTGGCCCTGCAAGGCCCGAGATACCGCGCCGGTGCCAATCTCCCAGACCCGAACGATCATGTCGTCCGAGGCCGAGGCCACCCTTTGGCTATTTGGAGAAAACGAGACGGCTCGAACAGGGCCTGAGTGGTCCTTGAAGACGCGATGTAAAGATCCCGTGGCACTGGTGCCCCAGATCCGAACGGTGGCATCGTTCGAGGCGGATGCGGCCATTGTGCCATCCGGGGAGAGGGCCACATCCCAGACCCAACCGGAGTGGCCCTGTAACGTGCGACGAGGCACCAACTTGACATCTAGGGAGTTGGCGGTTTGGTCCTGCATTGGTGGCGGCACCAGTGACCCTCTTTTTTTCCTCATTGTCGTGTTCTTGTTTTTTTTTTTTTTTTTTCTTCCTTCCTTTTTTTGGGGGCGACTTGCTCCCAGCCTGTCTCGTTCTCCCTCTTTCACTCTCACTCACTTCCGCTATCCTCGAGGCGCCGGTTCAAGTCCAGGTATGATGGCCAACTGTCGTGATCAGATCGGGTGAAGATCCTTCCACACCATGCGGTGACACGAAACGGGCCCTCTCTAAAAGGAAAATCGAAATTGGGGAAAATCAGTAGGAGATCCGAGAAAAGACCATCCAAGGAGTAAATTGGAAGAGATTGGATATAGAACCGGTATTCTGAGTGGTGATATAATGAGATGGGTTGACGTCGACTGGTCACCTCAAATCTGTGGAAAATTTGATCCAGGCTTTCTGAGTCTGTTGTCTGCTGGATTGTTGTTGTTGTTGTTGTTGTTGTTGTTTTTTTCTGGTGCTCCAAAAAAACTCGTCTCCTTTCCTGGTGCCACTCTGATGTGAGCTTCGAGAGGTTCTTCTTGTCCTATTGCTCTTCTACTCCAGAGCCTATGGTTGTATTGCGCCTGGGTGGTCTAGTCGGTTGTCGTTTCACATCTGCAAATTGGCTGATTCCCCTCATTTTCCGTGGCCGCTCTCCAGATGAGGATTTTCCCCTCCATCGTCGACTGCCCCCCCCCTCCAACCCCCAATCGCCGCCTATCCGTCATCGGGGATTAGGTAAGCAGTATGCACCGGCAAGCGGCAAATGAGTGGGACGGACTGGATGGAAGAAATGCTCGGGCCAAGACACTGCTGGCCAGGATAGGTTAGGTGTGCTGTGTCCCATCATAGTAAAGAGGGAAGATTAAGAATCCCGTGATCTTGTACAGTGGTGAGCAATCCCCAGTGGGAAGGATGGGATTCCGGGAAGTAGTCAATTTCACATGGCATTCCCCAAGCCCATACATACGACGGAGACAGTGATCGTGCCTGGACAGAGCAAAAGTCTTTTGCAAGACTTGGGAGTAGTTGCAGCGGTGAGGATCTGGGGTGTTTGTAGCCTTCCAAGTTGTTGGGCTCCGTGGAAATGGATCACTTGACCTCACCTGGCTGGTAGTCTGTCACTATGAGAGGGGGTTCTCTCACGTGTTCCTGGGGGTCAGCACATGACAGGGTCTCGCTTTCAGTCTGCCTGGCGTCTTTTGTTCGTTTGAGCTGAGTGACAAAAGTAAGAAATGATCACATGGTGATAAGGCGGAGAACGCGAGTCAGTTTGATGAGGTGTACATTCAACATTGTACAATACTTTCCGATAAGCCACTGCACTCAGCCTATCCAGGTACTACTGTACTGAATCTACTGGTTCTCAACTTCTCATACTTCAAGTCGGTCAACAAGGCTAGAGTATAACTAGCAGGAACTCTCTATGAGAAGTAGTCGTGTCAGGGGAACAATTGTTTGGAATTATAGAATGGACCTAGTCAAGGTGAGATGATAAGTGACTACCTAATACCTAATAACTCCATTGCCATCATGCTATCCGGATGAAATGCCTATCTATGCGGAGTTGCAGACTGCGATCTTGGTGATACCAGGTCAGACACCGCTTTATTTTGTTTATCTTGATCTCGGGCCAGTACTTGGATGATATCCGACCAGTAGTGGCATTCTCATCAAAACCAGCTGCTGACCTTGCAGGCATGACCGTCCCTTTCGGGATGGTCATCGCATCCGGTGGTACTGCTGTACTGCTCCCTTAGACTCAGAATGCACCACCTCACTAATACGCTTCCTGGGAATGCCCATGCGTGGTTCTTCCAAGAAAAGTCGGCAACTCTCTTTTCGTCCGATTCCCACCTACACGCTAACGGCAGGACTAGCCGGGGTGACCGACTAAGGTTCCATCGCCCACACGCGGGAACATTCTTATTCCATGCAAGTCTGCCATCCGATTTGCAGACACAAAGACCGGAGAGCCTCTTTCAGCGCCTCCTCTCACGTCCATTGGGGGGAAGCAACAGGTGAAATCTGGTCTCTGTTTTACAACACCACCCCCCACTGTTCTCATACATCACATACTACTATAACAGTAACTAGTGAGTTCGTAACTGGTAAAACTAGTAAATACTCAATAGTAAATACTAAATTCTTCTGGTGCAACCTCGTAATCTGGTCTCTATGCGCGCTTTCTGACGCTTGTTCTCGGCTGGATATGACAAACAGAAACCCTCTCCGTCGGCCGCCGCTTTCCCGCTAGTCACGTCCAGAAGCACTTGCAGCCTGCAGGCGCGGTGATCGGTGATCGTCTCTCCTTGTCTGCTTCCCTCGGTGGCTCCGACGATGACGATAACGATCAGGATCATTCCGAGGCTTGTAACCCTTGAATCCTTGATCCTGGGGGCTACTACCCGCACCTCCACCACCACGTCAACGAGTATATGGGTGGTAAGGACGGAAGGAGTAGAGAAGAAGGAATCAGAAAATAGACGGGAGACCAGCAAGATAGGATAGGGAAAGAGAAGCCATGGATCAGTCCCTACAAAGGACCTTCCATTTCGGCCCTTTTCAGGTGCAGTGGAACTAAATGGTACTAGTGTATCAAATGGTGAATAATAATATCATGAGAGATCATTATCTCGCTGGACTTGCCCGATCTGCTAGTGCCCCCGTGGCCCCCCTCTTCGTAGGGTGTGTAGGGCGTGTATCGTGACGGTGTATATCATGCCGCGAAGGGCCCTGATCATCCGTGGAACCAGTTTGGAAAGAGGTTATCCACCTACCGGGGCACTATTGGAGATTCTTGTCAACCCCGGATTTTCTCGGGCTGTCCAGTCACTCGATTGTCCAGTGTTCCACTTGGACAGTAGAGATCATCAACGGCTTTTTCACCGCGTGGTTCTGGGGATATTGTCCTTGCTTTTGCATATATCTCACGCGAGACAGGAGAATTCTGTTCACATCTTTTCCAATTGTTGGAAGTGAAAGAAAACGGAATCCGAGCTACCAATAGAGCGGAAAAGGACCCGATCATCTGATGAGACCGCGATACAAGTCGACAAAGACAAAGCCTTAGCCGACACATTGGGTTGACTCGGTCCGCGACGTGATACGTGATACGGGATACGACCCGCCTTTCTCTTTTTGGTCAATCGATCTGAGCGCTGGAGACTTGGACTGGAGAATCGGCAATTTATGCAATCAATTGTGTTGCGCGAGACGACAACCCCAAGCTTGCTGACAACTGCACACGTTCATCAACAATTCACGGCACATCAGAGCTGTAGACCCCTCGCAAAGTGAAAGACAAGCGCCAATCGCACGATCTTCTTGTTCTTTCCAAGGATATTCTTCTCAGATCAGCACTACTAGATCGCGGAGATTCCACCATTCTTCTTTTTGAAAAAAGAAAAAAGAAAAAAAAAGAAACCGTACAGCAAAGGCCGACCCAAGATGATCGCTGCAAATAGTCCCCATCTCCCGGACGGAGACTCTCCCGATCTCGTCCTGGTTCCTGCGACACCCCAGGAACGCATCGCCGCAATCAAACTGAACAGCGCGGCCTGGAAGGGTCCCCTGGATATTGACGCGTACATTGCCCGTGAGGACCATCTGCACAATCACCAGCTCGTCCGAGATGGAATGACCTGCTGGATCTTGGTGGATGGCTCCGAACCCGAGGGCGACCGCACCATTCTCAGCTCATGTGAAACCTATCCCAAGAAAGCCCTGCTGGCTTACCAGGGTCAGGTGGAAGAGGTGTCGACGCATGGTATTGGAAGTGTGTACTCTCGGCCCGAATTTCGGGGCAAAGGTTACGCCAAGCGCATGATGGAGGAGTTGGGCAAGAAACTCGAAACGTGGAAGATGGAGAAGCAGCCGCGGGGCAAGACCTCCTTCACCATTCTTTTCTCGGACATTGGCAAGAAGTTCTACGCGCAGTTTGGATGGCGGCCGTATGCCGCGGCGCACATGGTGCTTCCGGCTCGGGCAATGGAAGACACGGACCAGGTCTCCGAGTCGAATGGAACGAGCAATCGGGGTAAGACGCGAGATCTGCTCGCCGAGGACGTGGAACGAACAATGTGCCATCCAAACATCATCGCCGACTTGCGCAACGAGCTGCAGCGGGCCTCGAGCAAGTCACAGACCGCGCAGGTGGCCATTCTGCCTGATTATGACCACTATTCTTGGCATTGGGCTCGTGAAGAATTCTTCGTGCAGGAACTTTATCCGGATCGATCACCGCCGTTGATCAAGGGTGCAGGAGATGACGACGCGCATGTGTATTGCACCTGGAACCGGAACTTTGGAGACACTCCAGAGAACAGCGTGCTGTACATCCTGCGCTGGGTTTATGATAAGCCCCAATCGGCGGAAGAGGAGCAAAGTCTGATCCAGGCCATGGTAGACATCCTACGGCGAGCTCAGCACGAAGCCAAGGATTGGGGTCTCGCCACGGTCGAGTTCTGGAATCCCGATCCGATCTTGCAAAAGGCCGTCCAGACATTGGACTCTGATGTGCAGGTCGAACATCGTGAGAAGAGCAGCATTCCGAGTCTTCGGTGGACGGGTGACAAGCATGGGTTGGGTCAGGAGGTGGAGTGGGTTTTGAATGAGAAGTATGCTTGGTGCTAGTTCTACGTTGGCTGAGACTTTTTCTTGCCTCTCTCTCTCTCTCTCTCTTTTTTGTTTCTGTCTCGGTCTTTCGCGTTGCATTCGGAGGACCCAGCATGGGATTCTTCAGCGCGTGCATGTATGTTGTGGCTTTTGCGGCGTCATGCGCCGAGCTCTTTTTGATTCTCACAAAGTAATTGCGGTATCTATCAGAGGAGGGAAGATAGTTCAACGATCTACCATCGCCCTCATCCAGTACCGTCTCATTTTCTTCCTATTCCCCAATTCCACCATCAACGGCGTTTGGGATTCTTTAGCAATTCGTGCCAATTCCTCGTAGATTTGACGTTGGCAGCAGCTGCTGGCGCTGAAGCCGAGCCCTTGCTCGCCTGCAGCCGTTGCGACGGCTCAACATAGTATATCGTCGTAGGGTCAGGATTCTGATATGATCCCACCGGCAATTTCGACAAAGCGACCTCTTCCCTCCAAGCCTCGGGCAGACAATCTCTCCAGGCATTAATGAACTCGCTTCGCCCAATCGCTGCCATTGGCGTGGGTGCTGTGGCTGCGAGATAGGTCTCACCTACCCAGCGAGCGCATTCGATCTTGTCGAGGCTAGCCCCTGTGTCATGCCCACCATCGAAATTAGCCGTCATTTGCCTCAGAGATGGAACTTGGACCCATCTTTTCACTTACACTTCAGCTCCGCAGACAGCGGGGGTCTCTCGTCCCCCACGCTGACCCTCCTCACAACGGCTTCGAAAAGAGCCCGTGGGAACAGCGCATTCACCCCATCGTCCTCACTTTCATCGTCATCATCATCATCCAGCACTGACTTCCAGAGATCCCTCACAAGGAACTGCTTGTTCAGATCAATCCCCTGTAACGTGGCCCCCTCAACCACACGCTTCCAAATACCCAACCTCATCCTTGCAGAAGGTCTCCAACAATGACGCCGCCGCTCATCCGCAAACGCGCATATCTCCATCCATCCAGCCTCACACTGCCCCGACGACACAGGGACATCCGCAAACACTCGCTCCCTTAACACCGTCGCATCAGCATCACCAGACTCATCACCAAGCATATCCACATCCACATCCCCATCCCCGTCCCCAACCCGCCGATCAAACAGCGCCAAACTCTTTTCCAAAAACGGCACCGCGGAGAATCCATCCTGCGGCGTGTGCAACTCCAGCGTCGATCCGCACTTTGCAATAGCGGCCACGGTCCCATCGACGAGATTCAAGCTCTCCTCAGTGGCGCCATCGCTCCCTCCAACCACTTTGATATCTTCTTTCGACACGCGGCCCAGACTTGGCTGGAGGATGTGCAGCGAGTTCGAGGACTGGACTTGGCGGATTCGGTAGGTGCGAGTTGGTGTGCACAGGTTGACGTATTCCAGGGCGTTGGGCTCGAGAACTGCGCGGGCAAGACCGAGCGAGGGAGACTTGATATGGAGGCTGAGTATACGTGTCAGTGGGATTTTTTTTTCTTGGTAAATGTCCGTCTCGATGGCTCCATCTGCGGAGGGCATATTATCGTAGAGCCCCGACTTACCAAGGCGCATCCTTTGATGACAAGAGCTCCTCTAGTTCTGGGGTCAATTCGAGAAGTCGGAACCCTTGCTGGGGTTGTGTGTTTGTGAAGAGAATGCTTCGTGAAGCTTGAGTCGCCATTATGTGGACTGTGAATGATAATGTCAATGTGAATTAAAGCCAAGCTTCAAGTCGCGTCTTTTGAGGTTTCCCGGCCCGCGTGGAGGACGCGTTGGGTGGGAAGCACAGACCACCGTTTAATGGGATTCCGGGATCCGATCCCAGAATGGAAAGCGATGCTCCCCTTGAAACGACGTCAAGGACAATAGTGATGGCAACGGGCCATTTTATTGTAACTCGAGAAACTACGACATACTTGTGTTTTTCACGGACGAGCCTGTTGCTCAGATAAAAGTCATCGAACTATCCTAGTCTCCAAGACTTACCGCCGAAGCAGTGACTGTGACCTGCCTTGACCACTGGTATCTAACTTTTCAGAATGAAGACACTCATGAATTGATTTTGAAGATAAAAAAGCTAAGGATGAGAAATCTAAATGCGTGACTTCTAAAAAACCGCCTCCAAGATGCCTACGTAAACTCCAAGGCATTTGCCCAAAACGTGTTCATATCCCCCCGCGGAGAGAAGGGCCCGGTATGTCTGCAGGCGTGCAACATTGTGTAAACTCAAGGCATAGAGTCGATGGAAAACGCGAAGCCCCGAGACAAATGCATAATTCCATTATCGACCCTTTCTGATGCGCAATCTCTCATATCGGGATCAAAGTCCAGCCAGCTGAACGGAAGCTCAAGGATTAGCATGAAGCTTCAGAGAATTGAAACCGACCCAATAGTCTTAGCATCACACGCCGGCGCGCCGTATCTTGGGGTTCTTCGATCGGCCTTGACAGGTCGAGTCTATCAGCCTGACTTCTCGCTAGAACCTGCATCGGACGCTGACGAGCGACCAGATTTTGCATCATCATGACCCTTCTCCTGCTCTTGAGATTGGCGCTGACGCTCCTCCTCTTCACGGGCTTCGCGTTCTCGGTCCATCTCCTCCATGTGGCGCAAGTCATCCAGACTCGGTTCATACAAGTGCCAAATGGTGTAATGTGGGAGTCCAATCACAGAGAAGTTCATACGTCTGGCCATCTGCAGGTCCAGAAAAAGGCATTAGTAAACTTCACTGCCTGGGCATGGAAGAGCCAGAAGGTCGTCTTACCTTTCCAAAGCCTTCCGTCTCCGCATGCTTCTCAAAACTAAAGGCCGGGAAATGGACTCCTGAGCGGAAGACGCGCGCCTTGGCCAAGATACTGACACCACCGATGCCGTCGAGCTCCATTTCCATGTCGGGATCGCCATACGGGTCGCGGAGGTAAGCCAGATGAGGGCGCCATGTTGCGTATTCCGCATACCCCTCCACAATGACCGCATCCTCATCCAGACTATCAGCTAGGGCCAGTGCCGTTTCTGACTCTTGCCACGAATTCAGGTCGTAGGGTTGCTCGCCACCGAGCCAATCTGGAAGTGGGCGCCAGACGTCTAGACAGAAGCAGAGCGAAGACAGGATGTCAGCCAATGTGTGGAAACAAGTGAATCGGAGGGAAAAGGCAAAAGGACAATCAACCTACTGGGAACGGTGACATCCTTGTTGTGTCGCATTAGGTCTTCAATGATCGTGGTCGGGGCGGTCTCAACGTCCGCATCTCGCCAATAGACCCAGCTGTGGGTGGGACGTAATGTTGCACTGAGTAGCCAGTTCCGGGCTTGAGCCATCAGTTTTCGCCGGCTCGCCTGAGCCTCAAAACCATGTCGACTTTCCACGTCCTGCTGCACTTTCTGACCAAAGTCCTTCTGAATCACGGAAATTTCACCAAAATTCATCTTCGGATCCGGGTCGTCTTGTACCTCCTGTAGCATACGAGACAGCATCTCCATTGTGTCGTCGCGCGAGTCGGAGACCAAAAAGGCCAAGTCGATCAGGTTGTGCGGGTAGGTCAGGTTGCGAAGGTGCGAGAAGAACATGGGTAGATGGGACGAGGCATCACGTAACGGCGTGAGCATCAGCACGCGCTCCCCACGCTCCCAACCCTTTTCCGTTCCCTGAACATCGGAGAGATCATAGTATCGGACCGTTTGGAGATGATGCAGCTCCTCCGAATGATTGACGAGTCCGAGAGAGATCGCCGGAAGAATGGCCGCGCGCCAGGACGGGAAGATGAGGAGGAATAAGAGGAAGGAAATTCCGCCGAGGAGAAGGAGTCGGTGGAAAAGCTGTCGTCGGCGGCGAAAGGCAGGCTGTGGGCGAGGCTGAAAGCTGCTAATTCCATCGTCACCGGCAGGTAATTAGCTCATCGTTTCTCGTCGATCCATTGGCGTTTGGACTGCAGAGCGTTAAGCCCCTCGATTGGCGGGCTAATTGGAAAGGTCATGCGCAGTCTTGAATGCCCACTACTTCAAGAGTCGCTGCGAATGCGCGGACGACAGAGAAGGGCAGTTACGTACCGATTTGACGCGATGGGGAAGGGAAAAGCCGAATGGCCCTTCGGAGAGGCGTAGTGCCTGTTCATCGTGGATCTGCCAAGACCATGGAGAAGTAATTGGTAATTTCCAAAAACTTTAGGGGCCCTGGAGAGCCACTCGTCGCTCTCACGCCCTTGACGATGATCTCAGAGTCCCCGCTCAAGATGGATTTGGAGCTGTCGATGGGTCAGGCACAGTATCTGCCGAAGGGTCGAGGACGGGGAGGACGTGTCCCTCAGGTAATCTGGAGCTGGGTTGATAAGAAGAAGAAGAAGAAGAAGAAGAAGAAGAAGATCAAGAAGAGGCAGAGGAAAGAAGGAGACGCAAGTGTCGAGTGAACCGGTGCGCGGGACTAGGATGACGAAAGAAGAATCTAGACTTCTTGCCAGCAGTTGCAGTTGCAGCAGATGGCTTGCAGATCACAGCTCACTTCAACCACACCCGCTGAGAGTAGTAAAGTAAGTGTTCCCAACTCTCGAGCGCTGGGTCGATCCCGCGCTGAGTGCGCCCCAGTTGGCGACTAATCCGGTCGGCCGCTTGCAGCCCACCCATCGAGCACCAGCAGCACTCGACAAAGAGCTTGTTTTCGATGCTTCCTCCAACTTCCAAGTGTGCCCTTGGTCATAGACATGTCCGTTGGCCATGTGGCAAATCGGAGACTGCGGACAGGGAGGCAGAAAGTTGCACGAAACGACTATTTCCGTCATGACGCCGACGACGCCGTTCCTGCTAGATGGCGCCAAGATCCCACATGGCGATGTCATCGGGCTTTTATGAAGGTTCAGTCTTTGCTCGAAATAATATGGGAGTGTCTGCGTAGTTGACGGCGACGCAAGAAATATGAGTCATTTACAGTAATCAACCGACTTGGGTGATCGATGTTCAAGATACAGTCATTGCGAGAATGAGACCACGCCTCGAGACAAACTATGTACTTGTTCTGGTCATTGACATTTTCCGAGCCACGCTGATAATGCAGATCATTGCCGTCAAATTAGCCGCCATCTGGGCGAGAAACACACCACTCTCCGATTCTTCATTGCTCTTGTCCACCGAAAGGAACCAGCCTCGTTCAAAATACCATCGGGGTAGGGCTCATCGAAGCCGGTGAATTCTTCGCACTCCCGTCAGTCTGCTGCATCATGCGCAGCAGCAGTCGCTCCATCGCCGCCCCTTCGTGCAGCGTCCTCAGCACAGAGGCGGCCTCGTATTCATCGTCCAGAATGAAATACCGCTCTGCTTGTTCCACCGAGGCTTGACGAAAGGCGACTTTGGCGATCGCCTTGGCGGGAACACTGGCCTTGTTCACGGCGCTGCGAGACATCATCCGTAAGATTGGGCCGAGTCCCGACCGGGTTTGCTGTGCCACCTTGACGGACAGGGGGGTCCCCGTTCGGAGATGACTGTCTCCTACCATGACCCCGGGATCCATGGTGAAGACGTCTAATGAGATATTTGTTGTCTGCGCGGGGGAGGTCATTGTCAGCCGAACAGGTTATCGTGTGACATGATTTCTCTATACATTGATAAGTGAAAGGGGAAATGAGAAAAAAAGAAAAAAAGAAAAGCAGGACGAGCCCAAGTACGTGAGCAGAAGAGGAGGGATGAATCTAGTGAAAAAGGGGCAGTAGAGGCATAGTTCAACGGTTCCAGGCGAGCTGAAGGATGAGGAAATTCAGACGTACACTGGCCAAGCTGCGTCGCAAAGCGTACAGCGCCACGCTCGCAAGTAACTTGCTGCTCCCGAAGCGAAGACTCGCCTCCTTCTTGGACAAGACCGTCCCAACCGACCGGGATGATTCCTCTCGGTCGTGATCAAAGTAGTCCAAGCGCCCATTCGACGCCTCTGCACAGCCAACGTAGATCACCTTGGCACCGCCATCGGCAGCAGTTCCGCCGCCCGCGCGGAAGGCCTCCAACAAGCTCACGGTGAGAAGGAACGGCGCCATGCAATTTGTCTGATACACCGGGTCGTACCCATCCACGGTAGGCTCATCGACCGTATACGAGGCCGTCGCTGCGGAATGGATCAGAGTGTGAATGGGGGGGATTTCTTTTGTTCGAACGCGCTCGATGGTCTGGAGGGCGAAGGTGTGGACTGATTGCAGGTCTGCCAGGTCGAGCCGGAGAATCTCGATGGATCGCGGCCCGATGAGACGGATGCGCTCCGTCAAGTCCCGCGCATCGGGTTGACTGGGATCCCGGGCTGTGAGGAGGAGATGTGTGAAGGGTTGGGTTTTGGCGATGGCGATGGCGATTTCGGAGCCGAGGGAGCCATTGCCGCCGGTGATGATAACGGTGCCTTTTAATGATCGGCCCATTTCTTTTGTAGGGCGGCGTGATATTCCTGGTGTGTGGATGTCGAGTGTGGGTTTTGCTGAATGTATCCCAATCGCTCGAGGATCGGTTTACCGTGCAAGGCAGACGACGCGGGATGTTGGCGGGGGTCCCTCTTCCAACTCGCACGGACTGGGGGGGTTGACTGTGGTTGCGAATTGATTGTCCAACGGGTTCCCTTTAGGTAAAGATGAACGATCCGGCGTTGACCAAAAAAAAGTGGTTGAGAAGTACCCGGCAGTCGAGATGAGTCGTGAGAGGTGATTTTAAGGGGATGCCGCGAGGTCAGAAGCGAGATTCCAAAGGTAAAGTAGAGTAGTAGACCATGTATACAACCGATCTCGCCGCAGCGAAGAAGAAGAGGGAAGGGAAAAAAACTTTGAACTAAGAATTTTAGGTTCCATATCATCGTCATGAACTATTTACAGAACTGCCTAGGGCACTTTTGGAGACCTTTGGAGGGGTCCGGGTCAGGTCCAGCCCTCCGCTGGTGGATCACCCAAATTTCGGGGCTGATCCATCGGCACCGAGACATACCTGATGGATGCACTCCTATCATACTACTATGAGTATGAGTATGCAGGGATCTCGTTGACAGCTTTTGTAGTGAGAGGTCAGTTTGCCTGCACGGACCTTGAAGCAGGGTCCATAGAGCGCACTGTGGGCATTTGAGATTCGGAAGTATACTTGCTCTCTATGAACCTGAGCCGTCGTCATTGGGCTGCGATGATGAGAAGCCCGAATACTGTATAGATAGTGGAAGAAGAAGAAGAAGAACAACACCATATGAGGGCTGTCTACATGTCCATTCGAGTGGTCAAGTGGGCACTCGCGATTCGAACGGTGGGACCCGAGTCCCGAGTCCCGACAGGCGGTTCCAGCCGAGCCTTGGATCCGGGCGTTTGTGCTGCCGGAGTATGACAGTATGTACTCACGTAGCATCGAAGTAGTACGGTTGAGACGATCGATGTGAGAAGATGACCAGATGACCATCGTAAGTCCATTGATAGGAATCGTCCGATCCGAGGCAGTGGTCATCAATGACGACTGGATGTTCAAGGTGGTATTGGGCTCTTTACTTCCGTCCGGTGAGGCTTTTCAACCTCATACACTAGCTTGGTTTCAAGCCTCTCCGTCGAGTATTCTCATGTTGGCTTACTTCCACAATCATCCAGCTCCCAGTCGGGTCTCTATGCCGCATTGTAGCCATACCTTTGGTTTGAGCAAATCCACCTTCGGCCGTCAAAGTTGCGGCGTGATTGCCCCCCGTGGATACCCAACCTTGACCACATATACATGGTGGGTTCTCGAACATGACCGTTCGGTCTGGAACCATGTGCTACGACCTTCGGAGGCGTCGCTTTTCCCGGCTATGGCTGAGGACGTGCATATGCCAGCTGATCGAGGCCGATCCGGTGGCGGCGTGATGCAAAGGGTGCTCGGGATTGGCGTTTACGGATCTGATGGGTACATCACTCCCAGGTTCATTGAAGTTGCCGTACTTTCTAGGCATACTGTACTTGGATTGAGGAGTATTCTAGATTCTTAGTATGTACTTGAGTTGAGTAGTATTCTAGATTCTTAGTAGACGCTTGGGTAGCGCTTAGCTCACCGAGGGCGATTCATGCATTTCACGGCAGATTGAGCTCCACCACTGCGACATCAGGGCCATCGCCTGTCACCAATGGCCCACTTCCAACATACTGTTGGAGTCCCGTCTGAGACAGTCTGGTACGATGAGAGTAGTAACTCCTTGTGGCCTCTGCCATAGGATGATACAGATTCAACTATTGTGTTTTTGTTCTATCCCAATCAGATTCTCATTTATAAGACACATCCAAACCGCTCAGGTGGCCAGGTCAAATGGCATATTCAACAAAAAAGAGAAGAAGAAAACCAAAAAAAAAAAAAAAAAAAAAAAAAAGATACATGAGATATATGCTCGCCTCATGCACTCCAAACTGACAACTAGAAGACCTTGGGCAAGCTACGCATGTCCCGACAGACCGGATCTTTCCACAATCAACCTTTTCGCGACAACAGGCCCTTGAGAGCCTCCGTTTCACCTTCCAGTCGCGACACCTTGAGCTTGAGCTCGTCCCGCTCACGTCGCATCGCCGCCAGTTCATCCTCCAGGTCTTTCATGCGGTCCACTCGTCTCTGGCGGGACCTGCGCGCCGCGAGGGTGTTCAGTCTCCGCTTCTCGATGCGCGATCGATCCACGCGAGGGGTGGTCTCGTCGCTGTGAGAATTTTGCGAAGTGGGAGGACTGGATGGACTGGCGCCGAGGGAAAGGGGTGGAGAACAGGAGTCGTTGGATCCCCGATCAGACCGCGAGCCCAGTGAAGTAGGCTGAGGAACGCAGTACGACCAGCCATCGGTGGTCATGGGAGGACTGTCGTGAAAGCTGGTCGGAGCCGGTTGCGGCATGGAAAGATCGTGCGAAGAGGTGGTCCAGTCTGTCAGGATGGAAGACAGACAGGGTTCGGCCCACAGATCGGATGGCTGGGACGCGGAGAAGGGATCATAAGTCGTGGTATAGGGTAAAGAGGTCGAAACGCCGTCCAGCGGAGTCGACGGAGAAGAAGAAGAAGAAGAAAAGGTGGAAGATGACGGAATCGCAGCAAAGGACGGATCGAAGGGTACAAAGTGATTGAAAGAGTGACCGTCATGAGGATTCCCATGGAGTAAAGAATCCACGAGGACGTCGGAGGGAGCGCTCGACAGCGGTGGGCTGCCAGAAGAGCTGGCAGAACAGGAAGGCGGCCATGGTGCTGGTGCAAACGGTGGCCGACATGAAGGGATACTTTAGTTGGGCCTAAGCGGGCCCGGGGCGCGCAAGTGGGAGGGAAGAGGGGAGCTGTCGCGCAGAGGTCGACAGGTCGTGGAGGACAGCAATTCTTCGGTCGTTCGAGGCCGAAGGGACGGGTTGGGGTCTTGGAAGGAGAAGATCTCAGCGATGGACCGGGACGTGAGAAGTTATAAGGCGTCGAGTGACCAGGATCAGACGTGTAAGCCCCCTTCCTCGTCCAGACTACAGAGTAAGCCGGAGGAGGAGGAGGAGGAGGGGGTCAGGACCCAGACGGAGACGATGCGGAATGAGGAAAATGGAGAGCGACCGTTGGAATCGGGACCCACCGACCGAGTGGAATTGTGATGACGGATTGGACAATGGCAGTGCAAGACTCATGGTGACTCATTTTAGTGCGAGGTCTGACGGCCCAAGTCTAGGCTAATCAGGTTGAAAGCAATCAGCCACGGACCACCTTTTGGCGTGCTTGCAGTGAAACATGCGGTATCTCCTCGAGCACGACCGTAAGAATTGAGGAAGACTGCCTGAGGCACGTCTTCGACTACCTCATAGGTACCACCATCTGTGTGAGATCCGGTAGAAGGGTAGAGTCTCAGCCAGCACCAGACCAGAGACTGCCCTGATCCTCGTGGTGGATCTGTCTGCAAAACGCCATGGAGAGCTTACCTTCGTAGTGCCGGTCCGAGGTCACTTTGGATAAGATCTTATCGACGGGTGGATTCCTTATCTGCTTGTCTCTCCGCCTCACCGACTCTACTTCCGCCGGCTCACGTGGCTCGTTTCTTATCGGGGGCCAAACTCTGCTGTAAACGGGCCTCCGTCGGCCTTTTGCCCATCTACTCAATCGAGAGCAAATGAAAGTGTTTCAAAGCACAGTAGAAGTCTTGAAGGAGTACAAGCTGCCGAGCTGTCTCGATGATCCATCACTATCTGGGAATGCTACTCCATATACAGGACTTGGCATCAATTCCTCTGCTTCGACGATCCGTCTACAAAGTACGAGCTCGGTCACATGATATCGCCCGATCGACATGATGCGACCATTTGTGACACCAGAGCGATACAAGAGAGTGTGCACGATACACACCATACAGGACAGAACTACCGATCAGTCAGGCCAAGCAATACGAGATCCAGACTCTGTCCGAATGCCTGAACATCAATGCAAATGTTTTGATAGGGTCGAGGGCGTGTGACATACCACAGCCTCTTTGGGAGCAGGACTGAAAGCTCAGGGCGGATATGATAATATCATACAATCATCGTAGGTAGCTGACCAGTTGATCCAAGATGGATGATTTTCATGACTTCTACTTTGATTCACACGTATTGTTTACCAGCAGGTGAAAGGAAGCCCGCTACTCCAATTCGAGGGCTATGAACAGTATATGAGTGGCACCAGATTGCGAACCATACATGGGGTCAATTCACGTCCTACGTACGGGTTTCGTCTCCACTCCAAGCGATGTTAGCTTCTTGAAGATATCTTCAATCTCGAGTGCGGTAATAGCTTCTTCCATCCAATCATATTACCTAGAGCTTGTATCTATCTGATCAGGGGTTTGAAGAGGCTCTCGAGCTCGTATAATTCAGAAAAAAAAAACAAAAACAAAGAAGACTTGAAGCTATGACTAGATTTCTTATCAGGTCCGATGAGTCCATTCTTCCAACAAAGTTGGGATGTAATTGCATGAGACTAAATCACCTCTTATTCGCCTGGTCTGAGCCGCTTGAGATCCTCGGAGCCCAGAGTAGTGAGGGTATAGTATCTGAGCATGAGTATGGACACCTTGCCGTCTTTCTCTCCTCGAGCATACCGCAAATGCCTGTCCTTGTGCAAGATTACATGAAGTCCGATGAGGTAAACAGGTCAGAAACACAGCGCAATTCTTCGTTAATATACCATGGAATTACCTCGTTCCGACACCCTCCTGACCGGACGATGACACATGTGATACGACTTCCAGTTACCGGTCTATAGAATTCAAAAGAAGCAGATATCGGCGTTCATGTCACGGTAGTCCATTAGGCACAGAGGGATTCTTAAGTGCTCCATCTCGAGCACCTGCCTCGTGCAACTGGCTACAGGCCTATTGGCGGGCAGTGAAGTTGCCACCAGTTCTGCTCAGACTGATCGTGTACCCAATCTGAGAATAGAAAGTCATCAATGAGATCAAAAGCTTCACATACCAGGGACCCTCGGCAAATAGCCACGGTTTTCCCAATGCCACGGTCAAATGGATAGAACTCGAGTGGATTCGTCGAAGTCGAAAACATTCATTTCTTCATTGATTTTTGTCTGTCCTTTCATCCGTGGAAGTGTAAGCCTGCCGATCATAGAACACGATACGCAGCGAACTGAGCCAGACGACATGATGGCAGTCATACTCATAGCAACCACAAGAGGCGCAGAACCTTAGGAAGGTCACACCGTCACAGTATGAAGCTTTACCCTACGGACAGGTGCAGTTCCATGGAGACCGAGCGTGCGAGGTGGACGCCCGCGGGCTCATCGGATGAGTCAGCATACCTGGCCCCCGGCGCCGGCGAGGAAAGACGACACGAGGGGGAAAAAAGAAAACAAAAAGCAAGAGAGGCAGGGTATCCAGGTTGACATTGCGAGATAGATATCCCTGTTCAGGAACATCACTTTGATCAACTTTCTTCGCAAAAGCATAAGTAAGATCCCACGCCACCGTTGGGATCTCCCTCAAATTGTCTTTCTTCAACTGTGTGCGCCTGTTGCGGGCCCGACCAACGACCCCGCGGGTCCCATCTTGGACTTCGATCCGTGCCCCTCCACGAATCTTTTTTCTTCCATATCTTCTTCGACCACAGACTTTCACCATGGCGACCGCAGCTGCCCCCGAGTCATCGCTCCTCTCCCTCCTCTACCGCTCGTATCCGACAGCCGTGGCTCCCAATGCCACCGAGCTCGACTATTCGCAAGCCTCGTCCAAGATCTTCCCCCAAGTGGATTTCAGTGTGGCGGAGAACGCTGACGTCCAGACATGGATGAACACCGTCACCGGCTTGAAGGAAGCCCTGGCCAAGAACGAGAAGGAAGTCATTGTCAAGATCTTGAACCAGCTCAACACCCACTTGGCCTCGCGAACCACTTTGCTGGGCGCAAAGCCCTCGGTCGCTGATATCGCCGTTTACGCCGTGTCGGCGCCCATGGTCGAGAAGTGGTCCTCCGAGGAGCGCACCGGAGAGAAGGGTTACCACCATATCGTGCGCCACGTCGACTTTGTGCAAAACTCCCAGATGTTCGCTCTGCAGATCCCCGAGGAGGAGAAGGTCGTCATTGACCTGCAGGATATCAAGTTCGTGCCCAAGCCTGTCGACCCCAAGGAGGAGAAGGAGCGCAAGAAGCGTGAGAAGGCCGCCGCCGCTGCCGCCGCGGGTGTTGCTGCCGGTTCCGAGAAGCCTCTTGTCGTTGGCAAGGGTAAGCCCGAGGCTCCTGTCGAAGCTGCTGCTCCTGCTGCTGCTGCTGCTGCTGCTGCTGCTGCTGCCGCCGCCGAGAGTGATGCTGCCGCTGCTGCTGGTGGCGCTCCCCAAAAGACCAACAAGAAGGAGAAGAAAGAGAAGAAGGAGAAGCAGCCCAAACAGCCCAAAGCCCCTGCTGCGCCCGCCTTGCCCCCTACCCCCTCCATCATCGATCTCCGTGTCGGTCACATTCTGCGCGCCATCAACCACCCCAATGCCGATTCCCTGTACGTCTCAACCATCGACTGCGGCGACGCTCCCGGCAGTGAGAACACCTCCGTCGACGAGGAGACCGGCAAGACCGTCCGTACCGTCTGCTCCGGTCTCAACGGTCTGATTCCCCTCGCGGAGATGCAGAACCGCAAGATCGTTGCCGTGTGCAACCTCAAGCCCGTCACCATGCGTGGCATCAAGTCTTGCGCCATGGTCCTGGCCGCTTCTCCTCGTGTCGCCGAGGGCGAGGACTCTCACGCCGGTCCCGTCGAACTTGTCAACCCTCCTGCTGATGCGCCCGCCGGTGAGCGTATCTACTTCGACGGCTGGTCTGAGGGTGAGCCCGAGAAGCAGCTGAACCCCAAGAAGAAGATCTGGGAGACCTTCCAGCCTGGATTCACCACCACCGAGGATTTGGAGGTGGCATTTGACAAGAGTGCCGTCCCCGTGGCCCAGGAGCAGGAGGGCAAGCCTGCCGTTGGTAAGCTGGTGACTGCCTCCGGTGTGGTGTGCAAGGTTCAGAGCCTGAAGAACGCTACCGTCCGGTAAAGCAGACCAGGGAGAAATGAAAAAGAAAAAAAAAAAAAGGAACTGTGCGTTTAAGTGGAGAGGTTAGGCGATGTGAGTGCTGGGGATTACACATATGATATCGTACCCGAATCACAAAGAAGATATAACTTGTCAATGCCACTGGATCGCATACTCATGAGACATGAACAATCAATTAAGCAAGGGATTGAATTTTCTGGAACCTTTTCCTCCCATATCAATTATGAACCCGTCTCCCATTGGGAAGCAGTGTACATGTTTATGTTTACTCCGTCACGACCTCGTACTTCAGCAGCAGCCTTAAATATCGAGAATATCTAGTACAACCAAACCTTTCCCTAGCAAACCCACCTATTCGCTGAGACACGAGACCATCTTGCCGGATCAGGTAAAAGGTCCATTCAGTCTTGACTCTGGAGTACTGTAAACAACCTTATAAATACTGACTCTCAAAAGAGAACGACCAAGTACTTGTAGATGAATCGACACATCTCTCAGATCTCTTATCTCTATCAATGTATTGTTTTACAATATCTGCATACCACCACCCCAAGGGAACAAATCTATGGAGCTCTTTTGAAAAACTTCAGCCGGATCCAACAACGGCAGCTCGCCTCTTGCATTCTTCCGCTCCCTGGATTGGACTATGTTCGTGGTGTGATGTTTAAACCGGCGTGGCAAAGCCTAGAGAGGGACCTCGTCGGTCGAAGACGACGAACAAAGCCTTCAGGAAGACATCGCCGAAGATCTGCAGGCTGGAACCCTGATTGGACTGGATGCCACCGTAGCATACTGAATGAGACGATTAGTATTTGTGCAGATATACTTGTCTGGGGTCTTTTGGTGATAAGGGGGGTTTCCGTCCCCCCCCCCTCCCCAACAAGATTTCAAGGACTAGATGAGATGGAAAACATATGAGATGTTGTGACACTTACCAGTCTCACCGGTGGTGGTGTTCCTTCCGACTTCGGCAAAGTTGACCAAAGATCCTGGAATAGTAGCTTGGTACTTATCACCCAGGGCGACCGTCAAGCTGGGCAACTTGGACGAGCACGGATACACCCAGCCAGAGACACCGCTGGAGTAAGCGGCGTGACGGACCTGCTTATAGTACGCAGAGACCACGTCGGGGCTGACCAACATCAGCGAGGTACCGGTATCGGCAATCGCCTGGGACACCTGCTGGACCTTCTGCAGGGGATCACTGCCGACGGCGAAATATCCAGCATCGAACTGCCAGAATCCAGACGAAGCGTCCACGCTGATGTTGACCAGGTTTCCGGTGTACTTGGCGTGGTCGATTTTACCAAATTCGTATTCGCCGACGCCGTCGCTGCGCAGACGGGCCGTGAACAAGGGCTCTTCCAGGCTCGGGGCAATGTTGTCGAAGAAGGTCTTTTGTGGGCCGGGCTGGAAGGTGTTGATGGAGGAGAATCCGAGACCGACGAGGCCGTTGGAGTTGGTGTCCGAGATGAAGGAGGAAGACACGCTAGTGGGCAGTCCGAAGACCTGCTCCTTGACGACGGCACCGCCGATATCGACAACGTCCTGGGCGAGACCGCCGGAGGCAGAGGACGAGTCACCGTAGCTGATCTTGAAGGAGCCTCCTTCGATTTTCTTGTAGGTAGTAGACTTTTTGGGATCGTAGACGTCACGACCCGCCGTGGCGGACGTAGGAAGTTCGGTGTTGAAGAGCCACCTAGAAACATTCCGAACATGATTAGAGTGGAAAATCAACGGGCAACAGGTTAGAGCTCGGTCTGCTTCTGGAGAACATGAAGCTTCATAAAAAAAAGAGAGAGAGGGAAAGCTATCCGGCCATGGAGAGAATCAAGGTGAGGAGCGCTGGGGGGGGGAGGAAAAAACAAACATACATATCGGCAGAACCAGTATCAAAGTCCAAAGTCACAGTCTGACCACCCACAGAAACGGGCGAAACGAATTCGACATCGTTCTGGACAGAGGTCGCACTCACGGCGCCGGTCTGATCGGGCTCGGCGACATTGGCCTGGTTGGACTTGACACGGAAGGTCTGGTGGTCAAAGGGCTGGAAGTCCTTCAGGCTGATGTTGCTAAAGTCCACCGGGGTGATGCCAAACTTGCGGAAGGCCTTGCGAATGGCGACGGGCCCATGGGCGACATAGTCACTGCGCTTGACTCGTTCGATTTGGAAAGACCTGCTTTTCCGAACCGGTTGCGGCGCCGGGGCGGCCAGAACCTGGACGCTCAGGACCAGACAGATGAAGAAAGAGAGATAGGAATGCATTGTGACTGCAATATACAACCTTTCGGCAAGGTTTTTAATCGCGATCCAAGAGAGAGAAAGAGAGAGAAAGAGAGAGAAAGAGAGAGAGAGAGAGACGATTGAGCCGGTTTCACACGGATCGAAAGACAAGATGATAGAGAATGAAATTGTCTCAATTGATCCAACAGATCGAGACCGTTCAAAAAGAAGTCGATTGTTCAATTGACCAAAGGACTCTTCCAAAGCCACCAGGGCCCGTTACGGCGACGCGGTCACCGATTCAAAGAGTGGAGGTGAGGGAGTGAGTATGAGACACGGACAGAGAGAAGCTCTGGACCGAAAGATTGCCGTGTTGACCGTTGTCAATGATGCAGGGACCAAGGTCGTTTGATGAAGAGCCTCGAATGAAGGTAGTTGGCGATATCTCAGTACTCTGTACCTGGCAGGGACAGGACGGTGTCTCGGTGTCTTAAGGAACGGCAAGAGATCAAATTAAAAAGAAAGAATGGTCCATCCAAAGTTGGTCTACAATCGAGGAAGCCCAAGGCAAAATTCCAACAGTGTCACCAAAAAAAAAAAAAAGGAACAAGATATTGGAATAGAAAGAAAAGCGGAGAGGAAATTGACGAGTGAAAAAGAAGTCTTGGGGAGGAGGGGGGAGAACCAAGAAGAAAAGAGAGGACGCAAAAGAGGGAAAAAGTGGACGAGATGTTGCTAATGTATCAGGATCGAGATGGCGCCGAAGAGGGACGAGAGAGAGAGAGAGAGAGAGAGCGCACGAATGAGCAGCTTCAGGATCGATGCTGCAGAATCTGGAACTCTTTCCGGGCCTGGGGGGAGGGCAGAGTATGGCTGCCTTCCGATCAGGTCTTTTTTTGGTTTTCTTCTCATATTTCGATACCTCTGAATAATGCCAACAAATACTAATTAGGCGATTCTCATCATTATGGTGTTCGAGACAATCTACGACGGTAGTGTCCCTTGGCCAGCTTTGGATCGATGATGTGGTCTCCATTGCTCCAATGGCCCGGGCTGATTTTTGCAAGCGCATCCACTTTCCAGAGAAGTGCAGAACTGCAGATGGTCCTGGGAGGAAAATCGCATTATGATTGCCTCCGGTTTCCCAGTTCTCATTTCTCGTCCGCTTCTCGGATGGAGGTCAATCCACCCTATCATGCCCGATCATTCAGGTACCCGGCCTGATTCTAGCGCTTGGCCTTTTCTCGGCAGACAAGCAGATCGGCGCTTGGGAGAGCTCCTCGATTCCTGTCGTGTCATTGCCACTTCCTTGATCACTCGTGCTAGAATATCACGTCTCGAAGTACAATCATGAGTGTCATTGTTACAGTCCTACAGTACGGTCGTAGTATCACTGATTCACGAGGGTAGAGAACCAGGCTACTATTCAGTCTTCACGTCGGCAGAGTGATTGCCATGACTCAGGGGTCAAGCTCGTGTGGGGCTACCTTCAACCGTGGGCCGAGTCACGCTTGGCGGTTCATTTGTCTGTGACTTGGGTGAGACTGCCACCGTTGAAGTTGGTCCTAGTGCAGAGAGACCAGGACCTCTGTGATCATTCTGGGGGATCCCTCGGGATGAGGACGGAGTACATTGGCAGGGTTGTGTAGCACCAACTCCAGCGACGGAAAACTTTGAAGCAGCCAAGGAGACGGGAGACAAGCTGACCGTTTTGAGCATCATGATTCATTTACAGTACTAGTCCTTGGGACTTTGAAAGGGGTTTCAAACAGTCAGTAGTCAGTTTTGTACCACTGAGGTCTGTAGCCTGGATTGGAGGGGCTGCTGGACAAGTCGAGAGTACAAACGTACAAGGTAGATGGTACAGTCAACAGCGTAGTAGTGTACGACGGTACAACTGTACAGTGTACACACTACACACTACACACTACATACAACAGACCTTATAGGCTCATAGTATGATATCACACATGCAGCCTTATTTACTTGGGACCTACACAATTCTACTCTTGAGACGCGTGTACGTGCTTCCCATGAGCCTCCCCGAACTTCGAGGTGTTGGCATCCAGAGTTTTAGCCTTGGGGAACTGTACCCTCGCCACTCCACACAAAAGGAAGGGGTAGTTACTGGCTGTAGCTGTGAAAAAACAGAGAACTCTCCAACAAGGTCACCATTTGTCTGCACAGAAACACTCATCGCGAGAAGTCGCAAATCCTCGATCACTCGTGAAGGAGCGAGCGAGGTACTGTAGTACTGCAGTACTGCAGTACTGTAGTGAAGCACCCGGCCTCGGCCAAGAGAGGCTCGAATCTTGAAACAGCGTGTGCGGGTAGCCATCCAATCATCAGCCGAGCCGCCCCCTCGTTCGGCTTCCCCTTGAAACGGTGGGGCGCGCGGCGTTTACTTTTTTTCTGGGAGGGGCGGTTCAATCGGGAGTACAAAGTAGGTAGAGGAGGATGAATGGAATTCAATAATGCGTATCATGCACAAAGACACGGGATCAAAGACCCATTTTACAAAACTCATTGTTGGCAGTCAATCGGGAGAGTTGAACTGGAACTGTAAAAGACACTACCGAGTCACGGATAAGTACAGCATCTTCCGAGAGCAGAGGGTAGAGAAACAGGGCTGGTCAGGCCAGCCATCAACCACCGCGTCTTCTGTCGATCCGATCTGCTGCACCAGCCTCGATTCGAGAGAACCTCGTTTGCCATCGTCCTCTTCCTGACCCTCCTATTGCACCCAATCAGGTGGCTCTGTATAGGATCGAGGACACGCCGGAGTTGGAAAAAAAAAATTGGACTCCTCAATCTAATCTATCCGTGGGAACATGCAAGACAGACTACTATACCCAGTGTCTGAGTGTACCCACTCCATCCAGAACAACCCCCAAGCCAAACTAGTGCCGTTAGAGCAGAAGACGGTGGCCAAAACGCAAAGACGCAAAGGTAAGATCGAAAGTCCCTGAGATTGTGGTGAGCTCCAACGCTTTCAATCACTACTGGTCGACGAGGTCCACGCCCGTTGGATTCCATCACGTGTCAGTGCTCGGGATTTGCCTGTCAATTCCTGGCCGCGTTTCGTGGAGAAGATGAAACGATGGGAATCCCGCGGTTCAGACTCGGATGACTTCATTGGAGTTGGGATGGCGGTCGCTATATCAAAGTACCTCCAGTAGTCACCGACTGTACATTCATACAATGTATATATCGCATAGTCATGCATAGTGAATTGTACAGAATTGCCAAGTGAATGACTAATTTACTATAACGCAGAAGGTTGTACACATGGACTCGGTCTATCTGTACCTTTAAACTTGTACCTCCTCGCGCAGACCACAGACCAGTGGAATCGCAAACACCTATTGCCTCACATGACGTGCTCAGTGTTGACGCGAAAGAAGGGGCACCCTCGTTGCAGTCGTGGGCTGATCTCTGGAGTACTGACGTGGGTGATGAGCGCCAAAGGATTCTCCATCGTGAAAGTATGGAAATGATGCCTCCTGTAGGTTGAAGCCATTGTCCGGACTTGTGACGCCGTTTGAAGAGTGCTTCAACCCCTCGTCATCAAGTTCAATGCTTTGAAGGACTAGACATTCCACACCCCTGGTAGGACTGGAGGTGTGATTATTTTGGCTCGGCCCTGAATTTGACACCATCTGGCGCGTGCTCCAGCCAAAAGTTCATTCTCTTCGACTCGGACTCCATTTCCTTCAATGTCGGACCGCTCCGCTCCCATGGCGTCAAAGAGTCCACTGTCAAATCTGAGAAGAGCAGCACAAGCGGCGACGACTTCCAAACGTGCTGATTGCGAGTGCGGACCATGGTGGTCACCAAGAACAGTAGACTGAAGACGACCAAGGCGCCCGGTAGAATCAGCCACACCCATCGCACCTGGACGTATGCCGAAATGGTCTTTGTGGTGCCCTGAACGGTGGACTTGCAGACTTGAGATCGCGCATTAACTGACAGAGATGACTCGATCGATGCAAATGCAGACCCGATTTCGGTCACACTGCCCTCTGTACCGTACAGCGGTTGGAGAGTGTCCGGGGTCCATTGCAGTCGATAATTGGCGAAGAGAGTGCCGTGGCCCTGGAGCAGAGGGCCTAGGGTATTTGATAATGCCATTATACTCATCGAGGATACTTGATAGGTGCATTGGCCCGGACGATCAAGCGGTCTGTCGTAACGGATGCCATCAGAGTAGCACGTCGCTGGAGTCAAAGCGAAGTCTGAGACGGGACTGTTTGCCGACACTTTGTCTGCCCGTGTGTCTGTGTTGACGAGGGTCTCCTTGAAGATACCGTCGTGGACTGAGGCCTCGTATGTTTTGATGCAAAAGGACAGTGTACATTCGATCGCACTGGTCGCCGATGGGTCACTCGAGCCCACGCCAGCAATTGCCGTGAAATTCAGAATGAGCGCCGTGTCGGTCGTGTCTATCTGGAGCATGTCGAGCTGAGTCGTGGAATTCATAATGACCGAAAAGGGGCTGAGCGTCAATCCATTCGGTAAGTTGAATACCTCGTCTGGCCCAGTCCCGGAGGCTTGGAGTGCATTAGTGATGTTCGCGCACTGAGAACAGACACCGAGCGTCTGATAAATGGGGAATGTGCAATTTCCAGTCGTGCAGCTTACGAGCGAGCTTTTATTGCCAGAGTTCTCGGTCTTGAAAATGCCGGAATAGACTGCGCCCATACTTGTGAGGGGAAGCTTATTCATGCCGGGCCCAGCTCCTAGTCCGTAGTCGCCGTAGAGGCTGTTGTTGCACACGCGGATCGACGAGGGTGAAGGAGAGTCGGCCGAGCGCATCTGAATGGAGATCACCTGCTGTACAAATGGATCTGTTGCAACCGCGAGAACGAGGATCACGCATCCGAAGGTAACAAGATGGCTATCCAATACAATATGAGTCATCTTGAACTATGCCAGGCCTCGCGGCATCATACAGGGGTGAAACTCACCGGGGTAAAAAGCTATAGAGGACTTTGAAGGCTCCAACTGGTCCACGGCTCGCATCGTCGAGGAGGGTCAGGTCGCTTAGGCGGTTCTTCTGTCGGAACCACAACCATTTCAACTGAGCAAGACACTGGGTCGCGATAAAGGCAATGGCCGCTTTCATGGCGGTACTTAGTACCGAAACCAGAGCGTTAAGGGTGATAGCATAAGGCCACTCCGGTAATGACTGTCCGTCATAGTGAGACAGAAAGCCGATAATTGCAGCTAAAAGTGCAATTGATACGAGACAGGCCACGATCTCAAGGATCCATATAAAACCCCAGAACTGCTGCGTATGTCTTTGGAGAGATGTTGTCGACTCATCAGGTTCAGCCAGGGGCCTCTCTTGCCCATGACCCAGATCAATGTAGGAAAGCCGATAACTGCTCTTGGACTGCCCCATCATGAGTATGTGATGGGTCTCTTATAAACCGGCAGCTGTGGCAGCCAAGAGCAAATCCGAAGAATTTGCGATTCAACGGACGAGCACCGTATTCAAATGAAGAATGAGCTGGCGTAGGATCTTTCTGGAGCAGACCTTGGCCAGTTGGTCTTTATGGGAGAGCTCGGCCCGGAAGCTTTTGGGGCGCAGGAACTCCTAGTCTGGTCGAGGCTGATCCATCGCAAGGCTTGACGGCGAGGCCGATAGAAAGAGCCTCAATGTCACCAGAGCGAGCCGCGAATCAGGATTCGGGCTCCTGAAACTCGTCCGTTTCATGAGTCCTTTTCCCATGATGGAGGGTCGATCTTCATGCTGATTTGATTAGATCTAAGCCCGGCTCTTTTCATAACTTTTCTGCCACGACTTCATACTCCACATGTAAACAGGCCATGCCAGGTCGCTAGATCAATTCCGGGGCCCCCTCGCCAGGGGTGCAGGGACAATGGACGGCCTCGTTGCATCAGAGGATGCAAGGCCTTCTGCGTCGAATGCCATGGTTCCCGGATGACCACGCAGAGCCTCACCCCACTCACCACAGATGTGACTGAGAGAGTGTCTGGGCTCCCAGTCGAGATCACAGTGAGTGTGCCACATTCGAACCCAGGCTCCGGCTGGGGCACGGATACGAGACCTCCGCAGCATAATCGACGATCTTGTCTAGCCAGACTGGGCAGTCAAGCCTAGTCTCGGAGACTGTCAGATACAGCCAAGCAAGACTGAGCGTAAACACCTTGGCAATTGGCCGGACTAAAGATCCGGCGCATGAAGAATAGCACGCGATCTCTTAGTCTCGGTGGTCGTTCGCGATAAGCAAGTCACGCTAATGGTGTTGACTCAGAGGACACACAGTGCGCAATTGGACACTGCAAATCCCCTGTCGATGGCGTTCAAACCCCATATTCTGGTTCGGGTAAGGGCGCATTTTGTGTCCTGCAATGTTCGGACATCTCTCAAGGTCAACTCCAGACCGCTAGTCTTTGCTTTTTTTGTTTCGGGCGTGTAGATTGTCGACTGTAGAATGCTGAGCGGCGGGCGCAGTCTGGGACTCTGGGTGTTGCTCATACGATGTACCTGAGCTCTGGCAGGGCAACAATCGCACGCGTAGTTGACTCGTGCTCCCGGAACACGTGGGCCATTAAGGCTGACCGTTGACTGGAGCTGTCAGGTCGCTTGTTATTTCCAAGATTCCCGGGAGCGGGCCCCACAGCGGCTAGAGTCTCACGGAAGATCAACCCCACAGACAGGGCAACTCCAATTCTTACTACTGCATCCCTCTCACTTATTCTTCAAGATACATAAGTTTGTGTCGCTTGACAAGAACAAGGTCATTAGTATACTAGGTGATAGGTACTGTTAGACTGTTCATACAGGGTGTTGTGCATCTCCTCCTCTCCTAGGCCACGGCTGTACCATTCACAAGGAAGAGACGGGTTGTTTGAGCGATGTGAGACCTTTCCTTTCGGTAAGGTTATGAGGTATGAGTTTAATTATTTAGTATCTTGAGAACGCGAACAATCTTTGGCTTCAATTGCCCTACCCGTTCTTCAAGGCGGGGAATTCGAAAGGAGATAAATTGTGCCCAATTAATGTCTAGCTGTGCTTAAAATGTTGACAGTCTTGGTTAGCACCTGTGAGCCGTCATTATCATGGAATGGTTTAGTTTGTCGCCATCAGAAGTCGGTCGGTAACGGTCGTTTCAATAGTCGTGAAAGAATACAGAGTTTTGCAAAGCCAATTGCTGTAATCAATTTGATGACGATGCCGTGACTACTGGAGGACAAATTTGTTTCAAAAAAGGTTCATTCAAATGATTAATACATTCTGGAGGAAGCTAGGGTAAGATTCCACAATTCATCACACATTACTGATAAAAAGGATAAGGTAAGACGTTATCGTAAAGATCAGGAACAGACTTAGGCACGCTGCTGCGCGTTGCCAACAGTCTTGGAACCGTCGAGGTCAGAGTCGACACGGGGGTCAAGCTTGTTAGCCATGTCGCTCTTGTGGGGACCAGCGGTCTTCTGGCCGGGGCCAGTGGCGGAGGATCCGGTGGTAGCAGTGTTGGAGTTGTTGTAGCTGCTACCGGCGCCGGCAGAGCCGGCGTGTTGAGCCTCCTCGAAGGTCTTGGTGGAGGTGGGGCCAGCGTTGCCGGAGATGGGGATGACACCGGCACCGCCGATGCTGCCCTTGTGGACATCCTGGTCGAAGCTGTGGCCAGAGTTGCTGAGGTCGCTGTCAACGCGGGGGTCGGCCTTGTTGGCAAGGTCGCTCTTGTGGGGACCAGCGGTGTTGTCGGCGGGGCCAGTGGCGTAGCTGTTAGTGGCATCGGGGCCGCCGCCCATGGTACCGTGGTGGCCGGTCAAACCAGCCTCGGTGCCAGCACCAGCCATCCCGACGTTACCGGTACCGGTAGTGCCGGAGACGTTGGAGCCGCGGTGAGTGGACTGGGAGCCGACTTCGTGAGCAGCTGCGCCAGCAGCGAGACCAGAGCCAACACCGGCGGAAGTGCCGTGGTGAGAACCGTGAGTGCCAGAGGTGGAAGACTGAAGGCCAGTACCTGTGGTACCGGTGGTGTTGTGGCCATAGCTGGCACGGCCGTCACGGTCCGAGTCGACACGGGGATCAGCCTTGTTGGCAAGGTTGCTATCGTGAGGGCCTTGGTTGGTAGAGTGGGAGCCATACTGATGAGCGGCAGCACCGGTGGCAGCACCGGTAGCCAGACCAGTGCCAACACCGGCACCAGACTGAGAGCCGTGGTGGCCGGTAGTGGAGTGGGAGCCAATGCCAGTGCCAGTGGTGGTGGTGTTGTTGTTGGAGCCGAGACCGGTGGTGTTGTGGCCATAGCTGGCACGGCCATCACGGTCCGAGTCGACACGGGGGTCGGCCTTGTTGGCAACGTTGCTGTCATGGGGGCCTTGGTTGGTAGAGTGGGAGCCATACTCATGAGCGGCAGCACCGGTAGCCAGACCGGAGCCAGCTCCAGTGGAAGCAGAGTGAGAGCCGAGGCCAGCAGAGGTGCTGTTGTGGCCATTGCTGGCACGGCCATCACGGTCCGAGTCGACACGGGGGTCGGCCTTGTTAGCAACGTTGCTGCTATGGGGACCGTGGTTGGCGGACTGAGTAGAGTCGTACGCGTTGGCGGAGGTGCCAGTGGAGGTGGTGTTGTTGTGAGGGGTCATGTTGGAGGTGGTGGAGGTGTGAGCAGCACGGCCATCACGGTCCGAGTCGACGCGAGGATCAGCATTGTTGGCGGTGTTGCTGTCATGAGGACCTTGGTTGGAAGAGTGAGCAGATTCCTCGTGGCTGTTGTCACTGTGGCCCTTGACGGCGTCCTTGACTTTGTTGATGAGGTTGGACATGATGAAGGTAGATTAGACTTTGGTGGAGTGTAATAAAAGATTTTGGTTGAGGAAGTTCGATGCAGCGGGGGGGAAGAAAGATAGAGAAAGTTGGTAGTTATCAATGAGATGTTGCTTGCTCTTTAAAGAAGTTTGTTTGGATGAGAATGGAAAGAAACGGTAGGACAACCCAACCAAACCGAGGGTTATATAGAGTTTGAACTGTCAAAAAAAGAGACTGCTTAGAGTTGTGATTGCATATGACGCTATGAAGGTGGTCCTCCCGGCATAAGAATAGAAGACATGACGTGGTGCCAAGCTGGGATGACCGTTCACCGAGCCAGCTCCAGCCTCTATTCCCCTTCTGGGACCAGGACCCCATTGTTAGACGTGCTAAAAGTGCTCAAAGTGCCGAACGGGCTAAAAGTTCCCCAAGTGTGGGGAGCTCATAGATGTCAGAGCTCCCAGAGCCGTGGCGCACCTGGCAAGGAACCGGCATCAATGGTCATGGACGTCACGTCATACCCGAACGCCACTTTTCATCACTCTTCGCTTTAGCCCACCTCGGGATCATCATCAGCCCTACGCGTTCAGGCTTCCAGAGAGGTGAGGGCTAGGGGTAGTGTGTAACTGTGTACAATCACGATCATGAAGACAAGTCACGACTGGAGCCCAATGATCCATTACCCCCCACCTCCCCTCCCATCCCCTCCACAGCAGTCAAAGTTGTCGCCATTCGGGAGCACGCCGCATAAATCAACGCGGGCACGTCGGGGGAACCCCTCTATGACCTCAGCGTCAGATCAGCACCGGGGAACCGCCAAATGAATGTGACCGCAAGCTGCGCAAGCAACCGCCGTTCTTTGGATTCGGGTCTCACAAAGGACGTGCCGTCGCCGATCATGATTCAGGACTGAACGGTTGAAAATCAAGGCATTTGACGCCATAACTGGTCTGGATGTAATTCGTGGAATTCCTTCCAGGCGAGTCGTGGTTCAGGTAGTCCATTGACCATTCTGACTAGCACTAAAGGTGCTATCCGCTTAGGTTCTCAGTCCAGTAAACACTAAATACCTACACTCGGACTAGTTCAACGGATTGGACTGTTGAGCAAGCCACATCCACGCCCACGGACACGACTGGGCACTTCTAGCCACATCTAGCCACATCTTTAAAATCAACTGGTGAGAAACCGGTTCCAACACCGAAATCCATGTACCCAATTACCCTACTTGTCAGTAGTCACCCTCAGAAGTCAGGACTAGGACCACGCTGTTCACGCACTCCTGTACTACGAGACTACGAGTACTGCCGACTGCGGAGTGTGGAGTGCAGAGTGTGTAGACGACTAGACTCCGTACTCGTAGTAATACTCCATGCCTGGTACAGTAGCGTTGATTGCCAAAAGACTGTATCAATTCTATCGAATAGCCAAATGAGCACAGCCATTGATCTGCACCTGAGGTGGCCTCGATGAGACTGTTTCACACCCATGATGTTCACCATGGCTCTCCTCCATTGGTCCACTCTCACTGATAATCATGCACGGTTGCCTTTCTCGTCAAGGTAAAGTCACGTATCTCACGACGACATAATCTTGGCATCAGCAAATGGAGAGATGGCGTAGCTGTTTGCCTGCTCATAATTCTGCTACTACCGCCGCCGCACCAACACCAGCATCATTCGTGCTTAGGCTGCCCATGTTCGTTGGCACCTTTGAGCAACTCGGCGGAGAGCTGCCCAGTGGAAACTCCCCTCCGATATTAAAGTGGCGTGCAGTGGAGTCGTGGCGCGACGTTTGCTGAGGTCGGCTGACCTCTAGAACCAGGGTCGGAGATCGCAATTTCCATCAAAACGAGGGTGTCGGGGGAAACAGATCTGCGGCGATCCAGTGGCTTGTCACTGCCGGTGGCGCCATGAGAGCTGCTGCCAACTTGATGAGCGCGAGGAGATCGCTTTCCCTGGTACGGGCCGGTCGTTGAACGAGCATGTCCCTGTTCGTTTGTTCATGGAAAGGCAACCACCACAGAGAGATAGAGGGGGGAAGAGAGAGACCTGTTCTGCGAATGTTGATCAACCAAGCAACAGTGGTAGACGATGCTATCGGGTGGTTTGTGCGAGTTTTCCCAAATGGCACACGCTCTCTGCAAAACATCCGAGATTGGAACAATCCTAAATGTTCTCGATTGCGTATATAAGTGGGGTTCGCGAGATTGCACCCAGTCGCTCCGTGCCGCAAAGGAATGAGGATGTCATATCGCTCGAGCGTCAACCCTCAAGACGAGATACGCTCGGGATGATGCGAGGCTTGTAGATCGGGTTTGCTGGACTGGGAGTGAGGCCTATTGCTCCTGTGGCGGATCTCGACAACGGCCCGAAATGACATTGACCTGGAGGTAACTTTGTTAAGGCCCGAATGCTCTTCCATGGTCTCTGCATTCCTTGAATTCTGCGTTGCACGAACTCGCGCCACGATTTCTCGTCAGCTGGGCCACTCGTGACCAGTACACTGCGAGTATCCGCAGAGCAGGTGCAGTAGTGTCAAAGCCCGTAAAAACCCTTAGCACGCGGGCCTTTGAAATTACGTTGGCGGTCAACTCTAGACGGGTGTTTTCCGACAGTGCCCTTGTCCAGCTGAGCGTCAAGCCACAGTCTGAGACGACGTTGTCGAGCATTCTTATCAATCGTGGCGCCTTACGGGACCCGTAGATGTGGTCTTCCCCGATGCCTTCTGGGACCTACTGCCAAGCTTATGCTTCCTAACGTTAGCTTCATTGGCCGTCGGGCAGACTGAAGTCAGCCACTTCCGCTCAGTGGAGGATCTACTCAAGCCTGACTATCGAGGGCTACTATGATCCAATTTTTGTTTTTCTCACAACGTTGTTGTGGACATGATTTGGGTGGGAGAAGGCCACAGGTCTGGATACGGGTACATATATCGACCCTAATCTTGTAGAGCTTGCGCCTCTGTGGCTGCGTTCCTCTGTGCTCGGTGACACTTACAGTCGCGGTATTTGTGCGATATGTCATCACCTATGAGAGAGACAAGGTACCAAATGACTGTCCAAACGCATGATATGACTCGCCGAATCGCGCAGCTTTCGCCTACGCCACCCTGTGAACACAATGTGGCCATGCGCTTCAATGATTCATCCCTTGCTCGACCACGTGGAGAGGGAAACACATTCCGCGATAGTCCCCGAGTCCACGTTGTTATCCCCTCCCGGATTCGCCACAAGAGAAGGATGAGATACGAAAATTCAACATCAAGGCAGTAAATTCGTGAGTGAGATAATGTAAGTGTGATCTCCAACACTGGACGGATGACTTCAGGATCAAATAATGCAAATACCCAGAACGCCAGTCTCATCGATTCGACGAGAAACCCATGCAGATCGCTATGAAAGGGACACGAGGTAAGCAGGAAGATGAGAATGCATGAGAGCTCTTGAATCTCGATCAGGCGTCCGAACTCTCCGCGAGCACATCGTCTGGATTTTCCCCCACGGCCTGGCCAACAGCGCGTACAACACGTCGAATGGCCTTGGAGGCTGGACTGTCGGGAAAGTTGTCCACGAAGCTCTCGCCGTAGTCACAGGCCATTCCCACCCGAGGGTCCAGAGGGACTGCGCCGAGGTAAGGGATCCCCATCTTCTTGGCCAGCCGGCGACCTCCACCCGTTGTCTTGCGGAAAATCTGCGATTCATGAGTGCAATTAGGACAGACGAATCCAGACATATTCTCCACGAGACCAAGGATCTTAATTCCGGCCTTGTGGCAGAAATCAATCTCCTTGCGAACATCCAGAAGAGACACTTCTTGCGGAGTGGTCACCATGACTGCGCCGTCCACACCAGACTCCTTCAGCAATGCATTCACAGAGAGGTGCTCGTCTGAAGTCCCGGGCGGCGTATCAATGAGCAAGTAATCAAGCTCACCCCAGTCGACATCCTTCAAAAACTGCTTGATCAAGCCGTTCTTCTTGGGGCCCCGCCAGATGACTGCATCATCCCGATTGGGTAACATGAACTGCACGCTCATGGCACCCAGGTTATCCGTCACCCACACGGGGCTCCAACCAGCGTTGCTCACGTGTATGGTTTCGCTTTCCACACCCATCATCCTGGGAATGGACGGGCCACAGATGTCGGTGTCCATGACACCGACGGTCGATTCGGGATTCGCCGCAAAGGCATGGGCCAAGAGCGTTGTAAAGGTTGATTTTCCCACGCCTCCTTTTCCAGACAGAACCAGGATCTTGTGTCGTATTTGCGAAAGACGTTCGGTGATTACAGAAATATCCGGGTCGGGGCCTTTCGGGGCGCTGGCGCAGATCTGTTGATTCGGACAGCCAGCGCAGGCGTCACCCTGGCCGGCTTGCTCTGATTCGGGACCGGGGCAATGTTCTATGACAGTGTAAGATATTTGCGAGTACAAATGAGCTTCCACCTTGCCAGGGGGAAAAAAAGACAACATACCTGGTTCGGGAGCCACCAGATTGGTCGGCGCTCTTTTAGTATGCGCGGAGAGTGATGCCTCTACGGCAGACTTCTCGACATAAGGCGCCATCCCCGTCAAATGCAAAAATGTCTTTTACCAAAATGCAAAGGGTAAACTCTCAAGTCAGGAGACCCGTAACATTCAGGAAAGCCTTTGAAGCGAATGTCTCTTGATCTGAATTATCGGCCAAGTGATGGACGGTGGCGGGGGCTTTCCTACCAATTCAGTCGGGCTTAACGGCGGAAGTGCTTGATAAGCGGAGATGACTTAATCCCAGGGCGCCGAACCGGGATTGGCTGCGCGAAATGGATTCGGGGATCGCGGTCAAGTCACGTGAGTGTGGTAGATAACCGTTCAGCGATTAGCTAGGTAGATGGTGATGAAGACAACTACGGACAACAGCTCGGTGTTTACTGCCTACCTACGCCTGCATGCACATTTAACTCTATCAAAATAGTGCCTCGGCTGTTTTAAGCTTATCTAGAGGAGAGGTGCCTCTTTTTCATCAGATGCTAGAATCGTGCTGCCAGCGTCTCGCCCAACTGGACCTTGTTCCATTACCCTTCCTTCTACCTGAATCAAGCCCGAGATGACTGGCGCTGCAACTGGGTAGGTAGGGCTAGTCCAGCCTAGCACACAACGAGCGTAGTCTATCCCGTGGCCATGCCGCAGGTACGATCTCTGGCCTCGCGCTACGGTCGGGAACTTGCTTTGACCTATGTACCGCGTCATGCAAAAAATAGTTGTGGGATGAGAATCGATCACTGCTTCGAAGATGATGGTGTCTGGAATCCACAGCCAAAAGTCATCGAGCTTTTCCCGCATATACAGTGGTACGTATCAAATATAGCTTGAGATGCAGCAGTGGACTCTACCCGTAGAAGCCCGCGTGCCTAGGTCTGGATTGGATGCAACCGAGAGAAGATTTCGAGGCGGTGCATCTGCATGCTCAAGGGAGTTGGACACGAAATGCAAGCGACCTCATTATCTATGAGAGACCTGCGGCCCCGGGGAACAGCCGACTAGGGAAATACTCATGCATCTGCACAGTGCATGCGAGTACGAGCGCTCTTGTGTTTGAACTTTCGAAGATCTATCCCTACTTGGGAAGCGGGGTGCTACATTCGTCGAGTGATTGAAGAAAGAGTACTGTCAGTAGTACTGACTACTGAGACGTCTCAAGGTCGCCTCAATTACGAGGTCGTGACTCGCAACCACGTCGATTCGTAGACGCACTCGAGGTATCAATCAGCTTTCAGATCATTTTACCGGGCTAGTACCGAAGTTGCGCAAGACAAAGTTAGTGCTGTTTGTCCTATTTCAATATCGACATAGGGCAGAGACCGAGCTCAGGAGTCGGGGCATATAACAGTGGGAAGTTGGGAATTGTTCACTGTTTATGGCTCTCGTTGGCGTCCACAGTTGCAAGCATCCTGCTTGAGAAACAAGAGATTGCATTGCATAAATGGCATTGTTACTAGGCTATGAGTAGCCACATTGCCTCTGGTAAGCCTGCGACCTTAAGGCGCATCGCAAGGTAAACAATGTTTTCGCCCTCTTTGACACTAGCCATCGTCCGTGTTGAGCCCTTCGAGTGAATGTACGTATGGGCCGCTCTCCGCACTTGCCGCTGGCAGCTGCTCTACAGACGACTCCACCAGCATCAGGCGGGCCTCGGATAGGGTGCTCTGTAACCCCTCGTCAATGCACGAGTGAAGAGAGCAAGGCAGAATTGGTTGATCGATTGTGACTCCATTGACTCTGACGACACAACACTCGTAGTGAACAATGCAGACAGTCGAGCGCAGAGAGGCACCAGGGGACTTTGCGCAGCTCGTCGCTGGGAATCATCTCGAAGGTGCAATTGGGTCCCATTTCTTTGGCTTTCTGCTTCATTCGGGGCCCGCACTCAATATCCACGGGTTGCTCCTATGAGAGGAACAAGAAACGGCTGGCGTCAAGTTCCACACCCCGAGCCTTCTGGCCAGATTCGCTCGCATAAATCACACCGCTGGCGTCCTTTTCTCTTTCGGTTTTTGTTGAGGAAGAAACTTTTCGTTTCCCTACTGCGAAGAAATCTTGTGCCAAAGATCCGATCGGATTTGTCCATCTGTGCAAGCAAAGGCGCGGTGTTGATATCACTACCAGAGTAGGTTTAGTTGAAGCCGGCCGTGGAAACGTGGATGCAAACAGGACAACCCTTGCGACACCGGCTGTCACATGCGTTTCTGTCGTCACTGATCAGACTCTCCCCCAACAATTGTTTCTTCCGTACTTCAACCACACAATGGACCAGGGCCGTTCAACCAGTGCCCAGCAACCCAATGGCTTGCGCGAAAGAATTGTCGCTCGCTCTGATTCAACTACGGGTAGCGAGCCTTTAATTGCGACCGGCGAGATGGAGGCCGCAAAGGACGAGCTAGGAAAGGACAAGAAGACCTTCGGTCGAACTCCAGACGGAACGGGTAAGTTGTGACTGTTCTTTTCCTGACAAAGAAGACGATCTCGGGCCCGGAACCAGTCTCCATTGGCGATACTGCATGTCCTATGCTCATTGCAATCGCGGGGTTCAATGGACATGGCTTCGAGCATCGCTCAGTTCGCCTGCAGGAGCCCTGCCGCTGTGGAGCTAGCATCCGCTGACTGGGACTGCCCTTGCATGTATAGTCTTCACAGTGCCTCAAACGCATGATATGGTCTCTCAGCTTCTATCGCCGTCAGAGCCTAAGAATGTGGGCGACTTGGTGGTGATCGCTCTTCTAGCCATCCACATCCTCCTCCTCTGGTACCTGCCCGCCAGCGCCAAAGTACCTGTCTTCGCATTCATTTACTTGTTCTGGCGGGCCGCGTACAATGCAGGCATCGGATGGCTTCTGCACAACCAATCCCACCACAAGACTTTGATTCGCTGGGCAGAGAAGACCAAACTATTTGTGAACCCGGCCACTGGAAAGAATCCGCATCCAGCATTGTACAAATGGGTCAAGAAGGAACTGGAGGCCAAGATTCCCAAAGACTACTCGTTCGACAGTGCTCCTCTTGAATACAATACCTGGCTCGTCTTTAGACGTCTCGTGGACTTGATCCTAATGTGTGACTTCGTGTCATACTGTCTATTTGCGATCGCATGTGGTCACCGTCCCGTGGACGAGAGCATCGTCATGACTGTCCTTCGTTGGACCGCCGGCATTGCTCTTGTCCTGTTTAATCTTTGGGTGAAGCTGGACGCACACCGGGTAGTCAAGGACTACGCTTGGTACTGGGGAGACTTTTTTTATCTCATCGACCAAGAACTGACCTTTGACGGTGTCTTTGAGATGGCTCCTCACCCAATGTACTCGGTTGGTTATGCCGGGTATTACGGAATCTCTTTGATGGCAGCCAGCTACAAGGTCTTATTCATCTCTATTCTTGCCCATGCAGCTCAATTCGCCTTTCTTGTCCTCGTCGAGAACCCGCACATCGACCGGACCTACAACCCGCCCCCACCCCGAAAGCGATCTGTGTGCGTGGACACGCCATCAAGCCTATCTTCAGACCCGGACACACCGAGAGCGCCTACTCCGTCCGAGGATCTCACTCCCAATGCGACCTCTTTGTACTCGGCCAAGCCGCCGCCCTCGGTTCATAACATGCTCGGTCTTCACAACATGGACCTGTATAGAACTACGGATTCCTCAATTCTGCTGGTTCAGCTGCTAGTTTTTGCCATCACCGCTCTGACACCGTCGACCTGGCGGTACCAGCTCCTCTTCGTGGCGAATGCTATTGTATGGCGACTGTGGTACTCTGTAGGCCTTGGGCTCTTGCTCAACAAGCAGTCTCGTGATAAAGCTTGGACTCGACATTTCCTGAAATTTGGCGAGACCCCCGTCGAGGCATGGAACCAATGGAAGGGCACTTACCATCTCAGTATGATCATGTGCTACGCGAGCTTCATCGCTGCCGCCTGGAAAATGTACACTTTTCCGTCCGATTGGGGTTATGGCTTGGTTCTCTTCCGCCATGTTCTCGGTGCCGGGCTGATCAGTTTGCAAATCTGGACGTCGGTCAGCATCTACGACTCTCTGGGCGAGTTTGGCTGGTTTTACGGAGACTTCTTTTTCGATGCCTCGTCCAAGCTCACCTATGACGGGATCTATCGCTTTTTGAACAACCCCGAGCGAGTGCTGGGTCTGGCCGGCGTCTGGGGTGCCGTACTGATCACCAGCAGCGCGGCGATTACGTTCCTGGCAGTTCTCAGCCACATTCTGAGCTTGGCATTCATTCAGTTTGTCGAGCGACCTCACATGCAGAAGCTCTACGGACGAAGTCTCCGCCAGGACGGTGGAGTGGTCAAGAATCTCAAAAAGTCTCTGCCACCCTCATTGAAACAGCTGCATGGAAGTGTTGACAAGATCTTCGACGACTCGTTTGAATTTGTTGAGGAACTCCTCGAGAACGCTCGACCTAAGCTTGCAGCCGGTGTCAACACCTTCGTCAAGGACACCACTGCTTTGTTCCAGAAATATCCTGCTCGCATTACTATTTCCCGCATCGACGCTGATCTTGCTGGCCTGAATGTAGCCGACTACACCCTGTTAGTTGAAGGTACGGATGCCAAAGCCTTGGACGAGAGTGAGCTAGGCAAGGGTCGCGAGGGTGAAAATGCGCGCATGCCACTAGACCGTCGCGGAGACCTCAAGAATTTGACTTTCGAATATGGCGCACCGATCAAGGTCAAATGGACCGCCCCTCTGAATCACAGCAAGAAGGACTGGGTTGGTCTGTACAAGGTAACTGACAACACTTCGCGTGAGGTCACACGTGTATCGTCTCAGGGCCGATGGATCGCCACCAATGAGGGTGTCTACGACAACACCACGTGCGAACGAGGGATCATTGTCAGCGATGTGGTCCGGCAATCCGAGGAACAGAATGGTCGCAAGGGTCACGACATCGCCACAGGTGAAATCGTGTTCTCTGGAGACAAACTCTTCTGGACGCAGGGCACCTTTGAGCTTCGATACCACCACAATGGCATGCATAACGTCATGGCCCTTTCCCGACCATTTGAGATTCGAATTCGTCGCTTTGATGAAGATGATGCATTGGTGGAAAATGACGTCGTGCAGACGGCCGTCGAGAATGCTCTGCTTCCAGTTGTCCGCAATTGCTTCGACCGTGATCCTGAGATTGCCCCGGAAAACGTTGAAGAGCAATTTGGTAGCCTAGTTGAGCGAGACGGCAAATTTGCCAACAGGGTGGTTTTCGCTGTGCACCAAATGTGAGTTTTTTCCGTGTTGTGTGAACAGACCGGCTGCTCTGTCGTCCCTTGACTAACGTCCTCAATCTAGGTTTGGTGTCGAGCTCGCGCCCGAGGTAGTCAAAGCCGATGGGAATGTGAGAAACCTTGCTTGGAGGATATACAATGCGAAGAAGGTTCTTGTGAGTATTGTCTGCCTGTCCACGCGATTCAGCCTTTACTCTAACCAAGTGTCCTACCTCAGGCCCCCTACAGCATGTCTCGGTCCAATGGCACAACAACACCGATTGAGAGCAAGTCATAGTAGACTGATATGACGGGATGGAAATGCCTTTTGAGAACTTCAAGCCGTCATGGCCATACTGAACGTAGTGAACGGTCGAACGGCATGGTGACATTTCAAGACATGCAAGCGGGACCATGCCTGAGATTACTGACTGATGACCAGTGGATGTATTCGCTAGAATCTGGGTGATAATTATGAATGCAATGACCGATCTTTGGGGTATGATTCGCAACCTTATGAAGGTATCGGTGAATGTATATTGGGGGTGATGTAGGCGACATTAGTGTCAACGTCGAATAAGGCTATCGGCCTACAGGTGTTGGGTCATAACATTAATGGCCCGGTCATGGGGGTTCATCATAAATATAGGTCAGGGTACTCAAGGGTTTCGCTTCAGGTGGAAGACCGTTCGGTGGTATAATCATTCTTCAGGCTGTAAAATATATCGCTACATGGATTTGCTGGTAAAAGGTCTACAAAATTTTCAAGACGACTCTAGCGCTGAAAGTGGTTCGTTCATATTGGGGGCATGTTTAAATTCTAGATAGAGTTCATACAGACCTAGACTTCAAGTAAATTAGCGCCAGCTTCGATGCAAAGACAGCATTTGACAAGAGGGTAAGTCCACTGCACAACTTGGCAGACGGCAAAGAAAGTAATGTATTCAGTCGAGCCAGTTTAATTCATCCCATCCTCTGCCGGTCACCCGAGTCAGACTGTCACCCAAGACGGACGAGCAGCCCGATCCGGATGGACCGACACAAGTCAAGCATAGTAAAGCCTTCATGAAAAGCAACAACCGAGATGCCGACTGAGCCTACGCCTGCCGGTGCTCCACAACCTTCCTCCCAGTTGTATCCCATAGGGTCACAAAAGGTCCAGTATTTGGGAGGCGGAGGAACGTAGATCGACAAATGGGCCCGAAGGCAGTGTTGAATCATTCAGAATACGTACTCGAAAGGCGGTTCTCTTGCGAGATCATTGAATGGATAGACTGGGTGTCATCATAATAGGGCGGATGGGCAGGGAAGGATGTTTGTAGAATATGGAAGACCAAGCCATTGGCGGATAGCAGCATACATTTGAATGAAAATTGAGGTTTTCTCTTGACGACATTGGATTGGCTTTGAGAACTGTTACAGTTAGCTGAAGGGTTCACGCTAAAACATGCAACGACAGACAGGTCAATCACTTAGGGGGGTAAAGCAGTCTCAGAAAATTTTGGTAAGGTATTTTGTTATCTTCAAAAATTTTGCAGAAGCAGAACTGAAAAATGTGTCTCATCATAATGACTGGCTTTGGGGGAATAAGGAAGTTGTGGAAAGGAAGAATCAAGAGAGTCAGGCATACCTTTTTATAGTGTCTGCAGCACAGGGCTGAGTTAGTTTATCATGTCAAATCTACGTCCTGTCTTTGCAATGAGTTAGCTCGGCATTCAGGTAGAAATTCGAAGACAGGAATCAATTGCGAGTAAAGTCGATCAGATGGTGATGCATGTTTGTTCATGGCCCATTCGTTTGTCACCGGAACAGAAGTTGGAAAGATTTCAATCATGAAGACAGGGGAGGAGTTTGATGAGGATCAATGACTTACCTAGTCAGTTTAGAAGGAAACGGGATTTCCAGTGGAAATTGCAAATTTTAAAAGCAGCTTCATCATTAAGAAACTGCGATCTTGATCTCTTGCAGTAAAAAATAGACACAAGGGTGGTTAGGGAAGAGAAAGAAAGGGAAAACGCCAGCCGAAGAAAAAAAGCTAAAAAGCAAGCGGACGTGGGTGGGGTCCAAGCCAAACACTGCAAACATGCAAGATTTCCGTTTGGAGAGCACCTAGCATCTCCGATATTCCCGTACTTTATAGCGACTAACAGACTACGAAATCACGATGATGGCGGATAGGAGAAGAGTCAATGGCCCTCCTAGTGGCACCAGACCTGCTGTATTCACAGCTGACTTACAATTGGGTGCAAGTGCAACAGACCGAGCTCAGCGCCAGAGGCAGCCGTCCGAGCTCAGGAAAATCTGTATGTCTAGACTTATTCAAGTCGAGAATGCCCACTGACGATGACCTTCACAGTCCTGAAGACCGGCCTCATTCCTACAGCCTCTGGCTCCTCATATCTTGAATTTGAACCATCCGCCTCTCTTGCTGCCGCTCGCGCAAACCCCAAATCTCTAATTCCTCCCTCATCGGCATTGAAGCTCGCGTGTACAGTTCATGGACCGAAGCCACTGCCGCGATCGGCTGCCTTTTCACCAAATATTGTTCTCACCACACACGTCAAATACGCCCCCTTTGCTGCCCGTCAGCGTAAGGGACACATTCGGGATTCGGGTGAACGTGATCTAGGAGTCCACTTGGAGACTGCTCTTCGTGGAGCCATTATTGCCGAGCGATGGCCCAAGAGCGGGCTCGATATCACAGTCACTATCCTGGAAGCCGAAGATGATCGATGGTGGGGAAGCGCGCCCGACTCGCATGATGCCTCTTGGGGAATGATGAATGTTCTCGCAGGTTGCATCACAGCCGCCTCGGCTGCCATCGCAGACGCTCATATTGACTGCCTGGACCTCATTGCCGGCGGTGTTGCTGCTCTTGTGGCGGACGAAAGTGGTAATAGTGCTGCGGGCACGACGAAGCTCATGCTTGACACAGACCCTGCTGAGCACCGGTCCATCCTGTCTGCTTGTGTTGTGGGGTATATGCCTGCCCGAGATGAGATCACAGAACTCTGGCTCAAGGGAGATAGTTCTAAAGCCTCTCTTGAGGAAGGCGATGATAGGTCTGGACATGATGCCTTGATAGATGGTGCTGTGGATGCCGCCAGAGGAGCACACACGGTTCTTGCAGAAGCTGTACGGGAATCGCTTCTAAGAATTGTCGGCCAATCTTAAGAGAGACAGATGCATGTAACGATAAATTAATGAATGAATCTGCAAGACACGCTTTACATGAATAGCTTTATCTGTAACCGTGCAACTTGACTCTAGTCGTTGCTTTCCCGACTGGACCTAAGCTATATCCAGGAATCCGCCGGTTGACAAGCGCGGTGTTTGTTCACGCACGGTGGCATGGTCTGCTCAACATCTTTTTACGCTGGCCCGCCCAGTTCTTTGCACGTCGACTGCCATTTCACGAAGCGTGTAGTCGACCACACCATTTCCTGCCATCTGCTTTGCACAGCTACTGCTCCGACACGACCCCTCATCATACACTGCGACACAACCCTCGCTTCATCAAAGGCCAAACCCTCCTATACAGTACGTGACTGCCCTTGGTTCATACTTCATGGGTGATGGAAGACCCGTGTCAGATATACTCACCCCACAACAAGTGCATAGTATGGTATCATGATCTCGCCCGAGCAGAGGAGAAGGATCGTGAACCGAGTCATTTTCCAATACCCCTTTGATGAACGGCCTGGTCTCTGGATCTACTTGCTGTGGTTCTGCCTTAGCACCCGAACGAATAATCGCACCCAGGTACGGTAAGTAACGAACTATCTGTACTGGATTGGGCTGATACGATTCCAATAGCCCGATTTCATCGCCACTGAGATAGAGACCGGATACTCTAGCGACTTCATCCAGCAAGGCTTCCAGGAGCTGTCGGACTATGGTCGCACGGTGCATGCCGCTATACAGAGTGCTGTAGAGGAACTTGAGCATGTGAATCGACTGAGCAACCGGCTGAGCCCAATTGAGGAAGATCCGAATGAAGAGTGATGACATTTTCACCCCCTTTAACTCCCTCACTATCCCCGGGACTTCCTACGTATGTGCTCATGTCATCCAGATAGAGGGAGAGCCAGGAAAGTGGAACAGCATAACGATGTCCTCACCCACACCCGTCAAGCTCCGCATACAACGAGATCCGATTTCGACAAACAATGGTTGCTCAGGCATATATGGACTCTCCAGATACGGGTGATAGACTTGATGCACAGAAGCCAGCTGATACACTGCGTTCTTGAAGACCTGCTTCATTGGGTCGGAAGGGCGATAATTTCAAGGTAGTCTGGACAATCTAGCATCCTTTACCTGTCTGTTAGTCCTGGCATTTCTAATACTTTGTTGACTGATATGCAGCTGCCGACAAAAAAACTCTCGCGCAACGGAGAATGACGTTGTGGTTCTCCATCTGTTCGTGCAAGCCTAGTATGCAGCGACTGCCGTGATGACCTTCCACTGTTCCGTTGATCGCTCTATAGGCAATTTGAACCAATCCCCCTCTACTATTGATTTCAAAGCGACGCGTGTCTCAAGGTCGGGCATAAGCAGGCAAAGTTGGGCCCTGGATTGAGAACAACCATATTCAATCAGCAGTGTTCTTTCAAACTACAGTGTCCTCATCAACTACAATTCTCGATATTTTGGTCGATGTTCGGATCGAATGCGCAGCCAACCTGGAGCGATGCGGCCGGGTTCCCCCTCTCTTGCAATAGTATGTGAGCTAGAGGGGACTGCAGTCTGGACCCCTCTAGCCTCACCGTTGGACCCGTTGGTGCCAACTTCAACTGCTCCTAATCGGGCGTGCAAGTCAGGCCTGGGATGTGATGTATGCACGTGACGCCTATGCCACAAGATTCAAGTGCCGGATCTTGCAATTGCCGGAAAATGGCAAAGTAAGCTTCCGTGCTTCGGATCTTGACTGCCTTACAATTCCTCTGTGTTTTTTTTTTGCTGAACGAGGTCCGATGATGGACTGTGTGGGAAGTACAATAATTGCTGCGACAGACCATCCACGCGCAGGAAATTAGGGGGCTTTCCTGGAGGACGCGGAAGTTAGAGCTGCCTGAGGACGTCAAGCTCGGGAAGAGATGGATGGCTGGCCTCTTTGGAACGAGAGCACCACTCCCTGAGTTCCTTGACAATGAAATTCGCAATCTCCACCAAGATCGATGGTCGTGGCCACTCGGGAACACGACTGGACAGGAAGTTTGCGCTAAGCCGCCATTGATCATCAACTTATACTTGGGATCCAAGCTGTACCGAAGAGGCCGACTTCATGCTACAATAGCTTCACTGAGCCAACCTCAGCCCTTACTATTCAAAGGTCCATCGTGATCCACCAGCCCTTACAGACATTACTGCAGCATTTGCCAGCCACAGCCCGCAGGTCAGGCGAAGGCATGATTCGGTGCCATTCAATCGCTCGACTCCAGCCGCTTGCTCCCTTTTTGGGGGTTCAAGAGCCCGCCGTTGGGCTCATAGGCTCGTGCCGTTTTCCAAATTGGATGGATGCTCGGTCTTACCTGTCGATCTTGAGCTTGTACCAATCGGCGTGCTTACGGAGATTGGGACCCCCGTCCGGCTGTTCGTAAAAGCCTCTGATCGCCATATGGATACGCCTTCCATATTCATGCATTGACTCATGAGTACTCATCAGTGGTCACTGCCATGATAGAGTTCATGAGCGAACGTGCCTTGCTCGTATTGACTTTGCTGATGCAGCAGCATTTGGACTCGATGGTGAAGATCGAAGTTGGGGCAAACCGTTCCGGTCGAGTGGGCCCGCAGGGGCCAGCCAACTGGTGCGCTGAATCCCTGCAAATGTCATTTTGGCTCTACAATATTGAGTGTTGTGGAGCCCGTGGCCTGAGATATTTCATCGCACATGAACATGAGAGCTCTCGCGCGGCGACTCGATGAAGAGATGCAACGAAGTATGGTCAAGTTTGCACGAAGCTCAGCTACCTGCAGGGACCCTTGAACCTGACACCGAAGAAAGTACAACGACGATGGCGCTGTGACGATCTGCTGGGCCAAAAGTACGGAAATAGTGTCGCTCGTGTTAGAATCTCCACTCTGCGGCATAGCGCCCAAAATCCAACGCTCGCCGGTCCCCTAGTAACTAACGTAAGGGCGTTAGCTACTTATAGAATCCAGTCGATATGGGCCATACAGCTCGGCGAAGAGCAAATGTGGAGCAGAGCAATTTCAATCACTGCGCTGGCATCCGCCTTGTCTCAAATCGCCAATCTGTCGGCACATTCCCATCTGTTTGCGATGAGAAAAAGATGCTCATAATCGACGCGATTAGGGGCCATGGAGACCAGACCACTGGGCTACTCATCAAGGTCAATGGCCTCCGGTTCTCTCACTGGGGACTAGACGCCCCCAAGCAATGGACGTGGCGAAGGCTCCACATGTCGATCGATCTGCACCCTTGTCGCTCAACCAGGCAAGTCCCAGCTCCCCTCCAGCGCTGAACCATTGATCTACAGAGCCGAGTGGGAGCTCGGCCGTCTACGAAATTGGCATTCCTTTTCGCTTCTCCTTTGTCATTGCTCCAAGCTTTTACATCCGTGGCCGCGGTTGCTTCAGTCGAATTGAAGCCACCGGTATCTTTCTTCCAAGGATTGAAAGGAGGATTGAAAGGTTGGCCGCAAGAACATAGGCATGGATCTATCATCTCTTCCGTCCTGATTGTTGCTGGTCAGCTCGTTCATAGCTGATTTTTCTGTGGACCTACACCTCCGCTGAATTGGAACATCGCTTGGGAGGCTCCTGCGCGCTTAGCAGTCCCGGTAGTACATGAAACGCTCGAGTGCCTCAGCATCAGCATGCTAGACTGACCGAAGATGGTGGCACTGAGAAAACTCTTCCAAGCCGATCGCAAATTACATCGCCGGTCCAACGGTTCGGAAGTCGACAGCACAAGCAAGCGACAACCGTACGTGGATGACGTTCGACACGCAGTCCACTCAAAGCGTGCAGATTTTGGGCTTGAAGATGGTTCATCTCCAGCTTATCCGTCAACTGATTGGAGAGCTACCCATGGTGATGACCTGACACATCAATTTGACCAGATTGAAAGTCATTTTGCAGATCTCAATTATGATAGGGAGCAAAGTGCCCAGGACCGTCCGACACATCAAACCTTGCTCAAGCCAAGTAGCCACCGCGGTTCCGATTCCAACGCTCGGCATGTTGACCTCATGGCGGCTGTTGCAACGAGTGAGCCCCCGATGATCTGCAGTGCCTCAGACGCCTTGTCGTCCGCCAATGTGTATAATGAAGATGTTGCGGAGCGCAACATGACGCGGTTCCTTCGCATCCAATATCGCAGTGGACTCTCACGCTCGCGACTTTTTTCTGCGCTGTACCAAGAAGACGTCGCGGATAGAAACATTGCAAAGTACAGCAAAGGAACTTCCTCGCTGACGTTATCAAGTCAATCTTCTACTCCGACGCCCGGAAAAGTGCGCAATCACAGCGCAGACCCGCGTAGGAAAGGGCCTATGGGCAAGGTCAATTGGACCTCGGATGGTGATCTGCGAGCTAATGTGGCCTCATTGCCAACAAGGGACACTGAATCAGGCTGCTCCCCGGTCAGCACTGCCCTTCGTCAGTGGAATTCGGTGCCAAGTCTCTCGGTGGACGACGTGAAGGCAGAGGCAGCTAGTACTAATCCTCCGATTCAACTGCTGGGTGTTCCACCGGCGCATAAACAAGGACCGCGGTGGAGTCATGCACCTTTGCCGGATAGCCCTACGCTTCCAATCACAGTGATACCAACGTCTGAGACACCTGGGCCAGGCGTTGAACACTCATCTGCGCCGCGACCGGCCAATATCGCAGCCCCAAGCCCATCCGCGACTCCCAGGATGTTGTCGCCTTCTTCGCGGGGGCTGACCTCTTCCCGACGGAACGTCAGGGATTTATCGATTGACACAGGACTCGCAGCCCAGAGTCGGACGGATATCGCACATCGCGCAATTCAACCCCCTACACCCTCGTCATTTGAGACCCATTTGACACCGAGCATCGCGGAGATCATGCACAGCCCTCTGCCTCAGCTTACTCCCCGAGAACCATCCCCTAATTCCAAGGTCCTCGAGATGATGGATCTTTTTAATCGAATGTACTTTTCGACTCAGCCCGTGACCAACCATCCCGCATTTGAGACCTTGCAGGACGCCATTGTTCGCGAGATAAACTCCCACGACGCGTTTAAGAGAGTGTCTGTCCCTGACATGGGGCCCCCTTTTACTCCAAGCCCTGCTCAGGACATGTTTGATAACCAGCCTTGTCCTCCGGAGCCAGGGCTGAGTCGCAGCCTCTCAGCAAGATCTTTGTCCAAGATCATGAGAGGAAGTTCCTTTAGCAAGCGGAGTCGATATGCTGAAAATCGAACAAGCACATCGACGAGCGTCTCACACAAACCTCGCGAGAGTCTGCTCCGCAAACTATCAACAGCTTCATCTCGCCGAAGACACACGGACGCCCCGGCTCCCTCGCCGGGACTTCTAGGTGACAATTCATTAGTGCAAGGCATCGCGTCTGTCCCGCCACCAAGCCATATAGAAGGAGTCAGCGATACCTCTAATGACGCACTCTCCTCTTCGACACCAGCCCGCTCTTGGTCTCTAAGAAAGCATTCAAACCGCGACTCAACCTCCACTACCCCGAGTGTAGGTCAATTCCTCCCGGAGCGGGCCATCACTCCAGGAAGCATAGGATCCATTCATTATTTGCAAGCCAAGTCTACCTGCCCACGAGATTACCAGGATCGCGACACACACGAAGATAGCGATGATGATATCATACACCTTCCGAGCGTCGCTCTTCCGCCTCGTCGCGTACGGGTCGACGCCGTTGATGAGAACAACGTCCGATACATGATCGATCCTTCAGTGTCAGCCGATGCGCACAGGCTGATCAACTGGCCCAGACGCTCAAATCGTGGCACGCCTTCATTTTGTGCCGCCACTAACCCCTTGGATCTCGACACCTCCACGATTCAGACATTTTAGCTCATCGTCCGAGTATCATCTTTATGAGCCTGGCTGCATGCGACGCAAGGAAAGAGGTCTCTGCACAAACTCACCGGTAAAACTGATCTCACCTCTCCAGCGACCAATCCTCCCCGCTGCCAAGTAGATAATGCATCTTTGGCAAGCCACAATATCCACCCACAATCCTTATACAAGTCGATCGTCATCTCTCTTGCCATTTCCCTCCGCACCTGATTTCACCTCTCAAAAATTTACCTTCGCTCTTCTACGTCGTACACTTCCAAATCACAACCACTATCATCGCGAGCTTTCTACACTACATACGGCGATTTCATGTCAATCTTCACCCTTCAGCCGCAATATTCCTCGCCATAATACCTATGTCGCTGACTTCTGTTCATTTTGGGTGTATTTCAGTGCCCTGGTCGTCGTTTAATTATTTCCTGAGCGTTTCCGATTCATACTACATACCTCGTGGAATCCAAGCGATCCTATGTCGTAGTTTCTTTTCAAACCTTTACAAACACCCACGCTCCTAAGAGTTTCGGCCCCTGTAAGTTCCTCATTCACGGTAGTAGTCTGAATTCCTAAATTCAATATCTTAGAACCGAGTTCTCACTTTGCCAAAGGGACATCTGTTGCGCGATGGAAAAGCCCTCGGCGAGAGCAAGACCTTCCAGTCGGTAGGTTTGCAATACCTATTTGCTTGCATCATGCTTTGGCTTTCTACGAGGAGGTATTCTCGAAAATGATTGGTATACGGACACAAAAATTGAAGACATCACTCATTGCTGCTCATAAGCTCATCGAGATAACCACCCACCCTAGGGTCTCTCCGTGACCCCTCCATACTCGAACTCCACAACAAGGATCACAATATGTAAGGTATCGAAGAGTGAACCAATAAGGCCGGTTCGTTTCCGGAGGAATTGACGAAGCACATTCCACTTGTGAGGACCTTGCACGGGCCCCGACCTTTCTTGGTGAACACTCATATAATAGACAACAAAATGGATACCCCGGCTGTATTTAGAAAAGAGAATGGGTCGATAATGATATTTGCACCACGGCTCCAGATTTGATCGATTGACTTAGTAAGAGCGGCCGAACAAGCACCACTTCTCGGCAAAGTTCGAGCAGCTGGGGTTGATGCACTTGGTGACACCGGCCTCGATACCTTCAGGCTGCTCGAAGGGAATGCAGAGCTATTCAAAAAGAAAAAAAATTAGCTTCTTGTAGTAACACACCAGGGAAAGCGTTACTCACACTCTTGGCACCCATGGAAGGAGCCTTGGCATCAGTGACCTCGCCGGATTCCTCCTCGGCCTTACGGGCACTCTGGTTCTTGATGGAGTCTTCGCAGTCCATTTGGAGACAGAAAGGAACAAGGCAAAGCTGCGAATGTTAGTGCTTAGTGACGTGAACCAAAGGCGAGAAAGTTTGAAACTTACGTTCTTCGCGTTTAGCGCAGGAGTGAATTCATCCCAGTTGGTAATCTGGGGACGGTGAGCCTTGAACTCAGCGTCGGCACGGTTGAACATATCAGTGTGGATGGTTTCCAGGAGCGCAGTAACACCGCTGGTGAGATCAGCCAAAGGAAGGGTGGACTTGCCATCCTTGCCAGGAATGTCACGACGAGCAGCAGTGACAAAGTGGCCAGCGGACTCGCCAGGGCCGAACTCAAGGCGAAGGGGAACTCCACGGAGTTCCCACTGGTTGAACTTCCAGCCGGGAGAGTAGCCTTCGCGCTTGTCGCTCTGAACACGAATGCCAGCGGCTTCTAGAACGGCGACCAGTCCGTCAATCTCGGCATTGAGCTTTTCACGATCATCATCGGTGCTCTTTGCAGTGATGCCGACAGGAACAATGACAACTTGAGTCTCAGCGACTCGGGGTGGAAGAATCAAACCCTTGTTGTCACTGTGGATCATGACCATGACACCGAGGGTACGGGTTGACAGACCCCAGGAGTTCTGCCAGACGTGCAAGGGCTCCTTCTGCTCACCAGCCTTGGCAGAAGGATCCTCAACGGTGATGTTGAACATCTTACTGAAGTTCTGGCCGAGGCCGTGGGAGGTACCACCTTGAATACCACGTCCAGTGGCAGGAATGTAACCCTCGACAGTAGTGGTGTAAAGACCTCCGGCGAATTTCTCCTTCTCGGTTTTCTGGCCCTTGACGACAGGAACAGCCAGGAGCTCAGAGTAGATATCGGCATACCAGTCAAGGATCTGCAAGACTTCCTTCCGGGCGGCGTCCTCAGTCAAGTGCGCCGTGTGGCCCTCTTGCCAGAGGAATTCACGTGTACGGAGGAAAGGCTGAGGGTTCTTGAACTCCCATCGGACGACGGAGTTCCACTGGTTCAGGCGCAGAGGCAGATCACGATGGCTGCGAATCCACTTGGAGTAGTATGGGTACATCACGGTCTCAGAGGTGGGACGAATGGCGATCTTTTTCTCCAAAGGAGTTGAGCCACTGCATCAAAGAACGGTGAATATGTGACAACCTCGTCTCAAAATCTTCATGGGATACTTACGCGTGAGTCACCCAAGCGACCTCGGCAGCGAAGCCCTCGATGTGGTCCTTCTCACGCTGCAGAACATCCTCGGTCACAAACAATGGGAACGAGCAGTTCTTGACACCCATCTTCTTGATCTTCTTGTTGAAGTAGTCCTGAATTTCCTCCCAGATGAAGTATGAAGCGGGCTGTTGCGCGTGCTCGTCAGCTACGGTGCACGCGACCAGCTCAAAGAGAGGATAGACTCACCTTCAGAATGAAACAGCCCGATACATCATAGTAGTCCAACATGTCACCTTGAGAAGTGTCAGAAACTTTTCTTTGCAGACACGGCTTCGCATCTTACCCTTTGTGAGGACTTGTTGGTACCAGTCGGGGAAGTTCTCCTCTTTTGCCGCGTCAATACCAATAAGAGCAGCACCGTCGACCTTCTTCTTGGGAGCCTTTTTAGTCTCCTTCTTTTCAGTCTTCACTCCAGCGGCGTGCTTAGCAGCCTTTTCAGCCTTGGCCGCAGCCATTTTGGCAGCCTTCTCGGCCTTCTTCGCGGCGTTTTTGGACTCGCCCGCCTGTCCCTCGGCGGGGTTTTGTGTACGATCGGGCAGGGTGCTAGGGGCAGCGTCAGCCGCAGGGGGAATATCGGTGGTATTCTGACTAGCCATGTTGAGAGAAAGCGAGCGCCTGGCTAATTGACCCTAAAAGACCCGGCTCAAAAATAGGAGTTAAGATTTGAGTTATGTCGAAGTATGACTCCCCCAAATAAAAGTGGGATGTTATCTGTGACACCGCTCTGATACGGCAGAACTTTTAGTGTGGTCCTCCAAGCAAAACCCCCCGTCCGCGCCTGAAGAGCTCTGCCTTCGTACCTGAGAATTCTCCTGTTCGATACCCTATTAGCTATGGCAGGCATTTTTGAGGCTCCGCGGAATGCGGATACGCTGTGTAAGTTTTCTTGTCTCGAAAGGCACTTCATCATGCTAAGAAAGTGTGCCCACAGTCTTGGGTGGACAGAAAATCACCGGTGCCGATGTCCGCGAGCAGAATGGTAAGTTTCCATGAATGCCGTGATCGTTGGATAAGGTCAATTGACACCGCGAAGTTCTGGCAACTCAGGCCATCTCCAATGTGATTAAGAGCTCTTTCGGACCTTCTGGTCTGGATAAGATGATGGTGGACGACATAGGGGTACGCAACCTCCCAACAATACCCCGCGACGACGCAAATTGTACGTCCGACTAATGGTGCAATTATTAGGATGTGACCGTGACGAACGATGGCGCAACTATTCTTTCCTTGCTCGATATTGAGCACCCCGCGGGCAAGATTCTGGTGGACCTGGCTCAACAGCAAGATAAGGAGGTATGTTCAAGGAATATCATCGAGACGGTCAAATTTTCATGGCATGCTCACCAGTGCTTCACTAGGTTGGCGATGGCACGACTTCGGTTGTCCTCATTGCCTCGGAGCTTTTGCGGAGAGGCAATGAGCTAATGAAGAACCGTATACACCCGACCACAATCATCAACGGATACCGTCTTGCCCTGCGCGAAGCCGTGAAGTACATGAACGAGAATGTGACGACAAAGGTGGACAACCTTGGCAGGGACAGCTTGGTGAACATTGCCAAGACATCCATGTCCAGTAAGATCATTGGATCAGACTCGGACTTTTTCGCAAATATGTGCGTGGACGCCATGCTGCAGGTCAAGTCAACAAACCAGAGGGGTGAGGTCAAGTATCCTGTGAAGGCTGTCAATCTCCTCAAGGCACACGGAAAGAGCAGTACGGAATCTGTTCTGGTCAACGGCTATGCGCTCAACTGCACTGTGGCTAGTCAGGCCATGAAGACTCGCGTCACCGATGCGAAGATTGCTTGCTTGGACATGAACTTGCAGAAGGAACGCATGAAGCTCGGTGTTCAGATCACTGTGGATGATCCTGACCAACTTGAGAAGATCCGTCAGCGCGAGGCTGGCATTGTTCTTGAGCGCGTGGAGATGATCCTCAAGTCCGGTGCCAACGTGATTCTTACCACTAAGGGTATTGACGACATGGTGCTCAAGGCATTTGTCGAGAAGGGCGCTATGGCCGTTCGCCGCTGCAAGAAGGAGGATCTTCGCCGCATTGCCAAGGCTACTGGTGCCACACTCGTCAGCACTTTGTCGGACCTGAACGGGGACGAGAAATTCGAAGCCTCTTACCTCGGTCACGCCGAGGAGGTTGCCCAAGAGCGGATTTCTGATGACGAGTGTATTCTGGTCAAGGGAACTAAGGCACACAGCTCTGCCTCCATCATTCTTCGTGGTGCCAACGAGTTCAGTTTGGATGAAATGGAGCGTTCTGTTCATGACTCGCTGTGTGCTATCAAGCGCACCCTCGAGAGCGGAAGTATTGTACCCGGTGGTGGTGCCGTGGAAACCGCTCTTCACATCTATCTTGAGGAATTCGCTGTGACAGTGGTATGTAAAGCATCTCCGGTTGCTCCACGTTTATCCGATCTAACAAATCTTTTAGGGTTCCCGCGAGCAGCTTGCCATTGGCGAGTTCGCCCAGTCTCTCCTGGTCATTCCTAAGACCCTTGCAGTAAATGCCGCCAAGGACTCCTCTGAGTTGGTCGCTCAGCTTCGCGTGCGCCACGCCCTGTCACAGCGTGTACAGGATGGTGATGCGAATGAGGAGGAGAAGGCTATCGCCAAGAAGAAGACGTACCGTAACTACGGATTGGATCTGACGAAGGGTCGCGTTCATGACACACTGAAGGCCGGTGTCTTGGAGCCCAGCATGAGCAAGATCAAGCAGTTGAAGAGTGCTGTCGAAGCTTGCATTGCAATCATGCGTATTGACACGATTATCAAGTTGGACCCGGAGCAGAAACAGGATGATGGTCACGGGCACTAGAGCAACACCTAGGCCATTATTATGTTCAAATACCACAAAAATGACGTCTAATTGAATGTTACATAGAAACGCAGAAAATGCAGTGTATGTAACTGGCAACAACTTTGTGTCTCCTTGTAAGCTTGAATTGGTATATTGCTGTAGAATATGTACTGGGTGAGACTCGTGTCCCACGAGAACTGGCGCGCTTTATTGCCTCCGCTCGGCCATCAATCGTCGATACTCCTCGACGATGTTCTTTCGCTCGCTGGCCAATTCCTCTCGTCGTCTCAAACTACCAACGGCATTTGGAACATTAGCAACATCAACCATGGCTCCCCCCGGACTTTGAAGATCTCCCTGGGCTTTGTCAATTGTGGCGGAGCTTGCGCGACCTCGAACGGATTGGCCTGCCTCTCCTTGTCGCGTTTCTTCAGCTTTGCCCAAGGATCAGGGTCATCATCACCGCTGTCGTCGGCTCCGTTGGAACCCTTCTTTTTCTTTGGTGCTATTCCCTTCTTCTTGGCTTTGCCTCCTCGTGCCTCCGCATCCCACTGTTTCAAGATATCCAGCTGCTCTTCCATCTCGGCCTCGCGCTCTTCACGCTCAGCTTGCTCCCGTTCCTTAATCTTAGCATCCTCTTCACGCCATCCCGCTTGTAGACGGCGAAGATGTTTCTCATGTTTGGTCATTTTGTGATCTTTCACCTTTGGTGCGCCTGAGCTAGATTTTGTCATCGCAGACAATGGAAGTTCACGGTCCACACGGGCCGCAAAGTCTGCCAGTCTTTCACCGGGTAGAATTTTCGGCATCGGTTGCTTGACATCTTTGCTCTCCTTGGCCGCTGGTGGCGCAGCCTTGTCGTCGACGGGCTTCTTGGATGTCTTTTCTTTGCTGTCGGAGTCTTCACGTTTCCGCTTCTTGTTCGCTTGCTTCTTTTCGCCGTTGTCCAGTCCTGAAAGGCGCTTCCCCGTGCTGGCGTACTGCATCAGCCGCTGGAAGGCCTTGGGAGTGTCGAGTTCGGTGGCATTCTTGCGCCGCGACGTTGCAGGAGCTTTTGGTGGCTTTGCATTTGTTTGGGTTCGCGGCTGGGGCTTTGGCTGAGGCTTTTTACCGTGTTGAGACTTTTGACCGGGTTTCGGTTTCGCTTGTTGGTCGCGGACAGGCAGTGCTTTCGCGATCACTGAAGGCGGGAGATCGAAATGACTGTGGACAGCGTAGATGTTAGATCAATGAACAGCTACGCCCAAGCTTCAGCACAGCGTCCTGAACATACGAATCATCCTTATCACGTCTCTTGTGTTTGTGAGGCATGATGGGCTTGCAGATTGCGTGAGTGATGCAAAGACTCGAGTTGCTCTGCGGAATTTTTTTTGCTTTCCGGGTCTGCCCCGGACGTTATCGCCCAAGTAGGTGCTTATCGCCCGCCACGCAAGTACACCAGTAACCATAACTACTCGTAGTGACCACTGACCATAGACTTAAGAGTCCATACTCCTACCTAGTGACCACACAAGAAGGTACGGCGCACGCGGGCTTTCAGTATCAAGTCATGCGATTGCTATTCATTCGTCTTTAGGGGCTCGAGGACAACATTTCGAAAGATGGTCCGCATCCCACATGCATGGTCAGACTCGATGCGAATTTACAGCTGATTTCTCCACTCACAATCCCCAGGATAGCACTCTGTCAAGATGGATGTGTGCGACACGGGTCGGACGACATGGGTGAATATTCACGAATTGATTCACAGAATCCCTACAGAGACATGCTCTAGATAGACAGAAGATGTCATCAAACAATAAATTGCCAACAAGGTGAGAGGGTATGACACGCTAAAAGCAAGATTAAACAATAACCCCCTTGAGCGCCGTGCAAATATGCTCAATCTTCAACGTAACTCCCCAAATAATTCAACGCCACCGCCAGTGTAGAACATGAGTTCAAAATGTCATTCATCTTCATCATCGTACGAGTCTTTCGATGCAGCCCATCCGCATTGCCAGTCTCGGCCATCCTTGTGGCCCTGGGTCCGAAGCTCCCGAGCTTCTGGCCCTTCACGCCAGCAGCGAGCAGAATAGTCGTCGCTAACAGTGATGAGCTCGCCGTCCGCTGTCCATGAAATTCCAGTGACTTCTTTCTGGTGACCTTCAACAAGAGGAGTGCCCGACTCATAAATAGGAATTGTGTGCTCAAGTCTCCCCGAAAGACCGGCGCTGGAGTTGGAACGACGGAGGCCAGATCGAGTAGTGAAGAGAGAAGTTCGCGTAGGAGGCAGGTCATTTGGATAGAGTTGCACCGGTGACTGTAAAAACTTCTCGTCTGTAGGGAACAAGAGCGGACATTGATCACTGCTGCCAACAGCTAGTATTTCCGGGCGGTCGTAGGAAGCCTTGCGAACTGCAAGCTTCACGTAAAAAGTTGAGACTTGAAGGCGAGGATGACGAAAGCCGTGTAACGGACCAAGTCCCTCTTTGTCAGAGCCCCCAGATCGTCGAGGATGGGCGTGGTTCAGTGATAACTCGGGCGCATGCCCAAGCACCAAATGCGAGGTTGAATACGTGTAAACGGTTCCGTCTCGACAAAGGGTGTAGAGTCTGGCGCCTTCTCCACCAAAGGCCATGGAGGTCAACCCAAACCGCCGGTATTTGACGTGACTATCGGGTTCACGGGTAGTGGAGAGAGGTAGCACTGGCCGACCGCGCCGATTGTTGTGTGCTGTCCGCAAGTCCCACAGTCGTACACTTGCGCTTGCCTCGGATGCCGTGACGAATAGATTCTCCTGGCCTGGTGGCAGAAAGGCCAACGAAGTGACTGTGATATCAGAACGGCCAAACGGAGGCAAGTCCGCTTTCTCCAAAACTGCCTTATGGGGCGTGCTGTACGCATGAGCACCGTGGATGGTGTTGAGCACTTGAGGGTAGGTCATCTTGGCGGTCACTGCAGCCTGTGCAGATTCGGATTCGGACTCCAGAGAACATCTGACCTGCAATGACGGACGCTCAATACCTTTACATCGCAGATCCCAGATGCTCACGTTTCCGTCGCGACTGCATGTCGCCAGGACCTTATTGTTAGATGCCGGCTGGAATTGAACTCGCTTGACAGAGGAGGCATGGTTGTTTAAACAGTGAATTGCTCTCTGAGTGGTCATGTCGATGATCAAGGATGTTTGATCTCCAGAAGCAGTAGCCAACAGAAGATCGTCAGAGGAAAATTCAAGATCCATAATTGAATTCAAATGTGGGCGAAAGCCAAGATACGCGCTGGAAAAGCCTCGTTCATCGTCTTTGGATGAGTCGAGCAGACGAATCCCGCCTTCCTCGTCACCAACGGCAACCAGAGAGTTCGCTGTTCGCAATCAGTCATCAGATCGAGTAAACGTTGTCTTGTGTTCACGAAGTCTTACTGTTACATGACGCGTTACAGAAAGGAAGCGCCAATTGCCCTTCGTTGGCATAGCTAGAGCAGGAATGGCGATCTTCAGCACGCGAATGGAAATTGGACGTGAGGTCTTGCCAGCCTGCAACTTCAACGTTATTCCCAATGATCTAAAGAGTGTAATATCCAAATACGCACCCGCTCCCAGTGTTGACCTGGTGATCTTAGTCCTCGTACGTGAACCTTGGAGAGTTCGCATGAATAACGAACCCGACGTTTGCAGTACCCTAGATCGGCTCACGGGTGACACTGGTCGACGTTTGGGTGGACCAACGGGCGATGTATCGCGGCCTCTGGTGATCACGGCCGTGATATCGATATCTCCGAGGACAGCTCTTTGCTCCACATCATCACCAACCGGCGAACGAAGTCTAACTTTCTTTAAAGGTGATGATTGCACAGGTGACGCGACTGACGAGAACGAGTGTTTGCGCTTTCGGCTTGGGGTGCGAGGGAACTCTTCCGGTAGACCATGTGCAAAAGTCCGAGGGCTAGTCGTTTTCGAAGATCGAGTAAAGGCCGGACCCAGTCGATTAACAGCTGGCGAATTGAGGGCCCTCAATGCCTGACGATTCGTCTTCACATGACTAGCATTCCCGCTGTTCAGCAAGGATCGTGGCGTGAAAAAACGTCGGAAAGAACGCGGCGTAACAGTTGGTGGTTTTCTCTGTCGGCGCCCACCAGCAGCTTCGGATGCGACAGAAGGTGGGGAGGAAGGTATCTCTTGGGATGAAGGAGGTCGGATCGGTTCTGATCGTGGTGGCTCAGGAAGACCAGTTAAACCGACCATTGTGTACTCGATCGACACGAACCCAGTAGTTGATCATGAATTGCTCATGGAGGTTTGGTGCGAAAAATGATCCAGCCGAAGGGGGCAAGATGAGAGAGCGGGTCTGGTAGTGCGTGTTGCGCGCATCGGACGTGAGTCGTGACGCGGAGCGTGTAGAGCGGGTCACTTTACGCCTGATTTTGCCTAATCGGGCGACCAGACCAGGCCTTACTATGGTGTTGTCACGCTGCTGATGCTGTCCAAATACTACTTGAGCTAACTTTTGGTGACAGAATACTGGTTCATCAGTTGATGCCGTGTGTTGCACGACTAGCGCTCTAAAGCACACGTGAAGGGGACATTGAACAACAGCGATATCATAACCCAATCTAAGCTCTACCTGTAGCTTCTAAGACCACAAAGCGGCGAATCCTTCAGTGTTTACGCAACAAGCCTGGGCGATGAAGGACAAAATGCATGATCGAATAAGAAAGCTACACTCGTCATGGTGTTAGATAGAAACAACATCCTACTGCGCAGTGGAGGCAATTACCGAAGCTCTCGGGGCCGCAATCTTTAGATGGGAACGCCCGACTCGGACTTGGTCCAAAGGCGGTCCCGCTACATACTCACCGCCTTATATTCTGCCGTCAATTATCGGAATTTTTTAATTTTTTTTCCTTTGCAAGACAACAGGTTCTCTGGTCTACACAAGAATCGGTTCAGCCTCCCAACGATGGCACCGATCAAGCGGAAGGGGAATGCCCCTGAAGAGACAAATACTCGGCAACCGCAGAAGCGCGCCAAAGTTGGAGCAGAGGATCGCAAAGCAGAGTCCAAGCCAAGAGATACGGCTCCCCAAGCTTCGGAGCTCTCTGTCCTGCGCGACGATGAGCCGTCTTTCCCTCGTGGCGGGGGCAGCGTTTTGACTCCATTGGAACGAAAACAAATTCAGATCCAAGCCAACAAGGATGTGCTGTTTGAACAAAAGGGCGTGAAAAAGCCCACCCGTGAATTTGTCAATGAAAATGACGATGATGAAGACGAAGACGTCGAAATGGAGGATGCGGACGCAAATGCGAGTGCTAAGAAATCTCGAAAGAAGAAATCTAAAGCCAAAAAGTCTGCAAGCAAGGATTCCTCCGAGAAGGAAGGTGTGCGAATTGAAGGTCTCAGCTACAAGGTATGCTCCTCAGTGCAAAGTATCCGACGGTGCTTCGCGCTAACGTTGAACAGCGCATTGTACCGGGATCTATGATTCTTGGACAGGTCTCTGCAATCACCGCTCACGACATCGCCATCTCATTGCCCAACAACCTTGTTGGCTACGTACCTCTCACATCAGTCTCAAAAGTTCTGGACGACAAGATCGAAAAGATGCTGAACGACGACAATGACGACGATGAGAGCTCCGATGAAGAGATTTTCGACCTCAAGGAGCACTTCTATATTGGCCAGTATCTTCGGGCATATGTCACTTCGACAGGCACCGAGGCCACTGAGGCAGGAAGCCGCAGCAAGAAACGTCTCGAGCTGTCCATTGATCCGCGGCAGGCCAACTCGGGACTCTCGAAAACAGACCTTGTGGTGGAGACGGCCGTGCAGGCTGCGGTCGTGAGTGTCGAAGATCACGGTGTGGTTATGGATCTCGGTATCGAGGGCAGTGACTTAAAGGGTTTCATGTCTTCCAAGGAAGTCGATCCTCGTGTGGAGTACTCAAGTCTCAAGGAGGGCTCGGTCTTTCTCTGCATGGTCACCGGCCACAATGCCAGCGGAAACGTCATCAAACTTTCCGCCAAATTTCAATCGTCCGCTTCGATCAAAAATTCACACTTCCTCAGCGCCGCGCCAACCATCAACTCCTTCCTTCCTGGTGTTGCCGCTGAGATTCTATTGACCGAGGTCACCCCCGATGGAATGGCCGGAAAGATCATGGGCATGCTTGACACAGTCGTCGATTTGGTGCAATCTGGTGCAGATGACGGTAAGCTGGACATTGAGCGCAAGTGGAAAATGGGAGCCAAGATCAAGGGCCGCATCATTTCGACCTTCCCCAGCTCAGAGCCGTTCAAACTCGGCTTTTCTCTGCTTGACCATGTTATGAAAATGTCCTCCGATTCTCGCGGTCCGGGCTCATCTGACGAGGCACCTGCGGTATCTGCTATCGTCCCCGAGGTCACGATTGTGAAGATGGACCCCAGTGGTATGGGTTTGTACGCTCGAATTGGGGACTCAAAGCATATTGGATTCGTGCACATTTCTAGACTCTCGGATGGCAAGATTGAGTCTCTTTCGCCTGAAACAGGTGCTTACAGGGTTGGATCCACACACGAAGCCCGCATTGTAGGATACAACATGATCGACAATCTTTACCTTTTGTCCTTTGAGAAGTCCGTCATTGAGCAGCCTTTCCTGCGCATTGAGGACGTCAATGTTGGAGCTATCGTCAAGGCGAAGGTAGAGAAGCTTCTGGTTGGCGCCACGGGAATGGATGGTATTATAGTCAGCCTCGCTGATGGTATTTCCGGACTTGTGCCTTCGATGCACTTTGCCGACACTCAACTCCAGTTTCCAGAGAAGAAGTTCCGTGTGGGCCAGAAGATTTCGGCTCGTATCCTCTCCGTCAACCTTGACAAGCGCCAGATTCGCCTGACCCTGAAGAAGAGTCTTTTGAACAGTGAATCTGCCATTTGGAAGGATTACAAGGATATCATGGCTGGCGCTCAGTCTCCGGGAACTATTGTCAACCTGCAGCCTCACGGTGCCGTCATTCAATTCTATGGCACTGTGCGTGGTTTCCTGCCAGTTTCAGAGATGAGCTCGGCTTTCATTAAGGATCCGACTGAGCATTTCCGATTGGGTCAGGTTGTGAACGTTCATGCGCTGAGTGTAGATGCTGCTCAAGGCCGACTTGCCGTTTCGTGCAAGGACCCCTCTACGTTCAGTGAGAAATACGGCCAAGCGTTCGAGGATATCAAACCTGGTCTGCTCGTCTCTGGCACAGTTTTTGAGGAGTCTGGCGACGATCTGCTTCTCAAGCTCGAGGACACAGATCTGGTTGCCCGTCTTGATGTACAGCACATCGTTGACGGCTCGCCATCCAAACAAACCTCAACTCTGTCAAAAATTCGTGTTGGCCAAAAGCTCAATGATCTCTTGGTTCTTGACACACAGCGAGCTCATCGTTTGATCCGGGTCTCTAGCAGGGCCAGCTTAAAGAAGTCTGCGAAGCAGGGAAACATGCCTAGCACTTTCCTGGATGTGAAGGAGAATTCCAGCGTGACTGGATTTGTTCGCAATATTGCGCCAGCGGGTCTTTTCGTTGAATTCCTGGGTGGTCTGACCGGTCTGGTTCCCAAGCGACTCATTGAGGAGGCAAACCTTGCGAAGCCTCAGTTTGGGCTGTCCAAGGGGTCAACAATTACTGTGCGTGTTCACGAAGTCGACGCTGACTTCCAGCGCTTCATTCTCTCCCAGAAGGCTGCAGATGCCTCAAGCGCTCCTTCGAAGAAGATCAAGGAGCCTGTGCAGACAGATGATGTTCTTGCCAACTCCGTTGACTCAGAGATCAAGACGATGTCCGATATCTCCTATGGTCGGATTGTTAAATGCAAGGTTGTATCTGTGAAGGCTACGCAAATCAACGTGCAGTTGGCGGACAATATCCAAGGCCGTATCGATGTGTCGGAGATTTTCGACAAGTGGGAGGAAATCAAGGACCGAAAGCAGCCTTTGCGATTCTTCAAGGCGAAGCAGCTCCTCTCCGCTCGCGTGCTGGGTGTCCATGATGCTCGCAACCACAAGTTCCTCCCCATCTCCCATCGCAGCGGCAAATATCCGGTCTTTGAGCTGTCTCTCAAGCCCAGCTTCATGAATGCTGCTCATCCCGAACCTCTGAATATGGAACAAATCAAGGCGGGCTCGTCATGGATGGGCTTCGTGAACAATATTGCTGACGACTGCCTTTGGATCAACTTGTCCCCTAATGTGCGTGGCAGATTGCGCTTCATGGACGCTTCTGACGATCTGTCACTTCTGACCGATGTGGAAAAGAATTTCCCTATCGGCTCAGCTCTGAAAGTGCAGGTCACCGCGGTCAATGCTGGAAAGGGTCACTTGGACCTTTCTGCGAAGCATGGCTTCGATAAGCTTTCATTTGGAGACGTCTCCCCAGGCATGATCTTGGCCGGTCGTGTGACCAAGATTACCGATAAGCAGATCATCATGCAGCTCGGCGAAGCTCTCGTTGGCGCAGTCAATCTTATTGACATGGCTGATGATTACTCCAAGGCCGATCCGAGCGTCTACCACAAGAATGAGGTGCTGCGCGCTTGTGTCGTTGCTGTCGAGAAGGCTAGAAAGAAGATCTCTCTGTCTCTTCGTCCCTCAAAGATTTTGAGCTCTTCATTGCCAGTACAAGATCGCGAGACCTCATCTATCAGTGACATCAAGGTCAACGATGTGGTTCGCGGATTCGTGAAGCGTATCACTGATGCTGGTCTGTTCGTCACTGTTGGCCATGACGTTACTGCCTACGTGCGAGTGTCGGAACTATCAGACTCTTATCTCAAGGAATGGAAAGATTCCTTCCAGACCGATCAGCTTGTCAAGGGCCGTGTCACACTCGTCGATGTAGAGCAGAACAAGTTGCAAATGAGCTTGAAGGACTCGGTGCTTGACCCTGATTTCAAGGCTCCTCTGACGATCCGCGATCTTAGGGTTGGTCAAATCGTTACCGGCAAAATCCGCAAGGTTGAAGAATTCGGCGCCTTCATTGTCATCGATCGCTCGGCCAACGTGAGCGGTCTCTGCCATCGCAGCGAGATGGCTGACAAGCGTGTCGAGGATGCCCGCACTCTGTATGACGAAGGAGATGCTGTCAAGGCCAAGATTGTCAAAATTGACACCGAATCTGGCAAAATCTCTTTCTCGCTCAAGGCTTCTCACTTCCGGGGCGAGGCGGACGAGAGCAGTGATGACGAGGACGCAGAGGATGAGGCTGGCGGCGTTGAGCTCGAAGGCAACGACAGTGACGATGAGGATGATGACCTCTCCATGGGCGGTGTTGAAGTCGAGAACGACAGTGATGAGGATGAGAACGATAGTGACGAAGACAGTGATGAGGAAGAGCCTGCGAACGGTCCTACCAAGGAAGGCGGACTTGGCGCAAGTGGTTTCGACTGGAGCGGCAACGTTCAGGGTGAGGACGTGACCATGGCCGATTCTGACAGCGATGAAGATGAGGAGCAACAGAAGAAGAAAAGGAAGAAGAGCAAGCCGGAGATTCAGGTTGACCGTACCGGCGATCTGGATGCGAATGGTCCTCAAACCGTTGCAGACTACGAGCGACTTCTTCTTGGTGAGCCGGACTCGTCGCTGCTCTGGTTACAGTACATGGCCTTCCAGCTCGAGCTGGGTGAGGTTGAAAAGGCCCGGACTATTGCCGAGCGTGCCTTGCGTACGATCACCATGGGTCAGGATTCCGAGAAGCTCAACATTTGGGTTGCACTTCTTAACCTCGAAAACACCTACGGTAACGACGACAGCCTCGAAGAAGTGTTCAAGCGCGCTTGCCAGTACAATGAGCCACAAGAAATGTATGACCGCATGATCAGCATCTACATTCAATCCGGCAAGAACGAGGTATGTTACCATTCCAACACATCACCCATGGATTGATGGCGTACAGAAAACTTTGATGACAGCGACTGACTACATCTACAGAAAGCGGATGATCTCTTCCGAAATGCCATGAAGAAGAAGATTGGCACTCAATCCCCCAAGTTCTTCTTGAACTACGCCAGCTTCCTTTTCGATTCGTTGGCCGCTCCAGAGCGTGCTCGCGGTCTACTACCGCGTGCTCTTCAGTCACTGCCAGCACACACTCACGTTGAGACGACATCCAAGTTCGCTCAGCTGGAGTTCCGGTCCGCCAATGGCGACGTTGAGCGTGGTCGTACTGTCTTCGAAGGCCTGCTCTCCTCATTCCCCAAGCGTATCGACTTGTGGAACATCCTGATCGATCTTGAGATCAAGGCCGGTGATGCTGAGCAGGTGCGCCGCCTGTTCGAGCGCGTCCTTGGACTTCAGCACAAGAAGGGATCTGTTACCATTGATCCCAGCAAGAAGGTCAAACCCAAACAGGCGCGATTCCTCTTCAAGAAGTGGCTTGCCTTTGAGGAGAAGTTGGTCGCTGAGGGTGGAGACGAGAAGATGGTTGAAGAGACCAAGGCTCGGGCCGCGGCCTATGTGAAGTCTCTGCAGGAGGCTGAGTAGTGTGGCAATGATATGACTCGCATTTGCACATAACGGGGTCGTCAAGCGCCTTGTCATTCTGTGGTTTTTCTTCAACAAAAGCTTGGCTCAATTTGTCCGGTCTTTTTTACGCTGACTTGGTGTTTGGATTACTGCAATCTCATGTATATAAGGCGACCATTCGGGTCGCAGATCAATCATAAAGTTTTTCTGCTTCTTCACTGCTTCACTACTCTTTTTTATTCCCTTGAGTAGTGTTCTGTAACCCGATCTGCTTCATTTCAGTCGTAGTCGTGCCACTCAGTTCGGACATTAAGAGACATCGGACAGAAGAAAGGTTAGTTATGCCGTAGAGCGATGTGCCACGGCAGACCCGACTCGGGCCTGAAGACTGGCATCGGCAGTGTGACCTGACACTCGCCTCAATTGTTCTCTAAATACTGAGACGTCACCGTACGTAGAGGGCACAAAGTAGTATCAAGCCATGCTGTAATAACAACGTCCCAACTTCCACTAAAACTCTGTCTTCGCCTGAAACACCTACGAATATTCAAGCTGGGTGTTTACCGCTTCTAATCACGTCAATCCCAATTCGCGCTCCTCCGATTCAGTCGTAACTTTTCTACTTCCATCATACTCATAGTCATTTGATATGCATTTCATCACTCCTACCTTATTGAGTTGGTGATTCGGTCAGCCCGCCGTCGTAATTCTCCACGCAAAGGTGGGCCCCCTTGGCTTGTTCGGTCCATCGCGGTCCCCCGTGGAACTCGCCACGAAAGCCGATGCCGCCTTGCGCCTAGCCATGGCACGTTGCCACTGATCAAGGTGAGAGACACTGGTACATAGAAGTGGGAAAGCTGGATCATGACAAGCTGAAGCATATTTAGAGATATAGTACTTAGTCAATTGGGTACTTGGGAACAAGCGCTTGCAGGAACTCCAGCTACTCGGGCATGTCCGTCATGCTGTAAGTACCAAGTTGAAAGTACCGTGTCCTGGCGCGGTACTGCAGCACCTTTGCCCATCCCCAGGATTCATGAGCTCGAGAGCGCATATTGAATGAACGAGGGAGACTCGGCGAGGAAGATCGGCCCTGACTGGCTAGTTCACCGTGCTGTCAACTCATATGTTGCATTAAGTCCAGGCCCGAGGCGGAAGGAGTCTTGAATAAGATCTTGAATGTGGATATCAACTGACGACCGGGATTTGCAGAGGATTCATCCAATTCGCAACCATTGCTGTGTCAATAGGAATTGCATTCTTCCCAGACAAGTTTCTCAGTCATGCAGTACGATCGTGGTCCCAGATTGAGTTCGTAATCGACACAGACGACGCGGCGCATTGGCTCGTCGATTTCCAAACTCCTGGAGATGTGGTGCCGGTGGGCTGTCACTCACACAACGATTACTGGCGAACTGTACCCCTGTTCTCTGCTCTACGAGCAGGATGCATTGGAGTCGAAGCCGACGTGTGGCTCTTCAACGAGGAGCTCTATGTCGGACATACGCCATCCTCTTTGGCCGCGACGAGGACATTGGAGTCCATGTACATCGGTCCTCTCGTTCGGATTCTGGACTACCAGAACCGCAGGGCTGAGTCGCTTCGGCGTGGTCATGCAGCACCGGTCGGCGTATATGACACAGCTCCCCAACAGACATTGGTCCTGTTAATCGATCTCAAGACGGACGGTGGCGTGACTTGGCCGGTGCTTCAGAAGCAGCTGGCCCCCTTGCGAGAACGTGGATATCTCACGTATTTCAATGGTGAAAAGATCGTTCAAGGCCCTATCACCGTGGTCGGAACAGGTAATACACCCTTTGATCTTGTCATCGCCAACACAACACACAAAGACGTCTTCTTTGATGCGCCATTGGACAAGCTCGTGGGAACTATCAAATCACCAAGTAAACGGGTGCGACGACGCGTGCGACCAGCGAGCAGACGATCCACAGACGTGGGACAGGGTCTGTCGGGCACGCCGGAATACATCGATGCAGGCACCTTCAACGCGAGCAATAGTTATTATGCCTCGGTGTCTTTTCGGCAAGCCATTGCGTTGACCTGGCATATGCGGCTTGATGATACAAAACTTGAAATGCTTCGGAATCAGATCCGTATTGCTCATAGTCATGGGTTAAAGGTGCGATACCGGGGCATTCCAGGTTGGCCGCGAGCTTTGAGAGATTATGTTTGGCGGATTTTGTTGCGAGAGGGAGTGGATATTTTGAATGTGGACGATTTGGCCGCCGCTACTAGAATGCTACGAGCAGGGAGTGGCGGACACACTTGGGACTCTGGGCTCAGGTAGACACAAGTCCATGCTGTCGGCGCACATCGATTTGTGGGCAATTACATACTCTTTTGATCCCGAAGGAACACGATGACTGAACGTTTGAGAGGCTTCCTGTTAACGACATGTTGCGAGGATTCTTGGTCGGCAAGGCCTCAAGTCCGATTCTACAGCATCGAGGCGTCTCGATTGGTGTACATAATTATAAGTTAGAGGTTCGAACATATTAGAATCATGGAAAGTCTGATGATGGGGGTATCAGTGGTCATCTTTCTTGCAAAGTTTGCAAGAGTATGTCAGGAAATTTTCACCGTTCATTTGGTGGGTAAACGAGACGCGACAGTACCAGTCTGCCATATATACCTGCTTGTAAATGTCAAGTACAGTGGTAAGCTTGAATAATCAAGCAAGAGTAAGTACACCATGCTATCGATGGTCGGTTTTATCATCCAGATGATCGTCCAAAGTACCCACGGGGTTTCGAGCGAATAAAGGCACGTGTCACAAGCGCAGAACGAGCGCAAATCATGCATAAAATCACAAGGCAATAATTAGTCCCATGAAGTGTTGGAGCAGAGGTTCCCACAAAAAAAAAGACCCAGTGACAGTGAGCTCGAAAGATAATAAGGAGAAACGGTGTCTCAAAGGCAGAAGAGTGCCTCCTCGCCAAATTCTCGTACAATGCTGCCTTCCTTGCGGAGCAAACCTCCAAGCCAGTCCTTGGCTGTTTCAAAGTCCTTGGCTCCAAATTTCACAAGGACAAATCCCGCGCGCACGCGAGCAGCCGTCCATGTCACTTCACCCTTGGAACTGAGCGATGGGTCGGGTTCTGACGATTGTGCGGTCGAGGACCAATTTTGACCTCCGATCCGAGGCTGTGAATTGAATTGATGCATCAAGAACGAGCCCAAACTATCGAACACCGGGCCCGCCATGATCAAAGTGCCAACCACTCCGTGTGGGCGCGTGCGCTCCTTGATCACATTCAAGGATGTGTGCTCAGCCGGTGGTGGCTGAATTCCCACTGGAGGAGCAGAGTGGCTGTCCAGTCCAGTACTGCCATGTTCTACCGTGAGGCTTTCCTCTGACGTTGCGTCATTATCGGTCTCGTCGTCCAGGATAACCGAGTCTCGCAGCAGTAGTCGCTTGCGACCCGTCTTTTTGTCGCAGGCCCAAACTTCGTTTCGTCCGCGCCAGAAGCGAAAGTCCCAATTCTCGCCTCGGGACGTCCGACCCTGTGTGACCCAGTCCAACACACACAGACTGCTGCGCTCGCCGCCCCTGGCAGAGGCGTCCACGGTGAAAGTTTGCACTTGCGCATAGCGACTATTTTTGAAGGGCACCGACGGGTCTGGCAAGTAGCACAGCGCCGCTTGCCGCCCAATGCGGACATCAAGGGATTGCTTACTCATATCGGCGAGATGTTGATTTGATGGCATTTGTTCCCGATGACCCTTGATTAACTTGATGCCGTTGGCATTATTGGGTTCGGTCTTGAAAATCTTGGTACTTCCTTGAGGGGTGGTGACTACCATGCGTGTCCTGGGCTCCAATTGCATGGACACCTCGATGTGATCCCCAGGCAGTAGACCACCGCCGTATGTCAGGAGATAGAGATGCACTGGTCTGGAGGAAGATGTCTCTGACGCGTCGAGGTCCTCCGAGCCGGGCACGAAGCTGGACGCCCTTGGGACCAACTTTAATGGGTATTTGTATGTGAGAGTTGTGAGAGTGGGGTTGTTCGGAGGAAGAAGAGAGAGCACCACGTTGCCTTGACCGGGCTTCGCGATCGACGACTCGAACGGCGAGCGGATCGGCATAGCTGGTTGTCGCATGGCGACGACTCGATTTTGATGATGACGACGATTGAGATGGTTGGCGTGGTTCTGCGTCGAGGATGAGTGTGGGCCTTCAAACTCTGAAGATGTGGTGCGTTTGGAAGAAGAAAGGTGGACCGAACGACGAGGAGCTTATCAACGATAACTCCCAAGATCGATCGTGAATCTTGCAGTTGACTTTGACGATGCGAGTATCACACCTGGACACCGGGAGGAAGGAGAGGGCGTTAGGATTTAGTTTTGTGTCATCTTTTGCAACCTCACAGTCCAATGTGGATGACCTGGCGCATTTAAGACGAGGGCCGCCATTCTTACCCCAGAAAATTGAGTGGGATTCCAATGATACCATCCGGTGGCTGCGGTGCGTGCAGGTGGGACCGCCCCGGGGTCGGTCTAGTCCAGTGGGAATGAGTGAATCTGACGATATTTGAGGGCGGAGATGCTGTGGAATCAAATCTTCCTTGCGCGCTCGTACACCGGTCACCTCAACCACCTCATGACTTGCTGGACTCCGTGAGACCGAGCGAAGCAGACTGAAGCACGCTCATCTCTGCGAGTTTCTATGACACACAAGAATCATGGATCGCCGCAGTAGCCAGCGCTCGGCCGTCTCGGCAACGCCTGCAGCATCGAATCATCGGCAATCGCCGCGTCCGCCAAGCCTGACGGGATCCGCGTCGAAGCTCATGCAGGCACGTGATGGTCACGAGGACCGGGGATCGACTGAGGCAAGGTCCAGACGTCAAATCCAGTATGAACTTCGAGTTCCGATCACCCCAAGTCAACAGAACGGCGGACTTGACTGGCGTCACATCAATGCGTACATTGTACACAGTACATAGTACATATTACATACTGCATCAGTGCATGCCCAAGGACTACATCACTCCAGTACTAAGTCAGTGAGTACTCGGCGAGTCAGTAGACTGAGCAGTGAGCACTGAGCACAGTACATCGATCAGGTATGGGCGAGAGGATTTTAATTATCGTGAGGAGCTGACAGTGCAGACTGCAGAATGCAAAGCCCTGCTCTCGTATCGTTTAATGCATTAAGACCATGCCCTGTGCAGGCTGTGCTGCATGACGTTGATGGAAATTCTTACCCCCCATCGAGGGATGACCCCGGCGAATATATTTCCCACGGCTCCCTCGATGAGGTCACGATAGATCAAGGGTTGTCCCGCTTTAGCATCGCCACAACCTTGACCAGATCGGCCCGCTCAGCATTCTAATGATACTGTGTAAATAAATCAAAGATGATCCATCTAAGCCTCCATCCTACCCAGTACTAGTACGCACCTGGCCTGTCAGTAGGTACTTGGCAGATATTAGGCGGCAGGATATGGCGGACGGCCTTGATGCGGCCGATTGGAGATTACATGTGTGTCGACGATTGAACTTGACCGACTGACATTTAGTTACCTTATCCAGTCCATTATCTTCTGGCATCTTTTTAAAAAGGAGCAGTCGCTACTCAGGATACATGTATTGACGCATTGGGATGCCATTCAGGACAGACATACGATCCTCAGGCCGAAGTAAAAAGGCCAGGCCGAGATTTCATCTTCTGGGCTGTACCCTCGTAGTATTGCAGTCGGATCGACTACCGCTTGTCGATATGGAGAAACCGCAGTGAGGTCTGGTCCCTGGGTACCTCGCTGCACATCATCGGCGGGTAGTAAGAGACTAAGAGTAAGGTACCACAAGACTCCAAGCCAGGTCATCCGTCACCGGCACCGCGAGCGTGTCAGGCGCTCAGGCACCAAGTCGCGTCGCACCTCCTGTGGATTTACGCTAAACCCCCGCTCTCATCGACAATCGGATGCTTGAACGGTCTCCCAAAAATCAATTTATCCGCACGCTGTGGCATGCCGCGAATGACCCTCGGCGACGCATTACTCCCACTCATCAGAAGTGATCAAGTCTGTTGATAACTACGCGGCCTTTGCAATCTGCCTCTGCTGTGTGCGGCGAACTACGTCGCAAAGCGCGTCTCGTCACAGCGCGTTGGCTCGAAACTCTACGGTACACTCACCAGCAATCCTCAAACACGCTTGACCACACATGAATTTGGCTAATCCGCAGATTTTTTGGACCCGTCGCAGCCTTTTTGCTTTCAGTCCGGGGCCGATATCTAAACGATTATGGACGTGGACAACGCAAGCAGTCCAGCGTCCACGCCCGCGGAGGACCGACGCAAATCAGGTCGGGCGACGCGACGGCCCGAGGTCTTTTCGCAGACCAATCACTCAATTGTCGATGCGAATACAAGTGCGAAGCGAAAGCGCGGCGATGCGCTGGATCAATCCGACAGTGAAAATAATCTCGCAGAGTCCGAGTCCGATGATGCCGAAGACGAAGAGGCCGACGAGGAAGAGATCCGCGAGAAGCGACGGACCACCACCCGCAAAAAGGGGCCAAAGAAAGCTGCCGTGAAGAAACGTACCCCGGCCGCCAAGAAGCCTAAGGTCACCGGCAACGGCGTAGGAAGACAGCTCGCATTTCGGCCCGCAACGAATGGTCGACAGCCAATGTCGCGCCCTCGTAAAATCAAGGCCAGGCCCAGTTTGGTGACAGGCGAACAAGGTCTCTACGGTAAGAAAACAAACCTTGCCATTGATTTGCAAACACCACACACGATTCTTGAATTTCTGAGTCTGACTGTTTCCTACCCAACAGCCGAGGTTTTCGGAAAGAGCAACAACTCCGAGACAGCGGCAGCTCAATGGCTCAGTCAATATGAGAAGAATCCCGCACTTGCCATGCGTGACTTGGTCAACTTCATCCTTCGATGCACCGGCGACAATCTGGAAATCACCGAGGAGCAGGTGGTTGAGGTGGACCATGCGCCGGAGCATATTACGGAACTTCAAGAAGTCTACATCGCGCACAAGATCCCCGAATACCCTCTCATGGCCAGAGACAAGAAATACCGTGCTTTTCAACCAGTTCTGGAAGAATTCTTTGCCGCACTAATCCAAACTTTCCATCACTCTTCGATCTTGTACACGGACGTTGTGCTTTTTGAAAACATTCAGATCTGGATTTCTTGTATTTCAACAGCAGGAATTCGGCCCTTCCGTCACACTGCCACTATCATCTCACTGGCTATGACCACAGCTCTGTGTACGATTGCCCGAGAAGTGATGACAACCGTGACAACTTCTCGCAAACAACTTGAAAGCGAAAAGAAGAAGAAAACCCAGAACAAGGGTCGCATCGGAGCGATCCAAACCGCTATCTCTGAAGGCGAAAACAAGATCGAGCGTCTGGACGAGTTCCTTCAAGACGGCTTTGATACTGTCTTCGTTCACCGCTACCGAGACGTCGATGGCGTGATTCGGGGTGAATGCTTGACTGCACTCGGTAAATGGATTGCGACGTACAGGGAGATGTTCTTCGAGGGCCAGTACTTGCGATATCTGGGCTGGACCCTTGCCGATGTGGTAGCGCATACTCGCCTGGTTGTCTTGGAACAATTGTTGCCACTCTACGAAAACAAGGACAATGTTGCAGTTCTTCATTCTTTCACCGATCGTTTCCGTCCAAGGATTGTGGAGATGGCTTCGCAGGACGCTGATATTCACGTCCGTGTGGCCGCAATCGAACTGCTGGTTCATCTTCGCGAGGGGGGCCTACTTGAACCGGGCGACATTGATGCCGTCGGTCGACTGGTATTCGACATCGATCCCCGTGTTCGGAAAACAGCTGGGCGCTTCTTCGCCGCGAATGTGCAGGATGCGTTCGAGTCATCGATTGAAGAAGTTGCGGACGAAGTCAATGAAATGTTCGCTGATGACGAAGACGAAGACGAATACGAATCACCTAAGCGCTCATGGATCAAATTCAAGACCTTGGTGGAAATTTTCCAAGCATACGATGATCAGGGCGAGGAAAAGGCGCCCGAGTCTGTGCGCAATGTCCTCTCTGGTGCGCCAGCCGATTCCCGCTTCGTCCTCGCAACCGAAGCTATTTACCCATATGTGGAGGAGCTGTCTCAGTGGCAGTCGCTCGCCGGCTACCTCCTCTATGACCACTCACAGATCGAGGATGAGCCCGAAGAGGACGATGCCACGGGCTTGGTCAGGACCTTGTACAAGATGAGTGAAGGGCAAGAATCTATTCTTTTGGAGATTCTTTGCGCAGCCGTCAAGCTTCGTGTACTTGATATCGCGAAATCTGATATCGACAAGCGAGGTCGCAAGGTGAGGGCTTTGACCGCTAAGATCCCCGAATTACAAGAGGAAATCTCACATTGCCTGGCTCAAATCATCCCTCAACTTCTAAACAAGTTCGGGTCGGCGCCAGAAGCAGCATCTGCGGTGTTGCGTCTCGAGCATCTTGTGGACCTGGATACCATTCAGGATCTGCAGAAAGATGCGACCGCATACACGACGCTGCTCAACGACATCAACAAGCAATTTCTCACTCACTCGGACCAAGATGTGCTTGCTGAAGCTAGCGTGGCTTTCTTGCACGCAAAGAGCTCCGAAGAAATGCGGGATGCTCTGGAGGGTAAGGTCCAGGAGCTTTGGGATGACATGATTGATACCTTGATCGCGCTCTACCGGAAGAAGGAGGTTCAGGCCGGGGCATTTATTCCCGATCCAACAATTACCGAGCTGGCTCATACTGTGATGCGAATCGTCAACCTATCTGCCATCGTTGATTGTACTGCTATCTTGGAGACGGCGCCCAAGTCTCACTCCAAATCCAAGAAAGATGCGTCTGAGGCCCCATTCAACGTTCTCATGCACATGATTCAGCGAGGCACTCGCAAATTGGATGATGACGAAGACATTGCCCGGGCAGAAACGGAAGTTGTCGTCAGCAGTATTCGTATTCTGCTCTTCTACTTCATGTGGAAGGTTCAGACCCTGGCGGCAGCCTTGAAGGACGGCCAAGCCTCGTTTTCTACATCGTACTTCGAGGCGCTGGCAAAGAGTCGGGAGGCATTTGTCACTGCTCTTCTTGCTATCATGCAAGAACGACATGGCCTTGATGACATTCGCTTCACGGCTGCCACTACCTATTTAGATCTACACACGCTTTTCAGTACCTTGCGCAACGCCGGACAGGGCGTCGGAAACAATGAAGATGTTCTTTTCCAAGCCCAAGGTCTCGTCCACGAGATTCCAGCGCAAGGTGAGAACCAAGTCTCCAAGATCCAAAGCCTCGCCGAGCGGTTATTCGCCAAAAAGTCAAATCGCGGTCTAGAACCTGGAGAAGACGACGAGCCGGCATCAGAGGATGAGCCAGAGGACGATGAGGAAGCGAGTGATTCCGACGATGAAGTTGCTGCCAATGAACGCCTTCGAAACAGCATGATTGCCGAGCAGCGTCTGTGTGAGTTGACCGGTAAGCTGGTGTTGGCCATCATCGGCCGCGTGATCGATGCTTCGGGATCTCGACGTGGCTCTCTCAAAAAGCGTCTTCTCCGTCACAAAAATACGCTGGGTCACAATTACCGGGAGGTGCTTTCTTATTTGGAGGAGCGCAAGCCTCGTAGCGCGCCTCGCAGTCGAACAAAGCGAGCATCAACTGGTGGGGGAGTTGACGGCGAGACTTCCACTGGCAAGAAGGATTTCAAGTCCGCCGAGCGTATTGGGGATGAAGACGACGAAGATGGAGCAGAACACGAAATCTCAGATAACGACCGTGGAGCGGAGAACGAGGAAGCCGCCGAAGATCACGACCACGGAGACAACGAGGACGAAGGTGACGGCGAAGCGGATGATGCTGAACCGGTCGAGGAAGACGACGATGAGGACCTTCGTAATCGCGGTCTCCTTGAAGAAGACATCGACCGAGACGACAGTCAAGATGAGCAAGACGCTGCCTCGGCCGCTGATTCGGATGAGGACGAGGTTATGGGTGATTAATCGATTGCTCGATACCAATCAAATGGACCATCACACGCATGACAATGATATCCTACTGAAAAAGGCCAACAATAATGCCCTCCCCTTGTCCTCTTCTCCTTTCACACACATCTGTTTCTTTTCTCTCTCTCTTTTTACTTTGATGATCTGTGCAAAGCTTGCCTCATCTGGCTTTCTTCTCCTATTTTAGCTTCACGTAACATTCCCCTATCTTTCTGTCTTTCCGATCTCCTATATTTTTACAATATTCCCTATCGCTGTGGATAGAAAGCTATCGACCGAACCTTTTCAAATGTATCAAACCAGGCTGTATCTGTGGCCTACGTAATCTTAGTACTGCGACCCACCGCCGAGGTCCATGTCGGTCTCTTACTATCCCTACATATCTTAAGCTGATTTATGTTGCTGCCATAGCTAGATATTCATAACTTGAGGAAAAATAAAAGTCTTGCCGTAACTGTAATTTGTCTCCACGTGTCTGATAGCGACATCTTGAAAGACATTGACTTTCAAACGTAGCCGCGAGGTGACGGCATGAGTCGAACGCGGCGAGGAATATCTTAGAACAGGTATAGTCTGATGGGTGATTTAAGCACAGAACTTTTCTTCATGATATAACCTTTGAGTAGGCAAGCGTCCCTGCGAAGGGTTGGCGGGGGTATGGTAGAAATCTCTTCCAGACTGTCACCGAGAGCTGCCATCACCCGAAATGACAATGTCCCTCAACCCGAACGCCACCAGAACGGCAAGAAATCAGACAGACAGCCTAGGGAAATTGAATCTTGGTAGTGGAATATAAATGACATTAACATTCAACAGGGAAAAAGACCGATCCTTGAAATAGAAATACGCCTGTGTATGAGGATGCTAGAAGGGGGGTTGGGTTTACATGATGGTGAATCTTTATCGTGAAAGAGGAAATGGTAAAAGGGGGCCGAGGAAAAAAAAAGACGGGGAGAATCGTGAACAGGGCTTCCCAAATGTGACGGAAATTGGAGCTTCGGGGACGAATGGAGAGGGGGAGGGGGAACGTTCAAGATGATGCCACAAAAGACATCAGTTTGAGCAAGGGCGAACAAAAGGCACGAGCCAGGATGAAATAAGCTCTCCTCGAATATTCTCCTGGGACGAGCAGGAAGCTCGGACGCTCAGCGGGGTCCGGGTATCTGACCGTGCTGATACTGCGAGGGGTGCCAAGGGCGTTGAACCCGGCCCTTGAGAACCTGAGGAATTTGAAAATGGACATCTTGGCAGATCCATTTACATGTCCATGGAGTCAGGAGCGCCAGCAAAGTTGAATCCGCCAGCAGGCTGCTGCTGTCCAGTGCCAAGAGTGAAGCCGGCTTGGGTCTGCTGAGGTGCCAGCTCGTCGATCTCACCAGCTGCCTCATCCTCGTCAGAGAAGTATTTCTCGATGATGTTGTAGGCCTTCATGTAGATTTCCTCGTTGGCGTTGTTCTGGCAGTCGTGAATCTTCTCCATACCACCGGCTTCCTCAATGAAGAGAGCATAGCGGTTAACGTGGGCATCGCCCTGACCGGCCTCCTTGTCCATTTCGCCGACCTTGAGAATGTTCTCCAAGCCATCCAAAGCCACCTGAATGATCTTGTTGTCAGGGCAGGCGAGCAAATCACAAAGTGGCTTGATGCATCCTTGGGAAACCAGATAACGGATCTGATCAGGCTTCTGCAAGCCACCGGAAGTTGCGTTGGAGATCGCCCAGCATGCTTCCTTACGGGTCTTGAAATCGCCGTTGGCCAGGAGGTTGATAAGGGGCGCAATGATACCCGCATCAATGACAGCCTGAATTTGGCTCGAGTTTCCAGCAGTGATGTTGGAGATGGTCCAGCAGGCCTCCTTGCGAATACCGTCTTTGGTCGAGCTCAAGAGGGACAGCAGAGCAGGAAGTGCTCCGCAGTTGATGATCACCTGGGTCTGAACGTCGTCTCCGGTCACTGTTGGTTTTATTCGATTAGCATTGATTCAAGACAGACAGGGGCCTCGACCACTTACCGATGTTTCCAACAGAGCGAAGTGCTGGAGTTTGAACCGATGTGGAGGCGTGCATGAGCAGCTCCACAAGGCGTCGGGGAATGCCCGCCTCAATAACAGCTTGGATCTTGTCATTGCTACCGTCGGAGAGGTCTACATTTGCCAAAAAAATTAGTTTCGAGTTGAGTGACGAATGGTGGAGTCGAGTTTCATACATGAAATAGCCCAGCAGGCGTCGATAAGGACCTCATCATCCAGCATGTAGATAAGCTTGGCGAGGACAGGCAGAGCAGGAGCAATCTAGGAAAATGGTAAGCGCATGTCTTCGAGCCGGAAGCGCTGCTGAAGAGACAGTGAAATACATACGGTGTTCCAGTCAGGCTGGGGGGTCTTGCCACGACAGAAGTTGCTCAGGGTCCAGGTCGCGTTACGAAGCATGCTCAGTTTGCGGCCATCGTTGATCAAGTTCAGGAGAGGGCGCAGCGCACCAGCGCCGAGAACGAAATCACGACAGTGAGGGCTATCACCAGCAATATTTCCAAGGGCCCAAACGGCCTGCTCCCGCACATCGGGCTCAGGGCTGGCAAGCAGCTCGACGAAAATGGGCACAGCGCCGGCGGAGATCACCACCTAACTCTAATTAGTACCGAAAAGGGCCATGACATAGGTCTCGGAACATACCTGTGTCTGGGTAGCGCTTCCACTGGCGATATTTGTGAGAGCCCAGGCGGCTTCGAACTGGACAAGGGTGTGGGGGGAGCGGAGGAATTCGACAAATCCTGCGAGTTTTGTCAGCGACAGTTTCTGGACTAATCAATACAATTGACAGTCAACTCACGGCTGACAACGCCAGTCTCAATGACTCGCTCAATAGGAGGGTTGCGTTCCTTGGAGAGAAGCTTTCGGAAGCGGGTGGTGGAGCTGCAAGTGGTTAGAAAAGTCGGAAACGCATCCCCTCGTGAATGAAGACGTACCTGATCTGGTCCTCAACGGAGTCGGACATCACGCCCTTGACCATCAAGGGAAGTTCGACATTGAGCTACACAATTCATGATATTAGCGTCTGTTTGAACCAGCATAGTGGGGTCATTTCACTGATGGGCCGAGTTTGGAGGGGTTGGCCCCATAGCAACCGGGCGGTGAAAAAAATTCCATGTTGATGATCGACTTATACAAACAAAGGGAAAACTCGGCGTGGCCGTTGATCCTCGCTAGAGGGGCAGTGATCCAGGCAGAGCTTCCTAGAGGCAGGTCGATTGTCTGCGAGCATGCAGGCACCGCAAAATGGAAAAAAGGGAAAGGGGACGAAAATTATCAAGACTCACCTCGCTCTCGATAGCACTAGCTTCATCGTCACTTTCGGTAGCAGCACCTGTGGCACCACCGACGCCAATTCCACCATCACGAGTGGTGATACCACGTCGCTTCGCGAGTCCTTCCTCGCGCTTCTGCTTGCGGATCTCAATCTGCTGTTCTTCACGGCGGCGGCGAAGCTCATCGGGACGGAACTGGTTCTTAGCCTTGAACTGCGTCCGACGGTGCTCGGGAATGTAGCGTTCCGCCATATTGTGGCTTCGTTGGGGTTGTTGTGTTTTGGAAAAAGCGCCCTTTCGAGTGTCAAGTTGCGTTGGTTGATAAGGATGGACGCGCTGGCGATGGGGGTTGGTGGAAGAAGAAATGTGGGGGGAGATAGAAGAAGACGAGGAAAGGATTCTTGTGGGAAGGAGGGGAAGTCATGTGACTTTTCTCCGATATTCACTTTCCACTCCTTTGGACCTTGTTACCATGAAAGCTCTGGCGCTTTTGAGGAATTTACCTACTGCAAGTCGTAGGCGAAAGGCTTGTCAAGAGACTTTTTTGATCGTTGATTATCTGCTTTGGTGCAAGTTCGAATAAGAGAACCTTCCGGCTCAGCATGGAATACCACTGAGTGGCCTGCGGCAGTCTACAGCAAGTGCCTTGGACTTGTTTGTAAGATAAAGACTTCGTTCAACAGTCAACGGTCTCTGCATGATTGTGGGGCTAGACCTTGTCAACTTAGACCGCTTTGAGCTTCACAATGGCAAATTGCGCCTTGATTGATATTCCATCCGCGTGTGCTCGTCGCGGGTACCTCTCAACTATTGGAGTTGTGATCGATGTTTTGCCGCCTTTCCAGACCAAGGGATCATCAACATGTGTGACCTTCACGCTGAAGGACTCCTTGTTCGATCAGCCTCACTGGGCTGGAGGTCTGAAGATCAAGTATTTCAATGACCATCCCGATGCGCTACCGGTTGTTCAGGTCGATGATGTTGTTCTCTTGAGAGGGATTCGTGTCAGTATTTACATTCAAGACAAATCTTGAGGGCCGACTTTGGGTGGAAATGCTGACAGCAGGCTTCAGGTCACTTCATACAATGATAAACCTACTGGAGTAGCTTCTCAACATGACACAGTTGAGTGGGCAGTATTTCGATCAGATCCAGACCCTAACTCCATTCCAACGATCCTCACGGGCCCGACTCCTTTTCCGTTGAAGCCGGCAGAGGAACAAGCAGCCCGGAGACTACTTGATGGCGCCCCAAGGCAAGCTTCAAATACTTCAAACAATGTTGCGCGACAGATGCCTCTGTCGCAGCAACGCTCCCAGGTTGTTCAAGCATTCATGGCGCCCACGACAACCAAGAGTGGTTTGCCCTTGCGACTCATTCGGGATCTTCAGCCCGGCCCGTTTGTCCAAATTCTTGGACAGGTTGTGAAAATCAATAACTTTGATAGCGAGAGATGCATTTTGCACTTGACCGATTATACTTCAAACGAGGCTTTGGTCGAAATCGAAGAAGACCGAGATGAAGATATGGGCGTTGACGGCGATAGCTTCGGCTACCTGTCCAGGAAAAGAAAGAATTGGCCTGGTCCATGGGGAAAGATGACCATCCAGGCTGTCTTGTGGGAGCCACATGCCACTTATGCTCGATCGCACGTCAAGGAAGGGCAGATCGTATTACTGACTTACACACGAATCAAGCCTGCAAGCTACACAGGTCTGGAGGCTGTAGTTCACCAAGACAAGCGATACCCCGCCAAGACTCATGTCAAGGTCGTCGCTGATACTGACGACCTCGCGCAAGATCTTATGACCCGGCGAAAGGCTTACTGGAAGATACACGGGAAGCCAAGCAACAACACAGCGAATGTTTCTAACAAGAAGAAAAAGAGGACAGAAGCAAAGAAGCAGCTCGAACAGCGGAAAACAGAAGCCCCAAAAGCGTTGTCATTGCCCGCGGCTCGGAGAGGAACGAATCCACACAGTAAGTTGAGAGTCCACATTGTTTGATTGTGTCGTGGACTCAGACTAATTGGCCCAACAGTCAAGACAAGAGCATACAATGTGCCCGTTCGATCAGTAGAAAGAGTCCTCGCGGCCGAGTCACATCAAAATGAGATACCTGGCGGTATTATTTATCAACTGCCGTTCCAGAACGTTTACTATCAAATTGAGGTCCGCGTGGTTGACTTCTTCCCTCCGCGGCTGGAGGATTTTGCGGTGCAAGTACCCATGCACTCCATTGTAGCGCCCGGTGACAGCACCCATCAGCGTGGTGAACATCAACGCCTGGAGTGGGAATGGCGATTCTGTCTGCTCGTGGAAGGAACGGAGCCCTCGGGCTCAAAAGACGAACCTCGACCTACGATGAAGATTTACGTGACAGGTGCGGAAGCCGATCATTTGCTCAGTATTGATGCCGCAGAGTAAGACACCGAATTTTCGAGTTCCTCGTAGAAGAATTCTCACCGACTGATTACTTCATAGCCTTCACAACGACCATATGAAGTTGCACGAGCTTCGGGAAAAGCTGTTCTTACTTTGGGGCGATCTCGAAGAGCTCAAGATGAAGCACGAGGCTTCGGCGAAGACCAACGCATATCGGGTTCCCTCGAAGCCATCTTCAGTACCCTTCAAATGCAGCATCAAGGAGTACGGTGTGCCTTGCAGCCACCCCCATATTGTCAAACCCCAGTCCCAGGACAAGCTTCCTGGGCGAGGTTGCAGCGAACCGAATTGCTTTGGTTGGGAGAGGAGGTTCGCTTTGTTTGGCACAGCAATTCATACCTGAGGGGTCCGTTGTTCCTACTTGGTTCTCTCCACGATATGACCCCCTACTGGCGATGTAGAGCTCAATCAAGGACCTACGGATTTCAAAGGCGAGCATGGGGTTTCCCACCAGAAAATAAAATATATTTATCCTATGCAAAGGGACTCAGAAAGATCTCCTTTTAAAGTTGACGTCGAAGGACAAAGAACTGATCGTCCCAGGTCAATTGATGTATCATGAACAATCAGGGTTGTATCAATACTTGTGTATGTGTAAAATCCTGAGTATCCTGTCCGTGTCCTGCTTGCGGAACAGAAGCACAATATCCGCATAAAAGGTGTTGCTGATGCGCTGAATGGGTCATCACGACTGAAGAATGTCGCAATATGAATTCGGTAAGGAACCGTGACCTGGGGTTCCTTGGTGACTGTCTCCCAAAAGAACCCCCAATTATCGAACTGAATATCATATAATTATGTTGTCGTAAATCAGAGGGCAAAGCCCAGCATGAACCGCAAGATTGAATTGAATGGACAAAGTCATGATCGCGAGGAGCCTATCGAGGTGCTTAATAGGGGGAAGAAAACATTGTACTTCCGGCACAGACAAAGAAACCCCAGATGAGGGCTCTCCCCGAACGTTGCACGAAGATAGAATAGGACTCAGAAAACTTCCGACCTGTCGCCGGAGACATGCGGTGCACTGACTGCTGACCGGGCCTTCAGATTTTGGTCACTTTGACGACGTTGGTATCGATTCCATGGGCGATGGGCTCGAATCGGCAGCTATCCCCACGGAAACATGTCTTCTTCCCGGGCTCGCTTTGAGGGCATCGATGGCCATAGATACACTCCGCATCATCACATTCCAGACCAAATCGGCAAGGAGTCATCCGAGCGATTGCAGTTAGGATGTGAAGCTCTTCCTTTGTTAATTTGCGATCATGGTCATGATAACAATAGTCGTCATTAGGACATTCACCAAGCAGGAAATAATAATTGCACAACTTGAGCTTCTTGAGGCGGTTAAGGTCATCCCGAGGAATGCTCTTGAAATCGAGTTTATCCACACGTTGCCCATATTTGTTGCGCTCCACTGTCTTGGGAGGAGGAGCCGAGCTACTCGGTTTTGATCGTACCACCTTTTGAAACTCAAAGGCACTGTCTTGCTGGACTGGAGTGGAGGCCGATAGTGGAACTCCTGACGTGCTGGTATTAGTGGAAGTTCGAGAGAGCACGGGGGCATTGACCATGCTCGAGAATTGTGCCGACGGAGACGGGGTGAGTATGGACCGAGTTGGGAGAGATGGTTTCCAAGGAGTGGGAGCACAGGCAGGCACCATCTTTTCAGACCGAAATAGGTCCGGAAATCGAGCGATGCGATATGATGCTTTCACTTCGTCTAGATCCTTCTCAAATGCGACACCTTCGATAAGTGAGACACGACCAGTGAGATCATTGTCCCTCGAAATATCCTCAAGGAAGAGTGCATATTCTGTATTTGAAGGACAACCGACGAATATCTGGTGGCAGTGGCAATTATAAAGGAAGACTTGAAAAGATTCTGCACATTTGAAGTCAGAATGATGGCAGTACTCATGTGACACACGTGCGAGTGGGAAACACCACTTGATTTACCTTGAATCTTATTGTATGCGCTGTTCTTTCCAGACCCAACATCAACAATTTCGGAACAAGACATTGTCTCGTTGAATCCCCGAATGAAGTCATAGATAGCAGCAGGATCTGCAAAGACCCTATTGCGCGCGCACAACTCCCCAAAGCCTTTTGCGTCCAGGTAGATCTTCATCATGATCTTCGGTGTACTGACATTAGGAAGGTTTGCTTTCAGGTATGAATGGATCGCCCCGTAGAGTTGGTCTGCAGCACAGCGGCCACCCTTGTCACCGGCCTGTAGGAACTCATCCTTGAATATCATACCCTCGCCGTCAAGCAGCACAACAACAAAAGGTTCGCGGTCCTGGAAGGAGCCAGCCACATATCAGCGCACACTCCCAGGTGCTCTCCCACCATGCGCGCTCACCATAATAATCTTGATCTGTGCTATCTGTTGCATCAACTCCATTTCGTGTACTTGAATATCCCGGTTGAATCGTGTTTCACGTTCATGATCCAGCTTTTCTTGTGCGAATGACGTTTCCAAGTCACTGACTCTTTGAAGGAGATCCTTGAGAAAAGCGCATATAGTCAGTGTGTGTTGCGCGACTTGGGACCTAAGCAGATTCACCCACCTCAATCAGTTGGTTCTTTTGCTGATCTACTGCCTTCAGCTGGCGATATCTCTCGAAATATGGCGAGGACGTCATCCTCTACTAGATTCAGGCTGCGTGATGCGTGAGATCTGGCAAGCCAGTTATCGAAGTACGATGTGAGGGAAAAGCGAGAGGATGCGGAAGAAGGAATGATTTGATCTCTCTTGACGAGATAGATGCTGTTCGGACTGGCGAGCGTTTGCGCGACGAGGACGGCGGTTAGCCCGCTTTCACTTATCACCGCAAGAAAGGTCACACTTTTGAACGCTGTGAAACTGTGGTGTGCCAAGAATATGGAATCATACGATCCTGGTCGTCTTTTCCCATAGATTTCTTGTTTCTCATTCTTCTACAAACATTTCACAATCTTCACAACCCTCAAACCTTGAGACCCGTCCAAGGACGCGATGCTGAGTCAGCTTCCCCGGTACCGACTCCCGATCCTTGAACTCCAGCGCTAAGTGGGTCACGAGCCCATCAGCTAAATTGCAACGTGTGATTACCCTCTCCGAAGTACCTCTTCTAGTTCCTCCTCCTCCTCCACCTCTCTATTTCCCTGTCCCTCCCGTTCCCTTTCGTCTTCTCCTCATTCCTCTGGTATCCAAGATGACTCGTTTCGGGCTTCTCTCTTTGGCTCTGCTCTCGCTTCAGGCTTTCGTCGGTACCGGCTTTGCAGCTGTAAGTTGATCTCCAATTGACTCATCACAGCCGACGCATGACTTGCACGAGCATATCGTATACCCAGCGTCGCGTCTATTGAATGCACCCCAATTGACATTGTTCTTTCTTGACCGAATAGGAGACCGAGAAGGTCGCCGAGACTGATGCTCCCACCCTTGCAGTCTCAGCGCAGGCTTCATTCCCTGCTTCCGAGATCTTTGGGGTGAAGCTCGTCAACGGTCACCCGACCCAAGCGCTCATTGCTTTCACCAACGACGAGCCCAATCCTGTCACTGTCAACTTTGTTGGTGGCAGCTTGTGGACTCTCGATGAGCAGAGCAAGAATGTTCGCAACTTGACCGCCACGCGTTATGCTGTGGAGATCCCCGCAAACTCCAAGGAGAGCCTCAGCTACAGCTTTGCGACGGAGATGCACCCTGTGGACCTCCGTCTTAATATCGCCGCCATAATGTCCGATAGCGAGGGCCATTTCTTCACCTTGCAGGCCTTCAATGGTACTGTGAGTGTAGTCGAGCCCGAGACCAGCATTTTCGACCCTCAAATGTAAGTATCGTAGCTGTCTGCCTCTGTCTCGCCCCCCCCACAATTCCCTGCAGTATTTGCTTGTACTGACTTTTATATTGCACAGCATCTTCCTCTACTTCTTCCTCTTGGCCTGCTTCGTTGGCGTCGTCTACTTTTTCTACACTGTCTGGGTGGCGCCTTACTTCCCCCAGAAGCGCAAGGCTGTCCGGTCCAGCGAGAAGAAGACTCCTGCCAAGCGCGAGATCGTGGAGGAGACCCCTAGCCCTGCTGTCACCTCAGCCACTACTTACAACGCCGATTGGATCCCCGCTCACCATATCACCCGCCCTGAGGCCAGGAAGGTCAAGAGTGGCAAGTCCAAGGCTCGTGCTTAGATTGTCTTGCGTGAAACTGACTAGGGCTGGGGAATTGCAATTGGCTCCGTGCATTGAGGATGAAGGACAGAGTCAGCCAACAGATGAGGCGGGACAGTCTGGCACTTCAAATGGCTGCACTAGAGCCGATGCGCACGTTGAGATACACGCAGCGCTCTCCTTTTTCTCTTTGTGCCAGGCTGAGCACATATTGATTGCCACAGCGAATATATGTATAAGTATGAAAATCGCCAGATGGACGAGCTTTTAAATACTCAGAGCGCTACAAAGCATTTTATTGAGGAATTCGTACTCCCGGCCGGCTGCTCAGCTAAGACATAGTTGTCTCTCGACAGTCGCTTGATTCTTATGCCTTCTTCCATTCTATAAACTCTTCTTCAAGATGGGTCTTGAGTTCCGCGAAACGGTTGCCAAAGCCCCGACCACAACGCCAGCACACAAAGTCTCGTTTCAAGTAGCCTTCTCTCGTCGGATGCCTGCGCACATCTTCGGGTTTCAACGGGAAGTCACCGATCGGCACGAAGAACGGAGTTGCAAAGCTATTGTAATGCTTTCGATGCTTCAATCGCTCACTGTATCTATCCACTGATATGACGTGGACGTGCAAATGGCTCATTGAAGGGACGGCATGCACACCGCACATAATCTCTTGTTCCCACTCCCGACCCGGGGGTAGGTCGTCTGGCGGCGATTCCGCAGTCAGTGCGGCTTGTCTGGCCTGCTCCTGCGCAGAATCTTTTCCGTAGAGGCGTCGCAACTCACTCGCAGCCAGGTGTCGAAGCTTCTGGACCTCCGCTTTGACCTTGGCAAGGAACTCGGGATCCTCGAAAGCCTCGAATGGATGGAGACGGGTCTTCGTGGGGTCGCGAGGGAGTAGGAGGAGATGGAGCGAAGATTTAGGGAACATGTCGTGGATTGTCACAAAGTCGTCATTGTAATAGACCACTACACTGGGAGGGAAGGTCTCTGGTTTGGAAATGTATGCGCCCAGGCCATCGCGACCTCCAGATCGGCCGTGAGGGACGCTGCCGGACGATAAACTGCCACTCGTCTGTTTCAGCTGCTTTTGACGAGACGAGAGGAGCTCTGTAACTGAGAGTGTATTATGTGATTAGATACGCCGGTATCGTGTAGTCCATCTCAGCGAGACTCACAAGCATTTCGTTTGGCTGAGGTCTGCTGCTCGCGCGAACAGGTTGCGGTGGAATCGTGGTTACTGCTGCTGGTCTCCGTCATCTCAGACATGGTTCGCCCGGGTCTGAAGTCACCAGTCATTAGGGAGAAAATAAGTGGCAGCGAAAGGATGGCTCTCAGCTCATCAGCTCATCGTACGCTAGCAAGAAATACTCGATCTTCGGCTGTGACAACATCTTTGAATCAGTGTTGAGTCTGGACCTCATCGGAAAGGTGAAAGTCTCCCCGCAATCCGCTCGCCCAATGGGGGTTAGTGCGGGACTGTTGATGACCGTAGATCAGATAGCCCCCCGAAAAAGTTCTCCGCAAGTTGACTCGCACTTCAAAACGTTCCCAAGCGACCACAACAATGGGCCCAAAGAAGAAGCCTGCTGGCCCAGGCGGCCCGAAGCCGGGCACGAAGCAAGCAAAGGCCGCCGCGGAAAAAACCTCGGACAAGAAGCCTGTCACAGAGGAGCCAAAGAAGCCCTCGGTGAAAGAGGTTATTGGGGGCGCATCATGGACGGGCAAGCTCCCGGTCAATATGCTATCGGAGCATTGTCAGAAGCAAAAGTGGGAGAAACCAGAATACAGCATGGTAATTGATATGCGTGCATTTGGACCTTGGCTTGATCGAGGACTACATCTTGGGAAATAGGCGCTGATAGATTTGAGGGGTGACATGTGCAGATTCAAACTCGTGATGGTTACGTATCGACAGTGACGCTCAAGAAGATAGACCCTAAATCTAAGGAATTAATCGTGCTTCCTCCTTTGAAACTCCCTCCGACATATAAAGTGCTCGCGGGACAACCCACGGCTTTGGAGGCTCGTCATTTCGCTGCGGCCTTTGGGCTCTACCGAGTATGCAACATGCGCAACCTACACATGATGATGCCTCCCAAGTACAAAGATCTCTGGCGGGGCGAATTTGCAGAAATCAAGGCACTGGAAACAAGAGAAGGAAAGGGTTGGCTGTATGAGGCGGATCCATTCCTTGCTAAGCAGGAGCGTGAGAGCGCTGCAGCTGAGCTGGAGAAGAAAAAAGCCGAGCGCGCAAAGATGCAATCGAAAGAGAAAGCCTCGGCACAGGACATTGGGCTTGGAGGAGGCGCTGACTCTAAGAGTAAGCGCATCTGGTCGCAAGCCCCGAAGGTGGACATGGGCGCTCGGATCCGACGTGAGATTGAAAGTCTTCTGCGGCAGCACACAGTTTGGAATCCACACGGGGTTGTTATACCGGATGTTGAGAAAAAGCGCATTCTTGAGGAGTTCTCACAACTTGGATTTCGACGGAGTCATGTCGAGGAAGCCGTGCTCGAATGCAAAGATCGCGAAGAGGTGTTAGAATGGCTCTTGGTCTACGTACCGGAGGATGACCTTCCTCAATGGAGTCTGCCTGAGGGATATTCGGCCGGTGTCAGCCTCGCTTCCGGGGATCTCGCACGAGAGGCGAAAATCAAGCGCCTTCTGTCTATTGGGTACCCAGCAGATCTTTGCTCCCAGGTGCTCGACACCAAGAGTGGGGACGAGTATGCCGCTGCGGAGTTTCTTCAACGGGCGTTGGCGCATGGATCCTCAGTTGGAACTGACGCTGTTGAAGGCGGCGATATCGCTGCATGGTCCGAAGAGCAGGATACACTTGAAGCCATTTTTGGCGAACGCTACACTCGCGTTGCCCCTCAAGTCTGCGAGATCAAGAGCGAGGCGCCTGAAATACCGGAGAGCACTGTGTTCCGCTTTCAGGCGCCCTCTGCCCATTATCCCTCAGTAACTCCAGTCATATCAATTCAAGCGAAGGGTATCCCGGCCTACATCAGACTGAGCGCCATTCGGCAGGCAGTGCAGCATGCTGAAAACCACTTCACTGGCGAGCCCATGGTCTTCAACATCATGGACTGGTTGGAGGTCAACTTACCAAGTATCATGACCAACCCAGGAAAACTTCGCGACATCTCTTCCGTCACGTCTTCCGCAGCTACAGAGGCGAGGCATGTTTCAATCAGAACTTCCCGTAAGCAGCGTAAGGGCATTGACTGGACCCCGAACTCTGCGCAAAGCTTGTCCATCCGTGAAGCATGGGAAACGAAGCAAAACACGCCAGCTCACGTTTCGATGTGTCAAAAGCGAAAGGCTCTCCCTGCATGGAACACTCAAGAGGAAATCATCTATACCGTGGATAATTACCAGGTCACAATCATTTCGGGAGAGACTGGTAGCGGTAAAAGTACGCAGTCAGTACAGTTCGTCCTCGATGAGATGATCAGACGCGGTCTCGGAGGAGCTGCGAACATCGTGTGTACTCAGCCTCGGAGAATTTCCGCTCTGGGACTGGCAGACCGAGTCAGTGATGAGCGCTGTTCAACCGTCGGCGATGAAGTTGGTTACATCATCCGCGGCGAGTCCAAGGTCAAGCAAGGAACCACGAAAATCACCTTTGTCACCACCGGAGTTCTGCTACGTCGCATTCAATCCGGGGGCGACGCAGATGGCAACATTGCCAGCTCTCTCGCAGATGTCTCGCATGTGGTAGTGGATGAAGTGCACGAGCGAAGTCTAGACACTGACTTCCTTCTTGCCTTGCTTCGTGACGTGTTGCGTCACCGCAAGGATTTGAAGGTCATTCTGATGTCGGCAACTCTGGATGCGAACATCTTCATGGACTATTTCGGAGGTTCGAAGCGTGTTGGGCTGGTCAACATTCCAGGACGCACTTTCCCGGTCCAGGACTTTTACCTGGATGATGTGATCAGAGACACTGGGTTCGCGCCTGAGCTTGGCGACAATTATGACGACGAAGTAGATGCGCCCCAAGCAGATGTCTCCTTAGGCAAGGCGCTTCGCAGCGTTGGCATGGGCATCAATTATGATCTGATTGCGTCCACTGTGGAGTATATCGATCATAAACTCGGTGATAATTCTGGAGGCATTCTCATCTTCTTGCCTGGCACACTAGAGATCGACCGATGCTTGAAGGCAGTCCAAAGGATTCCAAACGCACATCCTCTTCCGCTTCACGCTTCTCTGCTGCCGGCGGAACAGCGACGAGTCTTCCAGAGCCCACCGAAGGGTAAGCGTAAAGTCATTGCCGCTACCAACGTCGCCGAGACCTCCATCACTATCGAGGATGTTGTCGCCGTCATTGACACTGGTCGTGTCAAAGAGACGAGTTATGACCCCAGAGACAACATGGTGCGACTCCAGGAAGTCTGGGCCTCGCAAGCAGCATGTAAGCAGCGACGTGGTCGTGCTGGTCGTGTGCGTGCTGGTATTTGTTACAAACTCTACACACGCAAAGCCGAGTCCAGCATGGCACCACGGCCAGACCCAGAAATCCGCCGTGTTCCCCTGGAGCAACTCTGTCTTTCTGTCAAATCAATGAAGGGTATTGAGGATGTCGCCCGATTCCTCGCAAACACAATCACTCCACCAGAGAGCATCGCTGTGGAGGGAGCGCTGCAATTCTTGCACAGGGTCGGTGCTCTGGACCATGATCGTCTGACTGCTCTGGGCCGCTACCTCGCCATGATTCCCGCCGACCTGCGCTGTGCCAAGCTCATGATCTATGGATCAATTTTCGGATGCATGGAATCTTGTTTGACCCTTTCCGCAATTCTCACCGTGAGAAGCCCGTTCGTATCACCTCGCGAGAAACGCGAGGAGGCCGATGCCGCAAAGGCTTCATTCTCTCGCCCCGGAGACGGTGACCTGTTAACGGATCTTGCTGCTTATCAAGCCTGGACTGAGAAGTCAAAAACCCATGGCCATTGGCAATCACAATCGTGGTGTGGTGCCAATTTCCTGTCTCACCAAACATTGCGTGACATTTCGTCCAACAGGGCTCAATTTGTCACGTCGCTCAAGGATGCGGGCGTTCTACCTGTGACCTATAGCGAAGCTTCACCGGCACTGAATCGCAACAGCTCAAACAAGAATCTACTTCGTGCATTGATCGCCGGCGCATTCCAGCCCCAGATCGCACAAATCTCATTCCCCGACAAAAAGTTCGCCAGCTCAGTCACAGGAACTGTCGAAGTCGATCCCGATGCTCGCACAATCAAATACTTCAACCAAGAGAACGGACGGGTCTTCATTCACCCCAGCTCTATCCTATTCTCAGCCCAAGGGTACCCCACAGGAACAGCTTACCTTGCCTACTTCACTAAGATGGCAACGAGCAAAGTTTTTGTTCGCGACCTCACGCGTAAGTTTTTGTTGTCCCCCCCCATATCAGCGCAACTAACCATCATTACTAATCCCTTTCACGCCACCGCAGCATTTAACGCATACTCTCTTCTTCTATTTTGCGGCTCCATCGCCTTGGATACTGTAGGCCGCGGTCTGGTGGTAGACGGCTGGCTCCGGCTACGTGGGTGGGCCCGCATCGGTGTTTTGGTGTCGCGACTGCGAACCATGCTGGACGAGGCACTGCAAGCTCGTATTGACAATCCGGCATCGGGAGGATCAAGTGCCGCTGGAGACCAAGTCATTGAGACGGTGAGAAAGTTGATTGAGCTCAATGGGCTTGACCAGTGATGGCATGAGCTACATACATACCTCAAACACTCTACAACAAGCATTTTTTTCGCGAAAGGTTCACAGACTCCAGGAAAAGGCTTACTGCGACGGTGTATGCGGATGGATCTTAGGTTACATTTTTCCTTAAGTTGCAAAGCCTGTTGGTATCATCAAAGCCTTGCTTCATCTTTAGGAAGAGGTCAAATCATAAATTCCCCTATGGATAGTGGAGAGTGTATAGGTCATGAGCTGGTTTCAAGTGAAACCATAACGCCATCAGAAGTGTAACGAACGCACAAGCAATCTGGCGTATAGATATAGCAGCGAACAATCACGCGAGATGACCACTTGCAAGACATGCATGCGACCTATTTCGTCAAGGCCTGCAAAAGCGGCAGCAGGTCATGTGGACTTCTGTCAAACAAGAGAGCGCGAGTCAAAAATCAAGGGTGATGATACGGAGGAAAGGATAGTAAATAGAGTCGTAAACGTGCCCAGTATAAAGGGAAAGGGCCGAACATGAAAGGCAAGGCAACGAGTAAGTAGATGAGGATATCAATAAAAACACCGAAGAGAACAAACGTCAGAGGGAAAGCAATCAGAAGGGAAGAACCAGAAGCATGGAACAACACGGAAGCAGAATGATATAAAAAAAACCGAAGACAACCAAGAAGAAAGGGACTTAAAACAAACAAATGAGAGCAATAACAAGAAAAGAAATGGGAATGCAAGAAAGGAGTCCGTCTAGTAACGCCACCCAGCCATCCCCAAATGGAAACCCTTTCCTGTCCAGTGGCTGATGCAAAATCGTAAATAGGGAGTCACCAAACTAGTCATTGGGTCGCAAGGTATGAGTATAGAAATAGAAGGGTCATTTAGACCGATGCAAAGCGGGGGATGGTTCCCTGGTAACTGGCCTTGTGCGCGGAGGGAGGCGTGCGATATGTGGGCGGCTAGAAGGACGACAGGAAGCCCGCAACGCAGAGCCACCTTGGCCTTAGTAGTTAGCCAGCCCAGCCAGACGGTTCGCGTCGACAAATGGGGTGGGACGAGGCACTCTGAAACCGTGCAGGATTTCTTGCTCCACGAATGTCGAGGCACGCTTGAAACGACGTTCAGTGTACTTCTCGAAGATTGCTTGGTGGTGTTCCCGCGGGTCTTCGCAACACTCGAGTATGGTCGTCATGACGGGGATAAGTTGGGTATAAAGATAGCCGCTATAATAGGCGTGAGCCATTGTCTAGAAGCCCAATTCGTTAGCATCTCGGCGATTGGAGAGTCTGACAGCAGACAGCAGTGGAATCAACTTACCCAACATCCCTTGCGAAGCATGAGAAGGGCGAGGCAGTGGGCTCCAGCACTCAGGAAGCTGGGAGGACTAGCCACAAAACGCTCATCCATGATGGTCAACTCCAGGAAGTACTTTGCGATTGTTCGAGTCTCGAGATCGTAGTCGTCAGCCTTACTTATACGACGAAGGAAGCTCATGGGACCAGGCCAGCCAATATCGTAGTTGAGAATGTTCAGCATAAAACGTTCGGCCTTCAGGATCTCGTCCACGGTGTAGCCACCATCGACCATGAAAAGGATTTCGTTGATCGACGGAGGGCTAACTTCCTCGTACTTGGCGGCAATGAACAGGGCAGTCGCGCCAACCAATTGAAGTTTACCCATAGAAACGACCTTTTTCGAAAGGAACCGGTCGACGAGATTGACACAGAGGAACAGAGTCTCCGGGAGGTACTTGAAGCGGAGGTGGACTTGAACTAGCCAGTCCATGAGGATCGATCGCATAGACCACTGAATTTCGCCCTGGTTGGTCATATAGTCGGCAGCAGGTAGCATCTCAATCTGCAGATTGTTCATGACGGTAAGTTAGTCTCGGTTTGCCTTCAGGTAATACACAGCGAAGCTCACAAAATCTTACCTCTTTAATCCGGAGATAGTCAAAGATCTCGGTGGCATACTCTGCGACCATGCTGGAGTCATAGAGATCCTCCTCGATCTCCTCCGCGGTCAGACTATCTTCCACAACTTGTTTCGCGCGCAGAATCTCGCGGTCGAATGCAACTGCAGCATTGGGGTAGATCACTGTGGTGATGCTACCTGTGGTGTGCTCGCTGCGATAATGGTAGCCATGGGTCTCATCGTCCTCGGAGTATTCGGGATCGGAAAGAGCTGGTCCGGTCATGTCCGGGCTTTGATGAATGTCGCATGCACTTTCTTGGGAATCAATAGCCAGTGCCCCCTCTGTTCCGAGAGAAGCATATTTGCAGTCAACCGACGCAGCTTTGGCTTCCTCTCGCACTTTGCCACTCTCCTTAGTGTGGCAGGCTTCGAGCGTTGGTTCCGCTTGAGCGTTGACATGCTTGAAGATCTCAACATTGACCCCACTCGGACGAGACAGGCTTTTGGTGGTCTCTATTTCTGTAGTCTCTGCTTCACAGTTGAGAATCTGAGCTGTAATCTTGTCTTCCTTGGATGCCTCATGCTCGACAGCGGGTTCCGGCTGGTCATGGAACACCGCATTGGCGCGCTTCGCATTGATTTTAGTACCACTTGGCAAGGCTTTTCCCGCAGTGTTCATCGGTTTCGACCCGATATTCGGTAAGATGCCCTTGACCCCTGACCCAGAGAAGGGGCGCTGGGCTGGCTGTGAGAGGGCGCGCTTATCATCAATCGCCCCAGCGCCAAGCTTCCCAGTCCCGCCTGTTCTGGCAATGGGAATCTTGATATTGCTCTTGTCCTCACATGCCTGGCGGGAAGTCTCAATGTTGCCTTTGGCTTTCTGGGCCCAAAGGCCGACAGTTGCGGGCTCATTGCGACTATGAACCGTTTTGGCGGCGATAAAAGTGGGTGGAACATTCTCGTCTCCGTAGCCACGGATGCGCTGTGGCTTTAGTCTTTGTCAGTCTTTTGTAGATAAAATATGCGATGTGAGATAGGTATGCATGAAGTATCGGAGTGAGTTGCACGTATACTTATGTGTAATGCGACGCCACGCACGCTTGTTGCGCGGCTTGCATCCTCGGGCTGTGGATCAATCGCGAGCACGAGCCAAAATAGAAAGGGTAAGGGCAAAAGAAAAACGCAGAAGACAAGAACAAACATCACCAAGCCATACCTTAGCATCCATGTTGACCGTGTCTGGTTGATCTGGCGGGGGACAGGGTCGTTGAGGTTATCTGGAGGGATTGTTTATGTTTTCCTGTCTTCAGACGGGGAGTCGACAGGGCGACCTATCCTTCTTGCCTATTGGCCGCGTCGGACAAAACAAAACAACCACGACCCGCCCGAGCTGTCCAGTGAGCCAGTGAGAGGGCACGGAGCACCCGTCCCAATGTACGGAAGGACAATTAGGACTGAGCTTGATCAAAGACCTCGATCGGTCAATATGGCGCTTGAGTCTGGATGGAAAAACCACAGACAGCACGAAGGGCTATAAATGCAAGTATGTAATAAGGGTAGAACAGAAGTTGACAATGAAAATACATGTGAGAGGGAATTGTCTATCCCTCGCAGTAATATCGCCTAAGAAATGAAGGGATCAAACAACATCACGTGGGCGGTGTCAAGGGGCGTTGAAGCAATGCACCCAGACCGCCTACCAGATGAGGCTTAACCCGAACCGTCGGAAGAGGGAGCGCGAGCTTATCGCTCTTATCTATGACGTCTCAGCCGCTTCGTCACGTCTTCCATCAAAACAGTCAATTCGGTATTCTACTTATTGCAAGCCACCTAACGGATGACCATTCATTTGAAGCTCATATTACCTCAGTATTCTTACTCAGATAATATCTGTATCAGTTCTTGAATACACAGTCTGTTCGTGCGTGACAGAAATCGCCTCAACGTGGCTAACGACTTCCCAAACGCGCTAGTGCGCGAGCTCACGTGATGGCAGACCGCCCACGGGATGGAGCGGTAAGTGATTCCCACCGCAAATTGAGTCCGTGGATGCCGATGGCGATCATACCCGGCTCTTGTTCGGCGTTGGGGAACGATCAACAGATTGGTGTCTCTAATTCCACGCGGGGGCCATGATGAAATGCATGTCGTCTCAATACTCCGGTGCCCAAGGCAGCCTCAGGTCTGTGTCCGCTGTCGGACCATCAGAGATGCACAGTAAGCCTGATCTCAAAAATAGAGAATCGATGGGCGTGCACGCCGTGCAGTGTCAAAGTGGGAAAAAGCCGTGGCCGCTAGCGCACGCTCCGCTGGCCGGTCATTCTGGGCCAGTCAAAGAGGGAACCCGATCGTGGATCGTGGAGTCGTTACTGAAAGCAATGCGCTTTTCGCATCTGCTGCATCAGTGCGCTGCTCAAAGGTACTAGACGAGAGCCACTCAATCCGCCCAACTATCGATCTGCGTGGGGCGCCAGGTGGACAGCGGCGCCATTTTCAGCCGAGTCGTTTCTCTTTGACATGAGCCCTGTGCGATCGCGCGCGCACTGCGGAGGCCTGAAGAAAGGAGTCATTCTCTTCTGTAATGCTGTCACTGTTCCTTCAATTTGGTCTCGAAGGAGATTGCCTGTCATTTGATCTGTGCATGATCGCCTTCATTGAGTGGGCCCTAGGAGGATAATGACAGACTCAAGTTGTTGTAGAGTCCTCCGAGGAGGGGTAAACTTTGATGGCGCAAATGCCGAGATACGAATGGGATGAGTGAGCTGTGAGCTGTGGTCAATAACGGCAAACATCATTGTGGAAGATTGATCGCATGAGACTCGAGTCATATGTTTCTCAATACCTGTGGACATGCAACTTATAATCTGGTGCCGGTCGGCGTAAGTCTACAGGACTGTCGTGGTGGGCGCCAACGGTCAACCTTTCCGATGTTCTCTGCCCCTCTCACCTCAACCTCCGGCACCACCACACCTCGTATATCCCCGCGCAGTGCCGGTCGCATGAATTGGGAGTTGTAGCAGGAGTCGCAATAGTGTCTGTTCGAGCTTCAATATCTTGAATGGGTGATGCGACAATGGAAAAGCCCCCAAACGAGGTCGAGTCGGTTGTGCCACGCCGGATGCATGCCGCCATCAACTCTCTCTCTGTCTCTCTTGCTCTCCGACTGGGGCGATCGCAGCTGCGATCAATGAGACCAATAGTACGAGATATCCAACGTAAAAGCTTCTTGGATTAAAATTCATCATTTTGTATTTGAACTCCTCGGGCATTCTCATCCTTATCCAGGACTCAGTGCTACTGTTACTGATGGAGACCACCGTGGACGTCGGATACATGAGTGGCGTTGCTTGATGGACGGACAGCGGAGATCTGTTCGCTTCAGAAATGCGGTCAATGGCCCAGCGACCAATCCCTCAGGGACTTTGATATCGAAATCAATCAAGCCGATGCGGTTTCGTTGGGAAGAGCGCTCGGCGCATTTGTCTGGCGAGTTGCGACAACATTGCAGGCGCACAAGGTTACGTCGCGAATGGGAAGCCGCCAGAGCAGCCCTCGAGGGAAACAAGTCTAGTCCTTATTGCTACTTTGAGGAACATACAAACACCGTAATTCGAGTCGCATTCTTGTACTGCAGCTGCTTGGGATGAGATGTCTGACGGTGCTATGGAGGTGTGTGGTATTGAAGGAATGTAATGATGAGACCGGGTGCCGGAAGCGCAAGTCGCCATCTTACCGGCCCAGATAGGCCGATTTCTCGCTTTAAGTGAAACCATCGTACACACCACACCGATCTCCCCTCAGTCATCAACTCGACCTCTTCGATCGCTTCCCACCCTGGAACTGTCAACCCGCCACCTCCATCCTCGATTTCAACTCGAAAAAGGTACTGACTGCTCTCCATTCCTCCCTATGTGTCTGATCTTCTGGTCGGATTCGGGTTGTCGCTTCGGCTACTGGGTCACCGCTGACATAGCCCCAGCGCTTCGTAGAGTCAATCAACCACGACAATCCCAATCTCGCCCACATCACCCATCGAACCCTTCTCGTCACACCGTCTTCGATATCCCACAACTCTGCGACTCTGCTGGAATCAGGGTCATTGAGATCAGGTTTGTCGTTTCCTTTTGTCCCCCGCCTGCCATGCTCGCTCTCTCTCTCTCTTTCCCGGTCCCCCATTGCGAGGCTTCTTTCGCAAGACGACGTCTCCCAGGTCGGCAAAACTCGGCTAGCAAACGATCATCTATTCATCTGATTTTCGCATTCGACCCCTTCTCGGATTCGATGGCCAGGCTTCTCAATCGCTGATATACTGACACTTCTGGAGCTCGATCTCTAGGGATCATTCACCGTCGTCGTGCCGCTGCACCCCCGATTCCGGTTCTGGTGTTGCGACAGGAAGATTCCCCTCCATCCACCAACGAAAAAGCCCTGCGTCCATAATTCCCCAACATCATCAGTCGATCAGTGACACGCCCTCCTACAGAGTACTGCCAACAACTTTAATTGTGGAAGGTGAGATGCAAAAAACTTGCCCCTCTCCCACAGCCTGCATACAACAAATCTTTCCTGTCGCTGTCTCCACCCCCTCTCCCTAAGCCATGCATCCCGCTCTGGCGAACCCTTTCCCATATACACGAGCAGTGGGTTGATGCAGTCATTGGTACAGCAAGTAGAGGCTACCTTACCGAATTCCTCTCCTTCTGGTTTTGCTCAGAATGCAAGCCGCCCAACTTGACGGGCTGTCTACCATGGCCGAGCCAGTGGTCAAGGCGGAGGTCTTGGAAAGAGACCTTCAGTCGCGAAGACCCCCAACGCCCAAGAACGTCGCCTTCGAGCTTCTCCTGGACGATAACTCCAAGGTGCGGGCGCGGATTCCCATGCGCGTGCAGATTTACCCTCACGATACCACCGATTCGATCGTCACTACGGTGAAAAATTTCTATGGTATCTATGATGGCACAGCTAGCGGTGTGAGCTTCGAGGATGAACATGGGACAACTCTTATCGCAAGGTATGAAAATCTGAAGAATAATGGGACGGTATATGTTAGAGTGATTCCCATTCAATCTTTTGGTGAACCCTGCTATACCGGGTACCCCGCGGAGCGCAAGCGGCCCAGCTTGGGCGAGCCGTTCCAGATGACGGAGAGTATGATGTCGAGCATGGATCAAGCGTCGCGACCACCATCACGGCTTGCAAGAAAACGCAGCATTTCACCGTCAAACCGAAGTCGTCGAAGCGCATCGCAACACAAACAGGCTTCCCGGAGCGGCCTCAAGAGCCGGGGGTCCAGTCATGCCGGGTACCCGGACGAAGACCTGGGACTGAGCGACAGCGAGTCGACCTACAGTCGCAAGACGCGCGGGGATACCTTTGCTAGCTCCGATATCAGTATGGAAAATATACTACAGGATGGCCGGCGCAAACGACCCAAGTTCGACAGCTCGGTAAGTTTTGAAGATGCCCCTCTGTCCGGCCGTGGGATTGCTTCTGTGGTCTACTGCATTTCACCGATTCGTGGTACATATTTTCTATTGGATCGCTTAGAGCTAACATATCTTCTTCTCCCCGTCCCAGGAATTGCCTCTCTTCGCTCCTCCCCAAGTTCCCCTCACCACTTCAACCTCCTCTATCTCTCCTCAACGCCGCTCTGTGGGACAAGAAGGCGCTGGCTCTCCTTTTGCTCGGCCCACCCATCGCCCCTACACTTATCAGACTGCGCTTCCGTCGCCGCAAAGTTATGGAAATAATGAGTACAGCGCTGGGCGAAATACTGTATATGCTACACCTGTCGTCCCTGACCATGTGTATCGCACTCCATATGGCAATTCGAGTGGCCGTGTGAGTGGCCATGGTATCCTCCCTACCCCAGATCCTACAATTGCAAGCTGCATCTCCGACGAAGACGTTGCGATGCAACTCATTCGGTTGGGTGATGCATCCAATTTCTCTCACGGTCGCACATCCGCGTCCACGCTCGACGATGCCTTCAGTGGCGTTGCTGACGCCGCTTCTTCCGCTGGCGCCACGAGCGATGGCGAGTACTTCAGTGAAGACGAAGTTGATCTTCCTGCTCGCCGCAGACTGGACTCCAGTCCGATGCTGCCGCCTGGCGCAATCAAGCGCCATCACAAGCGCCTGGATGATATTCTTCCTAGTGCGGACAGTAGTGAGCACAGTTCGGACGGTGTGGATGATGGCATCAAGAGCGAGGGTGAAGAGGATGTTCCCTACAAGGAGTATGCCCCGAAGGCGAAGAAGCCGAAAAACCGCCCAACCTCTGCCAAAGTCCGCACCTCCAAGGCGCCGGCGAAACAGGTCAAGAGCAAGAGTGGACAATCTACGGTGCGCAAGCCCACCGAGAAATCCGTTGTGCCGGCGCCACCCCTTAGTCCGAGCTCGTCTCGAAAAGTCTCCAATGGCTCAGTCAACTTCCAGCATCAATTAGGTGCTGACGAAGAAGATCTCTCGACTAAGCCTCGTTGTCAACGCTGCCGCAAGAGCAAAAAAGGCTGTGACCGACAGCGCCCATGTGGGCGATGCAAGGATGCCGGCATCGGCATTGATGGCTGTGTCAGCGAAGATGAAGGGAATGGTCGTAAAGGACGCTACGGCCGTCACATGGGAGTCCCCGTCAAGAAAGACGCCGACGCGTTGGACGAGGGACATGAGCCCTCCGTGACTGTGATCACAGCATTCGCCGAGTCCGAGGTCGCAGACAAGAACAAGAAGAGAAAGCGCTAGTCGCTTCTTCTTTCTTGATTTCTTTGTTGCTCGTCTCGCCCCCGTCCTGCATGGATGCTGAATGTGTCCAGATCGTGTCACTTCACCTGAAGGCAGCTCTGACCTCCGTCTATGGCTTCAGATCCCATGACGTTGGAGGTCCCCTGGTCAGCATTTGCATTTGTTTCTTTTTTCTTATTTGGTCTTTCCCCCCATCGCATGCACATCTACATTTCCACTCTCTTTTGATAAGATCATTAGTGGGGATCGTTACCGGAACTCTGATCATTCCTTATCATAAAGACCTGACCTTCCTACATTCTCTTTCGGCTCACGCTTGAGTTCCGGTACCATTTTTCACAAAGTACAGCGGGTCAATTTATTGTTCTGTGTGCTCCGCTATTTCGGCGTCATTGTTCCAGCTTACTATCTTTGGGTCTATTCTTGTCGCTTTAAACCACTCCTTCGGAAGTCAATGGATTTGAGTTCTTCTTGAGCAAGGCGCACTCAATGGGTGACTTGATTTGGTTCTCAGATGTTGAGATCCAAGGTAGATTCTCATTTTGAATCTGGCCGAGGACGCCAAGATTCATGATACCCACTCGTCCATTGTCTACTGGCGGGTGCTGTAGGTCATTAGGCACGTCTGCATGTAGTGGTATCAACCTTAGAGCATTCCACGGCATACCTACTCTGGATCAACATCGACGTCCGGTGGTAGAGCAGCTGAAGCCAAAATCTAGTCCCGTGAGCTGAACATCAAGGTTTCCTTCTGACGAATGGGTAGTCTCGTCTGAATTCGATTCGAACTGAGATATTACTTGAAGCACTACAAGCAGACGTGCGAATACTGGATAATAAATGTAGACACGGGGAAACATGCTGGCCGGGGGCAGCAGTGTATAGTGTGTACTGTATATGTGGCGAATTGTACCGGGGTTTCGACTCGGCCGGGAAGTCCCGCGGCCTACCAAGACATATTCCACTCACGCAGGTCCTCTAGCAATCGTAGATGAGACTACATTTTCGGCCAGTCGTTCATTCCAACCTTTAGCGCAGAAAAAGGCTGCGGTAGGTCTTAGTGAAGGGCTAAAATCCTTGAGTCCCGAGAATGGAGTATGCGGAAGGGCATACTAGCACACTGTAACGGATTTGATTGTGTATGATCATTGTCTAACCGACGTGCTTCAAGATCGTCGCACGCTGACTCATGTCGCTTCAAGCCGACGGTCGGACTGGGTTCATAGCTTCCACGTGACTGTTCAAATGCGCACCAAGATCACGTGAGTGAAACCGGCACGCTTGGATCCAGCCATGGTTCTTAAACATCCGATAAGTGCTGCGGGCGGTGTAAAACCGCAGTTTGCCCCACTTCCATTTTTTGATCTGGAAGATAATCGTATCATTTTTTTGAGATAGAAGAAAGAGATCAAAGTGAAGTCATTGTTATTTGACTCTACCAGAAACGCGGCAGGACTTGAGCCAAAATATACCAAGTCAGGCGATTCAAGGGCTCCAGCTGGTCGCAATACATATCTAATCTCCCGGGGCCGTCCCTCGCCTGAACTTCTTTTTTTTTTTGCTCGTTCGACAGAGCGGGACGCCAACGGCGTCTTGCCAGTGCAGTTTTCAGCAAACATGCCTCCCAAGTCGAGCGCTCGCCGCGCAGCGCCAGCAAACGCAGCGGGTGCGCCTGCCTCCACACCTCAAAATGGCACAGAATCCGGCACATCAACCCCCAGGACGACACCTGGTCCTGCTGGTCGTCCTGTCCAACGACTACAATCCCTCAAGAACCGCAAACCATCTGGGAGTATTCCGGCGGCCAACCGGCCACCCTCTACGCTGGGCGGCGAGCAAGCCAAACCTGTTATGAAATACAAGCCCAAGGCGGTTGTACGTCGAAGCAAAGAGGAACGTGACGCGATCGAGAAGCGCGAGCAAGAACGTTTAAACGAGCGACTGCGCGAAGCTGCCGCCATGCAACGAGGACGAGGAAATCGCGGAGGCCGTGGTGCATTCCGCGGCCGTGGTGGACCGATGGGTGGAGTTGGACCATTCGGAGGTGCGCGACGAGGTCGTGGCGGCGGCTTCGGAGGCCATGGCGGCGGTGGTGGTGGATTTGGTGGTGGTGGACGCAGTGGGTTCCGGTCTGGATTTAGTGGAGGAGGAGGAGGAGGTGGTGGTGGTGGTGGCATGAATTACGATTCAGAGGAAGATGATGAGGAGGGCCTGCGCATCAGCATCGACCAAATCAACTTGGAGAGTGATGACGAGGATGAGGTGGACTCCAAACAGATCAAGGGCAAGATGCCCATGCGTTCACGCGATGGATTACGGCCTATCCGAGTCGCTCGTCTACAGCACGAGGAACGCGTGATCAGCGTGAACATGGAGTCTAGCACCGCCAAGACCGACGAGGTTCGTCAAAAGCTCGAATCAGCCAAGACTGAAGAAGCGAAGAAGGCCAAGGCGGCTGAAGCTGCTGCTGCTGCGCCGCCAGTCGAAGAAGAGCCGCGGGTGAAGGCCGAGCCCGTGGACGATGCAGATACACCCATGGCCGATGTCCCGCACGACGATGACGGTTTCCTTCCTACTCAAAGAGTCCGAGTTCGACGAAAGGTGTCGAGTCCCCGCGAGCTGTCGACACCCGAACCATCGCAAACCGAAACTCAACCTGAAGCCGAACCAGAATTCGAAACAGTGCAAGCCGAGAAACCCGACCAGGTTCGCAGAGATCCACGAGAGCTGCTGCGCACAAAGGAAGAAATTGACGAGCACGATCGTCACTTGGAGGATCTGGAATACATGCGGAATCTGTTGTATTATGAAAGAAAGGAGAAGTCTACACGAGCAGCGACCACTGCCGCCGAGCCAGCTACTGCCGGCGGAGAGCCTGCCGCGGACACAACTACAGAAACCGGCGATGGAGAGACCGAAGGGGCCGATAATGATGGCGAGGAAGAAGAGACCTACACCAACCAGGCTCTTGAGGGACAACTCTTCCTCGTGCAATTCCCTCCGATGACACCCAATCTCGTTCTCGCCAAGGACAAGGACCCGTCGCCGCAGTCATCCGCGAGTGCAGCGCAGACCCAACCCGAACCACCTAGTCAGCCCGCAGAAGTTGCTGTCAAGACTGAAGACGAGGAGATGCAGGTTGTGGAAGACAGTGCATCGGATGCTCCCAAGTGCATTACCGCAGCCACACAGTGGACAGTTCCCGCCGGCCGAGTTGGCAAGTTGAATGTGCACAAGTCTGGCCGGATCACTCTTGACTGGGGTGGCATTCCTTTCGAGCTCGACCGTGCCACCCCGGTGGACTTTGTGCAGGAAGCGGTGATTGTGTCCAAACCCGCCGAAGATGAGGACGGGGCACCTCCTCGGGATGAGAGTGAGAACAAGGTCTGGTCAATGGGCCAGCTGGCTGGAAAGTTTACGGTTTCGCCCAACTGGGATGAGATTTTGTAGTTTTGACAGTGACTTTGGATTCTGTGATGCTCTCGAGGTATGCAGACCAGGTTGACTGGGCAAAATGGACTACTTTGGGGCGTTGGTTCATGGAATGTCTTAACTGACATGGCGTTTCTTAGAGGTCTTCTACCATACTAGCCCTGCAATGAATTTCACTCAACAAGCGATGGTGTATGCGCACCTATATCTTAGATGATGAAGGCATTTGGAACTCCTTGCAAGTATGTACGTCTTGACTTCACTGTGCAGGGCCTTGAACATGGAGCCCTCATCTTGGAGCTTCCATTCTCCACTCCACAGTACGGGGACAGTTCCCGAGGGGAGAAATCACGTGGACTCGGAACACCACGAGTGCGGGATCTTCATGCACACAGTCTGTACTTGAAGCTGTGGAGCACTGGACACTGGAGAGGAGGAGAGGGACAAGACTCAGGAGTATGTGAATCTGGGTGGCTGTCTCGACACTTTCTTCACGTGGTGAAACCTAGGAAAAGCTTGTCATGGCTGTCAACCTCGACGGAAGCAAATCTTGGAAATTGGCGCTGAACCGTAGACGGTTGATCTAGTAGTGACGCAGATCCTCGTTGATAGTTGGTACATGTAGTGATACTACTGGGCAAGGCCGGATGTGTTTCTAAGTGCAAGGCAGCTGGTTGCCTGGTTCAACTTCAAGATCTTGCAAGCTTACTGATCTCACGTCACGGACGTACTACAGTCTAGGTCTACAGTCTAGGTCTACAGTCTACAGTCTACAGTCTACACTCTACTTCTCGACTACTCTACTATTCTACACTCTACCTAGTACAGTCTACAGTCTACCGTCTACACAGCTCATAGGATTGATACTGTCAAGGTACTGTACATATATTTGTATAGTAACGTAAAACATCCGCTCTTATCAAGAATATTGACTCTCGATCCATGAGGTGCGGAGACACCTGAGGAAGTTCGAGTTGTCGATGATTACGTCGTTAGGGCTCGTTGCCCGGTGAGGTTCGGCTGTAAGTGTGACCCTTCTTGATTTCGGAGTTACAGTCCTGAGTCCTCCATAGTGCAATACGGTACTCATCACGATATGACGATACTGAATACCCCAAAGATCGGGCTCGGGAGTCGGGACACATTTCCTTAACCACGAGGGTGGATACGCCGCTAATCAATTAAGACGCTACCGGTCTTAGTGATAGATGTGAGACTTCCGAGTTCCTACCTTAGCAATGGAGCTTAAGTAGTCACACCGACTAGAGCAGTCAAGGTCTGGCCACTGGCCACTGGCCAGTATAGGCGCGAAGCTGCACGGTCTAGAGCCTCGTTTCACTAATCTCTTGTGGTATGACAGAAAGAGAAAGCATCTACTCAGTGATGCTCACTACTGTACTACCAACACCGACCGTTAGAAGAGATGACAACATGGGAGAACCTACGACGACTGCGAGATAGATGTGATCGGGTCTAGCGAGTAGTGAAGAGGCCATCCACTTGGGATGGTGATGCTATCCCCACCACTGTGCCTGGTTGAGGACCAAGAATAAAGGTAGCACCACCGTCCGAGCTATCCTTTGAAAAAATAAAACGTGTGTGGAAGCACCAGGGTCAAAATTGTCACTGGTGCCGTGTGAGTGGAAGAGACGGAATGCCGATGGCGTTCGGACTATCGATCCGCCAGGGTGAGAGCCTGAGAGGACGGCAGTAGTAGAGCAGCGACCAGTGACCAGTGACCACAGTCAGTCTGGGATCTTGTGCCATGAGAAAAGTCGACACTTTGATGCTCGGCCTTTACTTCCCAGACGGTCCACGAGGCGGACGGAGAATGATTGCTGGGGGGGTTGCGCATTTCCGACTTGAACTTTTGCATGGGTCCCTTGAATTTCGGAGCCGTGGTTGTGCTGATGAGAACTCCATTCAGGGGCACGGGGCTTGCATGGTTCCAGGCTCGCCCACAGGATGAGGAGAGGTTAAGCAATAAGAGTAACCATAGGCCTCATGTTTTCCATGCACTGTGATAGCGTATGTTGTGAGTGAGTGCAAAGAATGATGATTGGGGATTAGGATTGGTAGTTGAAGACATCCAGATTGACGACACTGTGACTCCAGTTATGCCAAATCATATCGAGTCATTGCTGATCACTGTGATGATCACGCTATGATTGTATGATTCATGGTAACTTACAGAATCATACAGGGACAGTGATACTGTACTAGTGTACTAGTGTCTAATTGTATACACTACATAGTTAGTGTTACATATGTACTATGGTACTACAGTGGTTTTGATACAAGGCGGTCAAGAAGGAAACGATAGCCGTACTGCCCGTGAGCCTCATCGTCGGGTCACTATTCGCGTTGCACGAAGCCCGCCATTCATCGCAAGGTACCAGGTAGTAATGGGCCTCGTGAGGTACTACAGTACTACAGTATCATTCTACCGCAAATCAATCGATGATCATAAGGATGCGTACCTTTGCAAAAAGTGAAGCCTCGAGTTTTGATCGCCCTGATTGTTCTTTCTGGGAAGAACTAATTTTGGACTGAAAGCACACCCTATTTGGGTATTGGACAGCAGTAGAGTTCAAGCTATCTGAGCAAAAGTCACCACCACCGGCCCTCCCAGGTTGACCAAGGCACAGAGCACCACTGGCGACTGCTTCCCCTCTTGGTGGCGTCGTCTATTCTTTGCATCTGGCCAGGCGCCAGATCATTATGGCTCCCGAGAGTTGTTCCGGTTGATGGATGAAATACAGTATTGTGCTGTACAATACAATGTCCGTGTACGCCTCGACGGGCAATTTAGCCATTTATTACTTTTCAACGGCTCCACTGAGCCCCACCTCGTGGGCGTCAACAGCCGCTCTGAGCCAATGAGTTGGATGAAAAGTTTGGGTCTGGTAGCCTTTGGCCTCCAGTGCCAAGGTTCAGCAACGGAAGTGAATTGCCATTCTCAACCGGCCGAACGTTACTGCCATCAAGACTTGTCAGACGCGGTACACATAGAGGAGGACCGAAGTAGTAAGTAGTACATAAGTACTACTGTTACTGTAAGTGTTAACTGTACGACTGTTGTGTCTCGATTCTCGACCTCAGGTTCGGTCTTCTGGATCCTGGATCCGTGATGATCACCACTTTCATGGTTGGGTTAGCGCATCACACCTTAATTTACCTTTTTCCCTTTTTTTTTTCCCTTTCAATTACTCCTCCCTTTCGTTTTTCCCAAGTCTTCTCCCCAAGCTGGACACCCCCTGGAACCCTTGATTTCCACCCTGAGTAGTGACAGGATAGTCTGGCCCTCCCACTGGACAACTCCCGACTCTTCTGTGTTTCCGTCGTGGACCAGCCTCCTCCGCCCCCCCCATCACAACAACTCCACCGAGAAATCCACCCTTCTAGGCCTCCCCCCTGCCTCACCTGCTATTAGACTTGCCCGATACTCTTGGCCTCCTCGCATGCTTCTTTTTCTTCTTCACCTTTCCCCTCTCCCTCCAATCCACAGTTATCTCGGACAGCATCTCGACGTGTCCACACATCGGTGATACAGGAGTCTCGATTGATTGCTCGCTCTGCCCGTTGCCTTGCCAACTCCTACCACCGCTCTGAATATCATTCTCTCGCTGCGCTGACCCGCACCTCCTTGGCATTGCTTATTTTGCGCAAGTCGACACCATCGCTTTCGTCAAAAGTGTCTCTCTCCAAAAGTGCCTTTTTGAAGATACACAGATACCGTCTCTTGAGACTCTGCAATTGCAACTGCAACCACTCTGCCCCCAGACACAACGATCTCTTCCTCGTCACTCGCCATGAGACCGTCCAGTATCTTCCTCGCCGCGCTGGCGCCTGCCGCCGTACTAGCCGACCCTCTGTCCCACGCGGACCATGGTCTCGTTCACAACGCCAACAGTCTGCTCCAGCGCGCGCCGTTTGCCACGATACCGGAATCCTACAAGGATCATCTGTCCGATGCATCTGCACACACGATTGAGAAGAGAGAGCCCCTGGACAAACGTGCCGTTCGGAACACCCTCCAGGCGCGCAGTGAAGGCTCTCTCGGCCAGACCCCATGGATTGGCATGGCTATCGGTCTGACTTGCACAGCATTGGCTGCGGTCATGCTGGGTTAAGAAACTGAGTGGACCGGATGGACCCGAATCTTCCAATTTTCGGATCCTCGAATTCTCTTGCCATACCGCTTTCTCTTTCTTCTCCTCAAGTTCCTCGCCTCCGACCTGCTCCTTCTCTCCCCGATTGTGGGATCACTCGACCTTGACACGATACGTGAATGACGCGCTCTCCGAACTCCCTTATTGATCCGACTCTCTTCACTTTCTCCTTCTGACCTACATACCCCTCTCCATGACACAACTTCCAAGGGACGACCGTATACACCCGCCTTCTTCCACCCTTTCTCTTGATCGCCTTTTTTTTTTTCAAATCTTCTCTAATCTTCTTCCCTTTTTGTTCAACTACTTCTCCGGCTGCATCTTTGGGCGACATTCAGCGACCTCTTGATTTCTTCTTCTTCCTCTGCTCCTCTTGGACCTTGGGACGCCGCGTTGACTCGATTCTCTGTTGGACATTCAATCGCAATTTGCATCCATGACTTGGGCCGATGGCGAGACGACTCTCGCCTACTACAAAGGCCAAGCATGCATCTCTTTTCTGAGGTTCTCGCGGACCTCTTTTCTCTGCCCTCCTCCTTCTCCCGCTATGGCCTCGAGTCATCGGGCAACGGCGAGGAGCAAGATGATTTGTACATGATACCTATCTTTTTTTTATTCTTTTTCCTCTTCCCTCTATATCGACCCTTGCTGTTCTTCAACCAGGAAAAGGACTCTTTGTTGCTTGTGAATATAGACCCGGATGGCCTTGACCATGATCAAGGATCTGTTCATTCTGCGGAGCCATGGTCATTGATAATACATGTACATATCAGGAACTCAGAGATATATGTCTTTTTCTTTCTTTCTCATGACTGGTCGGATTTTGTATTTGCAGGCGTGGTGCTCCTCGACTCATTACTCGCATGTCAGGTTGTCGCTGGGCACCGGGCACTGGGCACTGGGCACTTTTCTTGTTCAAACTACTACAGTACCTACTTACTACTGGGTAGTCGGTACCACCGTACCACAACCAGAAGTACTATGACGGTACCTTATCGGTATACAGCAGAGGCTAATAAGTCACGAACCAGCTTGAACTGTCAACGAATGCAAATGATGGATAGAACAGGTCACTCTTAATCATAGTCGGGTCTCGAGGAAGTTGCGGGCCGGGCTGAGTGTTGGCGGCTTCAGGTTGACGGTGACAGGTATGTTATTTTGAGCTGTGGGCAGTCACTGGGAGTTTGACGGGCTTAACATTGCAGTATGTCAGGTGGATCGTTGATAAGATACTACTGGTACGATTGGTGATTCAAAGGCAGTGCATCATTTGCTAAATCACCACGAGTGTACTGATCGGCAATTTGCGGTAGTCTGACAAGGGAGGGAGTTGCTCGAGAATAGTCAGCCCTACAAGTGAGTGTTACTCCTAGTCATACTGGACCGCGGTCAGTGGACACTGGACACAGTGGACAGTAATATACTGGCAGTACTGAGTCAAATAAGTGATAACCTCGACTCGATTGACAGCCCATGATAGTAGTACTGTACCTACTATCTACTGGTAGGAAGACGCAAAGTAGCGGATACTCAGGGGGTGGGTAAAAAGCCGGTGTCGTGCATGTACTCTGTACTTCTCAGACAATCATTGACTTGATGCAGTATTCCAGCAATCAAGGGACGGTACATACTACACAGTACATAGTACATAGTACATACTACATCCATACCTGAATACATTCAATGTTGGCTGGGGTAAAGTACCTCATGCACCACTGCCCCTGCAGTACGTACGAAGGTAGAGTTGGCCCATGAATTTGATTTAATGACTCTCCTTCTTTTGCCCTCCTCAGCTCCTTCTTCTCTCCGCATGATTTCCCCGTCTTTTTGCTCGAGTCTTCAAGTGCCACTTCCCCACAATTTTTCTTCCTCCCCCGCGATCCACACACAGAGTTAGTACACACTCTCTCTCACTATCACCCGTCTGGTCCAGATTCGGGTCGATTTCAGTCTAGACAGGTACAAGCTGGGATCGACTGTTCCTGCTAGATCCAAAGGGTAGGCAATACACCCCCGTGAAGATGGATCTTCCCTTCCCATGTCCATCAATGTCTATAATCCGTCTGTACTGAAGAAGGCTGTTTCGCTGGACTGGATTACAACCTGAACCTATCCTCCCCAATCCATGGTTTATGGAAAACAGCCCACTTGACCTATTTATATCTAACGGGCACATCGACTGCGTATAGATCCATTGCCATGTTCAAATTCATAGTCGACGAGAGACACCACCATCACAACTTCTACTACTGCCGCAATCTATCCAAGACGGTCACGGGCCTAGTCGTATAGGCTGAAGCAGCGGCCGCACATTGGTCATCACTGTGTGTCTGAACGCTGTCACAGGACGGCTCCCTACAATCACCCGGGTTGGGAAAAATTTTCGATAGCTCTCATCCGCACCTCGAGTCCGGGTTGAAGGAATATCCACGTGAAAGAGAGCGCGAGATTTCCTCCTCATCTTGCTCTTTTTCCAGAATATCTCCCAGAAAGCGACGGCAACAGAAAGTCGAGGACGAAGAGAAAGATACGCCTTCCCTGTTTGCATACCGTGAGGCATTTCATATTCCATCTTTTCCTCAACCCTAAGTCTTTCACGCAAGCTTAGGTTCTCGCTCATCCGACTCGCATACACAACCCTCTCTCTCAAATGACTCGATACCCCGACCCAATCCTCTCGCCCTCTCTGGGTCGAGAGATAGGCATCATGATCGCCGTTCTCGGAGCTTGTGTGCTGACGATTGGGATCTACTCGATTATATGGCGTCGTAAGTCAACTAAGAAAAAAAGAACCCAGTTTTCACTCCCTCACTCTTGTTCATCACCCTCTCCATCACGGGGCAACTCCTCTTAATCATCCGCAACGCTCTACCCAACCACTCCTTAGTCTTACCATAAATACTCCATATCTCCCGTCTTTGCCTCTCTCTCTCTCTCTCTCCCCTTCCCCTCCTCACCATCCATCGCACTATAAATCCCAAATCCCATAGGATCTCTCTCAATCCCATGGAAGACTAACCTGAGACCCGCTCCACCCAACTACCAGGAATCCAAATCCGCAATCAAGCCGAGGACCTCGACCGCCGCAAGGCGCTCAAAAACCGCGCCGCCCGAGGACCAGATTTCCCTTCGACAGCGCCAGCGGCAACGGCAGCGGCACCAGAGCGTAGAATCGGGCTGGATACGGGGGGCGTGTATCGTCTTCCGATGGAAGTGTCGGGGAAGAAGAGTGAGATGGAGGGGGGTCACGATGGGAGTGCAGATCGGAATGGGAAGGGGAATGAGAACGCGGCCGCGGCGAGGCGAAGAGCGGATCTTTTGTGATTTTTGTGTCTCCTTTTCCAGCGAGAATGAACATGTCGAGTGCAGGTGCGTGTGAGGAGGTGTCTGCGGGGAGGCCATTGTGGTCCATGGATAGATGGACGGTCCTCATCTGTTCATATTGGGGTCGAGCCACCTGATGAATCGAATTGATGGATGGACGATTGAGTCAATGGGGCGTGCAGGTCAACGAGAATCATGGTTTTATCGGGTGTCGCTGTGATATGAACGTTGAATGTCTCCCTACCTCTCTACTGTGTCTCGTGTCACAGCACAATTGGTGTTTTTATCTAAGTTTATGTACCTTTCTCGACTCGGACGAGAATGAGACTACCCGGTCTGGGAAAAAAAAGAAAGAAGGAAAGCAAGAAGGAAAGCAAGAAGGAAAGAAAGAAGGAAAGAAAGAGGATGCATACTATATACAAAGAGGGTGCCCCGATTAAATTTTAAGACGACTGACCTATTTCTTCTCCATATCTCTGTATGCACTTCAACCACACACCGGTCCATCAAACCCTCTGGTCCACAATAGACTCCCCATGATCACCACCATCAATCCTAAGCCGACACCAACACTCACCGTCCCATAGAAATATGCCTGTCTACGTCGAGTAACACCGTTCAATTCAGCCACCCATGTACTGACGGTGGTCAAACACCCGCAGAACCCATCCATCAACCCCTGTAACACTTGACAGCCCGTCCATGCTCCGACCCCGGCTCCAAGTCCCGACACATGTTGCAGATCGTAGCAGAGCCCCTCCACGGCCACACCGAGCATGTTCACCGCAAATGTCCCCAACGGGAACCACGGGACCCGACCGTTCAACGCCATCGACACATAATACCGAATGAGACAGCCCACGGGTGCAAAGACCACCGCAAAGACCGCCCGTCCCCGCCAGGTATCCGCCGCATGTCGATCAGGCGGCCAGATCGCCAGCAGCACGGCGCCGAGCCAGCATCCCCAAGCCAGTGGGACCATGAGCCGGTCGACGACGCGGCGGGTCCATTTGAATGGTATGGTGGGTGTCACTCGCACCAACCCCACTGCGAGATGGGCACCCACAATCAGTGCCGATACGCTCAGGGACACGCTGAGGATGATCACGGCCAAGAGAGCCATGACACTATATCCGCCGTTGCGCGGCGCAATCCCTGTGCCCGGCGGCAGCGAGGGGTCCGGAAGTTGGTTGGCCAGCGCGAGGAATACATCGCGCAGGAAACTCGAAAAGGAGGTACAGCAGCCACAGAAGCCAGTCGTCAAGCCGATGTAGAGGGGAATGGTCTTTTTCACGGCCTTGTGGGATTTGAGTCGTTGCTCAGCGTCGTGCTCGGTCTCTGATTTTCGAGGGGCAGCATGTTGCGATGGCGGCGTGGGAGGATTCCCCCATTCTTGTTGAAATAGCTTTCTGTCTTCGATGAGAAAGCCCATGAGAAAGCTGCCGGTGACGTTGGCCCAAATGACTCCTGTAACCACGGGGGCGCCGGAATAGAAGGTGAGGGCTTGGAGTCCCAGACGCGCAAGAGTGCCAAATATGGAGAAGAAGACGAGGTAGGAAATGGTGTAAAGATGAGTGGCCCGTTTCGAGACAGAGGTAGCTGGCGCGGACTCGACGGGTGTTGTATCTTCGGCTGGGCGACTCGAGTACCATTGTTGCCGTTGAGATGCGGTTGGAGCGACCGGCTGAGGCGCGGTCGTCTCTGTCAATGCCGGGTCATAATCGTCGTCGCTTGCCGCGGACGTGACGGCTGCCGTAGGAGAGCGTCCCTCATGCCCCCTCGTGGCGTCTTCATGCTCCTTTTCTACCGAGCGATGCGCAGCGTCCCATTGCGAACGCTGGGAGGCGACGCGCTCTACCGGTTCTGGAGCTATTACCTCTGTGAGAGGAGAATCTTCAGGATCTTCCGGGACGAGGTCCGCCGCCGGAGCGTGTATTCGATCCGAGGCAGCGTGTCCGACCATCTCTCACGCTCCCGCTAGATACTGTAGGGGGAGGATTCTTCAAGAGGGCACGAGGGCCAGTCACCGGGTCGTCTCGGGATGAGGTAGCCCTGCTCAGGTTTCAACGTGAGTCCAACGGCTCAGGGGATCGATCGTGTTTGCAGATCGCCCAACATGATCTCTGTTTAACGACTCAGACCTCACTACGCACATGGCCACTCTGGGGTAGCCGTACGGATACTGCGTAGGTGGTAGTAGGCGCCTACCGTACCACAGGACGTAGCTCCCACAGAACACAGCATCCCTGACAGCTCCTTAGCGATTAGTCTCTATTGATCCAAGAAGCTATCTTAGAACCCTCGCTCTGGTCCAGACCATCTACTAGGCTAAGCCTAATAATCTCAGTTATCTCACGATGCCAGTGGCTCTCTGCTCAGACTCGACGGGGTCGGCGATAAGATGATCAGGTGATAAGGCAGCGGGGCGATAAGCCACCGGTCATCCACGGCATTCCGCGGGCCAGCCCGAGTACGGCATTTGCCTTGCACCAGGTTTGAACCTGCTAGACTTTGTGGTACATCGCAAACATCGAAGACGGATATAGAGATGTCTGGTGCTGAAGATAAGACAAGTATGCTAGGTCCATGCATATGGCAGATGTCAGAAAGTGGCAGAGCAAAGAGAGGGAAAGCTCAACTTAGATCCAAGTTCAAAGCAGATCCAAGTGATAGATAAGCTCAGGGCCAGGGGCCCGTCTAGTCGTCTACTACAGAGTACCGTTGGTAGTAGGTACCTACTAACCTGGTAATCTACTACCGACCATCAAGTAAATAGTGGAAGAGCTCGAGTGCTACCGTCCACTCTCTCTCTCTCTCTCTCTCTCTCTCGATAAGAACAGTACATCATCCCGCTCGCTCTATCTCTCTAGAATTCAATATCACAAACAGAGCTCGCCCGCTTCTCTCCGCTCCACCTCCGCATCTCCTCCCCCTCTATCTCGCCCTCTCTCTCTCTCTCTCAGGGAAATTGAAACTCAAAACGATCAAACGCATGCAACCTTTCGGTTGAAGCAAAGCTGCCCAAGAATATTCACGCTCAGCAGACAAGCGCTAGCCATTCTTCTCATTACCCCTCCCTCTGTCTTTCTCTCTCTCTCTCTCTCTCTCTTCTACTGTCCATCCATCTTCAAGCACTCACCCTCCTCCCCATTCTCTTTCTTCCGCCGCTCTAGAGTCTATACTAGCCATACACTACCTCGCCTGAAACAGCGGGGCCCGCTCGACTTTCCACCGCCATGTCTCTACCTTCCAACGTCCATATTTCCTCTCACCCATGTCTCCAGGCAAAGCTCTCCCAATTGCGGTCTCAGAGCACCACTCCACGCGAGACTCGGGCACTGGTCGAGGAGATCTCATCCATTCTTGGGGTGGAGGCCTTTGCAAAGGGACTGGCTTTGTCTCCCGCGGGGAAGGTGTGTTGAATTCACCACACTCTATGAGCGCTTCCCTCGATCTCACTCGCATGGAGACAGAACAGGACTGATCATGTGTCTCTCTCATTCTGTAGGACTCTACTCCGCTCGGTATCGAGTACGAAACTTCCACCATCGATCCAGTCGATTTGGCTCTGGTCCCCATCTTGCGATCTGGACTGGGAATGGTTGAAGGTAAGTAAGCATTTGAACAAGCACCGTCTTTCTGTCGATGTCTGGACTCTTCAGTCCTCATGCCAATGACCAATTTCGGTGTCATCTTCTTCCTCTCACGTCAAGTCATTCATGCGGTTGTTGTGCTTCCACTTTCACTGTTGTTGACACCGGCCGATGGACTCGCGGAGATCCTCCCAATGCCGCCGTCTCCCCCACCACTCTGACAACCTTCTTTCCCCTCCCCTTCCAAATGCAGACTCCCACTTGAGCTCTACAATCTCTTAGTTCACTTAGTAGATACCATCTTTTCCCTCTCAGCCCACCTATCCCGCTCCCTACCTCACACGTTTTCCCATCTCAAAAGATCCTTCCCACATATCTAACTCTCTTCTCTCCCCCAACCCATCAGCAATCAACTCCCTCCTCCCCACCGCCGTCCCAATCTACCACCTCGGCCTCTTCCGCGAACCCGTCGGCCTCCAACCCGTCGAATACTACAACAACCTCCCCTTCTCCAAATCCGCCCTGTCCCCGGCCTCCCCGGCTTCTCTCGACCCGACCACCAACACCGCCGCCGCCCGTCTCGCCGTCCTGCTCGACCCCGTCATCGCCACGGGTGCCACCGCCGACGCCGCCATCCAGACCCTGCGCGACTGGGGCGTCCAGCGCGTGATCATGCTCAGCGTCTTGGGGAGTCGGGACGGCGTGCGCAAGGTCGCCGAGAGTTGGGACCAGGTCGAGGTCTGGGTGGGCGCCGTGGATGAGAAGGTGAATGAGAAGGGGATGATTGTGCCGGGTCTGGGGGATATTGGGGATCGATTGTTTGTTGCCTTGGGGAAGTAAACGTGGGGACTCTTTTGATTTCTAGCCGTCTAAAGAACAATGGAAGATCAATGTCTAGAGAGAACTTTGCCACTTAGGTAGAAGAACGAACTGTAGCATACTTGGAAAAGCCGAAGAGATCCAATTGATTACATGCTTCACCACAACGTGCTGAATCTACGGCACCTCTTCGGTAGATGTAGATGGACTTGGAACAGAAATGACAGAATTCGACATGAGGAGTACATACTCGGCCCAGCCATTATACCGACAAACAACCGTACTACAATTCATGATACTGAGGAACATCATTTTATCCCGCCAAGTTGTGATAGATTCATCGATAACGTATTGTACAGGGAGATCAACGCATGCAACAAGGACTGAAAAGTCAAAAAAGCAAAAGCCATCAAATCAACATGTGCAGATGAGAAACAGAAATGCTGGACCACGATGCAAGGACTAAGAACAACATGGCAACAACGATAACAACCAAATCAATCAAGGGCATTAAACAGACAAGACTGTTGGCATAAAAAGCAGGTTGTATGGCGGGGGAGTCAAGATATCAAAATCAAAAGGACATAACAGGCGTAACGAGGCAAAGAACAAAAAAAAACAACCAAAAGCCATGGCCAAGTAGCCAAGACAGGCAGACGCAAAAGTGAATGGCACAAGGACAAACGGGTCAATGCGGGTGGGCCACGAATGTAGACTTTCTACTTCAGGAACCCCATGGAAACCGGGCGCAAGGATGTAAACCCTGCATGATGAGTGTGGCCACTGATACCGGTGCGAAACCGGGTATTCCAATTCAAGAAGAATGGTAAAGCATAAGGAAAAAGGTATCCAAGACATCAACAAAGAACAAAGCAAGATCGAGTGGCAAAAAGGGACGGACAGGGAATAATTAGGGGCTAGAAAGGTTGGTCGCAAAGCACACAAGGCAGTCAAAGATGAGCAGAGTAACTCCATCGAGTGCAAAACGAACACGCAGGTCCAGCCAGGTGTCGAAAGGGACAGAGCCCAAGAACAAGAGACCAAACCGAACTCCCCCAGACGAAGCAGATAAGGAAAGGAGAGGAGGAAAACGAGACGCAAATCAGCGTCAAAAGCCAAGAAAGAAACAACAATGACCCAGAAGAACAAGAAGCACAAAAACTGGCTAGTCAGGAATCACCCATCGGGCGTCAAGACGGCGGTATCTCCCTATGCGGAAAGCCTCAAAAACACCCTCCGTCCAGCCCACTGACAATGAATCCGATCATGAGTGTCCCCGATATGTCCCAAGAGAAGTAACGTCCAAATAGTGAGTGTGTATCGCATATGTTTTGGTGTGCGCATGTGTGAGAAAGGGAGAGTAAAGCCACGAGACAGGTGCACCCGAGATGTGAACGGAGAAAGAGGAGAAAAAAAAAAGGAAGCACTCACTCCAGCCGGGTCCGAAGACCCACTGAAGAAGGCATATTAAAATCAAAACGAAGAGGGGAGAGTGGCTTAGTAGGCAGTGCCAACGCTGGCAAGCGACTTTGTAGGCACCGCGTGGATAGGTTGATCTTTGCCGACGCGCAGGGAATCCTCGTAACCAACGAGTGCCTGAGAGTGAAGCTTGAAAGATTCGCCCATCAACTTAGTGATTCTGGATAGGACACAGAAGTTAGTATGACAAAGCTCGTTTACGAATGAAAAAACCCCCCCCCACAGCATTAGGAAATTGTATGGGACTTACCCCCAGACAACTACCCCGTCAAGGATATTACCCCAAACACGGGCGACGGTGGAGCTGAGTTTACCAAAGGCATCGATGGCATCGTCGTCAAATAGGTTGCGGACCTTATTGTAGATGGCCAATTCAGCCTCAGTCGCTGGCTCGTCGTCATGTTCCAGGCGATAGAGCCAGAGACTCAGGATAACCATCAGGTCCAGGCCGCAAAGGGGATGCTCAACGCTCCAGTTGGTGGCAGAAGTTTTGGCCACCCAGTTAATGCCCTGGATCGCAGCAATCTCCATGCACTCAAAGCATTGTTGCACAACCTTGTTCATTTCCTGCGAGCGCTTGACCTTCTCACGGGCGACAGTCATGGCGGCGGCCACCTCATAGGATGAGTGGTATCGCATGGCTTCCTGGATGGACTTTAAGTCGACTTCCAGGCGAGCGCGAGTGTTGCGATAGACAGCCATGGAGTTGAAGATGAGAGGATGACCTTTTTGGGGAGTGCTGAGCGGGACAACGATCGTCTCGGGCTCACACACCTCCAAGGAGTTCTCCCAGGTCTCCAACGCCAGTCGAAGCTTGTATTCGGTGACGACGTCCTGGAGCGCCTCAAAGCTACGCTTGTGGTTCCACACTTGGAGGAACAAAGCGTTGATCAGGACCCGGGTAGCAAAGGCGCTGTAGCGAGTCTGCTCGCCCTGGAACAAGAAGTCGTGAGCCTCACGAACGGTCATCGAGCTGGCGGCGGCAATGCTACGGCGCCAGGTCTCATCGTCCGCGGCTTCCATGTTCCAGAGGGACTCCGACGAGGGCAGTTCCAAGTTATCGAATTCGTCAAAGCTCATGGCGGGCGTGTGATTGAAGGTCAAGGTGAGCATCCCAAAGAAGATGTAGACGGCAAAGTAGGTACGACGGCAGGATTCTTCCTCGATCCAGTCATCGCGAGACGGCTGGGTACCCTGGCGAGCCTCAGTGCGCAGCTTGAGCTGGTATCGGTTGCCGGCCACCATGTTGGCTAGCAGACTCTTGATCGAACAAGTCCACTCAAGGCCCTTGGGGTCGCCACTCCAGCTTTCAAAGACCATGTTGAGCAGGGTGCTCTGCATCAGCCAGAGGGGGCACTTGCGAGAATCGAAGTTCTCCTTGTGCTGCAAGAATTGGTTGACTAGGACCTTGGAGCCGACGTGGAGCATGAAGGCATGATCGCGTTCGAAGGTGTACAGAGCCCCGATGGACAGCACAGCGAGGAGCAAGGGAGTAGGCGCCGATGTGGGATGGAATGACTGCTGATGAAGGAACGGCAGGTGGGGATGATACAGATTGAAGTACGTCGAGAGGTACTGATTCAAAGCCGCGATGGCGGGCATCTGGAAGTTTTCGGGAAGGGCACCCAAGGCATCGGCCTTGCGCACGCTTTCAATCACCACATTACGCTCCATTTCGCTGGCGATCTTAGGAGCCTTGGGCAAAGTCAAAGCCTGGCTAGGTCCCGGAGAGCGGCGATAGTTGACGGGGCTGACGGGACCGGTCATTGAGGGGTAGGGAGACAAGGCGTTCGGGGTGGAATTGCCGGACATGGACAGCGAGTGGGAGAGGAGCACGTCACCAACGGGGCCGTGGCGGTCGATTAACGGGGGCATCGCACTCGATTCCGCAGGGGAGACAAGAGTATCCCAGGGCATCTGGGGCAGGGTGGCATTGCCGGACAGGTACGGGTCAAAGGATGCTTGACCGGGGGACAGGGACTCGGAGCGCTCGGAAACTTGACCGGTCGCCGCTGCTGCAGCCTTGTGTTGGAAGTCTGTCATCAACATGGCTGCGGTTTCAAGGTCGACCATACCGTCGCTGCTTGCCTCAATCTGCTCCAGGCTGGCTGGATCGATCGTGATGGAGGGCTTGGAGGGGCCCGCCGAGGACGATTTCTGCACGCCAGCATTTCCACCACGTCTGCGACCTTCGGCGACCAATGGGATACCGCCATCCTTGGCATGCACGGTGCGATCATGGCGCAGAAGCAGGTCGCGACGAACAAAAGTGCTCCGACACTTCAGACACTTGAAGGGGCGCTCTTTGGTATCTGCCATTCCATGGAGGTCAGTATTCGCACGACAAGGTCATGAAGGTATGATAGACTCTTTGCACCTGCATGACACTACCATGGAGATAGCGGGCAGAAAGAGACACCGGGGGGGGGGGGGGGACTGAGAACAGTGTGGTGGTAGGATGGAGGACCAAGGGATACTCACGTGAGCGTTCATGGCGACTACGATGTTCACTTCGACTGAAGGCGCGGTTGCAAAATTGGCACTTGTACTTCTTCTCGGGGGCGGATGTCTTCTTGGCCGGTGAAGCACTGGCCGTCGCTGGAGCTGAGGGAGCCATGTGTGAATGTGTTGTAGTCGGACTAACTTCTTGTCAAGCAAGAACGGTGGTAGTCGACGACGATGGTATCGTTCCCTGGGTGAGTTCGCAGCGATTCTGTAGGCGTGTCGAAGACAGGAGTTCGTTGGGGAGCCTGATCATTCCTTGATGTACCCAAGTCCGGTGCGCGAACCAAAGATCAAGTGACAGTTGGGTGGGTTGTGAGATGATGGGGTTTTGGGGGGGGGAGCAGGAGTGGCTGCTGTCTCAAGGGCGGCGCGAGATGCGAAAAAAGTGGGAAATTCAAGCCACAGGCCGTTCAGTCACCGTCGGCGGGTGAGAAAAGGTTGCGGTGGTGAAGGGGAGGGGCAAGAAACGCAGCGATGAAGAAAGTATGGGGGAATCAACCACAGAATAAAGAAGGCGAGTGAAAAATGAAGGTGCGGATGGGTGTTAAAGCGCCGCTGTGTAGAGGGGTTGAAGAGGGTTTCGGGTGTTGAAGGTGGGATGAGGGAGAGGGGGAAAGAGAAGTTGGAGGGGAGGGGAGGGGGAAGAAAAGTGGATGAGGAGAAAAAGAGGAATTTCGGGCATTTGGGGGGGGGGGGGGGGGGTGGCAGAACACACGGAAGAGACCAGAGGAGGCCGAGAGAGAGAGAACGCTCGACCGTGAAGTCAAGTCACGGAGGGGACGAAGAGGGCTGGCTAGGCTAACTCTCAAGGTGGTGGTCGTGGCGTTAGTGGAGGGAGATCGCAGGGACCACCCACTGTGCCCACTGCCCTAGTGCCCACTGCCCACTGCCCACTGCCCAGTCCAACTGAGTCCAGCGTGTGCGGCAAAGATGGGCCGTGGGCCCAAGCATCGCTTACGGAGGGGCAAAAAGCGGGACTGTTTTTAATTTACGCGGCGGGACCGTACCGTGACAGGGAGATTCCGACCAGGTGAGGAGGGCGGTCGCTAGTCGTTTGGGCGCACTGGGAAGGGAGGCCCCGGAGCCACCGGCCACGACGGGGGTTACGGCGAGGCGGACCCGCGAGAGGAACAGGGAATCCGTCCTTGAGATCATCGAAGATCTCAGGTGACTCCCCGAGTCCCCAGCCTCCCTTTCATGCTGATTACATCCGGCCACGCACTTTGCCCTCCCGCGACCACGACCCGACCACGACCCGCGCCCTCTTTGAGTCTAGTGGACTGGTCCAGTCGGTCCGTCCTGAGTCCTTACAGACCAGAAAGTCAGACATGATTATGATTTTGGGTCCAACTTCCTGCTCATCTCCCTTTCATCCTTCGCGTCGCTCGCGTTCTCGCCAGATAGAGTTAGTGCCCCTCCATGAGCTGGCCCCTCCCTTTCTTCCATTTTGGGAAGTAAATCGACTCGTAATACGCAGATTGGCATCGTTCCTCGGCCCTAGTCTCAAACCAAAATCGGCTGACCCCCAAGAAGAAAAGGGTGGTCCATCCCGATGCGAAAGGTTAAAATCCTCGAGCAGAAACAACCCATTTGACGAGGGTCAATAAGGATATCGCATATTTGATCATCCTCAAAAGATGGTAAAATAATGATAGGTGCCCACCTCCTGTCCATATATAGTTATGTAAAATTGTACATACACTTGTACAGTACTGTACATCTCTCATACGAGTGAGCTTTCTCCAGAGGTCGCCAGACGATTTTGACGATTTTACACATCAAGACCAACCTAGACTATCCTGGCCACCCACATGGCGTCCTCAAGAAAGTACTGTTGCCTGCCCGATCGGGACCGCCGGATGTTTATTTCCTCTCGGAATCTCGAATAATAGATGTATCGTAGGTTTAACCTCACAGGTGCCCAAGAAGTGGCAGTCTTTTGTCAGAGGGAGACTCTTGCTTTTTTCTGATCTTCGAAACAAAAAGACAAAAACCCCTCCTAGCATGGGCAATCGAGCAGACTGATCTGTGGCTGAAAGAACGCTACCTTCAACAAGACACTCACTAGCAACACAGCAATTTTAGTAATGAGAAAAGCAGCCGGGACAAATAATCGAGCCTTGTGACGATCCTCTTTGGTCTCCACCGAAGATGACAGGGCACAAGGTCGATTTCAAATGACTGGATGGGTGCAGACCAGACTACATACAGCGTGCAGCCATGCAGCCATGCACGATGCAGGGTATCTTGATCTGGCTTGACTGATCCCAGGAATTGGGAGGCCGAGCGGGCGCATGAAGCCCTATACGATCAAAACATTTCTATTGCGTCGGCGAATTACGAGCACCTCGTCCACTTTCTACAATGGCGGGCCTCAATCAATCGAGACAAAGAGGGTCATCAAGGGGGGGAATAGAACTACTACAGCCTACTACGGTACTAGCTATTTCCCTCCGAAATGCAGAAGACACCCAAACCCCGAGGTAACAGAGACAGTGGCGCTCAGAATGGGGAAGAGGAGGGAGAGTCAAAGACGGGGGTGGAAATGACAGGACAAAAGATATCGTAACTGGGAGACACACCGAGCTTCGGAAGTCTCGACTCGATGTCCAATTGTCCAAAGCCATTGATCTCAAATCCGACAACTCCATGTGAACCCAATGGCCCCCTCGCTGATGGCGCAGGGCGCCATGAATTTAGCTTCATGCTTCGTCGTCCTCCTTTTTTCCAGATCCTCGACTGATCGCCCGGAACACAAATAGAGATATGTGGCTGGCATGTGAGGCGAGTTAGTGTCGCAGACCGTGGCACTCTCTGGACGAGTCGACGGCCTTGGTTTCGGGCTCCGCGGATGGAAGAGTGATCCTGGTATGTGAGAAGTCGCAATTCGATCTGGTCCTTCAATTGTAGATGCCACAGTCCTACCTGAATGATACCTCAACATGCTTGTGTCCGGTGTCTGGAAGGTTCCAGTCAGACAGACTCACGCCCCCTCCCCCAAAAGAAAGAAGTGAGGCTTGGATTCAACTTCCATCTACACAGAGCCCCGATGGACCCGAGTGTCACCACTCGCCTCAGTATTTAGGCATTTAGACTCCAGGCGCGAAGGCTGGCCCTTGCGCAAGAAAATTGGAGCTTGTTCCACAGCGTCGTCAAACTGCAATCTTGATTCGGAATGATTTCGAGCACACTGGAAGGTCGCAAGACCCCGCCATGGTCATTATCATGGCATCATGGCCGCTTGACTCATGGTCCCCTCTTGGATCGTGGACCAGTTCCGGTTGCCAACCATGGTTCGCGGTCTTTTATTTACCCCTCCCCTTCTGTCATCAGCGATCACCCCTCACTGATACACTGATCGATATCCAAAGGTACCGTGGGAATCAGATCCGATCGGAACCCCGCGATTATGCTCGACGATAGTGTACAAACTAACAAAGTACTTTTAATCTGCCCGTAGTCCCGTACTACAACGGTAGCACCTCCAGTATCACAACTTGATTTTGCACTAATTATGTCATCGGTTCCTGCTCGCCCACCTCAACTTGATCTATGTCCTTGAGAGTACTTATTCCAATCAGCACAGATTGTAAACAATATTTTCCCTACTTGTAAGAAGTGCACAGAAATACTTTCTCTCCGACCACCAGGGCAGCGCAGAGAGAATGAGACAGGGGGAACCAAATAATGCCAGCAAACATCGTGATGCACAATATCTAGGATTGGCCTAGACACTGGATTTCTCCGGAAATTGTACGGATCAATACAGCAACGACTCAAGCTTGAAGCCACTAGGTGAGGTAATGTCGTAAGGTACTGTGTAGTCTGGGCCCCCCCGGCCTGGGGCCGATTATTACCTAGATAGGTAGTACACTCCTGCGACTGCCCGCCTGCATCAATGAAATGGTCAATACGTTGGGTATGTACTATGTAGTGATGTCTTACCCACCTATTAATGTCGATGTAGGCAGCCATACTGAATAAATGGACTATAACTATTAACTAGTGACCACTGACCAGTAACCACCGACCATAGTGACAACTTGTCACCTAAACACAATACAGCTAGGTGTACACGAAACAGTCATTACAGGTGATGTTGTTCACCAGTAGTCTCTTCGCAAAGTGGAAAGAGGTTTCCCTGTCTCTCGACCCCCCTACTTTACGGCTTGTTCAGTGTGGCGGGTAACTACCTAGGCTTTCCTCGGCACTACTCTGCTGAGCAAAGCAAGGTCTCGATTGAGCTCCGCCCTACATCCAGGGTTCCCCGCTATAGCCTGGTCCTGGCAGCACTGTAGGTGCAGGTGGGGGAGAAGATCGTCCACTATTGAAGTGATCGGGCTATTTACGGGATCACTTCTCTTTAAAGCATCAAATGACGCACAACGCCTGACGCGTCTATGCTTTGAATCTCTCGGGAAGTACAAAGCTGTCGTGTTTCATAATCTATATGGTTATTGACAGCGTTGCTGTCCAAAAGCCAGTAGCATAGGGGATTGCATGATAATCAACCCACGTAATGAACATTGGGCTGTAGACCCCGGAAGCTGGATTCCAGGCATGCATCGAAGTCCGAACAAATGTACTGACTCGTGACTACTACTGAGTAGTGAGTACTGACTAAGTATGGATCCTGGGCTGGGTCCCACGCCGAGTCAGCGCCACACTCCATCGTCCACTGTCGCTGTCCAGTGTCCACTGTTCAGTCCAGGCGGGACCTTTCAGCTCAGTGCTCCATGAACGGGCTGAGATGAAGAGTCCAGTTCTGAGTTCTGAGTATGTATCCTGCCCACGGCCCTCACGTGTTCCTCCTTATTGATGATATACCTTGTGATTGGTTCTTCAGACACAAGTATGTTGGTCGAGCAGGGATGATTGTTTCGTGTGAGTGGTCCTCAGTGACCGACATACTCAAATCATGGACTGTACAACTCTGACATGTGGCGGCTGGGACTGTGCTACGCATCGTGTCGGAAATTGTACACTCCAGTGAATACACTGGTTGCCCCTGAAGCGAGTGAGCCGTGGGAACCATGAATAGCTTGGTGAACTCACCATACGCCTGGGTCTTTTCAACTGGTGGCAACTTTCCAAACAGGATGAGGGCGGCCA